GTGTACAACGACGAGTGAGAATCGTGAAAGTTGCGCGGAAATTGGGCTGCTTCGAAATGCTTTCCGTCCATACTAGCAATGGCTTGCAGGCCGGCGCTCTCCTTGCCATCTTCAATAACCTCATCCGTGGCGAGGATAAACTCATTCATAGTTGCAAACGCTGCAACCGTGCCGTTGTGAATAATCTTGTCGTCGGCAGAAAAGTCCTCAATTGTGACAATGGTTTTGTCGTTGTCAATGTTCTCGTCCTTGTGAACAAGACAGACGATTTGATTCTGAGCGCGGAACTTGAAGGCAGAGTTTCCTGTGAACTCGCACTTGGTCGCGTAGCGTTGCAAAGTCTTCCAGTTGTCACCACGATCAGTGGAGATTGAGGCTTCAGGGTAACAATTGTTACTACCCGCAACATCACCACAGCGCTGTCCGATCCAGATCATCCAGTCCTTCTTGTCTGGATGGAAACTCATTGCGGCACTAGGATCAGAAAATGGTGTCTTAAAGCTGTGAAAGCTATGACCGCGGTCAATGGTATAGATGACCTTTTCAGAATCTGTATGGAAGAAGACGACTTCCCTGAAGTAGGTATGAGGAATCAGTGCCAAGATATTCTCCTTTTCAAGAATGCGCTTCCAAGTTTTGCCGTGATCAGCTGTGATCCATAGCTTGTTTTCCACTTCGACTCTACCGTCAGGTAGCTTCTCACCAATGGGTCGAGCAATAACAACTTCGCTGGTAGGACTCTCAGATTCGACACCCATGAGGTAAAATTTCTGCATGTCCTGGCCTTTGATGTCCGTGAACTCATTGATCTTGAGCGAAATTTCACCACTGGCCGGAGTACCAGGTGTCGAACCGCCACCGGAACTGCCGCCATCGGAGCACTTGCGTTCAACTGGGTCATCCTTCTGAGCGCCACTCTTTCGAATACATGTATTTCCTGGAATAAGGCGCCACCCAGACGATCCCTTGAAAGTCTCATCTTTGCCCTTACAAGAGCCCTCTGGAATAGGAACTGGCCCAACCTTCTTACAGACCTTGTTGTCATCGGGGTCCCTCTGAAAGTTATAGTCGCATTCAAAGTCGGCATCGGCACACTCGCAGTTCTCGATGACGGGTTCAGGATCACGGAAGTCGGCCTTGAGAAAGCAATCCGCCGATTTCTTGCGGCGGTTGTATGTTTGCTTGTGACCCATGATGCAAGTTGCCGCTCCCTTGTCGTCAACACGTGCATACCATGACTCCATGTCCTTGCTCTCGCAAGTGCGCTTCTCCATCCCCTCAAAATTGATGGCAATCATGTGAAAAGTTCTGTCCTTCTCACCAACAAGCAGAAACTTGAGGCTCGTCGAGTCCTGGGTAGTTGTCAGGATAACAGGCCTAACCTTCAGGCCATCAGGGAGCGGGGCGGACTCCCAGTTTTCTCCATAGTCCAGGGAGAAGGAAATCTTATCGACGTCCTCCTTGAGAGAATCTCTGACAGCGACCAAGATACCGCCTGTGTCACCAAACTCATATTTGTGAGGGCCTTCGAGCGCCTTTTTCCATGACACGCCAGCGTTGTCAGAAACGTAAAGATTGGAACTCTCGAACTCGCCGAGCGCGGCGCCCGTGTTTCCATTGCCCATAACGAGACCAGGGGCCGGGCTCGAGAAGATACGCCCGATATTGTCAATGTCTGTCATTGAATGTAGGTGAATGCGGTCTTGTCCAGCTTTGACTGGCTCAAAGGTTCTTCCATCGTCAAATGTGATTTGTGTCACCACAACTTTCCTTGCGTTCTTTGCATCAACATCCTTGCCGTTTTCGACGGTATTGACCAGGAAGATACCTTGGATTCCGCTGATTTTCTCGAAGTCGACGTGGCCCTTGACATTGCGGTTGGTGTACGGGATGTTCTCTGTGAAGTATGTACCGTTCGAGTTGCTGGTGAAGATGACACCCATAGGGGTAGACGGGTGAGAAGTCATGACGTCGACTTGAATGCTGTAGTTGGTGCTTTCGAGCACCGTGTAAGCTTCTTGGTTGATCTTGTGGGAATGATCATGGCTGTCGTCTGTAGGGAACATGGCTCGGTGCCAGAACTGAGCATCACTGGTAACGAAGAGAGTCATCTCATCACTGCCAGCGGATGACGAGGCAAGAAGAATAAAACTCTTGACAGCTGCAATGTTAACAACACCGGTTACATCACGTTGACCATCCAAACTTGGCTCGAATTCGTCGAATTTTCCACCACTGCCCTTGGCAAAGAAGTTATCCGAAACGCATAACTTCTGGCTTGTTTTGAAGAGACTCAGGGGGTCGGTAACGATGCAAAGGATTCTGGTCTTGTCCAGCTCGGCATCGCCAGTTGTGAACTCTCGGTTTGCCTTGGCCCACCAGCAACCCGATGTGCTGGGACGCAGCTGCTGTACAGTCTTGAAACCATCAATTGTATATGTTGTTTCCTCGTCGCAAAAAATTCCATCGCAGTTCATGCCGTTGAAAATGATGCGCTTTGGGTCGCCTGCGTGGAAGACAAGAGTATCGGGTTGGAAAGCACTAGGCATTGTGCCGCTGTTAAATTCACTCCAGCTTTTGCCACGGTCTTCGGTTTTGTAGTGCTTCCGATCTTTCGTGAGAACAAAAGCAGAATTGGAGTCGAAGGGGTGAAGGTACAAGAAGGTTGCGCTTCGGTCGGGGATGTCAGGGACTTGCGCCCATGTTTTGCCTGCATCTTCGGACCTCCAGATGTTTCTCTCCTCGATATCTTGAAAGACAACGACGTCACTGTCCTCAAAGTAATTCAGGTTGAGAGGAGGATGCTTCGCGACGGAAGCGTCGACCGTCGGCTTGTCCTGTTTTGCTGCCACAGCTGTCCATAGCAGCGAGAATATGAGGGCGCGCCATGAGAGTGCGGCCCAGGCTGAGGACCTCATCATTGCGGCGGAACTTGCAGTAAATATATCATGAAGAAGCAAACACAGCCGGAAGATGCGAGGATCTCGCAATTTCGATAAGGTTCGTGCAACAGAGAAGTGGCTGGCTCTGAAGTATCGTTTTGAAGTCGTGTTTGAGACGTGTTGATGGAGTTTACCACAGGTAGGACACTTTGCTCCTTACGAGTTAAGTTACGAGGCACGTCAGCAATGAGGCGGCAGCTGTTTCGCCCGGTTGGTGTGGCGTCGAGCTTCGCCACACAACGTTATTTGCTCCTTACACGTCAGTCTTTTGGTGAAGCGCTGATACTCTGATAAGGAAAAGATTAAGTGCTGTAGGAAAATGATTCACTATTACAATTTGCTGATAGCCATCCTGGAATTACCTGCCTATGTAGCCAATATCATTCGTTCCTTCTTTTCTTTCACTTTAACAGTGCTGGAATGCATGAAGTGGCGCCATCAGCAGTTATCAGTAACTCGGGTAGTCTAAATACCATGGTTGTTGGAAGATCGCATTCTTGGCATCGATGATCAGTGAATAATCTTGAACTAGAACAAACCAAGCATTCAAATGGAGACTTCACGAACATGGAATTCCAGTGATTTATGCATATTGTGCAATTGCGAACACGCAGAGATCGAATAATCATGTTTGTTGTGAAGGCGAAACTCTCGGCATCACACATGAAGCATTACTTTGTGCCTTTTATTGAATTGCATTATGAATCCATGAGGATCAGGCATTATAGCATATACCAGACTCTAGATTTATCTACTTAGCCCATGATGCTCTCAAGAACATACAATGAGAGCTCATACAACTATTTATGGATAGGTGCAGGCTCAAGAAGGTGCACATTTAACAGCAGCATCCAATCCGTGACGTCCGTAGGGCTGAGTTATGACGATATTTACTGGTAAGTGCCACATGCAAATCATATCTTTCACGTCATAGATTCCATGACTGATGATTTTGTGATAAACATTATACCGTTAGAGGGAACCATCTTTACCACCAGCCATAGCCTTTGATAACAATGCTCAGATATTCCTAGATAGGAAAGGTGCATCAAAAGAGCTGAAACGCTGTGGAGTAGCGAGGTGATGGGGCCCCTGGTTCGGTCTGGGGCTCCGTATTTCTCAGGTACGGTACATTAGTCTCACATGAAAAAGCCATGCCCGTTTGAGATGTAGACTCAAGTCGAAGCACAGACGGGTACAAGTATAATAAGCATACATTATCGATGCATTGATGTAAAGTCAACTAAGTGATACCTTGCCACTGAACCGTAATGAGAGATGTCATCTGCATATAGTGGCACTGGCTTGAGAGTTCTTGAAATTTGTGATAAGAGCCAATCTGACCTTGATATTCATCCCGTCGACAAGTGGGACTCGAGAGCAAACGGGTCCATGTTATTAGTGCCATTCACGACATCTAGGCAACCGAAACTTAGCAAACATAGACAAATTTGTAAAGATGACGGGGAGCCTATAGTTATGTGTTCTGCTGGAGCGATTTAGACCAACTTGGCAAATTTGCTTGAATGTCGCGAACCTCGATTTAAAGTTCTACCGGTGGAAGTAATTCCTCTATGAGTGAGTACCTACCTAGGTAGTGGTGAATCGATTATCAATTTCCTTCAGGGACTACTCACAATAGCGTTCCTGAAGCCACAGCGAAACTCAATCCTTAGGTTTTCTCTATCAGCAAACAACGAATTGCGACTAGGTACTAATCTGTTACTCTAACAAACATAACTTTGGTGTATTATTAGTGCATATACAATTGGATGAAGAGTGGCGGCCTATGGCTGGCAGGAACAAACAGGCGTCGTGTAAGTGCATCATTTCTGGCCAGGGCTATCATCCCTTTCATTTCAACTTTCCCCTCAGATCCAACCAAGATTAGAAACGTTAGCTCCTTGACTGCGCCATCATAAGAAGATCCTAGAATTCATCATGCTTGGCTAGGGAGATGAGGGGAACTAAAGTCCAAGGTAGGGGGCCGTTAGTCCCAGCACCAATAGGCAGGTCCCTTTGGACCCCTGACTCTCCCACTAAGATCCCAATCCCACCTTCACTTCCAACTTGTTTTGAATCCGTGTTTTCCATCCTCCCTTGATTTTCATTCTCCTTCTCCCCAACTCAAAGCTTTCGCAACTTGTTTCTTGCATCATCGTTGTCTTCGCCGTCGTGTTCTTCTGCCTCGGTCACATCAAGCCGCGGCTCTTTGTGTTTACTTATTCTGCCGCCAACTCACTTGAGACATCAACAACGCTCCTTACCCTGCATAAGTCGCAACTTCGTCATCAACATGGCGGCCACTTACAAGCAGTTCCTTGCTGCGCCCAGCTCGTCTCTGCTGGCCGATACGGCTGCACTGCACTACGTTACCACGACTACGACTTTTTCTGGTCCTACTGAGATCATCAAACATCTGAATGCGCTTCAGAAGCAGGTCGCAAAGAAGAAGGAGGAAGTGTTCAATATTGTTGATGGGCAAAACGTCATTGTCTTAGAAGTTGACACAGGTCTCGGCTTTCAAACTGGAGGCGGTCCTTATCTCCCAGGCCTTGATGACAATTTTTTGTCTGCCCGTGATGTTTACCTCCCCATTGTACGTTGCTTATCTGCTTTGAGTGCTCTTTTCTGCCTCGCGCCAACACGAACTATGTATTAACTGCTCCCCACAGACTCACTTTGTGACCTTCGATGAAGCTGGCAAAATTCTTCAGATTCGACTCCAATGGGACCAGGGCTCGCTTCTCAAGCAAGTTGAAGTGATTGGAAAGTCTGGCCGCAACTGGCCCATTAGAGATAGCCGAGAGCAGATCGCATTTATCCAGTCTTGCATCAGAACGGCTGGCACTGGTGCCCCTGTCGCCCCCAGCCACAACGAGACCGTTGCGCGAAACCGAACTAATTCCACTAATGCCCTCCGCGACCCCCATGCATCCTTGAGGCTGTTTGGTCCTCGAGATGAAATTGAAGCGGAGCCCGCCAGTGTTGTATCTCCTTACGCTGGTACTAGCCGCCCTCGACAGCGGTCTTTCACCGAGATTTTGGGTGACGAACCCACTTCACCCAGCTCTGGCCGTCGAAATATGTCGCCTTCGAAGCGTGGCCAGGGTAAGAACTTCCAGCCTTCGCGAATTTTCGATGGTCAAGAGCATGTCGAGCAACCGGAGGAGCAGCCTCAGCCCAAGAACAAGCGATATATCCGCCCTAACCCAAAGAAGTTCTCTCATTTCGACTTTGCCGATGGTAGTGACCCCCAGGACGCCCCCCAGCCGGGCCAATCCTTTGATGAAAGACCAAAGTCTAAGCACGACAGCCAATGGTCTTTCCAGGATTTCGTGACGCCACAGAAAGTGAAGCCCTCCAGAACTATGCGCACCCAGGATGTTCGCCATTGGGACACTGACAAGGATGTTGTGGATGAGACACCAGGCCACCCGGCTGCCAAGCCTAGACGCGATGCCGACGCACACTTCGAGCTACTTGACGACGGTGAGAGAGTGCCCCAGCAACCGCGCCCCGGTTCCCATCCCCCGGGCTATGCTCATAACGAGGGCCTAGGGCTTTATAAGAATCAATTGTTTGACAAGGAGGACGTAGGACAAAACGAACGCGCTTTAGGCAACATCACCAACGTGAAAGACCGTGGAAAAGATTTTGACCACCACTTCGATATCAGTGACGAGTCACCAGCCCACCCCCAAGATCGTGTCCCTGAAGGCCACCAGAAAGCTGTCCAAATGATGCAACACAACTGGGACACATACGACAGGTCTCCTGCCGCTCAGAAGGAAAACCGACCAATCGAGAATACCGATAGCCACAAGATCAACATCGCCGGTGATGGTATGGGAGGGCGAAAGGGCACCAACCGGGACTGGCTCTATGGAGAGACTCAAGATGTCCCTCAGTCGATTCCCACCCGCAAGCAACCCAATGTTGTTGCTTCGGGCGTTCCCTTGACCAAGAGTGCCAAGATTCACATTGCAGGCGACGGCATGGGCGGCAAGAAGGGTACTGAGCGAGACTGGCTCTACAATGAGACTAGCGAGACAGCTGGTGACTCAAAGACCACCAAACCGATCCCTACAAGAACACCAGGATCCAACGCCGCACCTGCTAGTGAAATCAAGGAGAATACCGACAAGCACAAGATCAACATTGCAGGTGATGGTATGGGCGGTAAGAAGGGTACCGAGCGTGACTGGCTCTACAATGAGACGAGCGAGACATCTGGCGGTCAAGCAACAGCCACCAAATCGATCCCTACCCGAACACCAGGATCTAGCACCGCGCCCACCAACGAAGTCAGAGAGAACACAGATAAGCACAAGATCAACATTGCAGGCGATGGCATGGGTGGTCGAAAGGGTACCAACCGAGACTGGCTCTACGGTGAACTGGACGAGCAGCCTCTTCCCACACGGCAGAACGCATCCTCCAAGAAGGACTTCTGGGACTTTTAGAGAAGAGTGCTTTGCTAGGGAGAACACTCGGACTTAAATAGATCTCAATGTGCGCCCTGTTATATTGCTACAGTCTTCAGTTATGTTGTGTGCATATCTGCATGCAAACGCACGAGTTATGATTCATGAGGGTTCATCAGCATTACTTTCCGCCTTGGAAACCCCGCTTGAAAAAGCATCATAGCCCTCGGGTCTTCGTCTTTTATCTTTTTTTGCCTTTATTTTGCTCTTTCTTATTTGCTTATTTCACGGCCTCGCTGACGTAGTAGGCTGCTGAAGACAAATTATTTGGCAGGAAGCGGACGATCAGCCTAGTTGATATGCGGGCATGTTCTCAAGACGACGTATTAACATATGGGGGACTCGAATTAGATACCATTGCTATCACATTTTCTGAAACTTCATCACAAGGGGCACAAGAGTGCCTTTCAGTGATTAATATTAATTGATGCCGTGGCATGGTATTGTATGACGCTCAGCACACCTCCGCAGCTGTATGGAATTGACTCGAAACGGTGTGCATAAACATGGCGTTATTACAAGTGCAGATACAAAAGGTAGTATAGTGGGTGATCATAAGTAACGAATCCCGCGCTCTGAGCGCATCCAATTCAACTCCATGCTAACCTGGGTAATAACCAAATCCACAATGAGATACATATCCAACGCCTCTTATTATTTCGTCATAATTCTCATGGCTCAGCACATGAACTTATAATATCTCTTCCATCGGGGCCAACCTTCTCGTTCCTCTCGTTCTTGAGCGACAAGGATAGGGACGTTAAAGTCCCGACGTCCAGTGTCGACGTCCATATCTCGTATTCTCACAAACGTAGTTCGGAAATAAAGCTTGTGGAATATATAAAAAGCCAAAACGCAGGGTGCGCCAACCCATTTATGGAAGAAATTCTGCGCGACCTGGGCGCTTGTTAATTCTTGCCAGCCGATGGGAAAGGCGCCGACCCAGAATTGCGCGATGATGACAAGAACGTTCAGTGTGATACCAACCCAAGAACCCACAACGCCAACCTGGGATTGGAAGGGTAACTCGGAGACAGAGCGGCCTCGGGCAGCCCACGCACGGCGGAAACGGATATGACACACGCAAATAGAGCCCCATGTAAAGATGGTTGATAAGCCTGAGATGGCCATGAGCCAGTCAAGGACAGCTCCTTGTTCGGGCAGATCTGCGAGGAAAGCGATGAGGCCGAACGCGCTTGCGATCGCAATAGCGACGAGTGGGCGGCCTTTGCGGTCGACGTAACCGACGATCTTGGGGGCCTGCCGAAGGTTTGCAAGAGCGGCAAGGGTACGCGAGGAACCGAAGACGGCAGAGTTACCGACGGACAGGACGGCAGTAAGGATGACCGCGTTCATGACAGACGGTAGGACCTGAATGCCGGCTTCTTCAATGGCTATGACAAAAGGTGAGGCTGATGCATCCGCATCGCTGTTACCGCCCACGAGTCGAGGGTCATTGTGTGGAACAAGCAGTCCTACTAAGGTCAAAGCAACGATATAGAAAAGCGTGATCCTCCAAAACACCTGCTTCAAAGCCGTTGGCAGCGATTTTCGCGGATTAGCTGTTTCGGCGGCAGCAAGGCCAATAAGCTCAGTGCCAGCAAAGGAGAAAGCAGCTGTAACAAACACATTGCACATTCCTTTAAAGCCGTTGTTAAAAGCACCAGGGTTTTGCCAATAGCGGCCGCCGATGTACCCGCTATCTGGCGTTCCGCCACAGTTGAGAACGATGCCGAGAAGGCTGAGTGGAATGTTAATTCTGCAACGCTTGAGGACATGTAGTTGAAAGCACTCACATGAAGCCTATAACAGCAATGACCTTGATAATGGAAAAGATGAATTCGGCTTCACCGTAGCCTTTGACGCCAAACATATTGATGACTATGATGACGACTAGGAATACAGAAACGAAAATGGCGCGTGTGAGACTCTCGTCCCAGTAAGAGAGGGTTAGGGATGCGGCGATGATCTCGAGCGGTAACACGATGAGCCATTGCATCGCGTAGCTGTGTAAGTCAGTATATAAGGCCAGGCCAGCAGCAAAAGAGGAACACTCACTTCCACCCCATTGCGAATCCCCAAGACGGATCGATGAACCGAGTCGCCCATGATGAGAACGATCCAGCAATTGGGAAAATGACTGCAAGCTCACCCAGCGCTTGACACGTACAAAAGAGCATGGCACCCACGATTGTAAAAGCCAGCAAAATCGATGCTGGACCTCCATCTGCCAAAGCTCTTCCCGATGCGACAAAAAGCCCAGTACCTATGTCTATGTCTTAGTTTTCTCCATCAAGGCATGCTGTAACCACCATGAATAAACTCACCGATGGAGCCTCCAATTGCAATCATTTGCAAATGTCTTCCTTTCAACTCTCTCGCAAGGCCCGAATTCGCCGTCTCCAACATCGCACTCTGGATATCGTAGTAATGCGCTCCATCATGCACCCTCCCGGATCCCTCGTGCTGCCCCAACGGATCATTCGTAAACAAACTCGATCTCTGATCACGTCTAAACCCATCGACAAACCGGTCCCAGTACGAAGGCGGGGAAATATCACCGTACTCGGGCTCGCGCATACTAAAAGAACTCCCGGGGGCGAGCGACTCCTCCTTCATCTTGCTAATGCTCCCGCGCTCGACATCGTGAGGCGCCATTCTTGCGCTTGAGCCTGCGCGCTGGGCGCGGGCCGAGCTCACGCTTGGTCGATCCCGAACGGTGGGATGACTGGAGCTGGCCCTCCGCTGGGGATTGTTGTCGGAGTTGTAAGCGTAGGCGTATGCGGATGTGGGAGGTGAGTGGGAGGTATATGTTGTGAGTAAGCGGTTTGTGGGCGGAGGACGCTGGTTCGTGGGGTTCGTCAGGGTCACAGTGCTTTAGCGAACGACTCAAGGTGTGAGAAAAGGTGGTTGTATTTGATGCAATGTATTGGTTTGCTGATATCGTGATCGTCTCGATAGTCGTAGTGAGACGGTCGGCATATCGCCACCAAGAAGGTAGTGGAGTTAGAAAGAGCAGTGATGTAGCTGTCGCAAAGAGTGGATATGTGTTAATATATAAGTCGACATGCGATGTTTAAGTTTAGAGCTGAAAATGGGGGCAGTCAAGTTTAATGGACTGCATGTGCGCAATAATCAATTAATCAAAGCAACAGAAAGAGAAACAAGGTAGTAGATAACGTCAAGGTCGTGTGAGAAGGGGCTGGAGGTGGGCTTATCATTCTAGACTCAGAGGGAGTAATACAGTCGGTGACAGTTGCTTGGCGTTGAACGACCCCCAATGGGCAAAGGGATCCTTGGTATCAGATCAAATCATCTTCTGACCACTTACAGCAAATGCTAATCCGAAGTCAACTAAGACGCCACTGAGATCGAGCTGTCAAACGCCCCGAGCGTTGAGGAATAACCACGGGCATTGGTGGAGAGGGACCGAGGTGACGCTATCGCAGTGGAGGTGGGGAGCTTTAGAACGTCTAGAGTGAGTCGTTGTAACGCTGTAACGCCTTTTGGCTGGACCCCCCCGCACGCTGAAGTTACCGCCTGGACCATGCTGCCGGGTTCTGTCTGTCTGTGCATCCGATCAGTCTTGAAAGAATACGTAAAGAATTGAAGATGTGGATTCACTACTCGGTATTGAAAATGGTGGATTCTATCTTAGATCTCCGAGAGACAAAACACTAGATTTTGGTCAGTATACATACACCATGACCCAATGCAATATCGAAAATAAATCACAAGCTAAGGTAATCCTTCAAAACCAACAGCAGCAACCCCTGTCTTCCCAAGCAACCCACCTAAACCATCTCCAGCAGGTGCATTCATCACTAAGTTTGACTATCACACTCCCGTCCCTCCCTCTTCCATTTCAATTCAGCCCTGATACGAGGACCCTTCCATCCATCGGCTAACTGCGTCTCCCCTCTTCTCGGTCCCGACAAAAGGAAATCCCCTTGTTCTACCTCACGTTCTAGCCCTCACGAGTCCCGATTCATAGATACGATAATCCAGGGCCTATCGCAAATACAATCACATGCCAAGAGCAAAAACACGGGGAAGCGGATCCTTTCCTATCTGTCTCCTTGTTCTTGCTCGTCAAATAGACAAGCACAAGCCCGTAAGCCATCGAACCATATTTTTCGAGATCGTCACAACCCTGCCTTCCTTGAAGCTTGGACCAGAAAGGCAGCTGCAAAGCCACGAAAAGAGTATCGGTCTTGACCAGAAGGGACATTTGAGACAAGAAACTCAGTACCAAGGCTTCAGGCTTCTATTCAAGTCTTTGCCCATGCTCAAACAGTATGATATATCAAATAAATGCTACATACGCTCAACGCAACTTCGCCACCCTGCATCACTTAAGCTTATTCACGGCATCCAATCACCGCACCCACGGTATCAGCTGCTCTAATTCACCTTCTTGGCGTCCTGCATAACGGCCTCCTTCTCTTTACTCTCTACCTTGACGGCCGTAGCGATGATCTTACCATTGGCGTCTCTTGGCTTTCTCTTCCATCCTGTAGAGAATAACTGTCCCATGTCAAAGCGAGGCAGTGGGTGTCCTTCGGTGTTGATAACGACTTTGTCCAGAGGTAGGAGATCAGGAGGTGAGAACAGGAGGTAAAAGTATTTGAGTGTTTCAGCCTGTGTGGCTATGTTAGCATCTTGACCGGCTGCTTGCTCACATCTTTACCACTTACCAGCCAGAAGCTCTCCATGTTGTCCCGCACTTTAGGCGGGACAACATTGGCATTGCGCAGACTCGTAAAGCCTCCTCCATTTCTCACAGCTGTGTGGTTCATGAAAGACTTGAACATCTCCCAACCCCATTCGCGGTATCGGTTGTCGTTGGTGATCCTCCACATGTAGAACAGACTCTCGACCGTCTCGGGTCGCTGGAGATTGTGAACATCGCCAGATTTGACAGTAAAGTCCTTGCGCCACTCCGCGTCCGGACTTGTGTCGAAATTAACTGGACCATTTCGAGGATTACCGTAAGCCGTTGGCGGGTTGTCAATCTCAAAGTAGGTGATTTCGGCCGATAGCCCTGTTGCCATGTACTTGTACATTCTCCAGCATGTCTCCATGACTTCTCGCGCCAGCTGCATATCCTCCTCGTTCTTCTTCGACCACGTCGGCAGTTTGCGTGCCTGAGCCTCAGTAAGGCCTTCTGTGGCCGCTAAAGCTATTGTACCGGGCATGAAGCACACAAGGTGGTCCATCTTCGGGCTAAGTGGCATCTCTAATCCATTCGGTCGCTCTCCGATGATGGTGAACTTCGAGTTCGAAGTATATGTGACGAGGTGTTTGCGAACGCCTTGAAGCGCCTCGTACCACATATCTTGATAAATAGGCTCCTGCTTATTCGTCTGAAGATATTGCTTGATAAGATACTCATAGTATGAGTCGCCGCGGCTTCCCAGACGAATGTTTTCACCCCTGAACTCGCCCGAGGTTGCATAGATAAAGATGGGGACCAAGCCATCTTGAGCTCCCTGATTGTCGACAAGTTTCATGACATTTTCCACACGGTCCCAAAAGTCTTTTTCTCCTGTGAGCTTTGCGAGGTACTTGAATTCAAGCTGGAGAGTTGTGGCCTCCGCCGTCGACGACGCTCCCATGTCTGCGTGTGAGGGGATGCCCTCGAACTTAGCAAGGTTGACACTCGCATATGGGATGCCAGATGGGGAGTCAAATGCGCTCATGAGACGATCAGCCAGGTCTTTAGCTTTCTCAAGATACAAATCTTCGCCGGCTGCCCCCTCGTCATCCTCGGCCAGTGGCGCAAGCCCCGGAAACTCGGTGGATAAGTAGTGTGCACTTAGAAGCCCACCCAGCATTCGAATTGTCGTCTCGAAGGTGTTGACATCCTGATCCTGATCCCATGTCAAGGAGTCCGAGATCCAATGACGAGCGTCTTGGACACGAGATGTAAGGTTCATGAGAATCATAGTATCCAAAGAGTCGATTATGATCCAGCCGAGTCCCTTTGGTGCCATATTTTCACCTGTCTTGCTAATTGGGTGGTATTCATCGAATCCTGTCGAGTTCTTCGGTCAGCCAATTTGAATCGCCCGTCCAGATATTCGGCCGAACGTACCCCAGGCATATCGCTTGTAGGCATCCCAGCTCAGCTCGAATGCCTCGACCACACGATCTCTCCTGTGATCCCAGTTCGCCTTTCTATCATCCTTGGACAAGCCTGTGTAGCTCCAATCGGTTGTTACAGTTCGCTTCGGCGAGGGTTTCTTCGAGGATCCAGTCCAATATATTAATGTCAAAACAACGAAGGCAATAATAGCCATCCACTTCTTGCGCTTCCAAAAGGGTCTGTATTCATCGTCGTAAGGCGACGCATAAGGTTTGTCTTTGTACATTGGGAGTCGATCCGACTTGTTGGATCTCTGGCCAGAACCCCAGAATCGATCCTCAAGCTCTCGTTGACGACTATCAAAGGACGGAACGGTTCGGGGCATAGAGAAGGCCATAGCTACTTCATCGGCCTCGGCCTGCGACGGCGCAGGAATGTTTCGAGATTGCGGGCGTCCAAAGGTGCTTGTGGTTCGGTGGATGTTGAACGGATCTCGAATCATTGACTTGGTGTTTTCATTTCTAGGTGGGACTAGCCAGTAGAGTGAGAGCAAATGACTCGAAAAGACGCTAGAATTCACAGTGCAAGACAGGACAAGAACTAGTATGTACAGGTCGCAAGCAAGGAAGCAGTTGACAAAGAACGTGGCAAGAAAAGTCTCAAGCTTGAGACGAAACAACCAGAGCCAATAAAGGACAGAAATACAGACAGAACCGAAATCAGGAGCTTGGGGTAGCTTTTACTTTACGGCACGCGACCAGGGTTATACAAAAGGTGTCGTTTGCGATTGCGACACCAACTCTCAGTCAAGTTTAGCGCCCTGGCCCGAGCAGTCGGACCTAGCAATTCCGTTTCCCTTTTATATTGCGAAACCAAATCGTTACAACTTGAATCACTACCTACTGTATGACTTATTTGAAGTCATTGTAATGGCAGAAGCAGACTTGACTAATGATGTCATTGCATGAGCTGCCATCAGTCGAATCTTATGTTATTTATGAGTTGCAGTGGGAGAGCAAAGTAATCGTGGTTGATGATGTGAAAGTGTTTCCTTTTTTTATGTGACATCAAGTACAACTCTAACCTTTTGACTCCTTACCGGTACCGTCGGTAGTCCCTAGAAACAAATAAATAGGTACCTTAACAAATCAAAGCTTACATGAATGTTACACCCAACCAAATATAGTCCTGTCAAACAATCATGCTGTGCTAGATCTAAGCACTAAAATTACCACCAGCTTAGGTACGTGGACCCTTCGCACCTAAAATGACGGCACGTGGAAGTGATACCCAACTCAATCACAAACTTCACCTCTGGTATCAAAACTCTCCAGACCTCGACCACAATAATCCAGTCGGAATGGCTATTGAAAACTTCCCTTCTCTTACCGTAGAAGAGTTCTCAGAAGCATGCCATCACCTTGACAGACAATACTGCCAAGCGTCTTTGGGCCCCCAACGAGCACGGTGGAAGCTGAGGCTCTGCAATGCTCTTTGCACAGACTTCGCCTATGGTGGGGGTTTCACAACATATATCCAAATAAGGCGGCCTCTTGAGTTTAATCTAGATCATGGAGATCTTTCACTAGATTTGGATGGATTCTCCTTCTCAGACGACAAAACGCATATACCAATAGGTGGGGATAAGGATATGTTAGATGCTGAAGAAGCAGACGAGGTAACTTATCTTCAATATAATATCTTTCAAATGTTGAATTTCGTCTTACAGATTATGACAGGCCGCTCTAATCAGACAACGAACTCGCCCAGAAGTTGCCATGGTGGAGTATGAAATTCACCTTCACCCCACGTATCGTGTGCCATGTCTATGGTTCAATCTACGCAACCTACCTGCCGATGAGCCAGCATTCAACATTGACACTGTCTTTCGCCGCCTTGTACCAGACGAGTACAAGGCCGGGCTTCGGGCACTGGGCAATGTAGGCGGTATTTCGGCCGATGTACGTTTTCTGGGGAGAGCTGTTTGCACAAGTCAATTCCAAGATTCTGGGTATCGTCAAGATTGGTCGGCCTAACTAACATCTTGCTCACAGCACCACCCTATCACGGGCGTCCCATCCTTCTTTGTCCACCCCTGCTTGCTGGGAGACGCAATTTCCAAATTCGAGTGCGACAGGACGAACTATCTCATGATATGGCTCGGACTTGTAGGAGGTTGCGTAGGGCTATGGGTCCCTAAAGAAATGGCAATGCAGTAGCGTATCGATTGCGTCTCTCAGAAATGTCGCCGACCTTCATGGGTTCATTCTTGCTCATCAATCATCATCACTGTCCTCCTCCATGGCAACATCCGAATCACTATCCTCATCGTCACGGGTTCGCTTCTGTCCTCGGCCACCTGGTGTATCGGCGTCTTCCATAACGTGGTCCGCGTTCACAGCAGGCTTCGCAGGAAGACCAGAGCCGGGCGTCGGTGCCGGCGCTGAACCGGGAGGGGGAGCGTTGAAGATGCTCTGTTGCAGTTCAGTCTGCTCGACGTTGGTGGCACCTGCGACATTAGGGATCTTGAAAGTGCCGTCGAGTTTAGCCACAAAGTTGGACTTGGACTTCGCATATTGTATTTTCTGGCGAACGAGTTAGGCTGATTCCACCACCACGGAAAGGCTCCACTGACCAAGTCGCGACCGAGGAATGTTTGTCCCTCAAGAGATCTCATAGCTTGTGTAGCAGACTGAACGTCCCGAAATACGATATGGGCCTGACCGCGCATCTTCATTGTCTTAAGAGCGACAACGTCGAGGACAGGTCCGTATGTGGAGAAGAGTAGGTAGAGGGCGGTTCGCAGGTCGGCTTTCTGGATTTTCGAGGAGGGGAGATTCGTTACGTAGAGACTGAGGAGTCAGCACGACTTGAGAAGGTGCAGGGCAGTGCAGGGCAGTAAAAGACTCACGTTTGATTAGGAGGAATAGGTTGAACCTTGGCTGGTAAAGATGCGTTTGGTTGAAGACCACGAGGCGCGGTTGTTACAGCGGCCATTGTGGTAGTTGAACAGACGTCGGTGGTTCTATGTTGATAATCGATGTGTCGCAATCGAAAGTTCGGCACTTTTCCGGTACTGGTTATACCAAGACTGTGGTATTGATAATGGGCGCAATTGGATTCCAAGATATCGATATTCGGCGGTGTTGATGAATTGGAGATTTTTCGCCGAGCCTAGAATTGCCAGCCTCGCACTACAAGACAAGCACAGCCGCTGTGGCCCAAGCTTACCTACCCTACCATCCACTGGCTGGAGCTTCAGCACTACGTAACCCCCCACCCCCACCGCCAACTTGGAGCCTAGACATAGATCGTCAGCACCCAATTCAACACGGCCTTTCTTACTCCTATACTCTCAATCAGCTTCAAAGCGATAGTAGAGAGCTACTCCTATCGCGAATAACATCAGTATGGCCGCCCCCGAAGTCCACCACCTCTTCCACCACCCCATCGCCGATCACTCCTTCTCGGCCGATCACTCCGTCCTCGCTGTCGCTCGAGACACTGCAGTCGAGCTCTATGACAAGGTTGGCAATGCCTTCAAGCTAAAAGACGAGCTCAAGGGCCACGACAAGACGGTCACTAGTGTCGATATTGCTCCCAACAGTGGACGTATCGTTACTTGCTCTCAAGGTTAGTCTCCGTGGAGTTACCCCTATGTAGTGTCTCGTTCAGTACCTTACATGATAACCAGATCGTAACGCTCTGGTCTGGGAGCCATCCCCGACAGGTTATAAGCCTACTTTGGTCCTTCTTCGAATCAGCCGGGCTGCTACCTTTGTCCGATGGTCTCCCTCTGAGAACAAGTTCGCCGTGGGATCCGGCGATCGCGTCATTGCCGTCTGCTACTTCGAAGAGGAGAACGACTGGTGGGTGTCTAAGCACCTGAAGAAGCCCATCCGCAGCACCATTACCAGCGTTGCTTGGCACCCCAACTCTGTTCTCCTGGCTGCTGGATCCACTGATGCTCACGCCAGAGTCTTCTCCGCCTTCATCAAGGGTATGGACTCCCGTCCTCCTCCTGGAGTCTGGGGCGAGCGACTCCCTTTCAACACCGTTTGTGGGGAGTTCTTGAACAACTCGGCTGGATGGGTGCACTCTGTCTCTTTTTCTCCAAGCGGAGACAGTCTTGCATTCGCGGCGCATGATAGTAGCATCACTGTCGTCTACCCGTCCGGCCCTGAGCAGCCTCCTCGTGCAGTTGTCACCGTCTCCACTCAGCAGCTTCCTTTCAAGAGTCTGATCTGGACCAGCGAAGATGAGATTATTGCTGCCGGTTACGACTGCGAGGCTTTCCGCTTCCAAGGTGGTGAGGCAGGTTGGCAGCTAGCTGGTGCTATTGAGCAGAAGGGCCGTCCTGGTCTGGGCGAGCACCGTGAGGAATCTGCTTTGAACATGTTCAGACAAATGGATCTCAAGGGCAAGGCTAAGGATGACACTCAACTTAAGACTATCCACCAAAATACCATCAGTACCGTCAGGCCTTTCGAAACCTCTGGTGACCGCGTCACCAAGTTCAGCAGTAAGTACAAAGTCGTACCTATGAGTTGCGTAAACTGACACAGATTGTAGCAAGCGGCGTCGATGGCAGAGTTGTGGTATGGAGCACTTAGATAGTTTGAATAACAATATATACTGCTGCTAGAAAGCGGGCAGATTACATGGTAACTTGCCATTGGTCTACAAACTTCATACCTCCCACAGACACCACTGGCTTTGATTTATATCGGGCGTTTGCAGTACTTTATGTACCTTGTGTACTCAGAAGGAAGTCTCTTTGTAAAGCCTTGATGTACTTCTCGATCCTTACCCCCCGTAAGGTAGATCTTAACTTACTACTTATCCAACAACTCAGGCATTTACGAGGCCTCACAAGACGCACCGTCTGTTTGCTCCAGAACTTCCAACCTCAGTAATACCAAGCTACCTATAATGATCATTTCTCATGGTACGTATCTCTGATGCAAGTCAAGTGGCTAGCAATAAACTTTCTTCGCTTTAATATCCGTCAAAATTCGGCAGCACCGTCCCTCTACGGAGACTGTTTTGATGGTTTTGTGGCAATAGGACCACTTTATCCCCAAAGACTCACAATTCTCACGGATTCCGAAGTAATGCAGAATTGTTTTCATCAAGTTCTATTTTGTCGCGGGCCTTGGCTTTGCTTAGATTTTGCCTCTATGGAAGAGCAATGACCTCGATCTCCACATCAACGTTCTTGGGAAGAGTCTTGACAGCCACACAGCTGCGGGCAGGCTTGTGCGAAAACCACTTCTCATACTCGGTGTTGATTTCCTAGAAGCTGTCAGTAACTGAATGGAAGATTGGCCCCGCTGAGGCACTGACAGCAAAGTAGGACATGTCAGAGATGAAGACTGTAGTCTTGACCACCTTGGAAATAGACGAGCCTGCCGCCTCGACAACAGCCTGGACATTCTTGCAGGCCTGGCGGGTCTGCTCGGTGATACCTTGGACCATCTCACCCTCGGGCGTAAGAGGAATCTGGCCAGAGCAGTAGATCATGTTGGGGGTCTTGATGGCTTGAGACTGGTTTGAAATATCATGAGTGTTGGTTTTGTCAGTGAGGGGTAGCTTAACATACGTAAGGGCCAAGGGCTTCGATACTGTCAGTAAAGGTTTACCAGAAATTGAATCCATACAACTTACCCGCAGGGGCGTCCTTGGTGAAAACGATCTGCTGGTCGGAAGACATTGTCGATTGGTGTCTGGTTGAACGTGTGAACTTGGCTGACGCTACGATATGCTGGCGGGGGATTGTCCGGATGGAAGAGGTGATAAAGCGTGAAGCTCTGCGCGCAATGGGAGAAAATGACATGGCAGGAAAAGGCTGAAAATTGTGATTATCGACGTACCTAGAGTAAGGAGAATGATCAAATTGGAGTCTCAGAGCTGAGGTTGTGTTGAGTTAGTTTCCAAGGGGTTCAAGTAAGCTTTGGTTGCCGTGTTTTGAACGAGAGCTCCGGAGGTTCGGTGAGTACTCGGAGGGGTAAACCGAAGCTAGCCAGTGGAAAGCACCTTGAGAGAATGGATTGGACTTGGTTGTATCTGGTCAATTGCTACAGGTACATAAAATCAGTTAATTTACTGCTGCTGAGCTCCGTTGATCGGCTAACTTGTGGTAGGTCTGGCGACCTCTCCGGGCCGCCCCGCATTGCGCCCTCCGGAGACGGCGGCCGAGGAGCGTTTGGAAGAGCTCTGAACATGAGTTTTCTCTTGGGAGCTCTATTATTATTATAGCTATTGCAGTATGTAATTTAAGAGGTAAAGTCAGAGGACGGCATGGTGCTGTCTCATCTTTGTTGTTTGGTTATTGACATGAAGCCACGGCGTCTGGATGTTGGACGTGTTGCATATATCGCAGTGTTTGTTCAGGAGCTCGATGGAAATGCTTTGACAAACAGACTTATAGTACAGGTTTGAACAAAAGGGGTCTCTATTTATGCTCTATTCAACACCAGAAGAAGGATAGTTAGTTGTCTGTTGCAAGTGCAGCTTCACTTGTCTCTTTGTGCTTTGCCACCAACTCAAGTGTCAACGTGACAAACGACGACGGCAATCAAACAGTCTACGAGAAAGTTTGTCCTCCACTTGTGAAAAATCCACGATGTTCGAAGCATTTGTGTTCAATTGAAAATCGGGATTGGCGGTCAAGCAGTAATCACAATCCAATGGACCACCGTATGCTGTCAGCCCTGTTGCTGAGCATCTCCAAAACCGGCATCATCAGCAAAGCTTGGCCGAAGTCAGAGACAGTGAATTCCCACTGAAGCTAAAACACGCCGGGACCCAATTGGTTCCCATAGCTCCTACTCACTCCCCTTGAGAACATCCAACTGTTAGCAGCTTCAGCTGTCAAGTGGCTGAGAGCTAACACAAGTGGGGTCTTACCCCTGCGTCCATCCCATCTAGCCCAGACTCCTCCAGTGACAGGGGTAAAAAAAGGCAAGCTGGCCAGGTTGTCCTCGACGCCAGAAGCATCAACTTGATCCCATAACTTCGACCACAGGGAGGTTTCTCTTTTCAATCAATCGCCCCTTTTTCTTTCCTTTCTTTTTATTTTGTAAAACTTCTCGATTGAGGTGGTAATTGCTTCTGGCAGCTACCTCTACTTGCTCTTCTATCGTTCCTTTGTTCACCTATTTCTTCTTCTCTTCTACAAATCACTTGGTGTAACCAGGGCACTACCATCTAACCCCTGAGGTAAGCCTGAGACCTACGGTTCCTCTGAATCGTTTGTGAGACGTGGTTGTTTCTCTGCATATTTCATGTCGTTTTCTTTTCTTATATATACGTCTATAAGGTCTTTTACTGATTGTCGTATCTGTAGCTTACGGCCACCTTCAATCATGGCTCGAAGCTCCACGCCGCAGGGCAGCCTGCGACAGAGGGGCGCACCATCAAAGAAGCCCTCCGAAGAAGACTCTTTCGATCCTAATATCGAGCTTGACAAGCTTGCCAAGGCTGGCGCTCAACGAGCCGCTGCCCAGAGCGAGACCGAGTACAAGATTGGCCTTTTCCTCATCACTATCTTGTCCTTTGTTACTCGATTCTGGGGCATCAGCCATCCGAACGAGGTTGTCTTTGACGAGGTGCACTTTGGAAAGGTAAGCACGACTGGACTCACTAGTATTCGATGCTATAGCTAACCGCTGCTTGATAGTTCGCCTCATACTACCTCGAGCGAACCTACTTTTTCGATGTCCACCCTCCCTTCGGCAAGCTTCTCTTCGCCTTTGTCGGCTGGCTCGTTGGCTACGATGGTAACTTCCACTTCGAGAACATCGGCGACTCCTACATTGCGAATAAAGTTCCTTATGTCGCGTACCGAGCTCTCCCCGCTACTCTAGGTGCTTTGACTGTCTCGGTCACATATCTCATCATGTGGGAATCTGGCTACAGCCTTCCCGCTTGCATCCTCGCCGCTGGTCTTGTCCTCCTCGATAATGCCCACATCGGCCAGACCCGACTCATCCTCCTAGATGCTACTTTGGTCCTCGCCATGGCCTGCAGTCTCCTCTTCTACATCAAGTGGTACAAGCTCCGACATGAGCCCTTCTCCCGAAAGTGGTGGAAGTGGCTCATCCTTACCGGATTTGCTCTGTCTTGCGATATCTCGGTCAAGTACGTTGGTGTATTTGCCTTCGTTACCATTGGCTCTGCCGTTGTTATTGACCTCTGGGACCTCCTTAACATTAACCGACCTGGTGGTGCCATCAGCCTGCAGGAATTTACCAAGCACTTTGCCGCTCGGGCTTTTGGTCTGATCATCATGCCTTTCTTGTTCTACCTCTTCTGGTTCCAGGTTCACTTCGCCGTTCTCTACCGATCCGGTCCTGGTGATGATTTCATGACTCCTGAATTCCAGGAGACCCTGAGCGACAACGTTATGCTGGCCAATTCGATCGACATTCAGTACTATGACCAGATCACAATTCGACACAAGGAGACCAAGACATACCTTCACAGTCATGAGGACCGTTACCCTCTCCGATACGATGATGGCCGTGTTTCGTCCCAGGGCCAGCAGATCACTGGTTACCCTTACAACGACACCAACAACTACTGGGAGATCCTGCCCGCCAATAACGATAAGCAGATTGGCCGCATTGTCAAGAACCACGAACTGGTTCGCCTTCGCCATGTTGGAACCGACAAGATTTTACTCTCCCACGATGTCGCTTCTCCTTACTACCCCACCAACCAGGAATTCACTGCTGTTACTCCCGAGGAGGCTTTCGGCAAGCGTGAGAAGGACACTCTTTTCGAGGTCCGAATCGAGCACGGCAAGAAGAACCAGAACTTCAAGACTGTCGCTGGCCACTTCAAGCTCATTCACAACCCAAGCAAGGTTGCCATGTGGACTCATACTAAGCCTCTCCCTGAGTGGGGTTACAAGCAGCAGGAGATCAACGGAAACAAGCAGATTGCGCCCAGCTCCAACGTCTGGATCGCTGAGGACATTCCCTCTCTGCCTGCTGACCACCCTCGTCGTCAGAAGCCTGAGCGCAAGGTTAAGTCTCTGCCCTTCCTCCAGAAGTGGTTCGAGCTCCAGCGCGCCATGTTCTACCATAACAGCAAGCTTACCAGCAGCCACCCTTATGCTAGCCACCCTTATCAGTGGCCTTTCCTGCTCCGTGGTGTGAGCTTCTGGACTCAGAGCGAGACGCGCCAACAGATCTACTTCTTGGGCAACCCGATTGGCTGGTGGCTCGCTAGCAGCCTTCTCGCTGTTTATGCCGGTATTCTTCTCGCTGATCAGGTGTCTCTGCGCCGTGGTGTTGATGCTCTCGACCGCCGTAAGTCTTGTCGAAATACATCTTAAGAATTGATTTAGTAACGAAATTTTAGGAACTCGATCGCGCCTGTATAACTCTACCGGTTTCTTCTTCCTTGCTTGGGCTACTCATTACTTCCCGTTCTTCCTCATGGGACGACAACTTTTCTTGCATCATTACCTTCCAGCTCATCTTGCTTCTTGTCTTGTTGCTGGCGCTCTTCTTGAGTTCATCTTCAACTCTGAAGCTCCTGAGGAGGTCACTATCAAGGACAAGAAGGGACCTGTTAGCCCCAGGCATCACGTCACCGCTCGTGAGCGCTTCGCCGGCCAGAGCATGCTCGGTGCTTGGATTGCCTGTGGTGTTATTCTGTCTCTGATCATTGCTGGCTGGTACTTCTTCCTGCCTCTCACCTATGGTTACCCTGGTCTCTCCGTCGATGCCATTCTCCGAAGGAAGTGGCTAGGATATGACCTTCACTTTGCGAAATAGACGGTGATGGGGTGATTTGACCAATCTTGAGTTTGAAGATTCTTGGGCCGTCGAATTTCAAGTGGACATACCACTGGCATTTTTTCCAAGAGACTCGGGTCGAGTTAATGAAGGCGTCATGACACTGATCATGACAAGATTAGTTATGGGATATACCAGGTCGACGGAGGTTGGACCATAAGTGCCAGACAAAACCAATCTCCTGTTATCTCTATATGATAAAATACGTGAAGGAAAATGTGTAACCTATTGAAAGCATAGAGAAGCTAATCTGATATTTGATTGAACATTTGGACGCAATGCTCATCCATGAGTTGCATTTCCTAAGAGCTAAAGTGTTCGTAAGCTCAGTGGGCTTTGGCAGGGGACCCCTGTGATGTGCTGAGACCTAGCCCCCAAATCGACGGGCAACCATGATGAACGACGGGAGTTGTTGGGTGTCCGATCAAAGTGTTTCGATGCTGTTATAGAAAAGATTAGATTTTACCTCACACTACGCCATCACGCCCTCCAAGGATCCCTTTCGCCTGCGCCTCAATGACACTATCCTTGGTAGCCAGCAGCTCCCTACCTCGTCGAGGTGGCCACGGCAGGAAGCGGCTAATATTTTCCCTACTAATGCCCTCCCCAGCACTCTCATCAATACCTATCCATCGATCTAGATCAGTCCTGAGGACAGTCATAACATTACAGTCATCAAGCTCTGGCGCACAAGTGATTGGAGGTAGGTCATTTGTTGCCATATTGAAATGAGGCATCAGCGCGTTCTCTCATCCTTCTGGATAGGTTGATGGTAGGATCAGGAAGCCCCATGGCGGTAGATATAGGAAGATTCGAGAGTGAGAATACGCCTAGTAGAGAACGTGTCCTTGGAAAATACCTAGTTTAGGCTGACATCTTGAAAGAGTCATGTCTGGCAAGGAGAGTAGAACACAAGGACGTGCGGGCTCGAATTATAAATGACCTCACAGAAGATATGTCGTTGAGACAGAATTCTGCCGCACGTCGATCTTCGGGGGAGAGCTAACTTTTCCCCTTATAGTAGGCGGTCACTAGGTTAGCTCAAGGTAGCAACCACTTAAGTTAGATGGCCAGACTTGTCGGGTGTGACTATAGGTACTAGGTCGGCATGAGCCAAGCAAGGGATGGATCCAATGTCAATTGTGCAGTTAACATCGTAATCAACGATGATTTTTCTTCTCGGATGATATCCCATGCTCTTGCCCGCTAAATTGCGCAGAGGTTGCACCAATCTTACTAATTCCACTCTCTATGATGCTTTGCTGTCCTCATAACCACGCATAAGGAATCATGGTCTCGCATACGAACCGCCTCTACCTGCGTCGCCTCCTACGCTCACGCTTCCCCAAGATAGTCTTCATCCTCGTCGTCATAATCAACGTTCTCGATGTCCTTCGAATTCATAGAAACCTCCTCGATGCCGATCGCACTCCAGCCCCGAAGCTCTCGCAGCCTCCCGGGCGCATCTATATCGCAAGCATGCACTTCAACAACGAGCGCGTAATTAGAGACCACTGGGGTCCTGCGGTGATAGAACTTTCAAAGCTTTTCGGGCGAGAGAATGTCTTTGTTAGCGTGTATGAGAGCGGGAGCTGGGACAAGACTAAAAGGGAGCTGCACCACATGGATCAGGAGCTCGAGAGACTGGGAGTTCCCCATCGTGTGGAGTTGTCGGATGTCACGCATAAAGATGAGATTGAGAATCCGAATAAGGGAGAAGGCTGGATCGACACACCTAGGGGGAAGCGTGAGTTGAGAAGGATACCGTTTCTCGCAAAGCTGAGAAACAGGACGTTACAGGACTTGATAGACCTATCCAAGAAAGGAGAGCATTTCGATAAGGTTCTCTTTCTCAACGATGTCGTCTTCACGGTACGTCTACTACTATGCCAGGGTGGTCAGCATCTCACAAAGTTTGCAGACAGACGATGTGCTCAAGCTCCTTGGCACGAATGGCGGCGACTACGCTGCAGCTTGCTCGCTTGATTTCTCGAAACCGCCGCAGTACTATGATACATTTGCACTGAGGGATACAAATGGACAGGCGCATGCGATGCCTACCTGGCCGTATTTCAAAGGCAGTGTTTCGAGGAATGCTCTTGTTAATCACTTAGATGCTGTGCCTGTTGCGAGCTGCTGGAATGGAATTGGTTTGTTTTCTTACGATTAAAGACGAGTGCTTCCTCGCTGACTGCCCTCATTAGTTGCCATGCCCGTAGAGCCTTTTACTTCATCGTCGAAGCTGCGCTTCCGAGGTATTCCAGACTCTTTAGCTGAACACCACCTCGAAGGCTGCGAATGCTGCCTTATCCACGCCGACAATCCCCTCTCCAAAACTAGAGGTGTATACCTCAATCCTCATGTCCGCGTAGGCTATAACCTACGCGCTTACCAAGCCGTGCATCCCGAACAAGGCGCATGGGTGTCGACATGGCAGATCTTCTCCGGTCTCTGGACCAACCGCATAATGCGATGGGTATCATCACCGTTTGACGCATGGGTGGTTAGGAGACGTGTTGCGGAGTGGGAGAAATTAGGGGGGAGAGAATCTGGCGAGTTTTGCCTGATTAACGAGATGCAGGTTCTTGTTGAAAGAGGTTGGGCACATGTTTAGATATTTGGTAGCGAGAAGGAAAGGAATTGGTGGTAAGATACCCATATTGTCAATCTGAAAGATTGTCTATTCTAAGTGTGAAGAGTTCTAGGGCATGCAGAAAGATACTCTGATCTTAAAGAAACGCCCAATGATATTATGCAACATGGTTCCGGCATACTATCTTCCGTATCTGAATGCCAGATCAAATAGCCAGCGACTTTTCTCCTAACATCTACATCTGGGATCAACCCTCTCCTCTCTCAAGTCGTTTCCTTCCCATTGTCTCTTTTGCTGAGATCAACTCGACCAGGCACGTCTTTCAATCACGTTACCAATCGGACTGGGGAGAACCTAGAACTCGATGTCCTGGGCTTATTTGCGGTCGAGCAGGTAGGTGGATCAAAGTTGGTCGACCAACTGGAGACAATAGTACCGATCGCACAGCGGTAGACCTTGCCTCTTCCTTCTAGTCTTCGTCTTCCTCATCTTCACCCTCACACCTGTCTTCGGTGGTCTCGACTATAGATACAACACCAAATGCAAGAGATAAAGCGTTTAAGGAACTCTCAGAGTCTGAAGAGAAGTCCTCTATAGGAGAGGGACTAGCAAGTGACGCGTGAGGCTACAAAGCTTCACAAAAACCGCCAGCTACAATCGGAAGGACTCTGCGAGGGTTTTTGAAACCCTGGCCATTAAGGCCACAGCTCTTATTCTCCCATGTAATTTTTCATCTGAATTATCATTGGGCTCAGAAGAAGATGGCAGAAGGAACCCGGGCAGCTTAGCTATGGAGGTCACAGCTTTCATCCCCATGCCTGATTCGTCGTCTGGTTCCTCATCGGACTCAGAAGATGACGATAGGAAGGGCCAGCGAACCATATCTACAGTAAGGGGAGTAGCCTCATCTGGGCTTAGGTAAACTGGGGTGCTTAACATAGGACTACTAGAGAGGATAGGAGCGTTGTCGTCAAAATGACTTATGGGCGGGATGGAATACCCGTTCTCAACCTATCCAAAACTCGAGAAGTCGAAACTCCTTGCTGTTGGGGGGGGGGGGGGGGCCAAGAGGCTGGCCATGAGACTCCCGGATCATACCCTGATCACGCATTCTAGCCAAGTGGTAGCGGTTTGTACGAAGTGGTATCCGTGCAACCAGAACTTCACTAGGAAGGTTTTCCATCGAGTAAGCCCATCTTTCCCAGGTTGATCTGCTTTCAGGGATGCTCCAGTCAACCAACAAATAAGTCTCGTTATACACTGACGTGGCCAAATGAGATACGATATGACTTTTTCCCACCCTCCTCGTGCTCGGGGGCATTGATCTTGCTGTCGACCAGCGACGGAGGAATTTCGAGTCCGTTCATGGAAAGGCATTTTGTTGGAGTGGTTTGGCCAGGTTGTAGAAGAGAAAGGTCTTTGGCAAAAGAGATTGAATGTTGACGGCGTTCTTATTGTACCTAGTATTTTACCGGAAAAGAGAAAGTGTTCCATTTATTCAATAGAATAGAGGCAGGAGTTTAGATGTACCTAGACTTCAGACTTGCTCATTGATATGAACATAGAACATTACATATCCTTGTTTCTGTCGCAATTGCATGATCGTCTTAACATCTGGAACGACGCTGAACAAGAATATGACCAAACTCCTTGTTCAGCTGACTCACGTATTCGACAGTTGTTCACCATTAGGACAGAGACACAGCCTCATGTTTCAAACAATAGCGATCGAGTATATATAGTAATCGTGGCGGCCTGTTTATTATTTAACAAATTTGTACCACAATCTTAACAAACTCCCCTTTGAAACGCAGACCATCATCAAGCCTACCTCTTTAACCTCCAACGGCGCCATTTCTGCGCCAATATTATAAAGCAAAGTACTTGTTATCCTCACATACTAGCACAATGTGTCGAGATATCTACTACGATTACCAGCAGTGCCGGCATCATAAGTTTATCAGAACTGAAGCTTGCTGGCAAGATCGTTGGGAGGTGTTTTGTCCCTGTTTGTCCTTCCCTGGGGTATTCCCCTACAAGGGCACGCACGCCAGTACTGAGATTCGTCATGTTCAACTAGGATTGTGTTCTAACTGTGAGGGATCGAAAAAGAAGAAGGCAAGGAGGGATTATGGGGGGTTTACTGCTCAGGAAACCCATGGTGTTGGAGCCTCCCATGGGACGAGACAGGCGCAGACACCACAGTCAACCAGAGGTCATCAGGAGGTGAGAGCACCTGAAAGAGCCCACCAACACTGGGCATATAGAGAGGAGCCTCATATGAGCATGGCATCCCAACCAACGCCCCAATCAGCTTCAGATCGGCTATACACCAGCCCCCCAGGCGTATACGCCCAGAACTTCTCTCCGGCACCAAGCCAAGGTGCAAAACAGGTAGGTTCGTCACCTCGGGGAATTGAGCTCACTAATCTGCAGCCACGAAGACAATCTAATGATCCTTACGCAAACTTCTCCAAGCGCGAACGTACCGTTCGCGGTCAACGAGTAGGAAACAAGGTAATCGTGGACAAACGTGTTCCTCTCCCCCCTCAAGGACAGTACAAGGCGGCAGATCCCAGCAGATCTAGGAGTGTACGACATAGTCCTAGAAGAGCTGGCAGTGTGCAGGATCGTATTGATCGGTCCTATACCGTTTCTCCTCTTACAGAGGATGAAAGGAACGTTCCTCATGTGGACATCCCATCGCATGACGAGTATGCCCGTTGGATATAAGATTGTGATATTACCTTGAGATCGTCATCTGGTTTGATTTGGCGTTGGCATTGGAAATAAGGATAGACAGAGGTTCAAGTGAATCATCCGAGTTATGAGAATTCGATATCCTGTTTCGTTCTTCGATTTTTATATATTTAACTTAGTACTTATGCGATTGTACTATAAGAAATGATTCATGGCAAGTTGATACTGGACTAGTCATCCGCTCATATCTTCATCATAAAGATTGTACACCAAAGATTTTAGGGTTTCAGGAGACTTCTCATATTTCCCTGCAGAACTTCTACCGTTTCATCGCACGCTTCTAAGACATTCAGCTATACGGGAGCTCGTCATATCGAAAATAGGAACATATCTAAATGAGTCTCGGAGTCTGGGGCCACAGGTAGACAACGCAAGGAGACCCATACCAGGAAAGGAAAATCTAGATTGTATTGATACTGATCACCACTAGGATCTTGTAATCACAACATGGATCATTGACTCTACCTAGATATGTCATTGTCGAATCAAAAGTCCCAATTCGCAAGTGCCTTGATCACGAGCTCCCCCATTAAGCTTGCCAAGAAGTTATTCTGGTTTGCGCCATAAGACCCCGAGACTAGCAGTATCGTCAACAATCATACAGGGGCGACACGATAACATGTTCATGTCAAAAACGAATTACAATACTGGCTGATTCCCAGAAACGGCGCAAATGCATACGTATCCCCCTGCGAACCAGAAATACGGATGCCTTGAGAATGGGGTTCACCACTCGAGGCATCCAGATTTGTCCCTGGACACAAGAGGGTCTTTGGTAGGCTGCTTGATAAAATTGACTCTGATTGGCTTATGGTAGGGACGTGTTTAGAAATGGCTGATAGCATAGGACTTGATAACATCGTACAAGACAAAAGGTTCTTGGAATAAATGAACGAATTGCAACTAGGGCCGAAATGAAACACCGGGCTTGCGTGTATATTTACGTATTTGGTGGTTGTTTCTATTGAAAGGGCGTATGCATATTGCGTACGTGTATCTCGGTTGGTTGTGAGCAGGAATACGGTGACAAGATACCTAAACTTGGCAAACTATACCAACTGATTACGATGCCTTCATGCTGTTGCAAAAGGACCCTCGTGCATTCGTGCTATCCTTAAAAAGATATGCCAAGGCGCGAGAATCTACAAACGCGTGATTATTGACGCAGATTCAAAGAGCGGGCGTCAGCGATGACTCGACTTGTCTTGATCAATTGATGAGAATCATTCTGGTGGCGGCTACGGGTTCCGGCTGGTAAATCTAGGACAAGCGGCCTCAATATGGGACGCATGCTTCAGGGCAGAAGCTCTGAAAGGTTAGCAGTGCGATGAAATGCAATGTAACAGCTTGGGAAAAGATGGGGGTCCACGCTCGTAACCAAAAAGGGAAATCGCCGGTCATTGAGTCAACGGTGACATGACCTTTGTTTCGACCAACCCCTGCGGAGAGCAGCAGCCCTATGCGTGGAGTAAATGCAGTATCGGTCCATTGGCTGTGGGCCGATGCTACGGGAAAGGAGGCGTTGGCGGTGGAGAGTCCATGGAGACAGGAACAGGAACAGGAACCAGTTGAAGGAGAATACTTGAGGTTGGTGTGTCTTGTGTTCGATCTAGATGCAGCCAAGATGAGGTATTGGTGATGTTTGATAACGCGTGTGAGTCGTCGTGTCCTCTTCAATGAAGGTTGTCAGTCGATCATATCCTGTTTCATCTGCTCAAAGGTCCAGCAACGACAATGCATGTTTCGGTGAGTCTCCCTCCTAACGAGCTACAAAACATTCCTGGTACGATCAATCAAAACAGTTCAAGATTTCCAAAGTCCCTATCAAATCAATGCACATAAAATATGCAGAGAGGCTGCGCATCGCCATCGATTGCAAGGCACAGCCGTCAAAGAGGGCTGAGGTGGAGGGTGGAAATGCAATGCATCGACTGCAACACCAATGCATCTCGTCAATCAGAGACCACCGACGAATAGAATAGCGACTAGTTTATGCCACATTAGCGTGGTCAATGCCAATGAGCTACCGGATGAGTATCTGTAGGATGTCAGAATGGCCACACGAGGATCATTCGGAAAAGAGGCCGGCATTGACTGAACACCAAACGAGGGCGTGTAGTCTGCCAGGATAATAGAAGATAGGTCTCTGAAAGAACAGTTCTCCCATAATTTTATACGAATATCAAGGTCATCATTCTTAGACGCTTGAAATATTAATCTTGGTATCCATACCAGAAGAATTCCGAGTTCTTTCCCGGCTGCTAAACCGAAGTCACTCTATTGCTGACAGTCAACGGTCACGGACCACCAAAAGATGCGCCCGGTGTCGATCCCTGCAGACTCTCCGCAAGGCGTTTTCCATAGGTTCACAACAGTGACAATGGTTGCCAAACCACCACGATCCGACGTCATCTGTAAGTAAATTATTAGCACAATTCGTAGACAACACCATTTCCTCTTCTCCCCTTGCGTTTGGTTTGTGATCGTGACCCCCCAAGATTAGAATTGGTTTCATCTAAAACACGAGCTTATTTGAAACCGGAATGAAAACAAACACCGTCATTTCGCGGAGAAGCAGAGGGCCACGACAGTCGATACGCAATGGTGCTATTTCTGGCCCCCAAATCCATCGTCAACTGCTCCTTGGCTTTTCCCTCAGATCAATAACAAGCTTGGAAATTCTTCTGCCTCATGCGCCTCTCGAGACGGACAGACAGAACTGGATGATGCGCAGTGAACCACAAAGGTTCTAAGGGTGCGGGAGAGAGGAGCGGTCGGATCTGGCGGAGTTTGTGGGGATACAGAAAAGGTCGCTTGTCATAGTCGAGGTACTCCAAGTCGTAACTCCGAGTCTGAGACCGTTGAGGCTCTGCGAGGGAATTGGTGTGAGTCTTGGTGTCAAATGCCAGGGAATTGGGAAGTCGAAGGGAGTTGGACTTTCAACTCTGTTAGTGATTGGGGTACTACCTCGGGGAGGAAGCTATCGCACTCAACCTTGCGCAGGGGGGATCCTGCGCCTCAGCCCGTACCATGCTCAAAGAGGATTTAGCGCCCAGGATTTTAGGCAACAGTGGCCATGGGCTGAGAGATTGCGGAGCCCATTTCGAGTCGGTTTCTAAGCATAACCTCGCTCATCCGTTGACGCTTCCCATTTCGCCCTCTTCCTCTCTCTAACCTCTCTCTCAATCCCACTCTCACCTCACCAATTTCCTCTTTATCCTGAGGCCGCCGCCAGCTTCAGCTTCTCAACCACCCCGGCCTCTTTCCGTTTAGAACTTTAGATTTTACACACCCTGCGGGTCCCGACATTGTACACCCTTTCGGTCAACCCTCATATACCCTTTTCCGCCCGTCCTCTTCCTTCCTCCAGTTCCACCCGCCTTTCGCATCGCCAACATTCAGCGCTGTGTCTGTTTCATTCATCGATATCTCACGCGTTTGTCACTCGACGTCTCGTCTCGCTTAGCATCTTTCTTCGAGTCTCGCCGAGTCGTCTTACCGTCTGAGCAATATATTATTCAGTTCATCGCTCGCCTTCCCTGTCGTTCTATCCTTTTGCGCCACCTCCACCGCATTGGTTCCTCGACATCAAGGCTGATTATCTGCATACATCTGCATACATCTTCAGTCTCTGACCTGGTACGGTTCATATTTTATATCGTCTTGACATCTCAGTCTCGTCTTTTTACTGCGACTTTGTCGTGTTTTCGACCTTCCCCGGTATCACTTTCAACTCGTTGTATCGGTCAATCATCCCGTGTCCCAATCTGGCCTTGATCAACGTCTAGGCCTTTGTGTCCTGGGTGTGGGATTCAAGAATCTCGACTGTGACTCACTTCCCCGTCCTTCACTACCAAGCACTTGCTTGCATCAAAGGTCGCGCTCTTGAACTAACGGGACTCCCCGGCTTAGCTTCAGGACTTCTGTGGCCATCAGTCGACTGTCTCTTTATCTCATACCCACCTTGAATCTAAGCCATGTCCTTCTCCCACCCTCGTCGAAGGACTCCGGTGACTCGCCCGGACAGCGACACCGACAATGCCCTGTCCCTTAAGAACAGCTCTACCCTCCGTAAGGGTGCGACATTTCACTCTCCTACTTCATCATCTTCGACTCTAGACAACACATTTGTCCCTCCCACGCTGCCTCGAGCTCAGTCTCACTTGGACGATGTCGTCGATGCCAACCGCCGACGTGTGGCCCTGGCTCTGAACGACATTGACGAGGCTCTGTCCTTGGATCAGCTCTCTCTGTCGCCAAAGTCTAAGATCAAGACGCTTCGAGACACCAGTCTCCCCATCCCTCGCGGCTTCCTCGAGGGACCTATCGTCGACCCCAAGATGACAAAAGAAGAGGAGAGGCGCGTTCTGCGCCCTCGCTCTGTTCGCCATTCACGGCACCATGAGTCTGATAGCGGTTTGGGTACATCGGTGGCTTCCACAAACGAGAAGCGGGGTGCAGTCACTTCGGCAAAGAAGGAGACAAAGGTGCAAACACGATCCGCCATCACAAGATCCGTTGCCGCAGCATCGGAAAAGCTTCCCTCTCTGGGGCCCAAGGCTATCAACCGCATTCACGAGCACACTTTGCGCCCTTTGTTGGCAAAGCCGACTCTCAAGGAGTTTGAGCCCATTGTCCTTGACATCCCGCGACGAATTCGATCAAAGGAAATTATTTGCTTGCGAGATCTTGAGAAAACATTGATCTTTATGGCACCGGTAAGTCAGCTTCTGACTGGTTTTGGCGTTTGGGAAAATACTTATCGGAATTTGTGTTTGAAGGAGAAGACCAAGTCAGCAACTTTGTACCTGGATTTCTGCCTTACGTCCGTGCAATGCATTCAAGCGACCGTCGAATATCTCAGCGACCGCGAACAAATTCGACCTGCTGACCGGCCTTACACTAACGGATACTTCCTCGACCTGAAGGACCAGATTCTACAATACGGAAAACAACTTGCCGCAAAGAACAGCGGTGACGATATGGATATCGACGCGTATGTACCCAGCTTCGTTCCCTTGGACTATCCAACTAACTCTCGCCGAAGATCTGACGAGATCAAACTCATCGGTGGTCTCCACGAAGGTCGCCCCGTCGAGCTCGTCCGTGTCCGCAAGGACGGCACATACATCTCTCTGGACACTGGTAAGCCTGTTGAGGTTGACAGCGACTCGCCAATGCAAGTAAAGCGATCCCTGAGCCAGCAGCTCGAGGACGAGGAGGAGATTCAACGATCCATGGCTCGCCGCAAGAAGAATGCTTCACCCGAGGAGCTAGCTCCCAAGAAGTGCCGCGAGCCCGGCTGTAACAAGGAGTTCAAGCGTCCTTGCGATCTTACCAAGCACGAAAAGACTCACTCTCGCCCTTGGAAGTGCCCTGTCCCGACTTGCAAGTATCACACCTATGGATGGCCTACTGAGAAGGAAATGGACCGTCACCACAACGACAAGCACTCTGCTGCCCCTGCCATGTATGAGTGCATGTTCAAGCCTTGCCCTTATAAGTCGAAACGTGAATCCAACTGCAAGCAGCATATGGAGAAAGCCCATGGCTGGACCTACGTTCGAACCAAGACCAACGGAAAGAAGCTACCATCAGTTGCTGGCAGCGTTCAGCAACAGACTCCGCCTCTGGGTAACATGTCAACGCCTTCTTCTACTGAATACAACGGTGTGCCCACTCCTCCTCAGAACGACGTGACGCAGTTCGTTGGCGATTTCCCTCTCTACCCCAATGACTCGGACTGGATGTCAATCAACAACATTCCCACCGAGACACTTCACCTGGATCTGGCTATGGATTCCACTTCGCCTGCTTCGGCTAGTTCCTACGAGCAGTATGCCCCTTACCAGAACGGCTCGGCCTTCATCCTCGATAACGAGGACCTCTATGCTGCTCATATGCAGCTTCCAGCTCAGCTACCCACACCTGAGCAACCTGTCATGTATAACCCCAACCTCAAGATGATGCAACAGCAATTGCCTATGTATCAGCAACCCCAGCAGCAGATTCCCATCCAGACTGTTGCTCCTCACTTTTCGCCAACTGGCCAGGAAACAGCCATGCTTTATACTCCAAATTCATTACGGGATGTTGATGAAGGTTTTGACGACTCCTTTGCAGGAGACGGCATGGATTTTCCTCTCTTCCCTAATGACAATGGCAATGGCATGACCAAGACCAATGATTATCAGTCACTGTTTGGTGAAATCCCCAGCGCCAATCTGGGCTTCTCCCAGAACTCTCAGGACATCTTTCAGATGATGGACTGGTCAAACGTTGATTTGCAGCAGAACCTCGGAGAATAGGGATCCGATCTTCTGCCGTGGAACTACTCGAATATTGGGTAAAGGGGCACTTACTCAAAATTGTATAATGTTCCCCAACAAAATTGCCAAACAGTCTTTTTGGTTTGATGAGACACGACACTTTCATAGGCCACCCAGTGCGGGATAGGGCTTCTTCATGTATTTCAGATGTTTGTTAACTCCTTGAGCTTATGATTTGCCTCAGGTTGAGATTCGGATGGAGGAATGGGCCATTGGGGCTCAGGACAATGGTTTTTGTTTTTTCCTCGGAGGATATTATTAGCAGTCAGATTGGGCATTTGAGTGAAACGCCATCTTACATCACCGCTTCGCAGTGCATTTCGATTCGGCAAAGAATTGGTTTTAGCTGGTATAGAGATCGCCTCTCTTTCCTGTTGTCTGGGATAGAAATACACACCCATGTCAAGTATAGAATTCTTCTCACAAAGTGACCACAAGATGCCATTCCATAACTGACAGCATCTTTGGAATACCCGACAGCGGTCCTCCAGGACACAAAGTAAGTTTAGTCATGTGGTTATGTCAGTCTCTGGTGCTTTTTGCAACATACTCTTAAGACTGGTCACCATACATGACTCACGCAATATCTATTTGTGCAAGCTCAAACTTAAAACGCAACAATTTATCATGATTTTCTTAAAAAGTAATTCCGTATCAAGGATTAAGCAACGGCTCAACTACCTTCATGTGCACATTTTTGGTATAGGGTAAATTTGCTCCGGGGTGGATCTGCAATATTTCGCTTGCAGTAATTAATCAATTTCAACCACACCAACAAGCTTGCAATTCTTCCAACCGCGTCTTCGCCCTTTCAGCAACGCGCAAAAATGTGCGGAATCCATGCTATTATATCCCCAAGCCCCGAACAAACACTCTCATCCGTGTCAGAGCGATGTTTGGTAAATAGAGGACCAGATCATACAGGGACTGTCAGGATGCAGCTTGATGATCTATTCCTGACTTTTACATCAACCGTGTTATCACTGCGAGGTGATCACGTTGCAAAGCAGCCGCTTGTGGATCATGTGACTGAATCTATTCTATGCTGGAATGGAGAGGCCTGGGGTATTCAAGGGGAATCTGTACAGGGTAACGATGGTGAAGCTATTCTTACCCTCCTGGCCGAGGCAAGTCGTGGTGCAGGAGATGTCCTGGACATCTTACGGGCCATCGAAGGGCCTTTCGCGTTTATTTACCTAGATAAACCTGCCAAGCGGCTTTACTATGGACGAGATCGACTAGGCCGCCGATCGTTGCTGGTCAGAGATGGCTCTCCATTTGTTCTGTCAAGTATCGCCGAGACGCCAGTCGATGGATGGACCGAGGTCGAGGCTGATGGATGCTATACTTTGGATCTCTCCAAGGGCGACTCGCTTGAAGGATTAGTGCCAGGCCGGCACGATTGGACTGCCGATACTACTTTGGTAAGTTCAGCGTGAGTATGACCCCGAAAAGCCTGCTACTTACGTCCTCAGATATCGAGCATCGGTAGCTTTAACGAAGATCTCCCACGGAAGAATTTCGCCCTTGGACAAGATTCAAGATCCGTGCAAGAGCTGCGTTCTCGCTTAGTCGAATCTCTTCGACTGCGAGTTCTAGACGTGCCACTACCTCCAAAAGCCAAACCTACGGATGCGAGAGTTGCAGTGCTATTTTCAGGTGGCCTTGACTGTACTGTGCTTGCGAGGCTGTCTCATGACATGATTCCTGCGGATCAGTGTATTGACCTGATCAATGTCGCGTTTGAGAACCCCAGAATTGCAGGGCAATTTAAGGACCTGTCCCGAGAGGAGCTTTATGAGAAGTGTCCGGATCGAATGACAGGGAGAAATGCGTTTGCAGAGCTTAGCCGTGTCTGTCCTGGCAGGGCATGGCGGTTCGTGGCGGTATGTGGACCTGGACTCGCTTCGGGATAGATGACTGACAGGAGGTAGGTGGACGTGCCGTATGCTGAGAATCTCGAGCACAGAGCTGAAGTCATTCGTCTTATCTATCCTCATAACACAGAGATGGATCTGTCCATTGCGTGTGCTTTATACTTTGCTGCAAGAGGACAAGGACTTGGCGAAACAACCGCCGACTCAAATCCACAGCCTTATAGCACGACAGCGCGAGTATTGCTTTCCGGTCTGGGTGCCGATGAGCTGTTTGGTGGATATGGTCGGCACGGCGTGGCTTACACGCATCGTGGCTACGGCGGAGTTGTACAGGAGCTGAAGCTCGACGTCAGTCGGCTTGGAAAGAGAAATCTTGGCCGAGATGACCGTGTTATGGCACACTGGGGTCGAGAAGTGAGATTTCCCTATCTGGATGAGCGTTTTGTCAAGTGGGCAATCGAGTCTCCTGTGTGGGAGAAGTGCGATTTCGAAACACCTGGTGGCGAAGGGAATCTCGACGCCGAGAAACGAGTGTTGCGGCTGGTGGCTCAATCACTTGGCATGAGCTCTGTTTCAAAGGAGAAGAAGCGAGCTGTAAGTGACAACTTGGTTCCGACAACTCTTTACTAATGAGCCATAATAGATACAATTCGGGGCGAGAACTGCCAAGATGGAGAGTGGAAAGGTTAAAGGGACGACAGTGCTTTCAACATGAGATTCGAGTCGAGTGACTTAGATACGACGGGAACAACTCGGCAGTGATGATTCTTCAGATACTTCTGAGACATATGCAACCATGGGCCAAACACTGAGTGGAAGTTGTGTGTTTGCAGTTTGTCGACTGCTAACCCTCCTTTTGGCGTGTTTTATGCATGGATCATGTCATTGAAGTCGTAAAGGCAAGTCTGAGCTGAGGTAATCGGAATTGGATTAAAGCAGAGGGTGATGGATAGATAGATAAGTTATGGCATGAAGACGGTGATCCTTGAACAATGATGCAAGATAACGATAACGCTTGGACCCTGCGGCGTAGCGAAGGTCAGAAGCTGTAGCATGTGGTAGCATCTAAGCCAGGAGGCAGCCCAAAGCAGTCAAAGCCCATGTCTTCAATCGCCAAAAGATTCGACATCAATCGACATGAAACAAGCGCGGAACCCAATCACGTCTCGCCAAGAAGAAATGCTATCATTCGATACCGAGAGAGCCGGCGGGATACACCAAAATTAGAATGGCGTTCCACTGTTTTCAGTTGGCCACCGTCTAACCGCCGCAGAAAACAGTGGTTGTGGTGCGACGTGCCCCTGCAGATGAACGCATCTTAGGCCCGCGTTTAGGCCTTTAAGCGGAAGATTGATACGATACGAGGAGAAAAAAACCCCCTTGCGCTGTGGATGGAATGGGAACTGGCGCGCGCCAAAGGGAGAGGTCGAGACAAGACAAGAAAGCATCGATTGAATTCGTTCTTTTTCTTCTTCTTTTATTATTTCAATTGTTCCTCATTGTTTTCGGTCTTTCGTTATTCTTGATCAATTTATTCTATTCTTTCGTTTTCCACTGTTTTAGTATTCGTTCTTTATCTCTTTTTGCTCTTTCTCTCACTACAAATACAACACCATCGAGGCTTCCGATTAAATCGCCATCTCATTCATTTATTATACCTCATTGACCTCATTGTACTTCTTCATGCTTAACAAGTTCATCGACGTAAGGGACCGGGATTCCTACTCAACCTTCACATCAGCAACTGGCATCAGCATTCTCACATCATTCCTCACCGAAGAAACCGACGACATGCGCAAGGGAACTCGACCACCGCCTCTGAACCTCAGCATCGTCACAAGGCCGAGATCTCTCCCGCGGCTATCCACTACACCAATCGCAAGGGAGCTTACGCCTCTACTTACGCCTCTACCTGAAGAAGTTGAGGAGCCGACAGGCGCTGCTATCAGAGCCGTTAGGGTCGCGGTGGATTTTATGCAGATTGTTTCATGTCTACTTGTCATTTTGATGCTGGCCATCTTTCTTATTTCGTACTCTGGAGCTGCAGTTTCCAGCCATGGGTATGCGTCACATCTCTGGATACTATATAAGAGCCAAAGACTGACTAATATTTGTAGCATCAAGGCGTTTATTCTCATCGCGGCTCTGACCTGTGATGTAGGCCTTGGCATGTGGTCTATCGTGCACCACGACAGACCCTGGACCGGTCCCGCAGTCCTGCTCCGGACACTCACAGCGTCAGTGCTCCTCGGCAGTCTAGTATCTTTCCTTGCCGTGGAGAGGGTCTTCCCGTCAGACTACACGTACTGGGGCCTGCCTCTTTCACAAACTGGTGCACCTGTACTGGGTCTCGTCTCTGCTACCTTGTAAGTGCCCTTCAACATACAACGAGTGATATGAACTAATTGGTCGTAGGGGATGGGATCTTGTTCATGTCGTTCTGTCTCGACGAACTGTCGAGTGCTGGGCCCGTATGTGCTCCTGGGGACACCGACAGATGCTTCGACGTCGATGGCTATCAAGCAGGGGACACAGAAGGGGACGAAGCGGACCCTGGTGGTTTAACTCGAGGCAGTCAGCTTTGGAAAAGCGAGGCTGGACCTGTGTTTCGGTCTCATGAATTATGACTTTCATTATTGTCTGAAGGGAGAGAATGAAAGAATAACCTGGGGGGGGGGGGATTTGTTGAACCACATATCCCATTTATTGCATCTGAAGTCTCCACACATGCTGGAATATAAACGCAGGGGTAATGTTGCCTTTAGTATTACAAGGCAGGCAAGGAGAGCAAGTAAGAGAATATATGTGTGGCAAAGACCACAACTTATCAATAAAATTCTGGATTAACCATATTTAACCTATTTCTGTTACATCAAATATGAATCCATGACAAGTTTGACATATGAGTTCTTCGTGCTATTATGTGATGACTGGAAATATCAGGCATCCCTGGCTCTTGTCGATCAGTCAGTAATGGCTCTGATCATGGGAAATCGTTCATCTGGTAGTCGGGAAATCTGGCATTAGAAGGAGGCCATTTCAGCATCGATGCGATGTCATGATATTATGCATAACTTTTTATATGGGCAGATGAAAGACTTTATGCTCTTTCATGTATGTTCAACCAAGTGCTAGGTGATCGAGTATAGGGTATGCGTCTGGAAGTTCAACGAACTGACATCTTGTCAAATGAACACATTGCTTTGCTCTCTTGGATGACTAGCAATAGTAATCTTCGTATTTATATCTGCCACTGTTGTGTAATTTGATTACTGATGTAAGTTGCGCCTGTTTTGTCGAGCATTCTGCATTCATAGTTGTATGACATCGAAGCCATCACTTGAAAATCGATGACGCAGTTTCCCCTTGAACGGAATCACCGAGAAATAGTGTCACGGGTGGAAATAGGCGCAAATAAGGTGTAATTGGAATTCTGGTGGATGCCAATAGCTCATTGTCCAAGATGGAGTCACGAGACCCATTCAAGAGTCATGACTTACACTCAAAGCCATCAGTACAGCCAACAACGGAAATACAGGAGCATGGCCTCACAAACCCTTCAGGTCAATAACCTTGACCTCTCGGCCGACGGTACGTGCTAAAGAAACCTTAAAGCATTGACATATAGAAACAAAACAATGCAGAACATGATTGTCAACAAGGATGGTCCATGTGGATATGTACTAAAACGAACCCAGCTCCTATGTCAGAAACGATAGCTAAAGCCACCACCGCTGCCACCAACAATGAACCGTGCGAGAGCCGCTATTCAGCTATGGGCTACCAGAGCCTGAAACCTCGGAGCTGCAGGTGAATATTTTCTTCTGAGAGAAAGGCTGCACCTAGAACGGTAGCTATTCTTTGACGATCCACTACCAAGACTATGCGTGCGGTTTGGCTGGTGCAGCTGAATGATGCGCCTTGGAGAATTGCCCAGTGGGTTGAGTTTGAAAGAGTTCTCACAGCATGAGGTTCAAATAATACCATCAAGGTTGGACGTGCTGAAGAGCATCAACGTCATGATGTTACATTACCAAGCTGCTGCTATGATAACACTGAGTCTACTATAGCACTATATCGGATGCGCCCGAACAGACCTCAGCTTGACAGATCACGACAGGGAAAGAAAACATCAACAAGGAAGAAAACACTGTCGATCTGCCGAAGGCCAAAGCATCCCAGCAATTGTTTCAACTCCACAACCCCAAAACCCTCCCCTCCTCCATTAGCCTCCGATATGATTGTATCACATAAATCACATCCCCACACATCTTAAAAATAGAGACACATAAACAACTCACTCTTGCAGTTTTCCCCAAGGCCAGTCCTTGATATCTTTCTTCGGGACAAAAAAATCAGCTGAACTGTGCAGTGCAGCTTTCTCAGGCCTGAAACATGCTGTTGGTTTAATTAAAGAAACGCCTCGTCGTGATGGCTTTGCCTCTTTGGGTAAGTGGTGAGCTGATTTCTTGGATGGACCAAGTGCGGCCCGAGAAATGAAACATTTTAACTGTGACTATGCTATGCAGGTAAACCTCCTTTTTGGTGGAATCTAATTTAATAAGCCGACTTCCGATCGGAGTTTACTTGTGGGCAGAACGTCGAACGGTCATGATCGTTGTTTCAACGGGGATAATCAATGGAGGACCAAGTTATGCTTATCGAGTGAGGATTGAGGTTGGAACTTAGCTGTTGCTGTAATGCTGTAATATCTTGCTTGACGCGAAGACTCAATGAGTTCTGTCCCAATGACGAATATGAGAGATATCGAGTGAAGACGACAGAACTTCTTCTCAATATAATATCACCCAAAACCCTACAATAGCCACCTCGTCTCGAGAACAATTCAGACTCGACCAACAGCCCGTATCCAAGTGTCTGCATAACTCGTCAACAAGGTGCACATCGAATATCAAGCCAACCAAGCTCAGTCCGCGAACTCACACCAGCCTACTCCTGGTTAGCCCCTCGCAAGCACCTCCATCTATCAGCTTGACCTTGGCCGAAAAACATCCAGACTCAGCTTGTGCTTGGACCTCTTGACACTATCACCGGCATCGCCTGACTAGCAGGGAGAAACCGAGTCTGTAATCTAACACGGAGGACTGAGCCGTCTCTGAAGACTTCGCAGTGACCATGTGATAAAAATATCCTCGGCCTCATAGAGAGAACTCATGATGGCTATATAAACACTCTTGATATCCCGTACAATCAACTCTTTCTCATCAGCATCTCTCTCTTCTATCAACTTCTTCAACTTACATTCGCTTCAACAAAGCCTCAAAGGCATATTTAACATTCTTTCACTTCTTCCATCCATTTCAAACAAACAACCACTCTCTATCTTACTACCAAATCTCCTACTACATCATCAAAATGTACTTCTCAAACTTCCTCGTCACTCTGGCCTCGATGGCCTCTATGGCTTCCGCCATCCCCGCCCCAGATGCCCTCCTCGACACCACCTCCAACATCTCCCCCAGCGACTTCACCATCCGTTCCGATTCCAACAACCTTGAGGCTCGCACCACCTTCTCCTGCCCCGGTGCCATGTCCTACTGCCCCTGGACCAAGGCCTGCTCATGCCCCCCCGGCCAGTCCTGGGATGGCAAGGCCAAGAAGTGCGCTGGCAAGAAGGCTTCCGGCTGCTGGCCCAAGCCCAGTGCCAGTGTCTACGCTGGCGCCGGTGTTGACGTCAAGCTCGGTACTTACTGTGCTGCTTCTCCCTACAAGATCGTCAAGTACGATACTAAGCACGCCTACTGCCAGGCCAGCCTCAAGAACACTGTCTTCCTTGCTCCTCTTTCTATTGGCGCCGAGGTTGCTCTCTATGGCGGTGCCGCCATCAACGTCAAGGGTCAGCTGAGCGCCAGCCTCAAGACCGTCTGTGGTGGTCTTGCTGGTCTCTACCTCGAGAGCAGCGCTGATGCCGTCGCCCTCTTCAACACCAACAAGTACGGATATGCCGTCCGCCCCGGTAGCGTAACTGGCGGCCTCGTCTACGCTGTTGTTGACTTCGTTAAGAGCATTACCTGCTTCCTCGGTCTCGGCAACTGCCAGGTCTATGACTGTGTCTCTTACTGCTCCAAGGGCTGCAAGAACTATGTCGATGTCCGTGGCAGCATCGGTGGCTATGTCAACGGACTCGTTGGTTTCTGCATTGTCAAGGACACTGTTCTCTTTGTCAACAAGGTCGGAGCTTGTGCTTCTGTCAAGATCCAGGGCCTCATCCGCATCGTTGCTAGCATCCACGTCAGCCTCAAGGGTATCTTCGGATGCAACTGCTAAGTGGTTAAAAATGATTATGGACGAATAGTTGGGTACTCACGGTCTAATATGTAATGGATGGAGGATGACTTGGAACTGGAATGTTTTTCTTTGATGGGGATTACCGGATAATCCCACTCGTCTGCCGATGTCTTCTGTGTCTTATCACAAATCAAATAATTCATATGATAACGCTAAAACCTGGAATCGAATCATGTTTTCTCGGCCTCGAGCTTGTGTTTAGTGATAATTATTAACGAATGAGCTTCCACAGTGGCTGATTGGCCTGAAGCTGAGATTTCCCTTGAACAACTCCTATGCCTAGACTGACTCCGAATCTTTTCCCGAATTAGCTGAAAGAGGACCACCAAAAAGACACAAGCGCCTGCTCTTTTCCCCATTAAGCACCCACAGGTTCCATGATCTGACGCCCAGCTCCATCGACCAAAAAGTGACTGAACGATTCTTCGTCATTCTCATCCATGAGAAGTGACCTGTCTTCTGTATCAGGCAGTAACTGTGAGTATAACCCCTGGCCAGCCTTTGCCCAAGTTGGCGGCAGAATATCGACATTATCTTCCTCTGGCGCACTTGTAATGACTTCTATGACCCGAGTGCGTTTGAGTATCTTCTTCGTAGTCTTTTGCTTCGGTTTTGCTGCTCTGTTGACAAGGACATGGCCATGTCGAGGCTTCTCGTCATGCTTTGTTTTAGGAGGGCGAGAGGTGTTTAACAATTGACTATCCCAGTCTGGCGAATCGAATATGGGCATTTCAGGATGCCGTTTTGAGATAGATACAAGTACATCAACAAGAAGGTTTGGTTTCAGTTGATCGCACAATGATAGAATGTTAAGGAGGTCCGTCTTCGGCATCGATTCAAAGTATTGTGCTCGCTATCGTCATGTGAGCCATGATATCCTTCTCAAGTGTCGTAGAACTTACGGAAACATCCGAAGCCCGGCCGGGACCAAACCCCACGAGGTGAGGTTTTGCAGGGACAACACCCTTGGGGAGAGCAGACAGACGTTTCTGTCGAAGCCGCTCGATTTCGTGCTGCCGCTGCTGGCTAACTCTACCCCTGAGTCTGACGGTCTGTTCTCTGCCCGCAATGCACTCCGCACAAGTGAAGCTTGCAGAAGTCATGTCCTCGCCCCTGATCAAAGGAGGATGGCATTTTTGGTGCCAAGATACAAGACATCTGATGCATGTGACTAAGGGGGAAACTTGAGCAGAACCGTCACACATTGAACATCGGGTTTCCTCTCTGGTATGCTGAGCCTCGATAGTAGTTTGTTGAATTTGAGAGTGGACTTTCCACGGGAAGGGGACAGTGCTTTGAGTCAGATCAATCTTTTCCGACGGCTCTCCTCGTTTTCGTTTCACACCTGCATTGAGAGAGTATGATAGTGAGGATTGACCTTTGGCTTTGGTAGGTGTCGGCATAGTCAACGTGTCTTTCAAGTCTGCGAAATGTTTCTCTCTGGCATTCTCGTTGCCCTCAGTTTGGGAATCATTCTTGAGACGGCTCAAGATGACTGAGCTCTCTGATGGGAACTGGGGTGTATATGAGAGTTTTGGTGCCGGTGTAATTGAAATGACATCTTTGGCAGACATATCCTCCATCGTGACATCTAGTTCAATGGTTTTCGGGGATTCGACGCGTAATTGCTGTGTGTCTTGGTCCATCATGTATATTCTCGTCCTCTTGAGATGGTTTGTTAGTGATCATTTGTAGGCTGCTGTCAAAGTCTGTAACTGTCGCGAAATATCCGACATCCAAAACTGTAAGAAAGACTGCAAAATGAGAGGAAGGCCCCGTTCCAGGGTTGATTGGTATGTGGACTAAGTATTATTTGAGAATGGGACTGCAAGGCCAACTATTGTTGAGATTGGAAACAATGGATTTACATGGCAAAGTGAGATGTTCAGTTCAATCAGTGACACGTGTGGTCACGTGGAGTACTTTGATTGTGCAAAGCAGGAACCACCCTGGGTGCTCAGTTTAGTCCCTGCCGTTGTTCATAACCACTAAAACAGACAGCAGGAGTCCTAGAAGTCGAGATACTCAAATGTTTTTTCTTTCTTTCTTTTTTCTTTCGCGCTTCATGGTCTATTCTATACGTGTTCTATCCGACAATACCCTTTTCCCTCAATGCAGTAATATCAGTTTCATTCAGCCCAAGATGCTCTTGTAGCACTTCATTGGTATGCTGACCCAACATAGGCGGCGCGCTGCGAATCGTTGGAGGAGTCTCCGACAACTTTATAGGCGTGTTGACCATTTTTAGAGGGCCGCACTCATCGTGTTCCATCTCGACAACCATGTTACGGGCCTTTGTATGCTCGTGGTTGAGCGTCCCCTGGACGTCATTGATGGCAGCGTAGGGCATACCCTTGCCCTCGAAGATCTCAAGCCATTCTTGGGTTGTCTTAAGTTTTGTGATTGCCTCAATCTTGGCCTCTAGATCGTTTCGATGTTCGACTCTATCAGCGTTGGTTTTGTATCGCGCGTCGTCCTTCCACTGTGGTTGACCTAAACCATCGCAGAGAACACCAAACAGCCGATCATTGCCTCCACCAAACAGAATACCTCCATCTTTGGTCTCGAAAGACTTATATGGAACAATGGAAGCTTCTGAGTTAGCATTGAAATTCTTATTCAGACAGTCAAACTTACGATGAGCTGTGCCCCAGCGGCCGGAATCCTTCTTTCCACTCACCAAACAGCTGCTGGCGATGTTGGCTAATGTCGCTGTTTGGCAATCACTCAGTGCGACATCGATATGTTGACCTTTTCCTGACTTAGCCCGTCCCAAAAGCGCCGCCATAACGCTGTTGCTGGTGTAGAGACCAGTCGTCAGGTCAGTTACCGCGACACCAACCTTGACTGGAGGTCCATCTCGCTCTCCAGTAATATGCATCAGACCAAATTCAGCTTCAACCATGACGTCGTAGCCAGCGCGGTTGGAATACGGCCCTGTTTGGCCGTAGCCCGTAATAGAGGCATATATCAGACCTGGGTTAATCTTGCGCAAGGTCTCATAGTCCATGGAATACTTCTTCAGAGTCCCGGGGAGGTAGTTCTCGACCAAGACGTCGCATTTTGTAGCTAGTTTATGAAGAACCTCGACTCCTTCTTTGTGCTGGAAGGACAAGCCCAACGACTTTTTGTTCCGATTTGCCTGCAGACATTGTGAGACAAGTTCAGTGTAGGTAAGGCATAAACTTACCCCTAAGAAGTAGGCAGACTCTCCAGGGCCTTTGGCAGACGACCCATCCTTGTATTTTGCATATGGAGGTCCCCAAGCTCTGGTATCATCGCCGCGAACAGGGTGCTCGATCTTGATCACCTCAGCGCTGCGCATTCGGCCATGTTAAAACGGCCAGGGTCATTGATGACATGAGTAAACTTACCCAAGATCGCCCAAAATCTGAGTACAATAAGGCTATGAAGGTCAGCATTTGTCAACCATGTTCATGCAAAAGCCCGACTTACACCCGCCAAAACCCGGGTCATGTCCAGCACCCGAATGCCCTCAAGTGGGAGTCCGGTTTTCACGGCACTTGAGTACCGGCGCACTCCATGCGCACAGCCATTGACGGGCTTAGACCTCAAGGATCGAGCAGCAAGGAACAAGCTCATCCTCAGCAGACTGTCAGCTTGGCAGTGCTAAATATGAACCAAGTTGAGCAACTCAATTGCGAGACTTAAGATCTTGTGCAACGGTATGTAGATATGTATATAGATTGATGCTTGAGATGTTGACACCGGTCATCGGAACCGGATGGGTAGCTACGGGAGTTCGGAATTGTGCGTTGAGCTTGTAGGTGGTCTAATTGAGCTTGAACAAAGAGCTCCATGCGGGGATTGCACCTCGGCTTTTGGGGAAGATGGCCAATCACTACGAGTTCGGTGCCGAGTGACATTTTGCCGTTGCTGGAGCTTCTCGGCTCCGACGATTAACGATGATTTCCATGGGGTAATTGATCACGATGTGAATAGTTTGATTGATGGCTGACAAGATGTATTCGCATCATCGGCAACGTTGTAGTTTCGCCGTCTAAGCGATGGTAAGCTAATCACCAATGAAGAAGCTATAAAGACCTTTCCATATGGTTGGTTGAGAAGGTGTGTAACATGCTATATTCAGCAGCCAATGCTATGAGTAATTATGTCCTGGGGCTGGATTCAAATGTTAGTCTGCTTGGATTTGATCGGTACCCAAGAGTCTTGAAGTCGCGATAGCTGTTTGAAAAATATGATCAGTGCTTAGTGATCACAGTCCTTTCCAGAGGACTGAGCCTGTGAGATTGCGACAGTGTCATACGTCTCATTCGGGCGCAGCATTGCCGATCAATAGCTTAGTAGCAAACTGGTGATGCTTCAGCCACACTCACCTTTCAGCGAAAAGTGAACCCTCCCGAAAAGCTTCTTTCTTAACTTAAACTCACAAGATATCATTGTTATCAGTTGGGCTTGTAAAGATTCTGTTGTACCATCATTATGTAATAGATTTTTCTCATGCTGTGTCTCCCACAAAACTCCAATCGCTAGCTGCATCACATTCAAAGTCTTGTCCATGTCAATATCTCGTCTGATTATAGGCTCAACATAGCCACCACCGGCTCGTATTGGTGCTTGGGGGTTGCTCCCATTCCGGATAGCTGGGCTTGTGGTTTGGTCTTGGCTGCTGAGTTTTGCATTCTGAAATAGCTATGGGATTTGAATCCTTGCTTACCGTCTCATGCTTCTATTTTCTGTCGCGATTTGATGCATCGATGGAAGTCTAGAAGCGAATTTCGGAAGAGATCTACTCCAAAGATAGACCTGAAACATGCCGTGACCTGAAGTAACCATTTTACCAATCCCATCAACCAGAATGAAGCGTCTTTGCTCGTGGAGAGAGCTTGCCTTGGGCCCAGAAAGAAACATATATCAATCTCTCGACCCCGGCTCGCTCCCATTTATAGAACCGCGCCTCAAGTGTGCGAGCCGTAGTGCGCCCTTGACCACACCAGACAGATCAGTCCAGCCAAGGCAAAGATCAACTAATCTTTGGCCTACGGATAACAGAGGTTCTGCCATAAACTAACATATCATAACCATCCCCGTAGTTACGTGGCCTTGCACGGCACGTAACCGTTTACCCGTTCCTAGGATCATCCATTCATAACTTGTGGCTCCCCAGGATATCCCCGCCCATTCACGGAAGGCTTGAAATCTTATTGTAATTACCGATATCTGCTGTCAAGATACTAAAGTAGGCATCTGGCAGGTTATCGATCTCTTGCTCGTCCTTTCATTCGTTCTCTTTCTTTCGTTTTCCTCTCCTATCATCATGCCTATCCTAAGTTATTTATACTCGTGGGTCAAACCACGCCAATGTCAACGTGAAGACCGATCTCCTTCTTTCTCTCTTGGCAAGAAGAAGCGCACAAAGTCAGGGCTAGATAAGAACGAAAAGGAAGATTTTCAGCGATCCAAAATAATTCGAAAGTCATTACAAAGTCGCGCCTCTTCACGAGCAACTGTGCGACAGGAAGATGAAAACGACACTGAAGAGGAGGATAGAAATACAAGTCTCAGGACAGACTGGAAAGCATACGAAGCTGATATTCAGCGAAATAAATCAACGCTGATGCGAAGGCACCCGGGAGTCGATCGCTCGAGAATACAAACTCACGCAGGATCCTCCTCATCCCGACCTCAACCACAATCTTTCTCATCAAGTTCAACCAACCCCTACTCTCCGCTGTCACCAACGACATCAACTTCAACAACAAGCCCAGCTTCGCCAGAAATAGGAAGAGCGTTTTAATACCACAGGCTTGAAGCATGAAGTATGGACCATGAAACAAAACCCACAATCACGACATATACCAACATATCTCTACATAACTTTTAGACAAGAACTGGAATTATTTATACCATGGGAGCAGTGGCGTTGAGACGACGGGAACGGCCTTTGACATGTCAGAGGTGTAATGAGAATGAAGCCTTTATGTATGATAACATTTTCAATCGTAATAACGTGTTCCTATCTCTTAAGCGCCGATTTCATTTGTGACCTTGACAAATTTTTCCCACTGTCTCCAGGCCTCGCCGCTCTGGAGGGCCCAGCGAGCTCTTCGGATACCCTCTTTCCAGCGCTGCCCACCAGGGCCGCGCTCAGTGATGACCTTGCCGTCATCCCCCTCACCCATGTTGCTGGTATCAGACTCACAGATACCTGATGTGACGAGCAAAGCCGCAGTGTTGAGGAGAACAAACTCAAGAATCGGGTCATCGTCAGGCAACTCATTGTGCAGAATTCGAGACAAGATCTCTGCATTCTCGGAGGGTTCTTTACCAGATGACACTGTATCCAGGGGATGGGTGCTCAGACCAAAGTCGCTCGGGTGCACGGTGAAGTGCTCAACCTCGAGCCTTCCAGCACTGGTCTCGTTGACCCTCCAGCACAGGGTGTTGCCAGCGCAGCTGACTTCATCAAGTTCTTCCTCGCCGCAGATGATGAGAGCCTTTTTGAAACCAGCCATGCACAGCGCCTCGGCGAAGGCCGGACCAAGATCCCTTCGGCCAACACCAATGACACGGGCTTCAAGCACATCTTCAACAGGGTTGGCCAAGGGGCCGAGATTGTTGAAAACTGTCCTCCAGGGCAGTTGCTTGCGGATGGGTGCGACGTAGCGCATACCAGTGTGGAACACCGGGGCAAACAGAAAAGTGTAGTTAGTCTCAGAGTAAGCCTTGACCAAAGTGTCAGGGCGGATGGCGCTGATGATAGGAGGCTGAGGCTTCATACAAGCGACCAAGTCAGCACTGCCAGACTTTGAGGTGCTGGCTTTGTTACCGTGCTTGGAAACCATGAGCAAGGCTGAGGCCAGGATGGATGAGGTGGTGCTGATGTTGAAGGTATCATGGCCATCACCTCCAGTTCCAACAATGTCACACTGAGATCATGTTAACAGTTGCTCATTGATCAAGTAGATTTGGTCCGATTACTTACCAATCCACCGTTGTAATCCCCCTCCTTTCGCCCTCTTCGTTCAATAACTTCCTTCAGCTCCTCTACAGGAATAGATGCAGCGGCCTCTCGCATGACACGGGCGCACTCAGCCAAAACATCAGCTCTGAAGTCAAGCTTTGTGAAATGCAATGCCATGAGAAGAGAAGCTGTTTGAGCCTCAGTGACCTGATTTGTGAAAAAGTGAGAGATCGCCTCGGCAATCTCCTGAGGAGAGACAGCAGACTCGTTAGGCCAGAGCTTGGTCAGAAGAGGCTTGATATTGACAGGTGGGAGAGCATTTTGCCCATCATCTTGGAATTGAGATGCCATCTTGGTACTTTGCTAGAACGACCAGGAGGCTTGGATAGAGAGTGATGATGGAGAGAATCGACCAAGCACGGTTGGTGAGTTGATCGGGGTATCGCTCTTCTTTGTTCAATATTGAGATGTTTGTTCTATTGACTCAACTTGTGAATGAGTCGAAAGTACGTACTGCGGAGTGGTCCTTCGGCACTTGGTGATTGGCCGACCTCGGACAATGGAAACTCTAACGCATCGTTGATGGAGGAGGACAAAATAAAGAGACATTTCATGATGGGCCTGATCATGCAACATCATGAGATCTAACATAGAGAGATGAATTCTTACCTTGACGTGCTAAAATACAAACCAAGGCTTGTGCTGGTATTACCAATGACTAATCTCGGCCATTCTATAAGATGAATTATCTGAAATGCCCTCTGAAAAACAGCTTGAAGGAATGACGTCGAAGGGAGAGCTTAGAGTAGTTTAGTGTTCGTAATGTCTTGGCAGGGAACAGTCCCGCTGTGGCTGGAACAATACTGAATTCGCAATGACTACGTTTGGTTGGGACCACAGAGAGATTCGTGGTGAAAGGAATAGGGAATATCAATCACCCTGGAAAACGGAAATACATATCCAGAACTCAGAGTCTGTTGTAACTATCATAGTTGCGTTGGCCAGGCTCATGACAAAGCATCGACAGGTCAGGCTTGACGCCCAAGACTTGTGATTTGTTGGGAGTTAGTATTTAGGCTAGATACCTAGGTACCTAGGTGGACGAAGAAGGATTACGGAGTAGGTAATCAAGTCAAGCCTACAAGAACAAAACAAGCAGACTTGCCAAAGCTTTATTTGTTCAAGGTTTCTTTGTTGGTAATGTGTAAACTTTCCCCAAGGTTCTGCAGAATCTGTCAGCAAGAACAAAGAGATCACGTGCTCATGTATAGTTCTAGATATCTACCACCTGTTCTCCAGTGCGCTTTTATGAACTCTAGCAGTGAATGTCGATCTTATTTATTTAATTGCAAGCGCAACCTGAACAACTGTCCTTGATATTCTCCTTTTGTGATTCATTCAGAAGCTGTGCCAGGTAAGGTATTTAATCAGGCTGCCTACCCAGAGGTCTGGAGCCTAAACGCCATCGCAGTCAGAGCTCGCTTAGTCATTCTTATCATACAATCCATTGGACAAAGCGCCCTTCCTCACCTAACTTCGCCGCATCTCATTTTCGAACGAAACATCCTCTTCAACCTAAACGGCAGAACGCGCCGCCTCGAATGATGCCCCCCAACGGCAGCGATGCGCCTGCTTTTGAGGAAGACCTCAGTAACATCCTAGTATGCCCTGAGTGCAACATCAGCCCGCCCCACCTAGTCGAGGAGTTCTCCAGCGGTGATACAGTATGCGAAGACTGCGGCATGGTAGTCGGCTCAAGAATCATTGATACGAGATCAGAATGGCGAACTTTTGCAAATGACGACCAAGGAGGCGACGACCCCAGCCGTGTTGGTGGACCGCAGGATGAGTTTGTCGAAGGCCAGCAACTCGCGACGACTGTAGCCTTTTCCGAAACCAAGGCACACAAGGCTCTGTCCAGGACTCAAAACAACACCAACCAAGACAAGTCACAGAAGGGTCTCATGCAAGCTTATAAGGAGATTGTTTCCTACTGCGAAGCTATCAACATGGGCACGAACGTATCCAACGCTGCAAAGCACATCTTCAAGCTCGTGGATAAGCACAAGTTCCTCAAAGGAAAGCCCCAAGAGGCCGTCATTGCAGGCTGCATCTTCATCGCGTGCCGGCAGAACAACGTGCCTCGAACCTTCCGTGAAATCTTCAACCTGACTAGCGTGAGCAAGAAGGAAGTCGGTCGAGTTTTCAAGCAACTTCAGAGCTTTCTGCAGAAGCTGCAGGACCAAGACGGCGAAGCCACAGGTCTCAACACAGTCACCAACTACGAGAACACATCAGTGGGTGCCGAGGATCTATGCGGCCGTTATGTGTCTCAGCTTGGCTTCACGAAACAGAACAAAATCTCGAAGATCTCTCGCTCCTTGGCAGAGCGGGCCAACAATATTTCGGCACTCGCAGGACGATCGCCTCTATCCGTTGCCGCAGCATGCATCTACATGGCGTGCCAGATCGTCGGAGAATCGCGCAGCTCACTACCTATAGCCAAGCAGGCGGGTGTCAGCGATGGTACAGTCAAGACTGCTTACAAGCACTTGTACGCTGCCCGCGAGCAGCTCATCACGAAGGAGTGGTTCGAGGGAGGGGCTAGCATGGAGAAGCTTACACCGGCTACTGCGGCATAGGAGCGCCCATGTGCTATTAGGGCTTCATGTGCTATCATGGTATAGAATGACGTTATTCCGGCATTAAAGGATGTTATAAAGAAATTGCCGCCTTGTATTTTTTTGTTCTTATTCTTTTTCTAAACATAGCGAAGTCCCGGGGTGGACCGCAAGCAGCGTATTGAATTTACACAAAGATTGAAACCAAGGAAGTCTGTGAAGATATAATGATGTTCAGCCATGAAACCTTAAAGTAGTCTCAGTGAAACTCAAGACTTTTTATTTTCATTCTTGCAATCCCTTGGCAACTAGTTGGCATTGCCTCTTCTGGGTGCCGGCATGAGTTGTCGTCAACAGTGGGAATAGATGGGGCGGGAATGCCGTGAAACCGCGGGAGGGACCTTGAATCCGCTGCCTGTCATTCTTCAAGGAAAAAGAAAGAAAAAATTCTACTCTAGATCGTTCTTGGAAGGCTAGGATGTGCTACTAATGCAGACCCGCTGTTGATGTTTCTTCGACGGGGCAGATAAGTCTCCTCTACTCTACATAAGGAATAACATACCCGGCCGGGTTTATTAAGCAGGAGCCAGGCTTGATTTCTGCCGTGGGGGGCCTGTTCGTTCTTTATGATCTGAGGACCCTTTGATAGTAGTCTTGGCATTGCACGGGTTGGCGATGCAGGCTGCAGGCTGTTTCCCTGTGTGCCACTACGTATGTACGTGCATATGGGTATGCAACAGCTGAAGCTGAAGAAAGCACCTGATGTCTCGCTGCTATTCCCGTCTGTATGTGTGACGTGAGGAACCAGCCCTTCAAAAGGTTCTAGCTACCTATGAACAGACTCGGGTACATAGCTGATGAGGTGCGTGTCAGCAACATCATGTGAATTGTAAGATGGTGTTGCGCCATCGTACTCGAGTGGTGTGAACGAATCCGGAATTCAAGCAAAAGACAAACTGGTGCAAAGACTCGGGCCAGGAGCACCGAATTGAGAAGCGCAGCTGGAGAGAAAGACCGGATGGATCAAGATGATGCTGGCATATACAATGCTAATGCGCCGCCGGAATAAAGTGGCATGTGTTGTAAGCCAGGCTAAGGCAAGATGCTGTTTCGGTATGGATATGGATGTTTAGAATTGCCTCAGACGGCATCTCTAATGGGTCTACGGGGCATCGGATGAGGAGCCAGGTTAGGAAGCCCCACAGGTGGAAGAAGAATTGGGAATGAAAACCCTGCTGTTGCTGTCCTGTACAGCATGTGCAGTGCATGTGTGTCTTGCATCTTGTGCAAAGTAACCTTGGCGTTGCAGTGTCGTGTCTGCTTTGGGCTGTGTTTGATAGGTAATAAAATGTGATAACCATGTTTTTATTCTTGGATTTTGACTCTCTTGACTCAGAAGATACATGAAAAGACAACCTAGGAAAAGAGACGCTGATAGCATAACGTACCTACCTATATTGTGCATGTCATGCCACGAGTCAATATAACAATTATCCATTGTTGTTTGCTACGCACGTCTACTCTAGTTGCATGCCCGCTTAGCTGAAGCCAACAACACATCTATCACAACGCAACGCAACGCAACGCAACGCAACGCAACGTTGATAAAACCATGAACCTAAACCCGTAAGCGTGGATGTGGACTGGATCGGATAATCGTGCAGTTGTCAAGAGGGTATTCATTAGTTATCGAACATCCTTGAGCACACCAAAGTGCCAGTGGCACCCTTGTCGGAGCCGAGTTGACCAGGCTGTCATTGTCTTGGCTTGAGCAAAAAGACAGAATGAATAGCTGCATACAGGGTGATTCACTTACTCACGATACGCCAGCGGATACTTAAGGTATTTTCATACATAAGCACCAAAGTATGACCTCGTAATAGGCAAGGCATCTACATATTTCCTGCAGCCATCGTCATTCTCTCGGCTGCTATTCAGTCATTTCCCCTACTGCACATCACATCCGTCCATCCACTACTGTATTTATCACCACCACATGCACACACCCACTCACTACAACTCCCACTCACACTGATCCATCATATTCCGTCTGCTTTGCCTGCCCCCATGCTCATGCTCTTCTCCATAGCCGTTGGCTGCCCCATAACAACATGGGACCCCTCCGCTCCCCCCATGTTTAGTGGAAGAGAACCCTGGGCTAATGGCGCAAAATGCAATCACCACGAGGGCCTTGCCGAGGGACGAGGTGCAAAGTTCATCAATTGTTAGCTGCTGCAGAACCAGAAAAATGCGTGAAATGCAACCATGTCAGACCACGCCCATACCCTGCTCAGTGAGTGTCAGGGGTCGTAAGATAGACTGCGATTCGTCTGACGGGCCGATGCACCGTGCTCAGAAGCAGAAGCTCGAGGTTGGAGAAATTGACTAATATTTGTACTGTACTGTAAACAGACAATCGAATGCAAATGGGTTAAGTTAGCCATACGCGCAGTACAAGAATGGGACATTTCGCTGCTGGGTTCATAGTTTATCTAAATCTCCCTCTCTCACTTTCCTCAGAGGCTGGACCTTGGCTGGCGAGAAAGAAGGACAAGCGTCCTACGGTATTATACTGGATGTCTAAACTAAAGACTCAAGAATCACAAATCATGATGCCCAGCTTTAAACGGCTTCACGGCCGCGCCTTGGTTGCTACTGCTCCAGTTTACTGCTCTGGACCAGCTGCTTCGTCGACCATCAAGATGGCCCCTTCATCGGCTTCTTGGACAACTTGCCTGTGGCGAATCATCCTGAGTGTGTTGGCCCCTTCAACGGCGCTGCTCCAGTTTGGTTCATGGGCCGCTTCAGTCTTCGGCCCTCCTGTTCATGAGCTGTATCTTCAACCACACTTCTCCGCACTGCAAAAAGCGCCAATACAGACAGGCATCCCGTTTGAAATCTCAACCACCCCTGAGTTCAACTGCTTCAGTCCGAATCTTCCAAATATCACCATCTATGCGACAGGGGGCACTATCGCTGGATCTGCTAGTTCGGCTGACCAAACGACGGGATATCAATCAGCTGCGCTGAGTGTCCAATCCCTCATTGATGCGGTGCCACAGCTGTGCAATGTTGCCAACGTGAGAGGCGTTCAATTCGCCAACACAGACAGTATAGACATGAGTTCAGACATGTTACAGGCGTTGGCGGAGCAAATCCAGGCTGATCTCAACAGTCCATCTACACAAGGCGCTGTTGTGACGCACGGAACCGACACTCTGGATGAGTCGGCTTTTTTCCTTGATCTCACGATCCAGAGCGATAAACCCGTGGTTGTAACGGGTTCTATGCGTCCTGCAACGGCTATAAGCGCTGATGGACCCATGAATTTGCTGTCTTCAGTGACTCTGGCTGCTAGTCAGAACGCCAGAGGCAGGGGAGTCATGATTGCCATCAACGACCGCATCGGATCTGCTCGCTTCACGACAAAGGTGAACGCCAACCATCTCGATGCTTTTCAAGCTCCTGATAGCGGCTTGTTGGGAACATTTGTCAATATCCAGCCTGTCTTCTTTTACCCGCCATCACGGCCTCTGGGCCACCACCATTTTAAATTACAATCCAGACCTCCATCGTCAGCGCTGCCTCAAGTGGACATCCTCTACGCTTACCAGGAGCTCAGCGTTGGCATGTTCAAGGCGGCTGTTGATCTCGGCGCACGAGGCATCGTCCTCGCAGGCCTTGGTGCTGGGTTCTGGACTTCCAAGGGCACTGAGGAGATCCGACGCATAGTCCGTGAAACCAAGATTCCCGTGATAGTGAGCCGTCGACCAGAAGGCGGTTTCGTGGGACCCTGTCAGGCAGGAATCGGAGCTGGTTTCCTTAACCCCCAAAAAGCGAGGATCCAGCTCCAACTCGCGCTTGAGGCCGAGATGGACAACGACGCCATCCGGGCCCTTTTTGAGCACGCGGGAGTGCACTAAAGGGGCAAAAGATCAAAGGTTCAGACCACAGCAGCATGATACATATTACCAACAGGACCGGTACCTTTTTAGAGGAATTTCCAAAAAGATCACGATCAAATAGGGAAACTCGATACAATTCGGAGGCTTACGCATGCATCAGAAAACGGTTTGGATCTTCAGGGCGCATTTTCTTGTCTTTTCAGCGAATGTCAAAAATTGGGTGTGGCTATCTGCTCTTTGTTTTGTTTTTGTTTTTGCAAAGATCATTTTTCGTTGTTTCATCTGGGAGGCATCTTGAATCGGAGTGGCAAAATGGTTAATAGAACCAAACAATCATGGAGGGAGGCTATCTGCTTTTCGTTGTTCTGCATTGTTGTGCTTATAAAAGTTGATGCGAAGGGATTGATAAAGCTAGTCCAGCAGTCTGTTTCACAGGTGCTTGACATGCAGGAGTATAATAAAGTTAATTGTATTCAACATATATACTCAAATTACACCTTAACATGGTTCTCAAAGCAACTTATGAGCAAATGCCTAAAGCCAAGATACTCAAGCTGTGGACTTGTCGATAACCCTTGCTCATCAACACGCTCGTGGTGTGCCACGGGTAGCTGCACAAGTGACAGCGGAAGAAGCAAAAAAAAGTCACAACCGAAACTGCACGAAAGCAGGCAATAGCGGTCCAACAAGGGGGTCTGGAGAGGGAGCCAGGGCTCGCTACAACTGAAGATCCTTGATGTGTGGTTGACAGGGGAGTTGGACATGGAGGGTCGTTAAAAGCCCGAGTTGATGCCTCGGGGTTCAAGAAAGATCCGGAAGTATATCCATACCTATTCCTTTCGCGAGATTGCATCATATAATTGTGATAAGTGAATGTCAAATGAAGAATTGGGGTTTGGTGTTTCCCATGATGTGATTTATGGATTTTCTCCCAAAACCATGAAATGGTGGTAAAGATATAGATAGCAATTTCTCAACCTGTCAAAAGAGCATGTGTAATTGAGTTTAGAGAACATATAGTAATCATAGAATGATAGAATGATAGAATCCTAAGCTGGTTGGCGGATGATGAGATTGATAATTGCTGATGTTCGTCTCGGTACGTAGACCACAGGTGGTTTTACGATCCACTACGACGGCCGAGCCGGAGAGAGAACCTGGATTGCGGCTGACTATAAATCGGAGAAGGAGATTTCAGTTCCAATTTTCTAATCAAACCCTCTAGAGGTTCCAATCAATTTGTAAAGTAAACATTTGCTTAGGAACGCATGGGTGTAATTGCAAAAGTTTATCAGATTAAAATCGTCATGCACTCTATTAATGACCTCCCCAAGATTGAGACATAGAGGAGGAGCCTCCCGTTCGGCCTCAACGCTCCACGCGTACTCCCCATATTTTATCCCTTTACTTGTAAAGCTTGTCATAACATCAATACACCCATCCAAATAGCCTTCTCGAATCATGATAAACTAAACTCATATCTAAATTCATATTCGTTTATTCCCGCTACAACGCGTCAGCCACCTCGTATAAGCTTATCCTTATTATTATCTAGCCGACTACCATCGGACAAAACAACCCTGACACAGACACGCCACCACCGAATCAAGGCAGGCCAAAATTCCTACTCCAGATCGAGATCAACCACCTTTTCATCCCTTCCATTCTCACTCATGATTTGATTTGCTCAACCGTCCTTCTCTCCCCTGGGCAGAGACCGTTACCCCATGGTTGAACAGTTGGGGTCAGGGCAGGAAATACAGTAACAACAGTCACTCGTTTCAAGTTAATCGGCCGATCACGCCCAATCGATTCATTGCGACGTCAGCGAACATCCCGCATGTCGGCCGAGATAACCTCAATACACTCGTTTTACCCCCTCGCCAAGTCATCATGTTCCAAGATCGTTCTGGGGCCGAGGTGCCATCAGGCCCTGAATCACCGAAAGCCAGTTCAAAGGTCAATGTTCGTCGTCGCAACAGTGGTGCCGGTCGTTCCGCGCCATTGGTCAATCGCATAAAGGATGTTGCTGCAGATGTATATCAGAAGACCGTTGTTGAGCTTATTCTGCGTCGCAAACATGTTACTGTGTCGACTGATGGGCGGCGTATACCTCTCGAACTCGAACACGAAACCCCTTTAATCGATACTCGTCGTGGTCTTGCATATGTCTCGAACAGCATCCGAACGTCAAGATATACAGTATGGGACTTTATACCCAAGCAGCTTTTCTTTCAGTTCTCTCGCGTTGGAAACTTTTATTTCCTTTGCGTTGGTATACCGCAGATGGTGTGTATGAGCGGAACCTTGAAGATGGATTTGTTGCTAACAGCTACACCAGGTCCCAGGCCTTTCGACGACCGGGTCCTACACTACTATTCTACCGCTTTTATTCTTTGTGATGTTGACAATTGTCAAAGAAGGTTACGATGACTATCGAAGGTATCGCCTGGACAAAATCGAGAACGCTGGCTTCGCGACTGTGCTTGGACGAGAAGATAAATACACGGGAAAGCTACAACCAGTTAATAAGTGGACAAAGCTTAACCCGTTTTTGACCCATTCGACCGCTGAACCGTATCCCGTACCGGAGGAGGAATTCAACGGATTGCGTTGGGTTCCTGTGAGATGGAGCGAGATCAAGGTCGGAGATGTCATCAGACTTTGCAGAGACGAGCCTATTCCCGCAGACCTTGTCTTGCTACACAGTGACGGGGAGAACAAGCTGGCGTACATCGAAACCATGGCTCTCGATGGAGAGACCAATCTCAAGAGCAAGCAGGTCACGCCCGCTTTGGAAGGCTGCGACACGATCGAGGGGATTTCCAAGTGCAAGGCGGATTTTGTCGTTGAGAACCCAAACCCTGACCTCTACAACTTTGACGGTCGCGTGACAGTCAGCGGAAAGACTGTGCCCTTGACTTCAAATGAGGTTATTTATCGCGGAAGTGTTGTTCGCAACACCAATACAGCAATTGGGCTTGTAATCAACACTGGCGAGGACTGCAAGATTCGCATGAACGCCAACAAGCACCCAAAAGCCAAAAAGCCAGCCCTAGAGCGAGTTGTAAGCAAAATCGTCGTTACTCTTGCCACTTATGTTGTGGTCCTATCTGTTGGGGTGTCTATGGGCTATGTCAAATGGCAAAAGAGCACAGAAAGGCATTCATGGTATCTGGAACAAGCCAAGGTGCCTTTCTACCAGATCATCATTGCATTCATTATTATGTTCAATAACGTTGTACCCCTGTCGCTTTATATCAGCCTCGAAATCGTCAAAATCGGCCAGTTGCTGATGCTGAACTCGGATGTTGAAATGTATGATGAAGAGACAGATACCCCTGCCCGATGCAATACGAATACTATCCTTGAGAATCTGGGTCAGGTGGGATATGTCTTCTCAGACAAGACGGGAACCTTGACGGACAATATCATGAAATTTCGAAAGATCAGCGTTGCAGGAACTGTTTGGTTGCATGAGATGGACCTGGAACCAAAGGTCGATGAAGCTGAGGCTTTTAAGCTCGATGAAGAGTCAGAGCCAAGTGAGCCCTCAGTTTACAAGACAGACCCCGTCACGGTCGTTATCAGAGAGGAACAGGCTGAGGCGTCGAATGAACCATCCACACCACTAGCTCTCGCCTCGCCATCTCGACCCTCCATGTCTCATCGCCCATCTATGGCACCCTCGAGACCTTCAATGGCGCCTTCGCGCAATTCATTTGGAAGTCGTAGGTCTTCGTCCCAATGGCGCTCAACGGGACGACCGGATCATATTCAGCCCGACGTTACCACGAATGATCTTATTGAATACCTACGCCTCCGCCCTAACTCAGGTTTTGCTAGAAAGGCGAAGCAGTACATTCTCGCCGTAGCTCTGTGCCATACCTGTTTGCCTGAATATAAGGAGAACGGAGAGTTAGTGTTTCAAGCAGCATCTCCCGACGAGCTAGCTCTCGTCAGGGCTGCTCAGGAACTTGGTTACCTTGTCGTTAACCGAACGACGCAAACCATCACTCTTCGGGTCACTCAGCCTGACGGCCACGAGGAGGAGCTCAAGTACGAGGTCCTGGACGTGATTGAATTTACCAGTGCAAGGAAAAAGATGTCGATCGTTGTTCGTTTCCCAGACGGTCGTGTATCGGTCATTTGTAAAGGTGCCGACTCTGCTATCTTACCTCGTCTGAAGATGTCGCAGATCGCCAAGCAGAAAGCTAGTGAGGTTCGCAAGAGCGCTGAGCTTGAGCGCGAGATGCACCGACGCAGCGAGCAGCAAGAGCCACGCAACAGTTTTGGTGGTAGGCCTAGTCTCACCATCCGACGAAACCCAGGCGTGTCGAGGGATCGGAGTACAAGCAGACGACCCAATGTGGATAGAAGCAAGTCGTTCGAATTTGGCCGACTTTCTAGACGCTCGGAGGATAAGCCCCGTCTGTCCATTGCGACTCGCGGTGTGTCAATCGATCTCCCTCGAGGCCAGTATTTGAGCACTCCCGTTCATTACCAGCAACCAGTTCCCGAACACCTGGCCTTCCTCGAGGATCCAGCTCTGCTTGACGACTCTGAGACATTTGCCAAGTGCTTTAAGCATCTGGATGACTTTGCCACCGAAGGTCTTCGGACGCTACTCTTTGCGCAAAAGTTCATCACGGAACAAGAGTATCAGGCCTGGAAAAAGACTTGGGACGAGGCTACGACTAGCCTCAGTGATCGTCAACAGCGCATTGAGGATGCCGGCGATATGATCGAGCAGTCGTTTGATCTTGTTGGTGCAACTGCCATCGAGGATAAGCTACAGAAGGGCGTCCCTGAGACAATTGAGAGGTTGCGAAAGGCCAATATCAAGATCTGGATGCTTACAGGTGATAAGCGAGAGACCGCTATCAACATCGCTCACTCCGCCAGAATTTGCCGGCCCGGTTCAGATCTCTATATTCTCGACATTTCCAAGGGAAGTCTTGACTCGCAGTTGATTGCCCTGCAAGAGGATCTTTCAACTGGCTCAGTCCATAGTGTGGTTGTTATTGATGGCCAAACGCTTGCGGCTGTTGAAAAATCGCCAGAATTATCTGCTACATTCTTTAAGGTGATGTTGCAAGTCAACTCGGTCATTTGCTGCCGTGCCTCTCCAGCGCAGAAAGCACTACTTGTAAGCACCGTCCGGTCTCGCCTCAAGAAATACCATGGTAGGAAACGTCGAGGCCTAACCCTGGCCATCGGCGATGGTGCAAATGACTTGGCCATGATCTCAGCCAGCCACGTGGGCATTGGTATATCTGGAAAGGAAGGCCTGCAAGCAGCTCGCGTGGCAGACTATGCCATTGCTCAATTCCGGTTCCTGCAGAGAATGCTGCTTGTCCATGGACGATGGAATTACGTCCGTACCGCCAAGTTCATTCTTTACACATTCTGGAAGGAAATGTTCTTTTACCTGCCAACAGCGCAGTATCAAAGATACACTGGCTATAGCGGCACGTCTCTGTATGAAGCTACCAGTCTGACGGTTTTCAACACACTTTTCACGAGTCTCTGCGTTATCTGCATGGGAATTTGGGAGCAAGACCTCAGCGCCGAGACACTGTTGGCCGTTCCCGAGCTTTATGTCTATGGACAGCGCAACCAGGGCCTCAACATCTGGAAGTTTGGTCGATGGATGCTTCTTGGTGCCATTGAGGGTGTGGTCTGTTGGTATGGCGTCTGGGCTGGCTATGGTTGGATCACACCGGCAGCGCGCGACCAAGGCTTGTATGCCCTGGGGACGCTCGCATTTTCAGTTGGAGTTCTCTGGATCAACTGGAAACTTTTGTAAGTGACTACCTCGCTTTGGTACCGTTTCGTGACTAACGTAATTAGCATTTTCGAAACCCATTACAAATCTACCATTGTAATGGCATCTTTCTTTATTACTACTGTCGGCTGGTTCGCTTGGCTGTGCTTCCTCGACGCAGCCTTTGCGGGCCGCCCGTCTGGGCCATACGCTATTCGAAATAGTTTCACGGAAGCATTCGGGGCCGACGCAGTATGGTGGGCAACATTATTCATCGTACTCGGGCTCCTGGGTCTGTTCGAGATCGTGCTCAAATGCGTGAAGCGTCTTCTCCTAATTGCTGGACTTTGGGATTGGCCGCCCTGGGGAAAGAGTCGTCGCGGTGAGAACATCGAAGAATGGGACGTTGAGCTATGGCAGGAGTTAGAGCAGGATCCGGCGTTACGAGAGCGCTTAAAGCGACTTGCTCGTGATGAGCAGGTGGAAGAGGAGGATGAATTCGAGAACGGCATTGAGGAAGGGATCCGGGGACGTTGACGTGAGTGATTATGGCGTTTTGATACCCTATAGATAATCAGTACTTTCATGTCATTGGGATTGAGTTGCTCGTTGCATAGATTTGGACATGAAACACGACATAGCAAGGAATCTTCTTTCACACACGGTCAAATTGTTCGCTCAGTACCTCAACGTCTATCTCGACACCTGCCTCTGGCTGCTTTAGCCTCGCTACAAACTCCTCACCCAGTGTTGCGGGTGTCAAAATACCTCCACGTCTGTGAGCAGGTATAATTCCTTGCAGAAGGACCAATGCCGCTTGGGTCAGGGCCACGCCTGTGAACACATACGGATCACCACCATATGCGAACTTGACTTCAACTTTCGGAACAGGCTCAGCTCCTTTGTTATCTGCTATAGCCAGAGTGCGATACTTGAAATAGTGGCTTCTACGCGCTTCCTCAGACGGACCTGTTCCTGGTGGGAACATTTGGACCGCCAAGTAGCGTATAGGAGGTATTTTTGTGATTGCATTTGTGAGAAGGGAGAGGCTTGTTCGAAACATCAATGCTGATAAAGCATTAGAACATCTCATTCGTGACGAGAAGAAGAAATCCTCTCCGTAGCCTTCTGGGCTCGGGAAGTCTGATCCATGACCAGCGTATAAGCCCCAACTTCGGCCGACGAGAGTCTTTTCAATCTGTGCATGGGTGCTTTCCACTAGAACACCCAGTTCATCAACAATTTGGACGTCAAGAGCGTTGGGGGGCGGGAGAACCCCGTTTTTGGCCACCTGTTGTTCAGTCCTTGGCACAGGAGATAGATCAAAAGGGGCGATGTTGACGGGTTCGAGGCTACACAGTGAGTTGAGGCTTCCACCGCTGAAAGAACCGCGGACGTCTTCAAGACAGACCAGGACTTCACGAGTAGGAAGGGAAAAGTGACGTTGAAGTTTTAGAGCGGCGAGATAGACGGATAGATCTGCGGGAACGGCAGCCCAGCCTGCGGTCATGATAATCTAGCAGCGTCAGACAAATATCGGAAAAGTAGACAGCTTAATGATCATACTCTCGAACCTGAGTTACAGGCTGTCGTGTCGTACTGGGCGATAATATCTCGCATCCAGGCGGGCTCTCCGCTACTTTGTTGGTGTAAGTCGGAGTGTGACCTACACGCTGTGAGATGGTGTATGCTTACCAATCCACATAATCGGTGCCGTTCTCAGCGCAGGCTCTGATCACAGCCGTTCCACATGTGGTAGCATAAGGACCAATAGTATTTATAACCACACGGGATGTCTTGACGAGTTCGGAGATGGCTTCGTCGGAGGCGAGGTCAAGAGCGTACACAGTGCCTATAGGCTTTTAATAAGTGGATATAATACGGGGGGTACAACAGACATTTTGGCTCTTCAAGTTGAAGCTCTCTGTGTAAGACTTGGAGTTTGCTCTTGTTGCGACCTGCGATGGCCCACGATACATTCCCCGGGACGACTTGTGCCATGTATGATGCACACAGGCGGCCTGTGTAGCCCGTTGCACCTAGGAGGACAATGTCGATCATTATGTTGACGTGGACGTTGGGGCTATCTAGAAATGAGACATCAAGATACATAAATATACTTGTCCATCTCCCTTATAAGCTGGACTGTGTGTCCTTCCAACGGCTGCTCCGGCTTAGACGGCCCCACGCATCGGTCTGACTGATGGCCCGGCCGGAGAGATATAAAGGCACGGAATAGGATAACGGCGCAATAGAGGAACCGGCCCTGACATGTATATCACCAAATCAGGAGCAAATAGAAATATCGGATATTTGTTCTTACTTTGCTTGTTAGATTTGTCACGTTGTAGCCTCATCATCCTCGTCTCTCAACGTCTGTATCCTCCTGGTTAACCACACCCTCGGATCTTTCCGGGCGATCTGGGATCTTTCCGATGATTTCCATACTCCTAAAAGTGTATACAACGAGTGCGAGTGCAACGAAAAGGATGCCAAAGTTTGTCCAAGCTCCAGCGCGAAGACCCTTTAGAGACGGTGCATCCCATTCCTTGACTGATCCAACATCTTGAACACTTACACCTCTTTCCTTAGCCATGACAGATGACTGTATCGAAGTGGCAATAGCCAGTGCGATTGCACGACCGATCATACCAGAAGAGTTGATAAGTGCACCGCCAACAGCTTGATCCTCTTTGGGGAGGGAATGTGAAGTAAAGAGCGTGAGGCAAGGCCAGGCCGTGTCGGCTCCAACAACAGAGAGAATCATAGCCCAGAATCCCCATGCAAAGTATGATGTCGTCGGGGGGATTGGCACGGCGTATAAAACAGCAGCAATGCAAACAGCCACATGTCCGAACGCCAGGATAAAGAAAGTCGGAACCCGTGAAAGGAAGTACGCCGTGAAAAAAGCAACCACGAAGCCGCTCACACCAGTAGGGATGAATCGCAACATTGTCTGTAGCGGTGAGAGACCTTGGTAATCCTGGAAGTAGTACGTTGCGTAAATGAGGTAGTTGTTGAATCCACCAAAGAAAAAGCCCATGATGATCATGACGGCTGTGAATCGCCAGTTGTTGAAGATTGACACTTTGACAAGGGGTGGTCGATTCGTCTTCTGCTCAAGATATCGCTGCCAAAAGAAGAATGCAACGATGACTCCAAACGAAACAACGATGAGCACGGGGATCCAAGGTGCAGTCCAGCCAACAACGTTTCCCTCTGTCAAAGCAAACATAAGTGCAAGGAGTCCACATGTGATAAGAGTAGCGCCAATCCAGTCCACAGCCGCCGTCTTGGACCGCATGTTGTTATGCTCGGGTCGGAGTTCCGGGGGCGGAGGGGGGATGCAGAAGACACCGGCAACGGCGATCATGCCCGCCATGATGGCTAGGGCACCAAAGACCCATTTCCAACTGGCCCATTCCGCGATGAGACCGGAGACGAGATTGCCGCAGACGCTACCGAGGGGGGCACCGGCAGCTGGCGCTGTTAGCAAGCTCCTGATGAAGTATGTGGAGAAACACACCGTATGCACTGAAAGCGTAGTTCTTTGCCTTGCCCGGAGGAAACGTAGTCCCGAGGATACCAATCGCCGTGGGAACATTAGCAGCAGCGCCCTGAACATATCAGCCGTGTCCTGTGTTATAGTAGGATGTAAATTACCAGCCCGTGAAGGCCACGGAATAGATCGAATGCAATCTCAGTAGGTATGAAAGCATTGACAACACAGCAGATAGTAACCCAAAATGACCCCAGGATGAAAATCAGTCTCTTGCCGTAGATATCTGCGATTCGACCCCAGAGTAACAGGAAGCAGCCAAATGTCAAGACGTAGGATGACACTACCCATTGAAGTCTCGTATCAGGAACATCGAGGGCCCGGCCAATCTGAGGAAGGATGATGACGACGCTTTGGCTGGCAAGAGTCTATCATTGTTAGTATGTGTTCGATACTTGTTTGTTATAGACTCACGTTGAGAAAAGAAGCTCCTGTGACGGTGCAGACGAGAGCTATACAACGCGCCTTCGATAATCTCAACTCATCCTTCGAATCTACCGATTCTGCATCACCGCTCCCGTCATCGTTGGAAGAAATATTCTCTTCAGGCCGATTGTCGGAGCTGAGAGGGTGAGAAGACTTTCCGTTATCGATCACATCTCCAGGCACAATCTTTTCCTGCCCTGAGGAGGTTAGAGCAGTATTTTGGGAAGCAGAGTCGATGACAAGGTCTGGTCTCTTCTCATTGGAATGGTCAGCCATTATCTCAACTCTGTTTTCTCGCTTGAAGGAGCAAGAATGAAGAACGAGAGAGTCTCAAAAGTCATCACCTCGGAAACAATGGGGAAATGCCCAGGGTAATATATATTACATTGACCCAAACCCTTGAGAGCCAAGCCTAAACCCCCAATGGATGACTTGAGGGGTGACAGAAAGCTTAGGACTTCAGTTCTGGGTGATAAAATTACTTGTACATGTTCAGGATATTTTGGAATGTCCTTGGCAAGCTCTTTGATTAGGTTATTTTCGCACCCTCATCCAAAGGCCTGGAGGCTCCGTATCAATCAGTCAATTGACTGGGGTAGACTGTGGGGGATGGGGTCTAGCCGGATGGCGAATTCCTTTTCATTTGACGAGGATAATATTATTCCCGGAACTGCAACACTTGGTCACATTGACAGGCAAACAAGCTTCAGTAGATAACTCTTTACGAAGGTGATCATCGCTACAACAACCTTGTCTCAATGGCACGATGGGTCACCTACACGATGAAACAGACACTCTATTCCCTCTTTGCAAGAAGAACCACTGGATAACTAAGGTATTCTCGCATGGTAGATCTTCTTCCCATCTTCAACCCCACCCATCCCCAACTCACATGCCGGGTTCCGCTGCCGGAGAAAGCCATCCAGCACCAACAGCACAATCTAGTCCATCTATGTATTGCCTAATTCTAGAGCAGGAGGTTATTTATCCCGTCATTCTCTCCCTTTCTCCTCTTTTGATCATAGCTCCCCGCTTGAGCTGGTGACTAATCTTCTCTATAGCCGAGTTTCACGGTTAACGACTTGGTAGTCATACATACGAAGCGGCCAGCTTTTTCTCCTCACGCAAAGTCCTGCGCTGCTATCTACGTGGTACACATGTCATAACCTCGATGGCATCTTTACTTACAAATCAGGTCGGAGTCTATCTCCTGTTGGGGGTGCTTGCATAAGTAAGATTTATATCCCCCAACAGGCCTCGCTACAATCAACACCCTCAATCTACACAATATGCACATACCCAGTCACTCATGTACTCACTCATCACGTCATGCTCGACAACTATGCCTCTCCAATAAGTTTTCTCATTTTCATCGATATCATTGGATCAAAGCCCGTTTAAGGGAGCTTCTCAATCTCATGCCTGACCAAACCAATTCATTCAATTCCTTTCCATTGCCTTCTCCCATGCACGCCTTGCCTTTTCCCTTTCCTCATCGCCCTACGGTTCAAGTCAAGAAAGAATACATTGTTAAACGAACACGCGTTCAACCCCGTCTCCTAAAAGTTTGTTTGTTGTCGTAAATAAGAAACCAGCCGTTGCAGTTGAGCCCTCCCCCCGACAAACAACCCAAAAATACCATCAAAGCAAGCAAATCCTGATCCAGGGAAAGAAAATGACACGCACGCAATCTCGTTACTTGGCTCCAGGTGTTTCACAAGAAGAAATACCAGGTAAAGTGAGAATGACAGTGAGGGATAGAGAGTGAAAGAGAAAAAAGACCATGGCGAAACGCCTTGCCCTTCCATTCCGTTCCGTTTCCTTTGATTTGTTTTGCCATATGCCACCCTGATCTTTTCTTAAGGCGATGCTCGAGAGAAAGAAAAAAAGAAACAATCGTACACGTACACGTAGACACATTTGAGGTGTGAGAGTGAATATTCGTCCGGCTCCATGAAAGCCATATGCATCATGCTGATTATAACCCCCCGACTCCTTGATCATAGTTCACCTCTCGTCCCCTCTCATCCCCTAAGATATTCCGCAAGGCATTACGTCGGCTATCGCCAAGCCAGTCGGCAGGCATCGGCCTCGTCTGTCGCTACGCTCCTGCTGGGCATCTGATCTCTAATGATAGTTGCCTCCCCAGCCGCCCCGCTGCTGTTGTTGCTGCTGCTGCTGGTTGCCACTGTAGTAGCCGCTGGCGCTGAAACCCTGTCCGTATGACCCGTAGGGACTATTTCCGTGCTGGTTGGTACCGGCGTTACCGCCCATGCCATATGCGTTGCTACCATGGAGGCCATGGCCTTGGAGATGGCTAGGATAACCACCATACGCGCCAACATTCTGGGGTGGCGGGAGACCGCTCTGAGCAGGCGGGGCGTTGGTAGCGGAACCAGGTCGAGCTCCGCCCAGAGAGGGAGAAGGGCCAGAAGCGGCCTTGGGCTCGCCAAATGGCTTCAGGTCATCAGCCGCGGCATTGCCGGGCTGGGCTGGGCTGTTGAACGACTGACCTTGAGACGGGAAAGCGGAGCCTCCACGATTGAAGGTATCATGGACGCTGTTGAAAGTGCTCCCACCAAGGCCGGGCTGACTGCCAGCCTGGGTTGTAGCGGCACGACCATAATCACCAAGACCAGAGCCCAGACCACTGTCTCGATGGAGTGAAGACTGAGCAAATCCAGCAGGGGATGAGCTGTGATCATAGGGGGCATTGGGGGAGATGCCGTAGGGCTGGCCATACATGCCGCCCTTACCGTATGGGCCGAATCCGCCCTGGCCATATCCAGAGTAGTATTGATGATAGTACGGGTTGCTGTAGTAGGGGTGGTTGTAGCCGGGATACTGCTGGCCGTGTGACTGAGGCTGAGATCCCTGGCCTGGCTGCTGCTGTTGCTGCTGGCCGGGCTGTTGAGGTTGCTGCTGCTGAGCCTGTGTCGTAGGGTTGGGAGTGCTGTTCCCGCTGTTCTGAGCATCCACGGCACTTCCGCCAAATCGGGGTTGGTTGTGCAGACCACTCTGGGGGTATTGGCTAAGGTTATCCACCTGAGATGCCCCATACCCACCGAAAGGTCGCTGCTGAGACGCAGTGCCATCCTGCTGGCCCTGTCCTCCTTGCTGGCCGAACTGCTGGCCGTAGTAGTTGTAGGGATTTCGATCGGATTGGTTCGCGGTGTAGTAGGAGGAGTAATCGCTAGGTGCGGAGCTGAAAGCGCCACCAGGCTGTTGCGCTTGGGAAGTCTGAGCAGCGAAGTTGTCGAAGGGAGGCTGAGTAGAGGGAGTGCTCTGTTGGTTGAAGGGGTCCAGTGGCTTCTGGGGGGTTCCGACCGTCTCCTGGACACCAGCCTGGCCAAATCGACCGTATTGCTGAGCACTAGCAGGACCTTGGCCAGGAATCTGAGCCTGCGCCTGCGCAGCTGGAGCTGTGAAATGTCAGCGTTTAAACAGCAAACTTGAAAGCAATGGATGGCATACCGGTAGGAGCCGCAATAGGGGCAACTGTAGAAGTGGGCTTCTGTGCGAATGAATCGGGGACAGCCGCTTGAGTAGCAGGAGGAAGCGAGGTCCGAGGATGAGTGATAGGCGAGTCGGCAGGAGGTTGAGCTCTAGTCTCGGGCTCCTCTCGGTCGCCGTCAATGTCTTCATCGCCATTCAGGCTGAAGGCTCCGAATTGGACAGCAGCTCGGTCAACCTCTCGGTTGCCAGGCATACGCACAGCTTCTTCCTGATCGAGGACACGGCGCTGATGATGATGATGGCTGGGAGTACGGGCGGTTCGCTCGGCTGTAGCTTTAGCAGCGGTGGCAGCGAATCCGCTGGGAGGGGCGGCATGCTGCTGCTGAGCAGCGGAGATGGGTGTAGCAGTAACACTGGCAGGGTTCTGTCGAGGGTCCCAAGAGTCAGCGGCGGTGCTTGCTACAGTACCAGTCGGAGGCGGTTTGGATTCGTCAACAACCTGTTCAAGATTTGATTCGGTGAGCTCGTCCTTGGAGGGGGGGAGAGCCACCTCGGGCTCTACATTAACGTGAGGAACTTCGGTGGGAGTAGCGGTATCGACAACGGGTGTAGTTTCATCAGCTTCGTCGACGGCGGGGGCAGGTACGTTTTCGGACTCGGGCTCGGGCACGACCTCAGCCTCGGGTTCGACAGGTTCGGGGGCAGATTCAGTTTCAGTGTGTTCGGCAGCTGGCTGAGGAGTAGCAGGAGCTTCTTTTGGCTTGGGCGGGGCCTTGGGAGGAGCGGACTGACGGAGCATGCTTGCCCAGGTCTTCACTGCAGGAGCAGCAGGCTTGGGTGCCTCTGTTGTCGCAGATGGGGCAGGTTGATCAGCAATGGGCTGGTTCTCCTCTGAGGTATCCTTCTTAGGTTCCTTAGTGCCCCAAGCAGATGACTCCTCTGTGGGAACAGACAAGGCTGAGCTGTCCTTGGTTCCAGCGCCGTTAGTGGGAACAACAGAGGATCGGCCACGTGTGCTACGGCCTCCTCGATCTGTAGCTCGGCCTCGGCCACGACCTCCCTCAGATACAGCTCGGCCACCACGAGTGGCTCGGGGTCCAGTAGACGTCGCGTCGTTCGAAGATGCGGGAGCTTGGTCCTTAACCTTAGCTCGGGAAGCCTTCTTGGGCTTTGAGACCTCGCCCCATTGAGAGATTGTTCCTGGAAGAGAGAATGTGTTAGCAGCAGAAACAGGCGGCGTGAGGTCACAAGGGTAGTGGGGAGTTGATGCGCAGCTATCTCGAACAGATTATACGTGTATAGCGTGGGCGCGAAGGGTGGACTGAGGTTGAGGTGGGTAAAGAGCGTAACATACCCTCAGCAATGCGGGTGACAGCTTCGTTCTCGTCGCCGTTTGTTTCCTGAAGAGCAAAAAGGACATCGGCCTCAGACCAGTCGGGGAACATCTCGCGAATCACCGAAGTCTTGTCGCCATATTGCTTTCGAAGCTCGCCAAAGTCTCCTTCATCTTCGAATGCACCTTGGGAATCAGTGGTGCTGTGGTCGGGCTTGTCGCCATTGGTTCGTCGGCCGCCGCGACCGGCGAAACCTCCTCTACCGCCGCGGCCAGAGCCTCTGCCGCGCGAGGCGGACGTCCGTGAAGTCACTTCGGACATTAGATGGGTTGTGATTGATTATGTGTTGGATGTGTGTGCGTGCGTGTTGTGCGGGAGGAGAGCTATGGAGGCTCAAACTCAAAGTGTGGAGAGGAAATCAATGGAAGAAAAAAGGAAGCGGCCTGTCAGCTGTCCTCTGCGGGAACAACAGGCAGGTTGAAGGACAGAGTCGACCGTGAATCCGTGGTCGACAGTTGAAGGCGTCGATGATGGATGGAGACGAGAGGAAAGAGTTTATTGTGTTTTGGTTGGTGCTAGTCAAAGGGAGAGGAGGAGGAGACGGGACGAGGTTTTCCCCAGAAGCAAAGCAGAAGAAATGGAGCCTTGGGCTTGCGGTTCACCTTCAGGGCACTCAGCACCCGCTCCGTCAGTCAGTGGCAGTGGAGGAGGTGGAGGTTACGATGGTTTTGCCTCTAGCGGCTGGTCACCACTATGAGAACGTCCCTTCTTCAGGCCTCTTTTGGCCCCCTTGACAGACACGTCTGCGCTATATCTCAGCCCTCTTACAGTGGCTCAATAGGTGTTCCCACGCTGCGCTGAACACCCTAACAAAAGCGTCCAAGGATCTAAAACATTCAATTCGTCCAATTGAAAACGTCCGACGTCGACACTTTGCCCTGGCCGGAAGCAGATCGACCTAACTATTGGAGACTGTTTGCCAGGTGGCGTCAGTACCTTAACGGCATGGCCGCAAGTACAGCTACTTGCTCGACGTATAGCTGTCCTTTGCCGTCTCTGTGTCACTCGGTACCTCGAGAGTCAGAGCCTTGACCTTCCCTTGGTCGCTTAGCCCCAAGTTCAGCCAAGGATCTTGGAGTTTGGAGCTCGCCGTGTTCGGGCCCCTGCGAGAAGCCCACACGAGCACGTAGCAAATAATCGGACTTGGGCTTGAAATGTTGGAGAAGGACGTCACATTCGCATTTCAGGGATAGGGACTTGCCTATCAGATGCTTCATGCGGAAAATCAAGCATAACGACAATACATGTCCCTAGAGGTGCGTTTTTCCATCACCGCTCTTTTCTCAGGCGTGCCGAGTCTCAGTGAGACGCAATTGGTGGTTACACGCCGGTCAGATAATCAAGCGCCATGTCCTCAATACACTGCAAATGGTGGTTTGAGAATGCGGCACCTGAATATTCGGCTGTCAGCACTCACCCGTAAGCTGTGAGGCTCCTGTCAGGTACCCTTCGAATATCATGTACCGGTACTTTTCGAATGGCCGCATCTAGCGCTCAAAAGGAATGAGCTAGATCATCATCGAAGTCTCGATACACCAGACAAAGACCAATTTTCAGGCCAGGGGCTCCTGCAACACAAGCACGCTTAGCGCAGTCAGGCTGTGTCCACTCAAGCTCCCTCCACTCCTTGCTTTGCATGTCCATCCGCAATTCATACTCACGTTTTTGTGTCCATACTACGTATTATGTATTTCGCCCTCTATCGGAGGTAAAGAGTACCAGTAGCTTTCTGTAACAGACCACTCAAACCCAGAGATTAACGGAGATCGGTACTGCAAAGGTATTATGAGAAAGGTATAGCATGACGAGTAAGAGATGAGCAGGGATGTTTGTTATGGTGCCTCTTGAAAGCCAAAGGAGCAGTGGTGGCTTTCCCCATGTTTAGGATTGAGCCACCCAAGGCTGGAAGCCCCTTGCATCACATGATGCGTCTCAGCGGCCCGCTTTGTGGCGTAACTCGTTCGACGATGGCATCATGCTAGATTCAACTTCAGAACGCATGACCGAAACCCATCAACACCAACCCCACTTCACACTGCCTTCCCGACGACTCGTTGCATCCCTACATCCCTCTGGCGTTCTCGAGGGTAGGGTTTGCCAGTAATACAACCGCCTACCAGACTCACTCTCTCTAGCCCGCCATGTTCACAACAAAGTCGGTTCAGTCACTCAAGAATCTGTTCGCATCCTATCACGAACCCCTACCCTTGTCGAAACAGCAATCTCAAAAGCTTCTTGACGGTCTCAAGACTTCCTTTCGAAAACAGCTCGATCGCGAATATGGAGAGAGCCCCAATAGTCTATCACCGGCTGCCGCGAAACCTGTAGATGTTGATCCTGCCCGACTATCTGCTACAAACCGCCATTTGAAAGATATCCTGTCGAACCCGCTGTTCAGCTACAACAAAGATGTCACATCGACGTTCCCTTCAAGCCTAGCATCCCCTTCTTTGGTTGCACCAACGCGTGATCCTATAGAGGTTTTCGACCATGCTGTAGCTCGAGGATTGATGACACCCAAGGCCGCCATCGGTGTGATGGTCGCCAAAGCAAAGCAACTGCAAGCGAATGAGCCAGGCCTTGGGAGTCTCGCTACATCGGGTATGTCAGGGCGTATCATAAGATGGCTACGAGCTTGTGGTGCTGAGCAGGATCTACGATTTATGGACAATTATACTTTTATCAGAGCGTTGTCTCCGTTCCTGGTGGCAGAAGGCATGGAGGAGATTGCTTGGGAATGGCTTGTGCGGACAATCAACAACACCTCTGGAGACCTGTCAAATGAAAAGCGTCTCAGGAGAGCATCCAACTTACTCGGAGAACTCGTCAAGACAAAGTGTCAGCCTCAATATGGCAACCTTGATTCAGGCATCTCTACCATGTTGCAAGCACAGCAACTTTTCCGGACCAGCCCGCTACTATCGGATCTTCTAGTCTCGTCATGGAGGTCAGTTTCATGGCTCTCGACCGTCGAGTCCTACAGTCGACCAGCTCCATCTGAAGAACTCTTTGATGCTCATATTGCCACGGCCGATCGTCTGCCACAACCTTTTCTTCTGGAACGTGCTCATTTGCACCTTTACCACCCCACACATCCCGATCACCTTCCTGCTCTGAACTTCTTCCAAGACAAGCAAAGACTACGAAAGCTAGTTAATACTGTTGAGCCCAAGAAGTCGAAGCCAGATAAGCTAAGCACCGTATCATGGCTCGCCTTCTTAGGCCACGACACAGTCAACCACTTGACCCAATCTGGAAGAACTCAAGAAGCGCAGGGAGTTACGGAGCTATTGCAGGCAGAAGTGGCTAGCCTTTTCAACCACAAATCCGAACCCGCTCTCGGGTCGTGAGGAGCGAAAGAGTAAAGGCAAGTATGGATCAGGTTTTTGGGACATTCAATATTTATCATGCACATATAACGGAATCACAGCGGTACATAGGGAGTTGGTTATAATGATACCACGATGGAGTTTCATACAGACTATCACGCGAAAGCGTGTCAATTTGCATCAATAAGGCTATTTAAAAAAAAATCATTATCAAACAGACTTTCAATCATTGCCATGCTTTTTTGTCCTGGTATCTATTGTTGCAATAAAATGCAAGTATCAATCTCTATTTTCATATCGCTCTTATTCAGAGTCGCTCTCAGCTGCATCAGGTGAAAAGCCTTGGAACTCCTCCTCCTCGTCATCGTCTGGCGCAGCTCCTTCGCCAGCGTCTTCATCATCGTCCTCCTCCTCGATCTCAAAGGCACCAGAGATATCCCATCGGTCACCCTTGGCGCTCTTGCTGACGTATTTGACGAACTTAAGAGCGCCGCTATCGCGCATAACAATAGTCATCTTATTCCATGACGCAGCTTGGAAGAAGAGAATGTTGTCGTCGTCATCGCCTGTCTTATATACAGCTGCATCTTCATCGGCATCATCATCACCAGACATGAAGATTTCTTGGCCGCCGACTTCAGGTGTTTCCTCCTCCACCTTCTTCTTTTTCTCGACAGCCTTGGCTGTGCCTTTGCCTTTACTCTTTACATCCTCGCCGTTCTGGTTTTCAGCTTCTTCCTCGGGGTCCTCTTCCTCATCATCGCCCCAGCCAGATGTAGGTGTGAATCCGAGGTTAATCTCTACGCGCGCCTTGCCCTCGTGGCCAGTGGCGAGAGTGTAGTCGAGACCGCGGCGGAAACGACGCGCGAGGAGATCGGCACTTTCGATGGTGGTTTTGGTGGCCATCTGGAGCCATTGGCGGAACTGACGGCTGGGCAGAAAGATGTCGAGAAGTTCAGTGATGGGAGATTCCTCCTGTGAGGTGCGAAGCTGATCAGGTCCGCTGGGTTGTTGGTAGAGATATCGCGCCTTGTGTGGAGGCTTGGCTACACGCCATGAAGCCGTCTTTTCTATCGTAGCAGTATCTTGTGCGGGTTTCTTCTCCTCAGCCTCAACGTAGTCCCTGAGGCGCTGGGCAAACTTCTTGCCCAAAATATCTGGCAAGGTGATTTCAAACATCTCGTTGAAGGTCTCGGAGATCTCTTCCAAGGCATCAGGAACTAGGTATGCAGGCGAGATGTACTTGAGCAGAAACTCAAGATCAGCTTCGTCGAAGCCCTCCTGGCTGGCCTTGTCAACCTTCATAACCTGAGGCTGAGGCATATCGTACTGAGCAGGATTGCCCTGAAGTTGCATTAAGCCGCTGTTCTTGGCGTTTCTCTCCTCTTCTCCCTTGATGTAGCCCTCCTCTCCAATCTGGGGAATATGGAACCATCCACTGATAGCCATACGAATGCGGCCACCGTCCCTCTCTAGCTGCTCCTTGGTTTCGGCGCGATAGACCTCCTCAACGTCGTGGAAACTCTCTCCAGGCTGGACAGCGAAGAAGCTCAGCTGGTTCCACGCAGGTGGAATGATCTTTGTAACGTCAGGAAGCGGTGTCTTTGCGATCTCGCCCTCCTTGTCCTTGAGCTCCTGTACGGGGAACAGACGGAGCGCGCCACCCCATTCGGGCTTCCAGGGCGTGTCGGGGTCAACGAGGTAGAGGATATAGCTAACGCGCCGGCTGCCAATGACGTCGTCATGGCAAAGGAGGTAGCAGCCAGGAGTGTAGATGTTGATAGCCATGTCAGTCTTGCGACCGCTCAACGGACCGCAATTGGTAATGTGAGAGACATAGTTGCGGAAGGCTTCGGAGTATATAGCATCGCGCAGCTTGAGCAGCGAAGGCAGCTTAGCTAGAGACTCGTCGTCTAGACCGTCGAGGTTGGCCAGGTCGCCTGACTGGTGGATCTTGTAGATATCGGTCTCCTTGGGGGTGAACTCGACGTTGGCCTTGATCTCGCTGCGAACCGATCGAAGAAGGGAATCGTCAACAAGGCCGTTGATGACGGCATGCTTGTAAGGTTCTGACTGAGCATATTGATCCGTATACGAATTGAGGACCTTCTTGTCGAAAAGACCAGCACGAAACCGCTTCTGAGCTTCCTCTGCGCTCAAGGCTGAAAAAGTCTGGTGAGTGGAAGGTCGCGAAAGAACGATTGGCAGTGCTTACAAGGCTTGGACTTTTTCTTGTCGGTCTTGGAGGTTCCAACAGCTGCTTCCGCTTTTCTCTTCATAATGGCCAGCGCAATTGGTTTAATTTCCAGAAGCTGTGCGAAGTGGGAGGGCTTTTGTTGTAGATAAATTGAGGACGTGAGGTAGGTAGCGAAAGTTGTGCGAAGTCGCAGCGCAAAGAATGGGCTGACGTCGCCAATCTTTAAAATTTTGGCTCCGAAAATCGACCCATGCCAGGAAGCGTACGAGCTGCTATGTACGTTCGATACTGCAGGGCCGAGACTTAGAGCAACAGGCCACAGAGTTTATTTAATGTCAATCGTATATACTTCAGGTAGTCTGAGTATTTCAGTTTCTTTCAGTCGAATCTAAAATTATCTATCATATTTCAATTGTAGTTAATCCTGCCGTTTATTGACCAGCTCTTCCTTATGAACCAGCCATGGGCGCTAAGGAGAGCAGCCATGATGATGGGCCGATGGTGGACCTTATCTGATTACTGGCTGGAGCCAGCATGATGCATAAAGGTTATGCAGGGCTATGCATGTACGCGCCTGTTCAGCCCTCATCGAGTAAGAATTTCTGAGGATGTTCAGCATGGGATACTATTTCGCGACCCAAGACATTAGCAAGGGTCGTATTGGTCAATGCCTGAACACCTCATACGCCGTGGGTTGCAGCATCACCTTGCCCGAGAATCCCATGAGACATCCATTATACCTTCTACAAAATCAGAGTATGCGAGGGAACTCGAGGGACATGTGGCAAGATAGCAAATTCTTGACTTGTGGTGCTCTCAAACTATACTTGACGTCTCTGAATAGTCTTGGGAGTTCCACATAATCACCATCATGGCCAGTCAAAGTAAGGAAGAAGGGCGGAGAAAAGCACTGAAGCAAGTCAGAAACTCAACAATAAAGGGATTTTATTCTAGAAGCTCCCTCGACTTTTACATGTTCTTTCATCTCTCGTCATATCATCACTAAACTCCTGTCTATACCTATGTCCACACGCATAGTACATCTCAGACTTACTTTGCACTTCGGGCGTCAACGGCCTGTCGCAACTGGGCGATAACCTCGGAGGGGTCCTTGGCCCCAAAGACAGCACTGCCTGCAACAATAACGTTGGCACCAGCGTCGGCAGCCTCGTCGATTGTCTTGGGTCCAAGGCCACCGTCGACTTCGATATTGAGCTCGGGATACTTTTCTCGGAGGGCCTGGACCTTGGGTAATTCTGATGCCATGAACTTTTGGCCGCCAAAGCCAGGGTATACGGTCATGACGAGGACCATCTGTAGCTATATGTCAACTTGGCATTCTTTATGGATACATTAGCGAGACTTACATCAGGTCTCTCCTTCTCATCGCTGTTCTCCAGAATCTCCCACAACACATCGACAGAAGTATCAGGCTTAATAGCAATACCAGCCAACAATCCCTGATCGTGAATATATCGGATAAGAGCCTTGGGGTTAGTCTTCTCGTCGGTCTGTTGCTCTGGGCTCTCGGCGGCACTGGAGAAGGCGGCCTCATAGTGGAAGCAGTAGAGGTTGCAGCCAGCTTTCTTGAACTCCTTGACCCATTTCTTGGGCTGGCATCCCGGTGTAAGCTAGACGTTGTGTATTCGCATTCGGAAAGATATTCCTACCTCTGCAATCATCATATGACAATCAAAGGTGCCCCGGCCATGGGCCTCTGTGGGCTCATCCACGTGTCCTCGGATGGATGCGACGACAGGAGGACCGAACGTAATGTTGGGAACAAAGTGGCCATCCCTACGATGTCAGTATAGCTCTCTTGGCTTTACTACTCGCGACCTACATGATATCGACATGAAGCCAGTCTGCGCCTTGCTCCATAGTACGGGCACAGTCATGGCCGAGCTGAGCAAAGTCAGCTGACAGAATGGAGGGAGCAATGATGGTCTTGGGAGCCATTGTTGGGAGTATACACGATCAAAGGAGGGCCGTTCAAGAGTCACGTATGATGGTGGAGAGAGAATTGGTCTATCTTTTGGAACTCGTCGATGGTGGGGTTATTTCCAATACCCATCTCGCCCAGTGACGTACGGTTTTGGTGGGGTCATGCCAATGGAAGTTGATGCCCTTGAGGCTTGTGGGGGGCCAGGGGCCTTCAAAGGTCATTGGAGGTTGTCAACAGAACCCGGTTCAGATTGACATGTTGGTTGCCTGTCGTGGGTTTTATGTAGAGCTGTTGGTCTGTTCGCTATTAAGAGGTGCATCAAACAACCAGTATGCAATTGATCTCCAATTGTGGTGCTCGTGTAAGCGCTCTGTGTTGACTCATGGAACGACGAAGATGTTACGCCTAACATGGAACCAGGATAGAAGGATGTTCCGGGTCAAGCATGGGCAGTATGGAATGTGTCTTAAGCAAGACCGAATTTCAATTGATATAAATTTATAAACCATCACCAACAATAGCAGTCTTGTGGCGACCACATAGCAGTGTATGGCTTCAAACTCCATAAATTTGCATGCATAGAACAGAAAATCCCAATTTCTTTACTTATTCCCAATTATATCCCTCCTCTTGATGATGATGATGAAACAACTTGAAACGAAATACATAGTATAACTATTGTCCCTTACAGGGCAAAGAGCATAGCCATGACAACACCCAAGACACCAGCGGCGCCCTCACGCGCAGCAGCATTGCCGCTATCGCCACCAGCGCTGCCAGTCGCCGGCGAGGTCTGGCTGCTACCAGCACTGGAAGTGGGAGTGGTAGCACCAGTTGCGCTGCCCGAGGCGGCGTTCTTGTCGCATGTAACCTGGTCGGGAAGGTCGGTCACTCCGGCGGTCGAGCAGATCTGCTTGGCGTACTTGACGGCGGTATCCCTACCGGCGGCATCGCACTTGTCCTCGAGACAACATGCGATGCCAGAGAGGAAGTTCTTGTTGCTGCAGATGCACTTGACGTCGAGCTGTCCGCATCCCGCGACGCCGCCACCGGTGGTGTACTGGTCAACACATGGTTGCTATATAGACAGGAGAGATTAGCATCGTCGAATTGCGAGCGGTAACGAATCAAGTCGGAATAATCGGCCGATGAGGGAGGCTCTGCGACGTACAGCGCATTTTGGTAACTTCTCTTGCTGAGCGGCAACAAGGCCAGCCAGGAGGACGGATGTGAATACAGACAGCTTCATGATGAACACTCGACAGTAAAGATAATGAAAGGATAATTGAAATTGAAACTGAATGAATGTCAAGAAGAGAGAGTTATCCGGTTTCACGTACGCGCGTCGTAGATTTAAAAAAAGACTCCTTAAGTGAGACAAGACAGTTTTACCCAGCTCTCACCAACGGCAACAAGCTTACCCAGGAGCTACGCCCATTATGTACTTTTGGGCACCCTGACCTTAGTTGTAACCATGCTAGCGGGCATTTTCCTTCGTAATAAACGCTCACGGTCCCAGAAGCGGCAAAATGTGTGAACCGTATCCGTAATTCCCCCAACTCTAATGATATGCAGATCACCAGCCAATCGCCGCATTTCCACGTGTTCTAGTCTAGACCATTTCGGCAGATTGGACGCCGCGACCGGTACGTATAGCTATAGAACCGCCTTATAATCGGGTGAAACGGCCCCGTGGGGACGATGATCAATCAATACCAAAACATCTGCAATAATTTCAATTAAATTCAAACTTGAACAGGATGTATCGTTCTTGTTGTACTGTATGTTACATACACAACATGGGAGATGTCATCAACAAGGGTAGCAAGGTAGCTTGGTTTCAGAAAATGTGTCTCAATACAAGCCACTTCATATCAATAGAACTTAGTCTCTTCCTGATCGTCCTGGCGCTTTTAGAGCGTACCAACCTTGGTGCAATTACACCGAAAGGGGAAATTCATCATCAGGTACCTAAGAAATATGAAGGTTATGGAACGTAAGAACGTCTCGATCTTCTGGGAATGGTTGGCAATCACTATTGATCCTTTAGCGCCTCAATTCATGCTTCTATCTTTGGGGTCCAGCCCGGTTATTCATAGGAAGTCTATCTCTGCTCAATAGACGCCTCCGCCAATAGTTCCTTTGCTAGCCACAGCCATCAGAACTACTATCATATCCTCTCCTACGAGCTGTAAGATGCTCGGAAGGAGCCTGGAGTGGCAGGTTGCATATTTGCACCTTGCATGACTGTCATGTTCACCTACCCACTTTCAATGTGATCTTGAAAGTATAACCCGGCTCTTGGGCCACCGCTCGTTGGGTCGGCATCAAACAAGGTTTGATGAAGCCAACGTCATGAGTAACACGTTAGACCTTGTCAATTTAGTCTTTCTCATACTCTTTTGCCCTGTTTGAGAAGATCCGAAACCTTGGGAGGAAGTACGAGAGCACTCCTGTCGTTTCTGCGAAAAAAGTCGACCAGCGAAACGGCTGTCTTCTCCGGCAAATCTTCGTGGATGAAGTGACCGGCCTCAGGGAACACTTGCAAGGCATATTTCCCTATCGGTCAATCAGTACACAATGTTCAGAAAGCGGCATTAGTCCAACGGTTAACTAACCTTGCATTTGACCGATGGTCAACTCGGTGTCCAGTCTGTCAGTACCAGCGAGCAGTAGGAGTTTTCCTCCCTTCGCTCCCAAGAACTTCTTGCTCAACCCTATAAACCAACCTTCCCAGTAAGGCTGTGTTGCGCCCAAGTTGGTCCGCCATCGCCACGGCCTTGTCGGGTCGTCGTTCTCGTTAAAGACGAGTAGCGCAGGAACAGATGTCCGAGCAGAAATGGAGTTTCGTATCGTCCGAGATCGAATGTGCCATTCGATACCTGCTTGCAGAGTTGCAAAGCCCAGTGGTCTCGTAGACAAGTAGGTGTGCATGCTTTGTAGAGCATCAATAGCGGAGCCTTCCACAACATCCAGCACAGCATACCCTAAAACTGACGTTCCTAGCCTACCGGACTTGGCCAGGTCAGTAACAATTGCTCCGCCCAAGGAGTGTCCCACGAGCACTATCGGGGGCATCTCTGACCAGGCCATCTCATTCTTTGTGAGCTGCACCATACTGAACAGATCCGAAGATAGAGTGTCCAGTCTCATGTCCAGTGCCTTGTCGCCTGGTGCATTTGTGGACCCGTGACCTCTACAGTCAATGGCCAGGATACCTGCTGTTGACAACCGCTTCTTTATTTCGGAAGCAACAACAGCGAACGACAACCCTGATGATCCTGCACCATGATGCATCACAAACAGTGGGCCTTTCCCGACCGGTGAAGTGAGGTAGGCATGATAGACTACTTCCGGTTCCTGCTCTGACTTCAGAGACAATTCGCGCTCAAAATAGGTTGTCCAGGGGATCTGCTCCAGGGTCCTGCCGCGGGCGACTCTGTAGCCTGTCAGTCCCGCCATGTTTCACTTGAGCAAAGTGCTGATTGGAAAGTACCCTTGAGGTCGAGCGAACAGCTTCTGGTTGGGCGATGGTATGATGGTTCCTGTCGAGGAGACGGACGAGGCGGACGAGGCTGAGGAAGAGTCATCGTCGACAGGCTCCGGCAACTCAGGGAGTACATCATTCTCGTGCTCCTCGTCGACCTCGTCAAATGTATCGTTAGATAATCTGTACTTGGCCTTGGCCCATGCTCGCTGCAGGTCGCTCATGATAGATACGGTGTGTAGATGGCGTAGGTTCCATTCGCACTGCCAATATGCCAAAACAGATGCGAACGGCACGAGGCGCTCCTGGTGCTGACACTCGTGGTAGCCTCTAGCTTTCTACGAGCGACGTCGCTTTCGATTAGCACAGTATGGGAGCCGCAGTAGTGTCCTCTGATGTCTTTAGCAACTGGTGATGATGGTCGGGCGATACCCACGTCAGCCAACCAGCACAATCCAAATCAATTTGCCTTTGCAAACACTGGGGCATAGTGTGTGTGCTTCATGTGCACACTGTATCTATACGGAAATCGACAGCAAATCTACAGTGCGGATATTTTCTTCATGTGGTTTCTATCCACTCTTTTATTTTCCTAATAAACCTCGTCATTAAGTTGGTAGGTTGTCTCGTAACAATACTGTTCTTTTACTTACCTGAGAACGGCTTCTTTGTGAACGCAGACACGTCTTTTACTAAGGAAAGCCGTTTCGACTGGTCAGTACTTAGTTGAGTCTCGAACAACAAGTTGACTATATTTTATATGCAACCTCGGCTATTCCTAGTATGTCGTTTAATTCGATAACAACTGATCGAGGTGTCATCAAAGCCCAAGCATCAATATTCCCACATCTCCATGTCCGATCAAGCCACTGTGAATTGACATGGCTATCTCGTCGAAAGGTTAAGCTTCTGGCCACACTGTTCTCTGATAGGGCCACAAAGTTCTGGCTCGGCGCCTCGCCTAGATCTTAGGCTCAACGCATCTTGACTATAGCATCATAGTTTCATTCTTTAGATGTTGAAAGGTCTGTCTGACACCCACCCATGCAGTAGCTCACTTCTTCGACAGCCTGAGGAGCGACGGCTGCTTGACCCTCGTGGGGAGGGGAGGGAAAGTGGAAAATCTTATCACGATGTCAATATAGTATAACTGCATAGGTACTTTCCACGGCTATTTGCCGCCCCTTTCTTTTTGACCTAGGGAAGAATCAAGGGTAGTTTATTGGCAACCAAGAACAAGTATTCACGTTGAACAATTCGTCTACCCTGTAGCCGATGTATAGACAATTTGGATCACCACCAACACAAATGCCTCGGAATTTTCTGAACCCCTTCTGCTGCACGAGACACTCGGCCGAGCAAGAAACATCGCCTGCCCGAACCCCTGTCGGCAAAAGAAACAGGAACCTTGTTCGACGCCGAATCAACCTGAACAGGTTTAGCAGCCCACCGTTCACCGTTCGAGTGCCTAATCTTGCTCAAGCGACTTCGCTGGCGCTCAGCTAGCGGCTCTAAGATTCCATGTTCCTGCATCCTGGTCCGATATTGTGGTGCTGGCAAACGAGAACTCAATATGAAAATTGCCCTCCAGTATCTGTTGACTGCAGAGAGGAATGGAGAACAAGCTAAATAAAGCAGCAAAGTGGCACAGGAGGAGACAGAAAGAAAGCTAGAAAACCAGTGACAAATATTAAGGTCAAAGAAAGCACGTCACGCAGTTGTCATTCGCATTTGTGATCGACATGACCTTAACTCTCATTGGTTGCAGCGCGAGTGTATCTGTCCTCGGATATCGCAACCTCACCGATGTGGCCGGGATCACACAGATACTCACAACTCTTGAGCAGCTGTTGGCTGCACAACCCAGGACGTTCACGTAGAAAATAGAATAATAGAATCTATGACCTTTACAACTTTTTAGTGCGCTGCCTTGATCTGTACACTGGCGGAGACGTACGAATAGACATCAGAAGAGCGGTGGTGCAAGAAATTATGGTGTGAATTACCCACAAACTAAAGAGTCGCTCCCTTTAGAGCATTTTCTTGATGCTTGTCAAGCTGCTTGAATCACTCGTAAAAGGTAGACAGGCCTGGGCGATTTGAGTAATGTCATGGTATCCGCGTAGTAGTGGAATGGCTGTGAATAAGAACCGCTACCGGCATGAACTCGTAAACTGTGCAATCCCAGGGTGACGACTCCTGGCTCCATTTCTTTTTCTTTTCGAAAGACTTCAACATGCAAATCCTTGACAAGGACACGAACGACATGACCTCAGTGGCCTGTATATGTGGGAGATACAATTCAGAAGGCTGGGATCTCCGACTTCATGGATTTCAGGTCACAGGTCTTCTCCTCACAGACCATGATGGGACAAAGTGTCTCTCGGATATTTTTGTAATAGTTCCAAGGGCAAGATCTGAGACTTGAGAGAGCCATCTCACGGTGGCGCCGCCTCCAACAGCCTGGCGTAAAGATCTAGTGATCGTCAAATAAGATCTTTCGGGGGGTCCGAGAGACAGAATGCTTCAGTTGATATTTCCCCGAACTCTCGCCAACTTGACGGATTCAAATGGTGGGGGTGGCTTTTGAAAGTGAATGAGTATGCCCCGACAATATGGATAACCTTCAAGTTAGCGGCGTAACTATTGAGAGCCTTGAGAGCCCGCGACGAATTAGCTCAGAGCCGCTGCAATCATTGCTATGTTTTCGCATCTGGATAATGTCTGAGAAGGTCCTGACATCTATCCCTAGAACTGGGCATTGTGTAACACTTGCGGTTGGCATGGGGCACGGAAAATTGTTGGCCAATAACTATGTCAGCCAGTTGCTGCAAGGGCTTGTGTTGTGATACAGGGACTCGCAACCTAGTCTCATTCTGATAACGAATTTCTTTCCACGCTGGGTGTCTGTGTGGAGTGTTGAATGACAACTCATTCAGATATTTGGAAATGAAACCACAGTTGAAATGTGACACGCTTGGTCGATGGACGGTTTTCCCCTGGAGTTCTCCTTGGTTAGAATAATTCTCACCCTCCCAAGACGCTGGATCTCAGCGCGCGGGCTCAAGCCACATTTCAAATTGAATTCCTGGAAGTTGGTAGGTTGGCCATCTGCGAGGATCCAGGGACAGAAGCCTCCCCCACCAGATCGACATACAGTCAGACCCTGATGAATTTGGGGTTGTTTTTCCTGTCCAGCCTGTCTATTCAATGGCATGGGTGTAGCGTAAATGATGTGATTATGAGGGGCGGTTTTGCTTTGCAAAGTTCGGCATTGCCAACATGTTGTAAGATGTCTAATGTAAGGCCATTATTGGCGATGGGCCAATAGGGGTACTCGGACCTGAGACGTACATAACTCCTCGTTATCTGAATGGTCAGTGTATAGGAGCTACGATGATCCAGCTGATGGCCGCTTCACGTAAATTGCTCAATAAGAAGACTTTGCTATCCAGCGCCAAAGACTCAGAGCATTGGGCTTCTGGAGAAGGTGTCTCAGTTGCAAAGATACCGTACAAACGGAATAAATTGAGTAGTGCCTATGGGTCCGCGCTAGGCCTTTTCAATCAGCCGATTTGCTGACTGATGCATAAAGATCTGACGTTTTGCTAAAAAGCACCATTGGTCAAATGAACGCAGTAGCTCAGACCCACAGGCACTACTCAATTTAATCAGTTTATACGGTAGAGGCGGAGGCCATCTCTGACATATTACCTGCCTCAGCTTTTTCGTCAGGTCTGTCCGCCAGCCAGTCAAGTAATAGAACCATGTCGACGGACTAAAACTTCCATTCTTACCAAACACACTTCAAGAGGCTTGTCGCGGCACATGACCCGGAGGCCGTGTACCTGTACGGGCCGCGCAAAAGAATGTGCGAATGTCAAGGAGATATTGCGTAGATCTGATCTGCTATTGGCGAGCCGGCACTTGACAAGGTTGGTGGAGAAAAAAAGCAGCTGAAGTGGGGAGACTAAGGTGTAGCACAGGTAAGATGGGCTCTCAAAGGGATCTGTGCACCCAAGGCAACCCCAGATAGGAAGTTCAGTGCACGTGCGGGATGCTCGATTCCCGTCAATCAGTGGGTGGGCAGCCCCCTCCCATGCCAAGCTGGGTTTGGCTCTCACAGTCTCACAGGAGATGGAGGCAGGTTAGGCAGGTCTTCTCCGCTGTAGGAGAAGCCTTAGCTAGGTCTTAGATATTTGGTCCTCAAGTCGCAGCTTCTTGGAAACACCCAATCCCAAGTCAACGTCGCTCATCTCCCCTCAAGCCGTTGCTCTCTGGTGCTTCTTAGCTTCGTGTCTATTGGCACTAATATTTCCGCAGACTTCGCCCCGACGCCCGTCCATTTAGCGCCGGGAGTATCCTCAGATCGACGTGAAGCCTCTGTCGGGAAGATCTTGAACTCTTTAGCCATCCCGAATTCATGATGCCCCGGACACGGCATCACTTCTTCTATTTATCTGGAAGCAGACGTGCTCACCAATATCCTTTTGGCTCGTGTCTGCGTAAGCTTGCGCCCAGTCAACTCCCTTCCTTCCAGCACTGCTGAAAAGGAGTGGTCATCTCGCACCAAGACACCATTGGCATGGAACCTACCAAAACATCAGCTAGGTGGCGTCTATAAACACCGCTGCATGTCTTTAGTTGCAGACGCATTCTCAGGTTGATGTTGTGTGAAGGGTCAGGCTCGTATTGGTCTGTGGTGTTCTCAGACCTCGTTGCCAACTTGAAGGAGGGGGCACTGCTGGGTACAGGGGCTTTGCAATCAATTTGCGACAGGCTCTCGCTCATTGAAACTCGGTCGCTGAAATCCTTATATGTGCCGGGATTTTGGAGCTGCTGGGTCTGATGCCAGAGTACCAATACAGTCATCGTGCTCACCTGGCGACATCCACAAAAATTTGAACGTCAAGAGATCGGCAAATGGATACCTGCAGCGCTTACGGCGATAGACATTTGCCAAGCGAGGTTTCTTGTGATAATCTCGCGTGTGTGCGAATCTGCAGAGCTGTCAGAGCACAGAGGGAAGCGCACAGACATACGACATCAACTTCTCTGAATAAGGAGGGTATTATACCCGAGTTGAGAACTGACCTGGCTCACATAACGCACACTGAGTGGTTTTGCGTTCTGGCTGAACCTTGTTTTCCGACCCCTTTGCCGCATTGGGACTACCTTGCGGACTGATCAACAACTTTGCTTACCCACAAATTGGTCGATGCCAGGTTCAGCTGGGATGTTAATGGGTTTGTGTTATAATTTTTTGGACTTTGCAGTTGGAGCGTCAAGGCCCCTAGGACACACCCAGTCGAGCCCCGCCTTTGAGATTCCCAAAATCGAACAGGAATATGAAAATCTGACTGATGATCTGCGCCTTGTCCGATTCTCAGGGCCATTTGTTCCTCAATTGGGTCAGGATATATACCGACAAAACCCGTTGGCCTTTTGTAGGCGACTTAATCTTTGCTTTTTTTTTTCTTCTTCGCCAAATGTGGCCGACCCGCCCTGGACGTCAATGAGCAAATAGATATCAGTACATGCACATATCAATCAGTGGAGAGAAGGGGTAACATCAACGAGCTGAGACGCACGTACTGTATTTGTAACGCGCCAATTCGACTTCTCGGGTACGACTATGATTAATGGTACTTCAGGAACCATCGACAACTCACAGGTGGCAGCTCTAATTATTTCCAAGGGTAAAAAAATAGGATGTCTATGGTTGCCCTGGAAGCTTTGCTTCAAATTGTCATATTGCCCCTTATCTGTAAATTATTGGCTGACCAGATATGCTTCTATCATCCTTATAGAGCCTACTGAATCAGAGTTTGGTACTTACGATGCCGCACTGTCAATGGTTCACTAATCAAGCCAGCTCTTTATGTCTACTGGGACTGATGCAGGAGAATGGTTATCGCTCACGTCAACATCAATGCCCCGTGCTCATGCACCGCAACTCATGGGCCATCAAGTCTATGGCATCGGGGCCCCGGCTTTCTTGCCCTGGTGCCCCGGTCCCGGCATTCGTATCCTGACAGGGGTGACGGCCTCGTACTGTAAGCCTCACAAGCAAGAGTGCTTGTTGTGCTGTTGGCTAGGTTCCTCCGCAAACCGCCATCACCGAACGCAGCTCAGTGGAGGTTGGAGCCACTATACTCTATGGCCCAGCGTACGACCTAAACTTCATAGGATCTTAGGTCGGGGAGCACCTCTCGATAGTTGATAACCATTGATGAGCTCACATTTCTTTCTGATTCTGGTTGTGAGGCCCCGTGTTATGATTTAGCCGCTCCTGTGTTGGGAAGCATCGAGACACTTAAATTGACACTACTGAACCACCGCGCTTGTTGAAGAATCACTTGGGAAATCAACTGTGTGATATTGTCCATATCATCCTTGTTGCCTCCAAGGATCTTCAGGTTTACTTTTGATCTTGCATCCCAGTTGGCACTTATGCTGGCAGGCCCATCTTCCGCGGCCCTGGGCCAGGAATGTCTTGGCCGCTTGTCATCAACAAACTTACGTGCTGTTACTTTAGCGGTAGTGCTAGCCCACCACCGCCGGGGCAAGTCGAGAAAAGAAAAGACATCCAGGCAGTGAAATATACTAGGGAAAGTATTGAACATCATCGACCTCTGACCTGTCGATAACCGCTTAGGTAGCCCATGTTGCACCCAGCTTGCTCTGGGCCAATATATCATCACGGTGGCGCTCCAACTACTTCGTTGTCACCACCCTTTTTATTATCCACCATTTTAGTCGTCGGTACTCATCAGTGCTAAATCCACAAGAGACTGCATACTAGACCACCTTGGTCGGTTTAGCCTCCGACTCGATCTGAATCCCTCACCCCCCCAGACCCCCCCTTTCCTGGTCCATGGTTTAGTTGCCGCTAGATACATTATCTTTAAGAGCAAAGACCCTTGTCTGCGTTGACCCTAGAAGTCGATCGTCTTCGGGACCAGAGGTCAAATACATGCCAGGGACCACATTTTGATCTGGTCAGAAACCTGATCCTATTATTGTTACCATCTTTGAGCTTGCTCTTCCCTCACAACGTACCTTTACCTGCTGCCGCGCTGGGAGCATCTTCTTCGTTGCTTTCTCTTTGTGACAGATTCAGAAAGCCCTGCTGGTCAAAGTATACTTCGTTCCCATCAAAAACGGTATCACCATTGCGACCCAGGTTCTTCAGTAACGTCTCCAAGGACGTTCTCTATTATACGGCTTCGTCTTGTGTACCGATACTGTAAGGTATCGGTACTTCTATCCAAGTGTGTCGTCCCCGACATACCACCTCTGCAAAATTTCTAGCTCCAGTTACAGCTTGCACAAGCTCTCGACTCAATTCGATCCGATTGTTCATTCTTTTCAAGCAGGCAAATTTGTCTCATGCTTTCGAATGCTGAAAGAGTGCCCAGCTAAACTCATTGCCGACAACTTCAATCACAACCACTGCACTGCACTGCACACTGTCCATGGCCATCGCGATAACGTCGCAGGACTGCTCGAAACTTTATTCGTTGGGAGCTGGTAATTCGTGGGAGAGTACATCATCCGAGCTTCCCATGATTGGCGTTATGTCTTACCACTATCCACCACTCTCCCCTGCCGACAATGAGATGGGTATGCCGCCCCAAGGCTTCATGCCTTCCTATACGCTTCCTTCTCAACAACTCTGTTCTATGACGATGGCCGACTCTCATGCCCCATCACTAGGTCAAGATCATGGTCTGGATATGAAGGGGTCCTACTCAGCACCGAACAATGCTGCCTTACTGGCTTCTGAGGCAGAAGAACAACAGCAAAACGGGAACTTGGGCGAGAAGAAAAGAAACAAGCTGGGTTACCATCGTACTTCGGTGGCTTGTGGTAGGTCTAGGTCTGCCAATACATGAGTGTACTCGTCTTAACTTGTTTTCACAAGGTCACTGCCGGCGCCGAAAGATCAGATGCATCACGTCGCCTAATGATACCCAAGGACGCTGTATCAACTGCATTCGTTTGAAGAAAGATTGCAGTTTCTTCCCTGTAGACCAAGCATCGATTGACGATTCACGAAGCAAGCAAACATCGAAATCTTCTACAGGTCCAAAAGGGAGCTCGGCAACATCGTCTCCAGCAACTCCGATCAGCAATCCAGTTGAGCAGCCGAAGAAGACAAAGCCACCGTTTGTGCCATCTTCAAAAAGACCTGGACCAATTACAGTTCCCAAAATTACAGAAGCTGAAGGAGTCAAAGGGTTTCCACCTCAAACAAAAGGTTCATCTATGATCATCAACCTTTTATCATTCTAAACTAATTGAGAGTTGCAGCTTCAGGGATTTCACCTACAAGTATGACCCCTCCGGAAGCGGGAAACCAACATCCTACCAGCTGGATAATTACAGCACCCGAGCACAGCCCAACTTCGTCCTCGAATTTGAGTACTCCATGGCATACATATGCCACAGGATCTCCAATGAGTGCGCAATTTTCTCCATTTACCTCAGTGAACCACTCCCCATCTGGCTGGCCCCCTGTGAACTCGGAGCCAGTACCCCAGGGTGACATGGACATGGCTTGGGGTCAGTTTGCACCACCAACACGGTCCATGTCGTACGGAGGAGAGCCTCTGTCCAGCGGCCATCCTTCTCAGTACTCTTTGATGGCCCCAGGTCGACAATTCGAGCGAAGGCCATCCGCTTTGTCCGATGCATATACGACTTCTATGAGCGGTATGGTCCCTGGGTTCGATGACTCCAGCATGAACACAGTGGTTCCGTTCCCACCAAACGCGGTGCCTGCGACCAACTACGCAGCATGGAACCAAACACAGGCATATCCTGGATACACATATGTGAAGAATCAAGAGACCTACGGTGATGATTGGTCTCACGAAAGGAGGGGGCAAGACCAGCAACTTCAGGGGGACTCTGGTCAACAGGTCATAAATAACGCGACCATGAATGCATATCAAACCCAAAGATAATGGTATACAGCACAGAAGATATCTTGGGCTTGTAATAAGACGAGAACGGTTCATGGTGGGGGCGTTGATGACTTGCTCAGTCCGTCAAGTGATCTGGGTAAGACTTATAATGATATATATATCCGATTTTGGTGTTACTCTGCTGTGTTACTGTGAACTGACGAACAGTCTGCAGCCTTTTGAATCTCACCTTGCCTTAAATCTAGTTATTGATTAAGCCCACTTGTGCAGTTACTTCAGAAGGCCAAGGTGCAGCAAATGTGGTGTTATACCAACATCGATGGGAAGAAAGCAATCCTGAACGTGAAACATCACAACTGACTATGTGTTTCATTAAGTTTGAACATGTGACTTTACTGTATAGCTCTGACCCGGCTGATGTGGGCATGAACTGAAAATTCATATTTGGGTTTGGACTTTCCCCGAGGTAGCCTTGTGGACTAAGACTGGCTTTTAATCCTTTTTTCATATAACGAAAACTCGTCTTTTTCCCATCCTTTCACGGCATTGATTGGATTCTGAATCCGCCTGTCTCTGTAAACGTCGAATCAAAAGTCTTGCCTTTGTTCCGACAACCACATATAGCTCGACATCTGTGTATATCCTGGGGCAATGGAGAAACTACCACATTGAGTGTATAAGTCATTTTTGCCATGCATAGCAGTGAACAATCCACCCTATCTTGGCATCAGGTTCTTGAAGTTGTTCTTTTTTCCTAGTATCAAGCTTCCGTCATATCTCAATACTACTAGACAAGGATTCCCAAATACCTGTGCTAATATGTAAGTAGAAGAAGGTTTCAGGTATCAAAAACTAAGATACAGCCTCATGTCTTGTTCGTGGCTCATAGGCGGTGGCAGTCTCCCTATCCGTTCTAGGTAGCTTTCCCATCCTCATTTATCTAGCCCGGAAGATAACCAGACGAGACAGAGAGCACATAATTGAACAACCCATCGAATAGAAAAGGCCTTGGTCTTAACGAGGTGTCATCATCTGTCCAAAAAACCAGGAGAGCAAGAGCTGAGATGAACCAAGAGAAGCTTAGGGTCACACCGACCAAACACATGGCGTGGTCTGCCATTCCAGTGTCTTTTTCACTTCCAGGGGATACAAAGGGCAGCAATTTTGATTTCATTTGAAATTTGCGACCGAGTGTACTATCGGGCGGCTGAAGTTATCGAGGATGAGCTTTTGGCTGAGGCAGAGATACTAGGCCGGGCAACCTGTCGTGCAGATTTCGTCTACCATACTACCAGACACTCCTCCATAATTTATCTCGGGAATTTGACATTGATACATGGTGTTTTAGTGTTATAGGATTATTCGGGTTTTTTTTTCGTGCAGGTGGGAGGAGTCCCCCCCCCCCAAAGAATCTCCAGGAGCTCAACGGTTGAGATGTAAATTGTTGAAGCAAGTACATATAAGCCCATGAATGATGAGCCAACTCATTATTTTACTTACCTTCAAGTACTGGATAGTTAGGTGATCAGAAATTTCCTGGAAGGTTTGAATTATTTATGAGTTTGTAGTAAAGTCAAACTTTGTGATAAATGAACGACCATTCCCTATAGAAAAATCAGGTAGTTATTAGCATAGTTATTGAGAGTATTTGTGGGATAAAGGCAAATATTCATTCTAACTAAGAGTGTGTGTAAGATAAAGTGTTCTTTTTAGTATGTCGCCTTGTTCTATCACTGGGATATTAATAAGATTTACATAAACTTGATGTCTGCACTTGAGATCTACTAAATGTGTCTTGATAAGAGCCATGCTCAGTAGTAACAAATTTCGAGTGTTTCCAGTTATTATATCTACAGCAACAGTTGGGGTGATGGTCTGTTATCATATATTCTCAGGATCGTTCAGAGCTAATCTCTCTTTATCTTCCCTATGAAAAGTAAGGACCTAGGCGCAATGGAGAGGAATGAGTCGCAAGCAGCACAGAAGGGGAGAATATTAATCTGCTTCAAATGTGCAAGGTATTACTATCCTGTAGAGATCCGATGATATCTTAAGATATCCAGGTGCTGTGTTGCATGAGAACTGGCGTTTCCTGACACGACAGTGCAAAAAGTGACTTTATGAAACTAGACGCCACGTCAAAACCATCAAAGTTATATACGCACTCAAGCTCAGTATGGTCAGCAACAATACACTATTCCCGCTCGTCCTGAACTTCCGCTTCAGTGACCCGTCCGCGGATTCAGAAGTAAAGAACTGGTTCTGGCCTTCATATCGGCGGTATATGGCTACGAGCATTACTGCAACCCCGTACACAGCAAAAAGGGCGCCGATGGCATAGAACTCTTCGGTGAATACTTTGAGGATAATAAGGGCGAATGAGAACTGGCCGAGAGCTGTGCGGACATAGGCACCTTCGAAGGTACGCTGAGCTGCTCTGACCTCAACGAGCCTGTACATGTCAGTAAGGTGCATCGTTTTCATCTCGTGTCTTCCAGACTGCGGACAATAACATGTCTTCGTCCTCATACGACATCGAATGTGGATTGTTGTCTAGGGTGAATCCTGTCTCAGTGGTACTGAACTTACTCTTGTGTCGTCAATACAACTGAACGTGCTCTGTGAAGGCGGAGGTGGAATTGATCACCGGGGTGAGGCTGCGTTCAAGAAACATTCTCAGCATCCATCCAATACTATATAAACCTCAAATTCGGCTACCAACCTGGAACATGGTAAGCGTATTGCCTCCTGAGAGCGTGCGAGCAACAATCCCGCAGATGATTGTGTGTGAGTCTCTAAGCTTTGTGTATAGCGAGACGTAGGTAAGTGACTGGGCGGTTATAGTCCTGAGTTTCACGAAGATGCAATCCAGTCTTGTTCTTGCGTGAAGATGAAAGAGCTGAGGTTGAGGAGACCAATTCCGGTTTAGCGGCTGGGAAATGTCATGGGTGCCGGTCATCCCATGTAGTGGTCACGGGTAGGCACACTCCTTGAGCACTAGACCAGTTCATTCTCGACTTTATCATTATTGAGATGATATTCCGCTGAATGCTTTCCGTCAGGGCCGGTGGATGGAGAGCGCACTTAAGGAGGTTAGCTATGTCATGTCTATTACACGTTAACACAGTAGTCTAGGTTGTTGTCATATTCACGTTGTACGATGGAACCATCACGTTAATCGTGTGTCACGTGTAGTTTTAAATATTCGGCCATGGGAATAAATCTAACCTTTAGGTGTTATTTATAAATCAAGAGAAACTAAATCTGACAAGGATAATAGTGCCCTTCGTTGCGACTCTGTCATAGAAGAGCTGAAACCTTCATCGTTCGTTTTTGAATGCACTGCCACATAGTCCATCCACAACCTCACATCCTTTAGACAGGAATCAAACAAGCTTTTGGGCTCTGACACCTTTTTAACATGACACTGCACAGCCTCAAGCTTAGGCTCGGGATTTAATTGCTTGGCCTCGGTCATGCAGTTCATCGACTTGGCCCCCCATCCAATCCATCGCGATTTCGACCTCTTCAAGTTGCGCAATGGTTGCCCAATCAGGAACGCAACACAACATATGACAGGACCGCGCAGATAAAAATGGAGAACACTGAAGGGACAATTATGTTTCCAAGACTCTAACGTCACATCTGGGTCATTGTCTATCGACGGGTTTGGTCTAGGCTGTCGCTTTCAGCCTTGAAGGGTCGCCCGGCCCATGCGATCCACCAAGACGACGAGACTATTGATAATGTCACAATGTTGGTCAGGCGAAACGGTCGCATTTAAACTCTGCCGGTCCGTTTATCGGGCGCGCAACAATACAACCTCACGTGGTGTCGAGTATGCTTCTACGGAATCGAGGGTAAATAAAGCGGAATTAACTGTGAGACAAACTGGTGCGATCTAACAACCAACCATATGCAATGCATCGACTGTGATCTGTGATCTCCAACATTTGTCAGGCCCTGACAGGCTCATGCATGCACAGCACAGGGGAGGCTGTGTTTTGTAGCGACTTTTAGTCTCAGCCTTGAGACAAAGTGGAAAAACCCAACAACATCGTACAGGAAGAACTGAAGCATGCCAGATCAATTTTTTCAACAGGATGCCTGGAATCTAGGAGGGTCGGGCAACAAGCAATGCTGTTTATACGGAAACCTGTGCCTTGCCACTGAGACAAGTCTCAGATCGTCAGTGACATCAAGGAAACCCTACAGGGCTGGTGGGAGCCTTTGGTGCAACACGACATATAGAGACTGTTTGCAATCAGGTTAACAGCCTGCCTCCTCGAAGTCGAACAACCACCGTCAGCGCCGCAGCACCATCGCACACAATTTACTCGAACTGCAAAGTCGGAGAATGCCTTGAGACTTGTCTTCAAGTTCTTGAATGGCCAAGCGACGGACGAGCTGGAACAGGGGTTCATGATGGGGCGTGGGGCTTGGTGAATGCGCCTCGGCAACAGAGCCCCCATTGAGAATGCCTCGTCGAGATGGATGGTCATGCACAGCACGATAGAGGAATACCAGTATCCTGTGCTGTATGCCAGTGCTGGGTTCAAGTATCGCAGCATCGGTTAATACCAAATCTCATAGACATCAAACAACCGTTTCCCCGACGGCCCGCCTATTGGCAAACGAGTCTCCATCCACAACCCTGCAGCTGGGCGCTCCTCCACTCCCCATCCTCCTCCAACAAATGCATCACACAAGCGCCAGATTAAAGAGACTGGGGACTAGGAACCAGGTCCAGGCTGTACTGTATGTCACGCCTGCGCCTAAAACGCCCCTCGTTCTGTTCTCGACCCTACATGTATCTACTGTACCAACTACCGCACGATCTTACCGCCTTCGTCTGGATTTCTCTTAATCAAGACGCCGGCTCTGACTGATCAAGCCTCACTTCTGTTTGGTTCTGCCACAATCTCTTCTTGTCTGCCCTCCGGTCTGCCTTTTGGCTGCACTTTGACTTGTACCTGGACGGCCGCCAATTTGCCTGTACCATTTTGTCCCCATTTCAATCGCGAGCCCCTCTCGCCATCATATCACAACCAACAGCTTACAGTAACACACCTTGTACACCTTGCATCTAATCAGCAAAGTGCGAAGCTGCCCCGTCGCTCGTGTCCTGGACAGTTCACCACTTCAGTCCTGCTTGGATGTGCACACCACAATCCCGCGCCGATCTTAAATCTTTCGCATTTGATACCTGAGCTCTGGAGCTGTTGCTCGTCGGATTCGATATCCTGGGCAACTATAGCATCTGGCATAGGTACCGTGCCTTTCTAGCTGCGGTACTAAGCAGGGGCACCCCTAAGCGCTCTCTGATCCGCTTTCGCGCGCAACGCCGCGTTCCAACTTCAGCCCTCTCCCCCTCCTCTCTCTTCTCTTTCACATTTCTTGAACAAGGGATACTACACTGCAATCCTTCGCTTGTTGTTCTCAAATCTCCCGGTAGACTCTGCTTTCCCTGTTCATGAGGCGTAACGGCCCGTGGGATCTCAACGGCATTTCTTCTGCAGCTCCAATAGTTCCTCTGCACTTGAGCCGATCCACTTCACTTCTCTACGGTATCACCTTGAAGGCTATGTTCCCTAGCCTGTGATCTGACTCCGGGAGCTCGCCCAGTCAAGGTCCACCTGTTGCATATATACTTCAGCTCCTCCCTGCACTTGATCGCAACCATGGCTTCGACATTTGATGTACCACCTGCCAGTCTTCATGACAAGGATAACCAACCCTTCCCTACCTCGAACCAGCAAGCACCAACCTCAGCCTTCAACTCGAATCAACTGCCTACCACACTGTCGCGTGTGGATAGCGACTCACTCTCCCCGATCAACTACCTCGAGACACCAGATTCCACCTCAAGCTTGAGTCACTACCAAGCCAGTGACTTCAGCGATTTAGACGACGACCCTTTCTTTGGTGCCGACTTCAACGCTGATGGAGGTGCTCCCAACTTCCTGGAACAGGACTTGAACGGACTGGACCAGTCCTTTACTCCAGGCCTTATGCCAGATAAGGACGTGGACTCTGGCACATATCCATTGACGCCTGAGCAGACGGCATCTGTTCATGCTACACCACCTCAGGGTGATCTGTCATACGCTATCAAAGGATCTGCACCATCGGAACTCCCCAACTGTATCTCACCCCAAGAGATTCAAAAACGATTCAACCCTCACCCAATTAACACACAAACGTCTGAGTTGACACCAAGTCACAGTAGCAGCTGCCGATCTAGCGAGGACGGCCTTGCACCAGGTGTCGCTACCATGACGAGCCCTCGTGTTACTGTCTCCATGTGGGGCAATCATGATGAGACTCCTGTTCACACCTCTGTTGAGCGCAGTTTTGAAGACAGCCCCACCACAGTCCGCGGAGGTTTTGAGTCTGCTGGAGATTTGATATCTTCCGGAGACAACTCATCTGCCCGTGACTCTACTGGCAGATGGCAGCAGAATCCATTAACAGGCCAATCTGGCCTTGACCCCAACAACCGCCCCTCTAACGAAGTGCCGAGCATCAATGAGCTCGCAACTCGTCGAGATGATGATGAACGTAAAGAACTCGTGGGTGATTGGCTGGCCGACAAGATGAACGACCTTTCAGTGAGGCCAGACGACAACTCACGAGACCAAATTAACGAACTGGACAGCCAACGAGACGATCCACATGAACATATGATTCCCTTTGGCCGGGAGACTGAGAATAAGTTCATTCCCGGTCAGACCTACTACCGTGACCAGGGCGAAATGAGCCAACAAGACCGCGACATCATCGCTGCTAACCGTAACTGGGCGGACGCACCTATGTTCCCTTCTATCAGCCGTGGAGTGCCGGGAAGAAACCAACCCGAGTCATCAGCCGCTGCCATGGAGAGATTTGAGAGGATGTATCGTGATACTGATTCCATTCTGTCGAGAGCAGCAACATGGGGAACCCGCCGGCGAAGTCTCCCTAGTGTCTTCGATCTTGATATGGCCGACGGCACCAGTGGTGGTATCCTGAAGAAGCTCTCAAGCAGTCGAGAGAGCAGGTCAAGCAAGCCGGGGAGTCTCCTAAGAGATCTTCGAGGACTGGTGCGGCGACCTAGCGCGTCTCGTCTCAAGCGTACTCTCAGCAGCGGTAACGACGAGGAGAGCTTACCAAGCAGTGAGGGTAGAGGGAGCCAAGACTCGAAGCGCGACAGTATTTCCAAGCGAGGAGACAGTGTCTCTCACCTTGCACCACCAAACCGCATAGGTAGCTGGGGCAAGAAACCCATGCCTTCTATCAACACGGCGATTGCTTCCATGGGGAGCAATATTGCATCCATTGGAACTACGCATGCTCGAAGCGGCTCTGTGAGTGGCAGCGCCACCCCCGGCGGTTCCATCACATCACCAAAGAGTCCCTTTAGTGGTCTTTCCGTGAAAAAGTCGATACGCCGCCCCCGAAGCAAATCCGAACTTCCTAAACCTACCCCAGCTGGCATGCAGACAGAAAGCCATCCTACTCTCGTATCGATGTGGAAGCGTGAGACGGGAGGCCCACCTGTAGCAGCCCTAGCCAAAACCAAACATGCCGACTTGGATGATGATGACGACGATGACGACGATTTCAGCGATGAAGCTGATATGAGAACAAACCCCAACGTCATTGACAACATCACCCCCAATCTCGAAGGGTTCCAGCAACACATCATTGACCTGAACCCTGGCCTGGCGACTACCAACACCTTTCTGGTCGACCGCATCGCATACCACCAGGTTCAACGATACAAATACTTACTGAAAAACAAGGTTGCTCATATCGGCCTTGGTGCTGCATGCAACTCTGGAATAATGTGCGTTTCTAGAGGCGGCTCTGCTACCTTGTTGGACCAGAATAAGAACGTACGAGAGCTGGATCCTCTTTCGTCCCCAAACGATGAGGATGATGGATCTCCAGTTGAAGGTGCTATCAATACCGAGAGCTTCCCTCAAGATATTCCAATGCCTCCAACTTCTCACCTTCCAGCTGAGTTTGAGTGCCGACTTTGCTTCGCTGCCAAGAAGTTCATGAAACCATCTGACTGGACTAAGCACGTCCATGAAGATGTTCAACCATTCACTTGCACCTGGGACAAATGTCCTGGGCCAAAGATGTTCAAGCGCAAAGCCGATTGGGTCCGACACGAAAACGAAGGACATCGGCAGCTTGAGTGGTGGACTTGCGATGTTGAAGCCTGTCATCACCAGTGTTATCGTCGTGATAATTTCCTTCAGCATCTTGTTCGAGAGCACAAGTACCCTGAGCCAAAGGTCAAGAGCAAAGCTGCTGTCAAGAAGGCGGGCGGCTCTGAGCCGACGTGGCAAAAGGTTGAACAGTGTCACCACGAGACTACGAAGAAGCCACACGATGAGCCGTGCCGTTTCTGTGGAAAGACATTCCCGACATGGAAGAAATTGACGGTCCATCTGGCCAAGCATATGGAGCAAATATCATTGCCCGTACTTCGACTGGTAGATGCAAAAGCCAGTGAGCTCAGCGCAGACACTGTTATTAGCCCAGTACAGGACCCTCCTCCACGCAACATATTGACCACGCCTATTCAGACCAATATGCCGATGCAATATCCCGTGGGAGGACAACACCAACAGATTCCACAGGCAACTCCACAGATCTATCAGAACCACAACCAGAACCAAATGGCGTACCCTATGATGCCAACGGAGCCCTACCACCAACAGCAGCAGCAGCAAGGGTTCTACACTGACCAGTATACCAACGCCAGCAACGCCACCCACAACTTTCCGTCGGCACATGCAGAGATGGGAATGCATCCGATGAACCACCAGAGCTTTAATGCTGCACCCATGCAGGAAATGACTGCGAGCAGTGCTGGCTACCAGCAAAATGCAAATGCGTTTATGATGCCCAGTAATGGGCTAGAGACATATAACCAGATGAACCCCCTGGGGCTTCAAAGCCATGGAATGCCCATGGGACAAATGGGACCGATGGTGTATGACGGGATTACAGACCCTTCGAGTGGAAATGGGAGTCCTTTCAGTGGACAAGGATCCATGTCTCCTTACTCTCACTCTCCAAACCTGAATGCCAACACTGGTAACGGTATGTGGGGTGATAGACGCATGGCTGGATACCAGTAAGAATGGCCACTGTACCGGCAGTTCGGATATCTATTCCTGTTCATGAAGGCGCTTTGTGTTCTTGAAACCACACACACGACATAATATCTTGTCCAATTATGAATGAAAAAGGGGAGGATGAGAAAAATGTGTTTTTGGATACCATGATGATTCTTACGGCAACGAATTTGTTTTACAGGCGATAGCCTTGTTTCTTTTTTTGTTCTTCCGGAATGAATAGACTAGGTAGGGCTTGCTGTTTGGTCCACGGGGTGCGTTGAAGGATGATGGGATGGATATCCTGAAGTGGGGCGACCAATATTGGAGTATTATGAGATGAAGAAGAGAAGGAAGGGATTGGAACAGGATACGGCGTCTGGATACCGCACTTATGAATGCAAATAGTCTTTCTAGACTCTCTGATCTGCAACTTGGCATTTCTAAATATACCAGATATATGCATCTTTCTTGGTCAAGATGGAGGCTCAGCGGAGGCCGCCCTTCGCGTGAGCAAAGTGCTTACGAGTCCCTGGGTCTGGTAGTCCGCATCTAGCAAGGGAAAAGATGGAGCGAGTGCAAAGCTAAGCTTTTGGATTCAAAAGGAGTGCAGGGTGCCAAAGAACGTGGCTTGGAGGATCAAGGGCCAACACACGCAGTGGGGAATCTTGAATAATAGTCGAGCACGGTAAGGATATCGTGTATTATAATGCACTAAGTGTTTGAGATTGATGGCGTTAAAATCAAGATGCTTCTCATTTCCACGACAATGGGGCAAGGAGGATTTGAGAATCCAATTTACCGCTCCTGACTGTTCCTTCATGAGCTTGATTCTCTTATCTTTTGTTTCTCTCCTAATTTAATTTCTTGCGCCGCTTCATGGGAAGCAATTGCCATTGTCAGGGATTCAATGCCAGTAGCTGGGATACTCGGATTACCGAGATTTGCAATGGCCTGGTCGCGTGAACGTTCTTGGCTCGGCAGGAAAGCGATGAGTTAGGCTTGTTAGATTATGGGAGGTTGTTTCTATCTATGGTATAGAAATATAATAACTTGGCGGTGATTGCGCTGGGGAGGCTATATTGGCGGTTCATCAAAGTTCCATGGAGTGGCAGATTGAGGTCAATGCTTCTGGCTAAAAGTCACCGTTTTTGAACTTGTGAATTAGTGACGACGATCATGAATTCAAGGTTGTGTAACCTTTCTTATTTGTGTGACCTGAGTTAGTGGTGACATTTTATGAGACGATTGAGTTTTGGGTCGTGTGTTAGTCGACACATCAAACGTAGGGTCCCTTAGCCACGGGACACTCTGGGACGTGATTTGTGTAGAAAGTCACACCTGCAGAATTGAGCGGATGAAGGGTGAAGCGATGGATTGTTAACGTTCGTAGAGCACAGGCTATCCCTTGCACTTTGTACGCACTTGTGCATAGTGAGGACATGAAGCTTGGACAGCCATGATGTGAGGTGGTTCACCACAAACCCTGGCCAGAAGAATCAAAGGTTCCACTGTGATTGTTGGTTATGCAAATATTGGCTCGAGACCAGACTGGTAAATGATCGATCTTCGTCTGCTGAGTAGCGAGACAGTGGGAGATTTTTATCGATCAATAGTAGTATTTGTGTTAATGTATCCGTAGTGTGTTTGTGTATGTGTATAAGAGGCTGACAACGGTGGAGATAGTCAGTCAGTATCTCTATTATTAGTTCTCAGCTCCCAACCTCAGTAATTCAGTCCACCAACTGCCCAAAGAGCCGTGAAAAACTCTTCATTACACGATTTGCTTCCAGACACACGATGAATGCATATTCATACGCATTTTCGTACACAAACCAAACTGTACCGAACCAGTTCTCGTCCAAGTTTTTCGACCTCGACTGGCTGGTTTCAGAAGAAGCTGGGGTTGACGTTAGCTTGGCCCGAGACTGGTCAGCCACCCGCGAGTGAAACCCCTGCAGCAACAAGCTTGGCCTCGGTTAATTGTCCGTGATTGGATGGTGAGCACCACTGGAAGAGACCGCATCCACTAAGCTGCCAACGAACCACTAAAATACCCCTGGCCCCTGGCATAGACGGGTCTGGGATCTTGGATGGGCAGTCTCAGGGGTTCAACTTCTTCTTGTTGTGTGGTTCGATGGAAGAGGAAGTGGATGGGATCCGTCTCATGGATGATTCAAATTGCCCACTGAGAATTGTGATTTGGGGACTTTGGAGGGGACCCTGGACGCTAAAGAGTTGGAGAGACTCCTGGCGTGAGGCTCTGTAGAGCACTTTCTCCCCCAATACCATTTGGAAGCTGTGGTCCAGGGCGTCGCTTCAACCTCGTCACCCCCTTCTTGTCCACTCCAAACCTTGCGTCTCCTTGGCTTCCTTGCTCGTCTCGTCCATCCTTTCTCCTCTTGGGGCTTTCTCCTCTTTTTCTGCTCGCATCTTTGCCTTTTACTGTACTCGTCTCCCTGTTGACTTTGATCTATTCCTTCCCTCTTCTCCCTCTTCCTACTCTCATCGTCTCATATCTCTTTATTTGTTGCATTATAATCTTGAATAAACAAGAAGCGTCTCTGTTTTTCTTTCCAGCTCTCTCACACTCTCTGTTGTTTTGTCAACTATCTGATTTTGCCGTCCGTACAAGGACATGCTGCTTCCTTTGCGGCATTGTCGACTACTAGCCTCTCATTTCAGCGTCACATAGACAGAAAACACCAAACCAACTACACACAGCCACCAAAATTAGACTCGACGACGACCTCATCACGTCTCCCAAAAAGACTCTGGTCTCGCGATACGAAACACCCTCGAACGACTTTAACGCCGGCACGTTGGACATTCACGGGTTTTCAGGCAATTCGTTGCCCCTTATCTTCTCTTCTTTCCAGGTTGATCCTCGGCCTACTTCTGTGCGCGTGCTTGCACTGCTTTGCCGACACCTTTGAGATATCTTTTTGATCTCGGACATTCATTGCTCTCTTTCCAAATTGTTTTTCTATCCTCATATTTCATTCATCGTCTCTTGATACCATTCCTTAGTCTTCTTCCGTCAAACGAATTCCAACTATTCCTCGATCTTTCCTACTCTATATCCCATCCTTTGGATATATCGACATACCTATCACGACAGAAACTTCCTCAAGCCATTTCCTCGGTCAGTTCCGAACGAGCCACGAATTTCCCGTATTTCTGTAGTATCATCTTGCACGACATACACTCAATATGACCCGAGTTCACTCTAACTGGAGTGCCTGGAAGGTGGCTGTAACGGCCGCGACCCTCGTCACCGGGGTTCTTGGTGACAACATTCTCAAGACATCTGGTGTTGCTGATTGCGGTTCAGAGCCCGGTATCAGCATTGACAAGTTGGACATCAGTTACGACAACGACAAACAAACTGTCACTTTCGATGTTGCGGGTACCAGTGACAAGCAGCGAAATGTCTCTGCCATCCTCGAAGTCAACGCATATGGCCGCAAGGTCTACGAGAATTCAATCAACCCCTGCAGTAAAGACACTCCCATCCCCCAGCTCTGCCCTCTCCCCAACAAGCATTTCGCTGCCGCTGGAAATCAAAAGATAGACTCGGAGTGGGCCAACAAAGTTCCTTCTATTGCTTTCCAGGTCCCTGATATCTCAGCTCAAGCAACTCTCCGACTCGTGTCAGTCGACAATCCCGAAGAGCAGGTTGCGTGTTTCCAGGCTCAAGTCGGCAATGGAAAGACTGCCTCCGTTCCCGCTGTCACTTATCTCTCTGTCGGTGTTGTTGGTGCTGCCCTTCTCGTCTCGGGTGCATCCGCAGCTTCATCCGCCCTTAGTGGTACTGCAGGCGCTGGACATGGTGGTGCTCCTAGTCCAAGCTTTGCCGAGACTCTCGGATGGTTCCAGGGCATGGCCATGAACGGCATGCTTTCGGTCGACTACCCCCCTGTGTACCGCAGCTTTGCCAAGAACTTCGGCTTCTCAGCCGGTATCATCCCATGGGAGTCTTTGCAGAAGTCTATCGATAACTTCCGTAACATGACCGGAGGTGATCTTACCAACGACAGCTTCGAGGTGCTCAGAAATGCTACCCTGGTCTTCTCCGATAACTCTACCAGCTCTCCCGAGGACCACTCGTATAAAGTTAAGCGTGCTTTCAACACCTTCGAGTCCTTGGCCAACCTCGCCATCCGTGGCGTTGAGACTTCAGTGGGCGATACGTCAGAGAGTGAAGGTGGGCAAAGCCTCAAGAACCAGACCCTCTCAGTTTCTGGAATCTCGGCCTACATTCAGCAGTATAGTGTTCCCAAGTCCAACACTTTCATGATGGTTCTGCTCGTTGTCGCCATCATCATCGCGACCATCATTGTCAGCATTCTTCTCGTCAAGGCTATCCTCGAATTCTGGGCTCTGTTTGGCAGCTTTCCGCAATCTTTGGCTGGTTTCCGTGAACATTACTGGGGGTCCATTGCCCGTACCATCACCCATCTAATCCTCGTCCTCTACGGTATCTGGGTATTGTATTGTGTGTTCCAGTTTACAGTGGGCGACTCGTGGGCCGCACAGCTATTAGCTGGTGTCACGCTCGCAATCTTTACAGCCATTCTTGGTTGGTTCACGTGGAAAATCTTCAGCACAGTCAGGAAACTGAAGAGCACTGAGGGCAACGCTGATGCCTTGTACAACGACAAGGAAATTTGGGTCAAGTACTCTCTTTTCTATGAATCCTATAAGAAAGATTACTGGTGGATCTTCATCCCCACCATTGTCTATCTCTTTGCCAAGGGGTGCACTCTCGCTGTCGGCGATGGTAATGGCATGGCTCAGACCATTGCCCAGCTTGTTGTTGAGTCCATTTTCCTGTGCCTCCTCGTCTGGACTCGACCCTTCGAGCGAAAATCCAGCAACATCATTGGTATCGCCATTCAGACTGTTCGAGTCCTGTCTGTTGCTCTCATTCTTGTCTTTGTTCATGAGCTCAAGATCCCCCAGGACAGCAAGACAATCGCTGGTGTAGTCCTCATTGCAGTCCAGTCTGCTTTGACTGGTCTCTTGGTTATCCTCATCATTTGGAACGCGATCAACGTTCTCGTCAAGGAGAACCCACACCGCAAGCGAAGAAAGGAGATGGGTAAGTTGATTTGAAAACCATGAACTGAAACATATACTGACAGATCTTGCAGAGAAAGCCAAGCGTGATATGGACACTCTCACCCCTCTGGATGCCCGCAACTCTCTGCTCCTTGATCGCAAGGACAACAACAACATCTCCATGTTCGCCATGCCTGCTCCTCAAGAAAAGGGCTCGGGCCGATCTATGTCCCCTGACCAATACAGGGACGCTGAGTCAGGATATCAACAACCACCACCAAACTACCTGTCTTCGAGCCCCCCAATGCAACGAAACCTTACCAACATGGAGCACAACAACGACTCTCAGTATCTGATGGACAACGCCGCACCTGTAGCGTGGACCAACCGAGACCCAAGTCCAGTGGGCATGGGAAGATACGACTCTGGGGATACCGGCTACAGCCCTCTCAACAAGCAACAAACATATGGGTATGGAAATGGAGGCGGTTATAGAGGGTTTTGAGGAACAGCTGGCAACAGTTGAGTCTCACTGTCCATAATGCGATTTACCTAGCATATTTGGATATGCTTGTACAGCTAACGCCATCTGGCTCTTATCTATTCGATACGATTTTTGGCTGCTTGTACCAAAAAAAGATTATCAAAGTCTGGGTATCTCTCACTTACATTTTGGAGACGGAGTACGGAAGTACTCGAGGTTTACAGCGAAAGACTTTGTTTACTACGGAAGCGCATCAAATCATTCATTTTTGTCAATAGAACCTTTTAACTATGCAAACAACACTCTCAATTGTATCTTTCGTAAATTTGATGCAACATAACACGGCTTTCCCCTACATCCTTCACTACTCTCCATGCGTGAGCAGGTAAGAGTTGGATATCGCCTTGAAGCTGAACTGCCCATCCTCGCGCTTGAACACAATCCCCTCCCTCTTCCGCCCATTGATTCCCCTTCCTTCCGCTCGATTAACTAGATCTGTGACCTGCGAACCCATCTCATTCAAAGGCCGGTATCCATGTACAGGCACGTGCTTAACGCCCAGTAGTGGTGCCCAGGTCTCGTACACCTCCCTTGGTGGTAGGTATCGCTGCCCATCAATGTCATACACTGCAAAGAGGAAAAAGGAATGCGTTCCCTTGGCAAATCCTTCAAAATTACTCTGTATGCTCGACCCGCAAAGTTCACCCTGAAGAGCTATGTTACGCCCGATCTTGGGCAACGTCTCGTGGAGGTTGAGTGCTCGTGCGGTAGCGTAAAAGAGAGGCGGGCTTCGTGGATGATTCTCTACCAGAATACGATTCCGCGAGCAAACTGCCACGCCGTTATGTCTCGTCTCGCTAGGGACTGTGCTAGCGAGAGGATTGGCGTCGTTGAGGTAAAAAACTGTCATGGATGAGCCGTCCATCTTGGTCGACTCCTCGAACATCTCAGTACCATGCTCAGCGAATACATCTGTGAGGTTCTGCACGCGCTCCTGGTTTGTTCGTGGTATGAAGTCAGGATATTCAGGCAAAGGTGCGTCTGATGTCGAAGTATGTTGAAGTGGCATGGCAGGCTTCTCAAATTTTCCCACGTTGAGGATGTCCTCAAATCCGACGTCCCGTAGCTTATCTGATGGAATGCCATCCAGTTGAGCAACTATTTCCGGGAAATCGGCCAATGGCAATAGAAGCCCCTGCGACAACACGCCCCGGATCTGAATAGTCTGAACCCGGATATCCGGTGCGGAAGTGGGGCCGTCTGGCCCGATGATCTTCGGCGCCAGAGGAGCAAATCGCGGGTCCGTGGCCGGTAGAAGCGAGTCTATTTCAAAGTATACGGCGCGATCCCCCACTTCAAAGACGTTGACGGGAACGACGCATGTCCAACCGCCGACAGTGGCAGCCGCAATACGGTCTGCCCGCGGGATGGCTGTTATGGCCGAGACGTGGCGGACTGTTACGAGCTTTCGAGGCATGATTGATGAAGTTTGTCCTAGATAGTCGATTCCCAAAGAAGAGCTTGAGAGGGTTTGAGGAGGATTCTCTTCTTTTAAGCGCTGGAGGGTCAGTGAATCGATGATATGACTCAAATGCAAGGATCACCTAAGTTGTACGTGAGAAAGTTGAAACGGTCTGAGTCAATGTTGTTAATATTAGGCCGTGCTTTCTGCCCTACTGGGATGAAGAATCGTTCGAACTAAAGAGGAGCAGGCATTTGAGCCTATAAGATAATGAGCTGCATGCACAAGCAATTGTTTCATAGAATGTACTCAACAAGCTCAAAAATAACTTATTGGTCAGGCCTTTTCGAAATGTAAACGAGGTGAAGGCTTGAATTAGGTAGCTTAGCTCTGGTACAGGAACTGTCGATGCCGATCTTATAGGCACAGAAATTCTGCCAGGAATATTGAGTTTGCCGGATGCTTGGAAATGTGATCTACGAGATCTGAGATAAGGTGTCACTGCGGCTGCAACGTGGTATGCATAACGGTTGGTGCTGATCCCTTTTAAGCTCAGCGAGATTATCAACATCTGTAACAGCACGCGGTGGGACACCAGGTCTCATTGAAACAAAAGATAATGGTATTTCTGTTCTATCCTGCTGCCAGTGGAAACCACGGCGGTTGTCATAATCTGAAATCGCACCGCGATGCTTCCAGACCAATTAAAAGGAGCGCAGAGGCAGCTTCTTGGCTCCAACAATTATCTGCTCCCCAGTTGCATTATGTTGAAAGAGCGAGACACGCATCAACAGCCAGGCCGACCCTATAGAAACATGTCAGCTCCGGCCCAAAAGACGTCGATTTGAGGACCACTTACCTGCCCTCCTTCTCGTAAACCACATCACTTATAACATCCTTGTCCAAGTCAGGGAACATGCCTGCTAATGTTTCGACGACATTTGCATGCTCTGCACGGGAAAGTCGCTGAGCCTCGGCTGCTTCAGCGCTCGCCTGCCGTGCGGCAGCCTCTTCAGCAGATAATGCATGCTTTGAAGGTGCTTGCTGATGTTCGCGAGGCTCCTCACGGCTGTGACGCTCCGGAGGCGCTGGTGTCCGAGGCGCACTGCTAGGCCCGGGATCCATGGAAGGGCCAGGATCGTCAGAGAACATTCTCCCAATGCTGGAAAGAGGTTTTTGTATAGTTTTGAGAAGACCAGTGATGGCAGCTTTCTCTTCGCCCGTATACTCGTCATTCGAAGTTGAAGTGCGTGGTCCGTCAAGAGAAGGACGAGCAGAAGTTTCTCCAGGAAGAGGTCCAGACTTCTCGTTGAATACTGGCTGTTGGGTGACTGGCGGTGATTGAGCATGCTTTTCAGCAATTGCTGAGACGGCCTCTTCCACATGCTTCTCAAACTCCTCATCAGTAATTGTTAGAGTAGTTCTATCCATGTTTTCAATGAACTGAACAGCACCCATCTATAATGTGTTAGATTGTGACTACTTCCAGAGCAAACTAACATACCAACGAGGACAAGTAGTAGCCTGCTTCACCCCCAAGCTTTTCCTGGTTCCTGAAGCGCAAGATGTATTGCACATTAGACACTAGGTGCTCTGGATTTGATTGCAGTACAACATAAATAAGCAGGGGCATGAAGGAGTCAGCTGAGGAATCAGACTTGTTATGTTTTAATAAACCTGTCAGTCGTTAATATGATTATGCAACTGTAACCTTTCAGCTGTCTTACCAAAGATCACCTTGCAGCAGTTCAACACACAAATGATCTTGTCTCGCGGTGCCCTGTAGGATTTTATTTTTAGCAGCTCTGGATCAAGTTAGTAAATACCGACAGTCTGTAACCTTGAACTGACCTTGCTGGGCTAGTTTCAAAAACCGACGTCCACTGTCGCCGACTGGCGGAATGTCCAAATGTTCTTCCCTCACCCAGCCGTAAATGCTCATCTTCTGCCTAACAATATCATCTCTCTCAACATCCTCTTGGTGTTGGCCTCGCCTGCCGGGGCCAAGAGGAATATCACCGCCCTTGCGCTTCGGCTTCGCCCCAGGAATCGGTTTGGGCGCTTGGATTGCAGGCGAAAATGTCTGAGTATACAGTCTGTTCATGACCAGCTTTTCCATCCCCTCACGAGCGTTATCGAACTCCGCGTCAGATACATCCCTCCAGACCTCGCATTGCGCCATCTTGTTGGCAATAAAGGCCAGAAAATCCCCTATAATCTTGACTTGCTCATGCACCATCCATTGTCGTTTGCCAAACTCAGAGAGGAAAGACTTGAGGTACCTTGCCACAGGATCTGCCTTCTTGTTTCGCAATTGCTCGAGAAACCGGTGGAAATCAAAGGGTTGAGTAGGCTCTGGCTCTGGCTCAGGAGGAGGAGGCCGGTGTGACTGCGCTGGCGAGCTTGGAGAAGCAACGCTCATGTTCCGCTCTATCTTAGGACGCGGAGGTGTTCCATGAACACCATCCTTGGGTGGAACAGGTGGCCCCAGATCCTCAACACCAGTGTTGTTTGGGGTCTCAGCTGGAGGGGAACTCGTAGAGATGTGTAGGCCCTGCATCTGACCAGAGAGCGTAGGCACAAGAGGTTCCAGACTAGACTTTCGAGGAGGATGTTGAACGGGATGACCTAGCATCGGCGAGGCAATCTCCAGTCTGGGACTCATGACTTCTTCTTCGCCAGGACCACCACCAAACTCGCTAAACTGCTCCATGATGCTTTGAATTTCGGACTGTGAACCGCCTTCGTGCTCATCTTCACTTATATATCGTCTCTCGTCAAATTCTGCGTCTGATTTAGGGGGAGTAGAATCTCCAGAGACATGAGAACGCGCAGCATTTGAAGGGGTCCGCGAAGGCGGCTGAGAGGTTATCGGGGTCGCAGGCGTAGGGTCAACATAAGTGGATGGTTCGGCGGTGAGGTATTGGGTGGTAGCATCGTTCGACGAGGGTAATGCAATAGGTTTAATTTTGGCTGCTGTTGAGGCGTGAGTGTTCAAGTAACCGCTGGGAGCTTGATAATCATCGGCAGCTTGCTTTTCCTTGACCATTTCTGAGGGACCTTCCTCAGCAGCATCAGCCTTGTGTTCGTGTGCTGCAACGTCAGCTGCCTGATCACCAAAGTCGATCAAATTGTCCTCCTTTCCAGTATTGTCCCTGGAGTCCGATCCATGGCTATGATGATCTATGGTTTCAGGCGTCCCTGCCGCAGGGTCCTGAGCAGACATCAACTCGACATTGGGTTTGTTAGACAGCGTCTCGTCTAAGACCGGCTGGCTAGATGAAGTTGTGGATTGCTCTGGCGGAGACATGCAAAGCTTCTGAAGGTTCGACGGCGAGGTAGCTGTTTTGGAGAATCGGGCTCAAGGCGAAAGGTTGACTTGTGTAAGACAAGATAGTGCCCATTCACCGTCCTACGAGGCTGAAGGTAAAGCTGTATCGTGGGTCTTCAGTGAGCGGTTGTCGTCGACGACGATAAGGTCAATAAAGTTCAGGGCTTGTTGATAACGAATCGCTTCGCAGGTGATCAACAACTACCACAAAATGATTGTCGTTTGGCGATGTTGTCGGGTCAGCGTCTTCGGATTCTTGGAGTTCAGCAATGGATGCCTCTAGTTAGAGCCCAGGCGTAACTACAGCAAGCTGGATGGAGCGCATGGCAGGACCCCTCATTCTCCATCTTCCAAGCTAGGCTTCCTTCCAGCAACCACTGCCTCAGCTTTTGGTCAGGCGCACACTTATTTGGAGCTCCATGAAGTGGGGCAATTGGTACTTCTGTGGGGAGCTTGGTTACAGTATGTTTACAGGGGGGCGTACCTGTGACGTCGCGATAGTTACAGGGGATATGCTGCAGTGTAAGTTCCAAATCCTTCGGACAAGCTGCGATCCGACGATATTGTCCAGAACTTCCTAGGCTGCAGTCTCAACAAGAATGAAAAAGACAAGGACAGAATTAGAGGCAGAAGGGTTAGATGTACTCCTGGGAGTAAAAAAGAGCAAAAGCGAATTTGCTGGAAGGGAGGTTTGAACTCCCGCCTCTTTCGAGAGTGGTGTTAAATAGATTAACTTAAAACCACCGCCTTAGACCACTCGGCCATTCCAGCTATGAAGAATGTAATAGCAAAATCAATCACTACAACCAACTATATTGTTTGGAGTCTGCTTGTGTCAATCAGCTGAAAGCTCAGCCACCACCAATCCTTTCACCGAAAGAGTCACCAGACTAAAGGCGTTGGTGCAGACAGTATGTTATAGATATAAAGCCAGGGGCTTTTAATTCTTGGAATGGCCACCATAGAATGTCTTACCATCCTTGAACAGACATCATCGACCTTGATCGATTTCTCCATAATGCCAACAGCACCTTCAACCGCCCCCTACCGCCAAGTTCGTGCCTGTTGCAATGACACCACTATAATAGTGTACCAAGCCTACAAAGAATCCATTGCTAAAGCTGCTGTAGATGCGCAGAAGCTCAATGCATCCCCGGATTTCAAATCAGGTCGAATGACATGGATCAAGCCCAGTTGGGCATGGATGATGTACCGCGCCGGGTACTCTTACAAAGACCCTGGCCAATCCCGCATCTTGGCTTTGCGAATGAAACACGAGCACTTCATCACCCTCCTTGAGCGAGGTGTGCTATCAAGTCACGCTCATAAGCTCAGCCCCGGCGAGAAGCGTGAGACGACGGTTGATGTGAGAATTCAGTGGGACCCTGAGCGGACAGCAAAGCTGGAGGTATTGCCATATAGAAGTATTCAAATCGGCATTCCAGGAGCCCTAAGTGAGCAGTGGGCGAATGAATGGATTGTTGAGATTGAGGATGTCACGGATAAGGCACGTGAGCTGAAGAGAGTGATCGATGAGCGGCCAGGTATCACCGACGAAGAACTGCTGAGTATGGGTCTGATATTCGAGGAGAGGCCGTTCGAGGTGCCAGAAGCAGTTCATACCAAGCTGGAAATGACAGATGTTCCTGTATAATAGTAACAAGCGAAATCCCGAACCAAGTCTGTCTCTGTCCTCAAAACCAGGTATTGACTTTCCGGCTATTCTCAATCTCCAAAGTCAAACTGTAGAATAAACTCGAATACCTGCTCTCAATTCCAAGTTTCGCCGTCACGATATCTGGAACTCTCCACTCCAGCCTTCGCTGTGTTTTGTCCAGAACTCTTGAAAAGTCCTGCTTTGCAATCCAAGTCTGTTCTTCAAATGCGTACCACGGTAAGAAGTAAAGAGGCATCGTTTGAAAAGGGTTTGGAGGCAAGGGCTCTAATCCCATGACCAAGCACTGCATGGAATCTGAGCTGCCTAGGTCAAGTTCCAACACTCCCAGAACTATGGATGCTTGTAATGATCCAAGTGAAGGACCAGGTGCTAGGTCAAAGTTAATCTCATATGATTCTGGCGTGGTCGAGGGACCACTTCGAGCATCGACAAAATATTGCCATGTTGGTGATCGTGAACGCACTCTGACAACCATCCTACTCTCCTTTGCAAGGCCCTTCATCTCCGGGCGAAATATCACACCCTTCAAATATCGTAGGTCCGGGGTGTTATGTGGTACGAAGATCTGTCGTGGAATGGCCTCCTGCAAAACATCTTTTTGACCACTTCGTATCATGTTCAAGAGTTCATCGGGAAGAATGATGCTGTTCATCATGGACAACGCTAATATGTCTGGTCGAATTCGCACAAAATGTGAGTTTCTGTCCCACGCTGCCCTCTGAAGGAGGATAGCCGGGTTGATAGATGTCTGGCCTCTTCGAAACTCGCAGTTCAAGAAGGCCAAGAAAATGGTCCCTGACGTATCGATTGGGAACGGCGTTAATGGAAGCTCTAAATCCAGTCCGCGGTTTGTCATAGACATTGAACTTCCTGACCTAAGTGATAGGTATTTAGATCTCTTAGGTACCAGGCCATTGAGATCTTTTGAGGTCTGGCCGAGATCGAAAGCTGAAGGGCTGTTTGCAAGAAGGCTCCAATACGTTTTTCCTTCGACCCGATATCGAGGCTGCCGCCAAGCAAAAATTGACTCATCATCGGTAGATTTAAGAATCTCTTCTTGTAACCGCTTGAAAGCTTTGACTTGACCTTCCCCATAGAGCAAAGGCATGTTAATATCGAATATACCCAGCAAGCAATAAGCGATGTCTTCTGGCCTCGTTGTTTCGCGCCCAGCAGCCCAGAACATCTTCTGGGCGACTGAAAACTCACCAAGCTGACTTTGCCTGATCTCCGCCATATGATGTGTTGCGTCGAGAAGCTCATAATCAATCCCAGTGACACTCTTTATATCTTCTCTGAGCTCAGATCTGCTACCCAGTCGCTGCCAGCCTCGTCCGTAGAAAATGACCTTTCCCGGTGCGATGAGCTCTTGAAGTGTCCAGCCTCTGGTAAACCAACGACTGGTTGCAAATGTCTTTCTCTGCTCCTCTTCAGACTCTGAGGAGGGAACGTCTTCAAGAAAGGCGATACAGATGGTCGATTCAGCATACCAACGAAACATCGAGTTGATAGCTTCCGAAAGCTCGGCGCTGCTGCTTTTATCGATACAGCAAGTATCTATCCATAAATAGTCCAACTTCAAAGAGCGTGCCATTCTACAGCTCTCGCGCAGCTTGCTATAGCGTTCAAGATGAAGCGCTTCCTCAGGATCACCTGAAGCAACATCTTGAAAAGTGACCTCATCGTCACCCCAGACATGGGATAGGATGGCATATCGACGCGATCCGCCAGGATAAAACTCAAGTTGAAAAGTATGTGTGTTTATGAGTCTCATGTCGAGCTGTATCTTGGAAATGAACTGGTGATTGTCTTGAGTTGCTCATCTCATGTCAGCTCTTGAGCTTGAAGGCTCACAGGTTGTTCAGAGTGGTGAGGGGACAAGTGGGAATAACCCCGAACAAACTCTCTGAAATAAGATATGAGAGTTTAAGAGGAGTACGACGAAGCTGAAATTTGAAGAATATTCATTGTCAGAGGGTCATTCACAAGGTGGAATTGGGATTGATGAGGGAAGTCGTCGCAAAGGGACTAGATACAGTGTAATTTTATCAAGACACCGCACTGTACACTTAAATGCCTTTCGGGGTGATGGAACCAAGGTGCAGTATTTATTCTTAGATTAATGTTTCATCAATGTCATTACTCGGTCATTCTGCTTTCTCCCAATTTTAACCATTGACAATGGTACCGCCATTGCAGTGGATGGTCTGTCCACTAACACACGAGCTGTCACTCGACGCCAGGAAGACCACGCACGTAGCAATCTCTGATGGCTGAGCAGGTCGTCCCATGGGGCTTGTGAACTGCTTCTGCGCTTCGTCGTCCATTGTGGCGGGAATGAGAGGTGTCCAAACTATGCATTGTTAGTTGTATCATACATTGGTGAGATCGGCTTAACATACCGGGTCCAGGAGCGACAGCATTAACACGAATACCCTTGCCGACATATTGATTGCTGAGACCGCGTGTGAATGAAACAATCGCACCCTTTGTGGATGTGTAATCGAGGAGATCAGGGCGACCGATGTAGGCGTTGATGGAAGCATTGTTAATAATAGTAGCTCCTGTCTTCATGTGAGGGAGGGCGTATTTAGAGATATAGAAGAAGGAGTGGATGTTGATGTTGAAGGTGTGAATCCATTGCTCCTCGGGGAGGTCTTTGATATCCTGGACCATCATCTGGTCTAGATCGATTGTCAGATATGGTCGATATGGTCGATACTGTCAGATAAACCTACAAGCTGCATTGTTGAATAGAATGTCAATCCCGTTCATTTTCTCCACGGCAAAGTCAACAAGTTTCTTGCAATTCTCTTGTTTCGAGAGGTCAAGAGAGATAAGATGGACCTTGGCACCCTCGTTCTCAACCTGCTTTTTGGTGTCCTGGGCATCCTTCTCTTCTTCTGGTAGATAAGCAATGACAATATCCGAAACGCCCTCCCGGCCGAACAGAAGAGCAGAAGCAGCACCAATGCCACTGTCGCCTCCAGTGATCAGTGCCTTCTTGCCTTTGAGCTTTCCAGAGCCTTGATATGTCCTCGAATTGCCGCCGGCCTCAGGTAGTTCGTCACGGGTGGCTTTGGGGTTAGGCATCTCCCTCTCAGTACCAGGGAAGTCCTGGTGAGAGACGGGGATATCCTTCTCTAATGCTTGGTCAGTTGCTGTGTCGTTGAATTGTAGAGAGTGGCGAGGGAGAACCCACCATTCTTGAAGTTCTGGGTCGTCATTTTAGTGGCTGGATTATAGTCAATTGTGCAATTAACTTCTCAGGCTGGAGGGAATTGAAAGTTCTTTCCAAGTTGCTCGGAAGAGCCTCCTCTTTTTAATACTCATCGTATAAGAACACACGGAGCATTCAATCCGAATTCTGATGAAGATCGATCGATGACGACACTACAGTCAGGGTTGAACATTTCTTTGTCACATTAACGGGGCCAGCCAAGCAAAAATGAGCATCCATGCTGACAACTCTTTCTCTAATCTGGCGTCTGGCTTTCCATGATGTGGGAGCTCCTCTATCAGTTTATAGAGAGATCGAGCTATCGACCAATCGTCATGGTCGTACGCTGGCTTATGACGGCAGGAACTGGCAAGATATTTATGACCTTTTCGCTATCTTCACGCGAACATGACGATCTTGTTGTTGAAAAGAGGGGCGCACATGTGCGGTACTTTGTTCAAAAGCCCAATGCCGATGAGATTGCTGTGACGTAGAAAGTTGCAAACAATGGAACTTTCGGACGGCCACCGATGGCTTTCATCCGCTCGGCACCATCCGGACCGGCCCCACTGTGACGGCCCGTCGCCTAATCGTGGTGTCCGGCCGATGCTCCTGACCAGAAAATCCCATTGTTGTACGGAGTACGGATACATCGCGAGGCATCCGTTTCCCCTCCCACCTGCGCACTTACGGTTGGACAGTTTTAGTTGAGATACCGAAACGGTGGTCATTCGAAAACAGCTTTAGTACAGCCAACCAAGCTTGAACACACGTAGCGCTGGCCGGGTCATTCAACATAGTAATATTATTTGAGCCACACAAGACAGTATGTTACATTGCAGGATGAATAGTAGGAAGCAAAACTTAATAAACCGTCTAAGCCAAAGAATATTCTGTACATCGCGTGCCTTTGGACAGTATACGCGTCGTCTTGATCATCATCCCATGCTGATCTTCTCTTTTGCCCACGCAACTATAATGCTCGTCTTTCAAATACAATGCCATTCCAAACTCAAATCAATAAAAATCCCCAGAACGCCAGGTTCCGTGTCGTGCTCTGCTCGCTGATCGATAGTATTGTTACAGAGCGATCGCGCCTCGACGGCTTTCTCGGGTATGGAGGAACCCTTGGAAGCCACAAAAGACGAAGAAAGCCTATTGCTGTCAGCAAGATGCAAGATTGGGTTCGGGTTGCGGATGGCCAATCCGTTTGATCGTGGAAGGACGTACAACGTAGACGAGGACGGCGATGAAGATGGTGTCTGAAACTGCCTTGCCATCTTCGGGATCATCTACGCCACCCGTGAATTCTTCATGGTTGCTTCGATAGAGACCTGCGAGAGCGCTGAGAATAACAATGGCGAAAACGGAGAGAACGGTGCTGGAAGTTTCATGTTAGCATCATCATGATCAAACCAAAGCAGTTCAAAGGAATTGGCGAACCATGACCACGCATTGAAGGCGCTGACGACGGGCTTCATGATGGGCGTATCTGGAAAGAGCTCAAGTATGGCTGGCCAATCGATGTATCGCTATGAGTGTGGTGGTGATGGATTGTTGTTTGCGACGTTGATACTAGGTAACTATAGCTCCGTTGCTGGTGGTGGTAATGCGTCAATGTGTCGCCGTTTAGCTCCTTTCCTGCCTCAGCAACAAGGCTGGGAATGAGCCACAAGCACCGCCACATGTTGGATGCGCCACTCTATCACCAGAAACCCAGCTAGATCTTGACCAGGCAGGGACGGCTAGGTACGCCATGAAATTTTTCGGTGTGTATTACCTTAGACTATCAGTGCAAGATGCATGTCTCCGTGTTTGTTCAGCTTTGTGTTCCCCCTAATTTGGTCTGATGCTGGCTACGCAGTTGAGCAGACAGTGCTAACCAAAATCTCCACAAATCAATGTTTAGATGCTGACTTACACGGATGGTCTAGGATGTGAACCTTGTGAAATCCAAAAGAATAGTTGACTGATCTTCCTCAAGCCGGAATCCGGGCTCGGAGAAGTGTCACATTGAAATTGAGATATTATCTTGGCTGACGAGAGGCAACCAGAATCATGGCGTGCAGTTGGAATATTCTGAAACCCGAGATACAACCAACCAGGTGTATGGTCTAGCCATGACCACTAAAACTGCGTAACTATTTCTCTGATTGTTCTTGATCACAGAGGTTAACTGAACTACTAATCTCGTGGTAATGTAGTTACGTAGTATATTAAATGGTGACTACATTGGAGCCTACCAAAAAGGTTGAGCCTCTAACTAGAATAACAGAAATGTATTGGTGTCTTAAGCGACCTTGGCATTTGAGCTCTGTGCTTCACGCTCCAATAGCTCCAGGCACACCTCTGCCCAGAGCTCAACACGAAACGAAACGAAACGAAACAAGACAAAACATGCAAGCGCCATGCTTGTGATCGCCAAACTGATGATCAAGAGAGTTACCACGGAGGGTTCCATTCCGTCAGATGACGGCCTTGTCAGAGACTTTAGATAAGTGGCCCTAATGAGGCAATACCAAGGCTCGGAAGTTGAGAGCATCTCATCAAAAGGAAATTTGTGATGCCATCATTACGCACTCGTTTTGCTTGTTGTGCAACAGCGACACAAACAGCAAGATCTCAAGCCAGGGCTTAGTAAAATGGATGTTGCTTTTAGACGCCGTGTGAGTTTACGCAACCCTCCCTTGTTGCTTGTTGGCCGTCTGTCGCCTGTCAGCGATGCACCGACCCCAGCACCCTCCTGGCAAACACGGGGTTCCGTGTGCCGAAGAGCTTTCAAAGGGGCTTAAGCTGTCCGCTGGTGCCCCATGCTGTGCTTGGCCGTCATAGCCGTTGAATCAAAAGGTGAACAAACGCATGGCGTCGTGTCCGTTGAAACAAGCAAAGCCTAAGCCACGTCGCTCGTGAATACGGGCTGTCCCCTGTGACCACCAATCGTTGGACAGATCTCTCGGCACAGGGAGACTATTGCTTGCTACCGGGCCTAGAATGGATCGTCTCTCCCCCACGTTATTTGCTAGGCAATTCATTCATTGGGAGTGGAGGTGAAGAGCCTCTTTTTGGTTGCTGCTTGCTGCACAAATTCATACCAGGCTTTGCCCAACACGGATTGGGGACTTTAGCATTTCCTCGTTTATGCGGCTTGTACTGAGAGCTGCTTACGTTTTGACCAATCCATGTTCATTTATCCTCTAGGATTATCACCTAGTGATGGCGCTCTTGGCAAGCTTCAGCGCCCACGCTATATATAGCTTCGGCTGCCACTGCCACTGTCAATTTCACTGCCGTTCATCATCTCATCTCAACCTAAGACTGGATCCGTTGATTCACTTTTGAGCCAGTCTCAGCACCTAAATAATTCTGTCGGGCCCTAGTGGTCATTTCACTCGCTCGTATACTTTTAATATCGAGATCCTGCTTCGCCTCGACGGTCTTTAGTCGCACCTGCTTGCCTTAAACACAGCATTGCCTACATATATTGCACAGCTTTACCATCTCACTCAAGATGCGCACTCAAGCTATCGTGGCCGTCTTATTCTCGGCGCTTGCCGGACAGGTTATTGGCCAGGATGACTCTCACGATGCTCCCAGAGTCAACGACAACCCTATTGGTGTCAAATACAAGGCTACCCTTCCCAAGGAGCCTTTCTTCAAAGATGCCGCAATCGACGGCAATGTCAAGGGGTTTATCCAGGCTGAAGCTCCGAGTGATGGACACGGCGTCCAGTTCAAGGTCCAGTTCAGCAACCTTCCCAAGGAGGGGGGTCCCTTCAGTAATTATTCGACTATCGCTCAACCAGACTGTAGCTGACTTTGCCACAGCATACCACATCCACGTTGAACCTGTTCCCGATAATGGCAACTGTACCGCCACTCTCGCCCATCTCGACCCTTTCGCTCGTGGCGAGGAGCCTCCCTGTGACCCTGAGAAACCTGCCTCTTGTCAGGTTGGAGACAACAGTGGAAAGCATGGAAAGATCACCAGCGACCCCTTCACAGCTGACTACATCGACTACTACGCCTCGACCAAGGAAGGTATCGGGGCCTACTTTGGCAACCGGTCCTTTGTTCTTCATTACGCCAACAAGACCCGTCTGACATGCGCCAACTTTGTTAACTTGAACCCGGGTGTTATCGACTCGAATTTCACTGCCCCAGCTTACCTCCCTACTCCGACTGAGACTGTCAACCCTGAGACGAACACTCCTACTCCATCAGGCACTGGCACTGGCGGCAAACCTATTTCTACTGAGACTAGTGTTGTTAGTCCCAACGGTGCCTCGTCTGCTACGCTCCCAATCAACCTTGCTCTGGCTGGTGTCTTTGCTCTCATTCTTGCGATGTGAGGGGGGTGAATGATGAAACTGGATTTGATGCGAGGGGCGATTTCAGTTCGTTGAGAATATTGAAAATTCTTGTCTGGAGGCAGATTGCTGTTCCCTTTAACAAAGCTTGCTTGATACGAGCTGCAGGGTGTTCTAGTTTGTTGACAAATAGACATAATAAAAGAATCCTATTTGAAACCTATCTTTATGGCTGTGGCGCATGTCCAAGTGAATATTAATGCAAATCGGCGGTTATGGGTAACGGGTTGGTGGCCAGTATTGTGCGGCGCAGATGTGCTGGTTGTCACTGACCTATGAACTACCTAGGTATGTAGGCATCTTATGGTAGCCAGTTGATAAATATCAAGGTACGTATAAGAAAATGCTGATCTAATTCTTGAATGGAAATCTCGGAAGCTCTCATTTCATTCACTTGAGTAGTTTGATGGAGACCTTTGTAAAAACTCCTTGACCTTTTGATTTAAGCTGCTCTAACTGTTATAAGCTGAATTCCTTGTGAGGAAGCTTGACACACTCGCGGGTAGCTGTACTTTTCCACCGAAGTTATCAATTTATGCGTCCAGGGCTTTCAAGAATCAACGACGAACCACTCTTCATGAGAAAGATGCGATAAGTGAGGCATTAATATCAATCTTAAGCACTGTTTCTTGTAGCTTCGTTGAGTAGCGCAATCAGTCGATTGCTATAGAAGATTCCGGATTCTATTACCCCCCTGCTCGCATCAAGACTGGGATTGCGCGCAACGTTTGGAGTGGATGCTGAGCAACCATGGATCTCCTGCATCTATTTTAGTGCACTTCTGCCCCCAAATCATCGTTCTCGAGGCCCGGCCCTAGCGCACGTAAGAATCACTAGAGCTGACCAGCCAAGCATAAGGATTTTAGCTGCATCCATCTCTTCTTTCAGCTGAAACCCAGGCTGCTCAGCTCATCAACATGGAAAGCATCAGTCAACATTCAAACAGGTTCAAGGTTCTCAACCTTTGAGAAGTCAGGCAACCCTTGGCTAAAGTCTCATCAAAACCTTGTTACTGCAATCAGCATTGCTTCCTTGATTTGGCCTTGGGGTAGCTGACTAGTATTCACTTCGGGAATGTTCTATCACATGGAAAGGGTCAAAAAGAGAAACTGCCCTAGCTTGGACGTGCAGATACAGATGCAGGCCAAGCCGAGGAACCGGGCTGGTCTGATCAGAGTTGTGTCATATATTGATTCTGGTTGGTGAGCGGCTGTGACCCAGGTGGTGATTTATCCCCGGATATCCCTTGACCATGGTTCCTTGCTTGCAAAGTCAATTAAAGTACTTGTTAACCGATCTCGATGGTCCTTATCGTTGAAGATTTGTTTATCTTCCGAGACTGTCTCATCTTCCGTCAATACTCGGGGAAGTCTTTCTCCCTTCCCAAACACAGCTGCTTGTCCATCAACTGCCTACATGTCCCCCTCAGTCATGGTACGTCAGCTTTGTAATCCAGAGCCACCAATCTGTCTATCTTGAAAGGAGACTGACTACGTGTTCAGGTAGACACAAATACAGCGCTCGAACAGCGTTCAGAGCGAGATATACGTTCCCTAGACATGGAATACAACTTATCGGTCGAGGATTTTCGAGAATACGAGTATCCTAACATGGCACAAGGTGTGCCAGTCTCACTCCTTGGTTCTTCATCCCCAGATCCGCTGACGCTTGCTTACAGGGGCTTATCTTGATCATGGAGGAGCTACCATATATGCGCGATCACTTATAACCGGCTTCTCCCAAGCAATGATTGGTAACCTCTGGGGTAATCCGCACTCAGAGAATCTCCCGGCAAAGTTGTCGGGTGATATGATTGATAATATCCGTGCAAAAGCTCTTGATTTCCTTGGTGCTGATCCAAAGTATTTCGACCTGGTCTTCGTCGCCAATGCTACGGCTGCTATCAAGCTCGTTGCTGACGCGTTTCGGGACATCGGAGAGAAGACCCCTACCAAGGGTTTCTGGTATGGATGTCACAAAGAAGCCCACACGAGTATTATCGGGGTTCGCGCACTCACGTCAGGAGACTATCATTGTTTCGAAGATGATGAGAGTGTTGAAGAATGGATCTCGCGGCCTTTCAGCTGCCAGTCCAGAAGAGGAAAATCGACCAGTCTGGGCTTATTCGCATATCCAGGCCAGTCCAATCTTAGTGGACGCCGGTTACCACAGGACTGGTCGAAAAGAATACGGCAACACCCTCAACTTCGAAATGTCTATACCCTTTTCGATGCTGCGGCTCTCGCTATGACTAGCTCCCTCAGCTCCCTTTTCCACGATCCGATGGATGCACCCGACTTCACTTGCCTTTCGTTTTACAAGATATTTGGCTTCCCTGATTTGGGAGCATTGGTTGTCAGGCGGGCATCCGGACATATACTGAACCTGAGGAGATACTTTGGCGGAGGAACAATTGCTCAGTTATCCCCCTCAAAAGACTCCCGGGTTATGAAGAAAGTTCCCGGGCTGGGGGATCTGCACAAAATATGGGATATACATGAAGGTGTCGAGGATGGCACACTGCCATTTCACAGTATCTTGGCGCTTGGAGTCGCCATCGATACACACCTAAGGCTTTATGGCTCAATGGTGAGTTGTCATGACACTTTAAATTTGGGATTAACTGACGGTTGGTCGCAGGATATGATATCTCGTCATTGCTGTTATCTCGCTCGCTACCTATATGAACGTCTTGTGGATCTGAAGCACCGAAACGGATCTCCATTGATCGAGCTATATGTTGATAGCCCATTCATGTATGGCGATCCTTCACTTCAAGGGCCAACTTTTGCCTTCAACATTATGAAAGAGGATGGTTCATATATCCCCTGGACGGAGGTAGAGAGGCTTGCCAATAGCGCTGGAGTATACATACGAGCAGGAGGTAAGGACATCATCTGGATTCATGTTAACACTGCTGACGATTATGCTTTAGGCGTTTGCTGCCCTGGTGGTGTCGCTAAAGCCTTGGACTATGAGGACTGGGAATGGGACAGAATCTTCTCAAGCGGACACGCCTGTGGTTCTAGTGAGATGGCAGTCATACATAATAAGCCAACAGGGTATGTTTCATCATAATCATCAAATTCATCGACTGACAGGAGCAGAATCGTTCGCGCGAGTCTCGGTCCCATGACGACGAAGCGAGATATACAGGCCTTCATATCATTTCTTTCCAACGAGTTCAGCACAAAAAGCGCACCAATACCACGATTGTTTGAAACAGCAAAGGATTTACCGCTACGAGAGAAGTTACCCTATCTTACATCCGAAAAGGAGTTTAGTGAGCGCGACCTTGTTTATGAGCATTGACATATGTGTTGGAAGAGCTTGATGTTTATTTGAATTTATATGAGGAGTGAACTGAAGAGTTCGGTGTGCATCAAAGGAGCTTTGTGTGACACTGGGGTGGTTTTTGTGTCTTTGTCGACATAAGCCGCTGGGGATAGGTCTCATATGGGAATATCTATACTCACCTACACCTTCATCACTTCCTAATCTACCTAAGTTAATGCTTTTATATTTCCTTGAGATAATAAAAAAAAACGTATCTCGGGTCATGCTGAGTCAATTATCCAACAGTCACAGAATTGCAGAGACGTTCCGTCTTTACATGCTTCGAATTCTGTCTTCATCTTCTCGCCGGGGACAATACATTCGCGGAACAAGGGCTTTTAAAGAAAAGACGATCAGACAAGACCTAAAAGATCTCTGAGCATGACCTTTCGTGACAAAGACAGCCCAACGATGACATTTAAGTACTGGTACACTTGTAAGAGATATCAGATCCATATTTCAATTTGACAAACACCTTACCAAGGAAAGGTAGCTTCCATTCCAGGTTGTTGCTGGTTACCTTACCCTTCGCTTATCGTTGAAAAGCACCTTCCTCAGCAACTTCGCAGCACTCTGCCTTCACGTGATTTGCATCATATCCAAACCACCTTACTTTACTACAGAAAAAGACGACGATTGCCTGCGTTCGAGCACAATAGCAGTCCGACGATTTTATTGTTTTTGGACCACAAAATTCTTAGGAGCTCTCTCTCTCTCCCAGCCAGCATCAATATAGTCGAAATTTCTTAGCTTTTTCATCTCGTCCCTCATGCAATCGTCACAACTAGATTCTTTACACTTACCCCACGTCTTCGATACCAGAATACACCCTTTATCGATCTACGCATTGCGGTCTGCGATCAAGCCGGTTCGGGGGTCTCCAGATTTTATACCAGCGCACAAGGCATCTGCTCGCACTTTTCGCCTACGCCGCTATTTCAGTACAAAAAATGGCAAAGAAAAAAGGCAACCAGACTCCTGGTGGTGAGGGGCAGAATGCGACCCTGGACAACGCTTCGCAAACGCATCCACAAACCTCAAATACTATGGATACAAACGGAGGGAGTCAAAAGAAGAAACCAAAGACGTCGAAAGAAGGTTCTTCTTCCTCGTCTTCGTCTTTCCAGACACTTAACATTTGCCGGAACAAGTAGGTTTGGTTATGCGCCGCTGATTTTCTTGCAAAGTGGCCATTTGCGATCCATTCGATTACGGCGTTGACGCTCTACCTTAGGCATTGGCGATACATATCCTCTTTCCACGGTCCTTGGCTCCAAATGCCTATCGAAATCCTCGAAACAATTGCCAACATCAACTACAATACCCCCCGGCCGTGTCCTATTGACCCTGCCGTCCTCTATGACCTACTGAAGATTCGCCGTCTCGTCGACGAAGCCACCAATCTCGCCGTGAGAGCTGCTAGTGACATTGCCTCACCCGTGTTGACTAACGTGCACGGTGGACTACCCGGCGCATCTTCTATGTCTGTGTTGGGAATGACAGGGCCAGGACATGGGACAAGATTGAGCCGCGAGCGCAAGTTTCGGATGAGGGAGCAGGCAAGCCAGAAGCTTAGCCGTGCATACCATCTAGATGAAATTGCTTGCAGCGTTGCAACAATGCAGGGTGCTTCACCGATTGATGAGATTGGGGCGCTGGTGCTGTTGCGTAACCCACAGGATCAAGATGCCAAATATGTACATTTCTTCCATGAGAAAATACCCTCCCGCCAGTTGGCAGAGTCTACTAGTCTTCAGCCCTTGACAGACATCATATCCGAGAGGCCCAGCGAGGGTGAAGCTCTCCGAACGCGTGCAATCGTCAAAACTTTCAAGGAGGATTTCGAAGGTGCGGCTCATGACTTGACGGTCGCTCTCACAGTGTGTCGAATACATCAGCAACCCCATCGACTCAGTGGCAACGAACTCGAGTCCCAGTATTCACATCGAGGCAGACGATGGCGTCAGGACATCACCCCATCTGAGAAAGATCAACCGAGTAGTTTAGAATCTCAGCTGTTATTCCTTCGTGGCGCGGCGTATCTATCACTGGCATGTCAGTATGTCGAAGATGGCATCCCAACAAGTCAGAGCCAGAGTGGGCATGCCGATTCGCACAACCCAGACGAGGCCTTTAATCCAGAAGTCAGTGGCCGCAAGTCGCCAGAGATTGAAGAAAAGTCTCTCCGTGAACAGACCGAAGCGCGGAAGCTTGTCAAGAAGTACGCAAAGTGGGCGCTTCGAGACCTCCTCACCTTTATGTCACATTTCGAGTACGCGCCCAATTTACCATCCTCCATCGCAAAGGACTTTAATGATCGAGTTAATTCCTCCGCAAAAGGCACCCGCCATCCTCGCCCTTCTGAGGCCACATACTCTCTCGAGCCACATACCACTTACGCCATTTCGGAACTCTTCGCCGCCGTCCCCCCTTCAGACCTCCCTCCATATCCTAACCAGGAGGTGAAAAACTCCAATGGGAAAACACAGCCATCCGATATGCCCCAGACATGCGAATGGTCGACGTACCACCCCCTTATGGCCGACGCCCTTCACTCCCTCCTCCTTTGTCACTGCCTCACCCAAACTTCGGCCAAGGAGCTTCAACGCCACACCTACATGGCGGCAAGACTGATCCGTCTCGCCGATGGCTATCCGGTCTTCCAACCTAGTCGCTCTGCTGCTCGGTCTGACTGGGTTGAAATTCTCCGCCGCGCCGACGATAACTGGCTACAGCTCAGCGCCTCTTGGGAGACCTTATGCATACCTGCGCCCCTCCCGTTCTTATACGATACCCTCCCCCAGGATGTCTCAAAGATGCACATCGGTGCTTCTCGTAAGGAAGCTGCCGCCGCCGCCGCATCTCTAATCAATGGTGGATCCGACAACGCTAGACCAGCCGTACTGAGTCCGGCAGACAAGCGTCGACAGCGCAAGCGGGAACACGACCAGCGAGTCTACGAAGCCCTTAATGATGAACGAGTCTGTGATGATGCCACCTTCCGTGCATCCATTGAGGCTAGAGAGAAGCGCGATGAGAAAGAACGTGCTGCAACTGCCGCTGCTGCCAACGGCTCTTCATCCAATGCCACATCTACTAACAATTCAGGTCTCAAGGGATGGTCTGACGACGATAGCAAGGACTACCCCCTTTGCAGTGTGAGGGCTAGCCTTATCGCACAGTGGGTGCAGAAAGCACCCATCGTCACAGGTACCACGCGACGCAAGAAGCGTACCAAGAAGACTGTCAGCAGGGCAGCATCACTGGCTGGCCTTCCAGAGAAGAGGAACCTTGAAGATGGAAAATAAACTATGCCGCCATAACGACCATTTGCTAACCCCGTATTTCTTGGTTGCCATTTTTGGCCACTCAGTTGGTGTGTCGCCTGCCCCCATTTGCGGGAACCTTATATGATGAAGAGTAAGCTTGATATCCGAAAGATAATATTTCGTGGACTTCACTAAGTGGTCTCGGGACGGGACTTTTCATGACAAATGCGTTTCATACAGTATAAATCAAGACTTGAAACAAGTGCAGGTCTATCATTCAAGCGTCCTTCCGCAGACAATGTCTAATGCTTTATAACCAAGAAACGCCGTCCATGCTTACATATCCTGTGAAACCAATCCATTACCTCAATTCATTCTATCCTATCTCATATTTAGCAATAATCTTAATACCACCTGTTGTTAGATATGTTTCCCCCGTTGAGGAACGCATCAATGTCTCCCATACCCTCGGTTTCAAGCACATTCATCAACTCAAGCTGCTGTGACTGTGTAAGGCTACCTTGCCGAGCAAAACCATAGTCAAACTGAGGAGGAGGGGCATTCCCGCCTTGAATGTTCTGCAACCCAAGACCAGAGACTGACATATCGCCATAGTTTCCAGGATTCGCCATGGAATCGTTGAAAAAACTGTTGCTCATGTTGTTAAAAGCGTACGGGGAAATAAATGGTGCAGGAGGCGAAAACCAATCGCCAATACCGCTTGGGGTTGGTAGAGGCCTTTGGGTAGGTGCAGCCTGTGGGTTTTGGGGTACAACAAACGTGGGCCCACGTTGAGATTGTTCAATCTTGATAGGAGGGGACATGTTTGTCTGCACGGGCACCAGGGGAACCCCGGCTGGCGAGGCATGCTGCATAATAGGTGTAGGATGGGCTGTCAGGGTGTTTGAGGGCGATAAAGTATTACTAGGGGTTGGTGTTGCCATATTGCCGGTCGGGATGCTATCAGGAGGAGTTGGCAATTGCTCTGACATGTGATCCGGAGGCGATGTTATATGTTGCTCAGGGGTTGTGGTGGCTGGCGGTGTTGGGTCATCCATCATGTTCTCGCCGGGCTGCATAAAGTCGGGTGGGAAGTATGAGAATCTTCGCCCCGTAGGTTCATTGCTCGCAGGGTTGAAGAAGATGGAGTTAGACCTGAAGCTCGGCTGAGGTGGAGGAAAGTTGGGATCGAAGGCGTAAGCATTCATGGCCTCTGGTGGTGAGTTGAATACATGATTGAACTGAGGTGGGTTCTGATAAGGGGCTTGGACTTGTTGAAGGTTCTGGAAGGCTTCGGGCGAGTTAGGGTCCGCGAAGGAAGGGGGCGTGGTGAAGAAGCCGGCTGCCTGTCCCGTCATTGGGCGTTCATCATAGCCTTGTAAACAAGCTTTCGAGAAGATGGAGTAAAGTTGTGAGGCGGATGCAGTCCCCGGCCATCTTTCCGTACAACGATCCAAAACCTCCATAGAAGTCTGAACGAGGGTTTCAACCTCATGACGGGGATGCGCTCGGCGCACCTCTGGATACGAAACAGTCCATAAGAGTGTGTTGAGGGACATGTTCACGGTCAGAAGGAAAACCCATGTGAGATCTGCGCCACTTCCCATCTGCTTAGCATTGAGCTGGATGATATACGCTGCGCTCTCATAACAAATCGCAGCGGCGCGAGGTGATGGCTTTGGAATCTGCGGAGAAGGTCTATACATGAATATCCTCATCTGATGATACCTGCCGGTGAACCTATCGAATCGCATTAGACATGAGAGCAATAGCATGGAGGGGGACATACCAAGGCTTGCACCAATCGGGGCTTGTAGGCGATGCATCTAGCCATTCTTTGTTCATCTTCTCAATTCTTGCAAACCAAGGGTGCGAGTCGTTCTTTGGTTCTTCCTTCTTCTTCTCATACAAAGCCCTTCGGATCTCGGCCTGGCACATTCTCATTCTGTAGAAATGAATAGCAACAAGTTTACGCTCACTGGGAGGGCCAGGCTGGATGCCCTGGTCAGTGATATTGTCGTCGTCGACTGCTGCGAAGAATTCGACGTCTAGTCGGTCGTCGCCTGTCGCAAAACTGTTGGGCCTACCCATACTGTGCGCCAAGCCATATTCCATCGCGGCCACAGTCCAGATAATCCGCCTCCTCATATCGATTGTTTTGGCATCCAAGTTGTACCCTGTAGAAATAGTCTTTTCGCTGGCTAGTCCTTCTTGCTGGCATATTCTAGCGGCCAGGCCGATCACATAGTAGATCGGCGTCCTTGTAGGGGTGAGAAGCGAATATTCTCCGAGAAGCACAAGGCATTGCAATGTCTTGAGATCCTTGGGGCGGACGACGTCTTCGAATAATTGCATTGCTGCCAAGTAGTAGCTGTCTGCCAAACCAGCATATTGCGTGTCAAGCTTTTGTAAGCTGATGGCTACAAGCATTCTGACAATAAAAAGCCGATAGGGATCAGTGTCGCCATTGTAGACCGCATCTAGATCCTGTAGAAGATCTTTTTCGTGCAGAACAGGCCAGAAGAGTTGAGCTTTTATAAGTTAGCATTCCCAATGGAGTAGTCCAAAATAGGATTGAGATTTACCTTTCTGGTTAAAGATCTCCAGTAACTTATCTGCAACAGCTCTTGTGGGCAAACTTTCGGCTGGATGCTGGCTAATCATGGGGTAACTCTTTCTCCTTGCCGAAGGCCCCGTCATTTGTATAGACTGCATACGAGCTTGTCTGGCGCGGACACTGGGGATGAGATCGGAGATGCGTTTGGAATCAGTGTATCTTTTCGCTTGCTCCATAAGAAGACGTGTCATTGCGATACCGCTACTGGGTCCTAGGTATCGAGGGGTCTCATCGCCACCATTCAGCCGAACCATTCCGCCGGGCCGTACCATATCTTCATTACTTGTAGGGTACTCATTTTCGTCGTCGGTATATTGGCTAAGCTCCGCCTCGAGTTGCCTGACTTTGTCCTGTAGCCTAATAACATAATGCCTGTTGATCTTGCGACCTTTGGCTGCATCAAGGTATTCGCAAGTCGATCCGGATCTTTCACATGGCAAACAGCGGGGCAAAGTTGGATCGCATCGAGTTTTCCTCTACATAGAATACATTAGCATGTAGCTCAGATTATCGAGTTGCACCAAGAGGATAAGTACCTGTCGGCAACGGCAGCAAGCTGTCAGAGTGTGGGCAATGCGGTGACTCGAGCCGTCGCCATCCGAAGTTTCGTCAGTCTGCTGTACAGGTTTCCTGAAAGCCGGCGGAGGTGGCGGCTGCTGCTGGAACTGGACCATGTGGTGTTGAGGGTGACCCATGAAGACGGGATTCTGGCGGGGAGCAACTTGGCCGAAGCCTTGCCGGAAGATGTCTGCCGGGTCCATTGGATGTATCGGCGCAATTACCTATGAGGTAGGTTGAACTTGGTCGCGCGCAGGCATCCGATGCCGAGATTATCGATATCGAGAGGCCGATGCGCTGAGAGGCACGGTTACGCACGCACACGGGGAAAAGAAACAAAGCAAACAGGGCGCAGGGACGGGCCGGGGCCTTGAACCAAAACGATGACGATAAATTCTAGCTCCAGGGTCAGAGCAGGCGTTTATGGATAATCCGTGATGGTAAGGGATGTATACGCTGATGGCAACATCACCGCTGGTTGACTGGATAATATTGGTCAGACGATTGTGTTGTGGGAGTGTTTGGTAGAGGACACAGGCAAAGTGATTGTGTACCTAGGTATGGATGTACGCCAAAGCAGGTCAGTTCTTGGACGACGCAGAAACGAGGGGCAAGGCAACAGGTCGATGGGCAAGTTAGTTGTTGTTGATTGGCTGCTTGACGCTCGCGACGCCCAAGCATCCAGGGCAAACGAGGTTGCAATAGCGGGGAAACTGTTCGAGGTCGATGCTCGCTAACAAGACCCTGAGAAATTTGAAGCCTCCACTGGGAGTTGAAAGTGGCACAGAAGGCTGGGCGGGTCAGGTATGTCAACGCATCACCAATGCCTTAGTAAGTTGACCTAGAAAATTAGGGCCTTTGGTGAAAATTAAGAGATAATAGCTAGCTAGAATAGACATCAACACCAATCTTTTGCTGGTCTAGACCGTAGGACCATAGTTTATTTGCTTGGATCCGCTAGAAGGATAAGGTTTGCAGGTTTCTTGATGAGTACCAGAAGTCACGAGCTGTTTGACAGCTGGCGCAACATATTGGCTGAGTGATGAATGTTTCAGCATTCAGGAAACCTGCCCCAGATAAGGTGGACGAAAATTGACTTTACCTCGACAGGACTAGTCTTAGCTTCTATTAGTGCAGATCCTTGAATGACAGGTGCTGAACTGTGATGAATTTTATTGTTCGGTCAGCCCGCTCTGGGTCCTTCAACGTTGATTCCAGGACATGCATTTCGCGTGGATCATGTGGCCGAGACGCCATATACGACATTCGATGGCGCGCGTGTCAGCAATGACATGTCGCGCAAATATGTTCAGGAAGTCCCTCACAACACAGCACGTAAAGGACCCATATACGATTCCCTGTTATAGATTCAGGCATCTGCCGTAATTTGATAGAGCCCACTCCAGCTTTGTCCAACCATCGTGCTACATCGTGTTATTTTATGGGTCGCGGAACTTGAGCTCGATACCCAAGTACCGTGCGGAATTGATTCTTCTCCAGCCGGACGTGCAACCGGGCGAATAGTTATGCATGCATGGTTTCTTCTGTTTTCATCTGCCATGGACGTCTTGCTCACGAGACCCGCTACTACAGGTATCTTACTTAGCCTCGAAGTCTGTTCGCGCCTCTATCGGTTGATAAATAAGCTACAAAACCTTGCCATCCTGCCATCCCACGTTCAATATCTGATACTCTGTTTTGTGTCGATATAAAACTCAACCTTACCCGCTACTCAGTCGCGTTTACAGACTGTAACTCAGTCGTCAATGTTATAGTATTTACTTGTCGCCAGTCCAAGCATGAGAGTTTCAATCGAAGTAGAGAAACTTATAGCTCTAAAAACAACAGACGTTGGCATGTCATGGTGAGGTCGAAGGGAGCTACGATTGCACAGTATTCTGCAGGTCAAGTACGTACACAGACATATTGAATATTCGGCAGGTATTTAAAGTATAGCATTGAACTGACGTGCATCGGGGAAATGAATCTGGTCAGTCCGTCTGAGATTCGTCGTATCCTAAATTCGCCCTGGTTCTATAACTCTGCATTTCGGTGGCTCAACACGGCATAAGACAGCATATGATAGAGTTCGGAACTTTTGTACACAGGGAAGTTTGTTAGCGGGAATTGGCATATTAGATATTGAAGCTTCGGGGAGTCATTGATCACCGACCCTCAATTTTGTTCTGAGGTTGATGAATAGAGTTTACAATCATGAACCGAGGTGGTTGTTCTACTGACGCCCGCCTGGGATGAGCTCACCTGCCAATAACAACTGAACTGTCCGTACTGTCATGGAGGCTCGCCTGATCTTTTTTCTTCCTTACACTCATGTCGCTGACATTCTTGATACACAATGACAACAACCATTATCACCGTCAGAAATAGCAACGCTCTTCAATACTAAAACTGCCCATCACAGACCATATAATAGTACCTGTACCTCTTGCTAATCGTCATTTGTGCCGCTGTATAACCGCACTACGCCATCTATCCACCCACATTTGTTGCCCCGCCCCGCTCGACAACTCGAGGGACACGAGTCGACTTGATGAGACAACAGCACTTTATTATCTTTATTGTCGCCAAAACTACATTGCCATGTTTTGCGGTTGAGATGCCACTTCCCTCCCGTCATCATCTCAGCCTGTCCTTTTCAGAAACTTAGAGAGAGGTCTGAAACCCCAATACAACGCGTTATCGACGCATCGAATTCTTTAAGTCCATTCCTGGATGATTGTCCCGCAACCGTCCACTCAGAAGAACTAGCCAACGACGCCACGGAACAGTGGATTGACTGCCTGCACAAGACCGCGCCCATTTCCCACGCCCCTTTCTGATTGCGCTTCACGTTGTGGTCAGGCTCCTTGAGATTCTCCAAGGTCAACTACAATCCCTTCGTATTACCGGAGTCAACGGCTTAGATCACAGGTCAATCCACTGGCTCTTGTCCACTGACTTCTGGAACCAACCTGGTCCTCGTGGTCTTAATTGTCCCGCTTCCGAGTGGAGAAATTTGACGACACTCGAACGAACTGTTACCCCAGACCTCACCCCTCAACTACTATCTCCAGTCAAGCTCTATTCGTTACGCTTATTGTAGTTGGTTGCACGGACACTCCGCAATATCAGTCCTTCAGGACTTTTCTCGTCGATACCTTGTGCTAGGTCGGCATCTACAGGCTTAACAAAATGCCACGTCCGAGTTTCTCTCACAACCCGCTTTTGAGGGTGTCAAGGCCAGTGTCCGCTTGCTCTCGGTGTAAGTAGTGAGACTATATTCGAGGGGCCATGTTTGCTGACTGACTTCATGTATAAGGCCGCGCTGCCAAGGTCAAGGTAAAAACAACTAGCTTGCCGCTCATATGTTGCGGACAGAGGCTGATATCATATAGTGTGATGGCAAACTGCCAGCTTGTACAGCCTGCGAAAAGGCTGGTCGTTCAAATGAGTGTTCTGCGGCAAACGACCAGTTCGCTCGAGGCAAGGAGAGAAGGTTGGTCGATAACTTGGTCGTTGAGAGTGCGAGCCGATCTAATTCTTGTGCTCAGTTACGTGGCGGCTTTGGAATTACGCATAGAAAAGCTTGAAAAACGGCTTCAGTTTGCAAAATCACGCAAGGCATCCGTTGCGCTCCATGATACGGATGCATCGGCCTTTAATGTGCAACAGATGGACCGTAGAGACTCTCTTGCGCTCATCCGCGCCGCTATACATCGCAAAGCGGCGCAAAAGCGGGAGACTTCTGATGTCAACTCTCTTGTATCCGACTTTGGCTTTCTGTAAGTACTCAACAGCAAGTTAAGTCCTTGATTTTGGTGCTAATATGCCTCGATAGTTCTGTCAATGCAACAACGCGAGACTTTGAACCTATATCAACAAACATGACGTTTGCTAGACTAGTCTTGGCGGCAACAACGAACGATGCCCTTCCAGAGTCTGACCAAGCCCGCTTACCTCCGAGACAAACTGCCCATGTGCTGGTCCAGCATTACATGGACAACGTCTATTCGTTGTTCCCCTGCTTTTCGGAAACCTCACTTTTAACCGCTCTTGACGACATATATCAAGAAGATACCCGGACTATCAAAGACTCGGACTATTGGATGGTGTACATGGTCCTTGCCATTGGCTCTACAGTCCAAAGCAAACGTAGCCAAGATACACACTATCTTACTGGCCTCGAGTATGCGTCAAGAGCTATGAATCATGCTGATGGTGCTCTCACTCCTGGATACGTAACACAAATCCAGTCGCTTCTTCTTTTGACGCAATATGCCATGTTGGACCCTGCCCACTTCGATAGCTGGCATTTGATAGGTTTCACAGCTCGTGCGATAGTTGACCTAGGTTTTCACCAAGACCCTCCTTTGTCTTCTGTCCCTGACAAAGCTTCTCTGGACATGCGACGCAAAATCTTTTACTGCGTCTATGCTCTTGATCGGCAAGTCTCTATAACCCTTTCTTTGTGAACAAGCCCGCACCTGCTAACCTACACTTTAGTGCCATCAGTATGGTCCATGCGCGAACATTTTCGTTTACTGATGATACTGTTAATGTCGCCTTTCCTCAGGCGTCTAATAACGGGAGAAAGAGTTCTGTGTCAGGTCCCATCACCGGTCCCCAACCCGCAGACCCTGCTCTGCTGCTCTTTCAACTCCGGCGAGCGCAATCCCATTGGTATCAGGAGTTGTATCAATCAGGTTCGGTCCCTCTGCAGGATCCAATCTCCTATATTTGGAAAATGTGTCTTGATATGCGCGAATGGCAAGACACTCTGCCGACAAATCTGGCCCCTGAAATCCGACAATTGTTCGACCAGGAGCTGAGGTATAGCTACGTCTACTGTATTGCGCCCTCGGCCAGGGCACCCAGCATCACCGACTATAACCGTATTCTGATTTTTGAGCACTCGATGGCCTATCTTGACACTGTCCATGAGATAGCACATGGTGCACAAAATTCCGGATTCTATACATACCATGATGTGTTGAGGGTCTATTTTATGGCGAATCAGTTCCTCGCGGTTCTAAGGGATGCGGAAGATATGCTTCTTTCGGGAATGCCGGTTCCGATTCCAATTTCTCGCCCGGGTGCTGCACCTGCCCCTCCTCTCCCAAGACGATTGCAACCCCAAGGAATGAATGGAGAGGATAACCTTGATCGCAGCTTGAGGTGTCTCGATAAGGTCTCACAGACATTAGATACCTACGGAGACCGTTGGGCAGATGCCTCGACCTGGAGAGAAAGTTTTAGTATGATATCCCAGGAAATGGTGGACCGACTTTCGAGGCGAAAGCAAATACGTGATACTGCTAGAGAACAATATCAATTACAGTATCAGGGCAGAGGTATACCACCCCAAACTCAGGCTGGTTTTTAAATACAAAGCTCACAGCAATTCAAGGAGATGCCATGGGGAGGAGTTGATATTACACAAATGTTCCACGGTGGCAACTCCTGATAATATATCCCAGAATCGGGCTTTGGAAGATGATGGAAGAAACATTCGTCATGCTTAACTCCAAGCACGCTCTAGGGCCAAGGCTCTTAGGTTAGGTTTAGGGTAGAGTTAAAGCCTAACTTACTGGTGCTCCGAGATGCAGTGTATTATATCTGGTTCAATGTGTAAATGAGGAGCTGGAGTCTGCAATTTCACTGATGTAGGTTGACCAAACCGCATTAGCACTTGACTCGAAGTTATAAAGAAGGAAGTTGGGTATAGGCATACTCATGAACATTAAGGTTCAAACAATTCCAAAGTGACACATAATCCCAATCCTTATTTATGTCTTTGTAAGGCTATGCAATAGGTTAGACCGGAGGTTCCGACTTTGTAATACTCTCGGTGTCCGTTGGGCAGCCGTGTACAGGGTGAAACCTATCGCTGGCATGAATCCAGACTCAATTGCTATGAAGATGATATCAAATCAGGATGATTCATGGTATGTGAGTTTCATTGACAGGATTGAATAGGTGGTCTACCTATTTTAGAAAGGCAATGCCTTCTGTGACTCTACGACTAGGACCTAACAATCAGACCATCGACTAGACCCTCGACTAGACCCCCGTGAAGCAACCTATTGGCTAAAGTTAGGGAAGTATGATGAACACCACTGCATCGATTCGAATTTAGCCGAAAGCAATTGTGCATTGTTTAGTGTATGAATGATGGGGATAGGCGCAAAGTTTGGGGGTGACAATGCTGTAATTCGGAGTTGGAATGATGAAGTTGAGACAGAAATATAGTAATCTCTATCAGTTAGCAATCGACCGACCCCGCCGAACATAGGAGTAGCGTGATTTGGTTTTATGTTGAATGTACTTCCGCGAGAGAGTCAGTTAGCGTTAACTGTGCTGCTGTCAAGGAGAGGGAAACTGTGAAGAATAGCTACTAGGTACTCTACAAAAGGCTAAACACTTGCGAGGTAGAATACTACGTTGTCGTTACACAAAGGAAGCATCGGTCTGTTGTCAGTGGCGCTTGGGACCCTGGGTTAATCGTACTTGGCATTGAGATTCATGGTGTGGTGTGTTGTTGTCGTCTAAGCGGTATGGTCAAGATGCAATATGACAACTTGTAAGAGGGTGTAAGATCGGGCTGAATAAGGGGTCGATATCTTGGCAAGAGCTGGAGCTGGAGCTGGAGCTGGAGCTATGTGGTTCAGTTTTGGAGTCAATCAAGTCATGCCGCGCCTTGACCAGGTCTACTACATCCATGAGGTCGCTGTCAAGTTGGAGGACCCTTGAGTCTTACGTTTTGGGGTTACCTTGCTCTCTATGCTGTTCAGAAAGACTCAACTGTCAAAGATATAGATGATGTGGCGCCATCAGACTCAGTTACTAATTGCAACATATCGCAGCATAGATAGAATACCAACGATCACGGAGTAATCACTTCCCAATAGCCGCTTATCTTTGTTTGTTTTCTCCCCGAGATTCTTCTCCATATCCAAGGTAAATCCAATGCGGGGAAGAGATCCAGGAAAACGAGAAGCGGTCTACTCCGCACGGGTGAATCGTGGAGGTGGAGGCATGGAGCTTGGCTTAGAACGGGTCTAGCACGGGCAGAGTTAAATTTTGACTATCTTGACGGAGGAATTATTTCCTTAGATATTCCACCAATCGTAGCTTTTGATGCCCTGCCATCTGGCCACGCGATACGGCCACCATCAGCCGCAAAAAGACATTCCCCCATTCTCCACTCCCCCAAGGAAGCCAGTTCCAAAGAGAGTCGAGGTCTAAGAGAAAGCCAGGAAGAAATTGCTCCAACAGGCGTCAAGCATGCCACCCAAAACTGACAGAGGCGCCGAGCCGGTGGAGGGCATGACAGGGGTTAGCGACCTGGGCAGACGGAACTCGGCACGGCACAGTAGCATCACAAGTCTAATTAAGGGAGTCTTCTTTTGATACATTGGACTGAATTCTATTCTTTAGACTCATGGTAAATGAATCGTGGGGGAATAGGATGCAACTTTGGGGGTTCCGATCTTGAGCTAAGTCGTTCAATAGTTGCGGGGGTTTGAACTTTGAAGGCTCAACGATGGGATGATGGGATCCGACTCGGTGCTAGAAAAGTGGAAACAACAATAATTAAGCGAATTCTCAACGTTCGATAAGAGGGATGGATACATACATGGAATCGATATACATGCTCGACTGCCTTATCGTCAAGTACCAGGGGTCGAGTTACGAGCGTGAATGGTGGGTGTAAATGCTGTCTCTTCTACTGAATAGTCAAGTTAAAATTTCAGGAGACAGCAAGAACAACAGAAAGAAAGTCAGGCCATTCAAATTGAGACATCAGATTTAACACACAATTAGAGGCTTATGGATGGTGGGGAAGGTGCGTCCGTCCGTAAACCATCCATAGGTAGCCGCAACGCAAACCGCAACCGCATCCTGGGGTTGGGTCTGGGGTTAACCTAGGAAAGACATAGTCTGGGGTCTGGGGGCAAGAAAGACGGCTCTAGCCTCTGGGGGTCCCTTCCTCGTCTCGAAGATAAAAAGATAGCAAGGGAAGCATCATCTTCACTCCTTCTCTCCTCTGTTCTTCGTCCCACTATCCTCATTCTCTTCTCTGCCTCTTTTTGAGATCGACCTTTCTCATTCTTGAGTCATATAATCGGCAACTCTAGATAAAAGACACCCGAAAAAAAGAAAGGCTCAGGGCCAAACACCGCCAACATGCCCAGCAAGACCAGAGTCTACAACTGGTTCATTGCCATGGTAGCTGCGTCTTGTATGACGCTCTACGGCTTTGACTCCAGTGTTTTCAACGCTCTCCAGGCCTCGGAGAACTGGCTGAACTGGTTCAATCTCGATCTCAAGAATGACAGTTACACTGTCGGTCTCATCAACACATGCTACACCATCGGTGCCATCGTTAGTGGTTTCTTCATCGGTGGCCCCCTGGCTGATTGGCTCGGTCGACGTGCCGGTATGGGTATTGGTTGCTTCATCACCATCATCGCCGCTATCATCCAGGCTTTTGCCCCTAAGGGAAAGCTTGGTGTCTTCATTCTCGGCCGTGTCCTCATCGGTATGGGTCAGGGCACCGCTCTCAGTAAGTTATATACTTTCACCAGCTCCTGTGACTGGTCACTGACTTCCTTCAGCTGCTGGCCCTGTTTACATCGGTGAAGTCTCCCCCCCTGAGATTCGAGGTCAGGTTATGACCTTCTGGCAACTCTTCTACTCGGTCGGTGCCTTTATTGCCTACTGGATCAACTTCGCCTGTGGCAAGAACCGAGAGAAGCTCGGCGAGTGGGATTGGCGCATGGTTGTTATCTTCCAGGTCCTCGTTCCCATCTTGGTCATCATCCTGCTCCCATTCCAGCCAGAGTCTCCCCGTTTCCTTATCAAGAAGGGCAAGATCGACGATGCCCGGTCCGCCCTTCGAAGTATCCGTGACACTGAGGAGGAGGTTGAGGATGAGGTCCTGGCTATCCAGGCTGCTATCGAGTACGAGAAGGAGGCCATCAGCCCTGGATACCGTGCCCTTTTCAAGGACCCCTCTATCAGGAAGCGCTTCGGTATTGCAGTTGTCCTCAACGTCGGCCAGCAGCTCACCGGCCAGGGTACCCTCAACACCTATTCCACTTCCATTTACAAGCAAGTCTGGACCTCGACTGAAAAGATCAACCTCATCAACGCTTTGTGGGCCACCATGGGTATTCTATTCACTTTGAACGCTGTATGGACCGCCGATCGCTTTGGTCGCCGATGGCTCTTTATGGTCGGTGCCGCGGGTATGGCCCTCTGCATGTTGATTGTTCCCGTCATTGGCCTCGCTACTCCCACCCCCAAGACCGAGCCCACTGCTATTGGCATTGTTGTCATGCTCTACCTCTTCATGTGAGTTTTCTTGGTTCTTCGCCTTTCTTGAACGCACACTAACATATACCTACAGCTTCTTCTACAAGCCTTCATGGGGTGCCGGTGTCTGGATGTGGACCAGTGAGGTCTTCTCCGCCAACGTCCGAACCCAGGCCGTCGGTATGGCCTCTCAGTGCCAGAATGTGGCCAACACCATTTTCCAACAGTTCTTCCCAACATTCCTCGCCAAGACCGGCCTCAAGTGCCTCTTCTTCTTCTTTGCCGTCAATATCCTGCTCTGCGTTTTCGTGTTTTTCTTTGTCCCTGAAACCAAGGGTATCTCCCTTGAGCACATGGATACTGTTTTCGGTGGTGCCGATCACACTGAGAAGGGTGCCCAGATGCTCGGCGTTGACGCTGCTCAGCATCAGACCCAGGAGTTCAAGGACGGGGCTGAGATTCAGCAGAGCGAGAAGAAGCGCGAGTCTGTTTAAATCTACTGTAATTGATGGGGGATTTGAGTTAGGATAATTCTGCATCTCGGAATTCGAGATGCGGGAGGTAATCGTTTTAGCCGTGTATCTACCTAGACATACGTGTTGATATAAGGATACATTGAAATATGGAGACATTATTGTGATCCCCAGGAAAAGTCCAGTACCCAGAAAGTGGCACGTCCAATCCAGATCGTGTAGTGGGATATTAGGTGACAGACATCATATCATGAAGTTGACACTGGGGAGCTTTGTCCTCGCATTGGGCTCGAAGCTTCTTTTAACTCAACAGCCTTATCCATACCTTAGAGTCGGTGTTCGCAACACCGATATTATCTCCAAGATCTTGGTCTCCTATGTTGTTCCCACATCATCTTGACGACAGGATTGGCATGCCTTTCTTGGCCACATCGTTTCTTGTCAAGAACTGGATGCAAATGGGCGTTCCAGAAAGCCATAGATTATCTTGGAGAGATATTCGGTAGAACAGCTACTTATACAGAAATTTCAAAGCGAGTCGATTAAGAGATAGGTTGATAACGACAGTTGTAACTATTTTCTACCGATGTATATAATAATAGGGGCAAAGGTCGCTTTTTATTGCGCGAGACAAACGAAGGGCAAAAGAAGAGCACAGAGTACTCGGAAAACTGAAAGCCAACCCCTGTCCTCCCACATCAAGTTCATCTCATCCACACACTTCTCCTTGATCGTCCACTCATCACATCGTTTCTCAATCTCATGCTAGATAGCTCGGCAGCCCCTTTACTGGCACTGGGAGTAGAAGTCGTTGATCTTCTTGCAGGTGAAAGGAGACTTGCAGGTCGTGGGGCCGCTGTAGTTCTGGCCACCGCACTGTCCCCATTGGTCGACGCTGCCGGCAGGGGGGTTGGTGGGAGTGGAAGAACCAGTGGTGCTGCTGCTGGCAGGGGGGTTGGGGGTGGTGCCGTCGCTCTTGTAGGTGCTTCCGATGGGACCGAACTTGATGTTGGAGAAGGAAACCTTAGAGTTGGGAACATCTCGCTCAAGGTCGGAGGGCTTGCCAGAGGTGATAGCGCAAGAACCTCGTTGAGATCCAACCTTGGTAGAGTCGGTTGGGTAGGTAGAGTCGAGCCAGAGCATGTTGGAGTGGTGCTGTAGAGAAAAGTCAGTATGTGGTATTCCTATTTCAGGTATGAATGGGGGGGGTTGCGTTAGACTTACGTCGTGCCAGAGAGACATAACAAGAACCATGGGGGCAGAGAGAGCATCGCTCATGCCGTTCCAGCCACCCTTCTTAGTGAAGTCATCGATATCGCCAAAGACGCTCTTCTGCTTGGAGCAGAAGTCAGAGGTGAGAGAGCTACCGGGGTTGCCTGCAATCTTGGACTCAGAGTTGGCAATGACCTTGCCGTTCTGGACGTACAGACGGGTGATCTCAGAAAGACGTCCGTTGCTACCCTTGTGGAACTGAGTGACAACAGTCATCTTCTTGGTGGTGTCGATGTTGAAGTTGGATCCAGGACCGTAGAAGGTCTTGTTGCCCTGGCGGTAGGCGTTGAAATCACAACCGTCGGCATCGCAAGTACCGCCATATCGGTCACTAGAGTAGGTTCCACCACAAGAGTCGCCAGTGCAAGAGTGCTGTGTGAGCTTGGTGCAAGGATGAGGAGTGAAGGCGGTGGAGATGGAGTTGGCCTCCCAGATATCCATCTCGGGGCAGCAGGTGCCCAGATTACCAACACCAGCGTTGACATCACTGTCAGAGGGCTTCCAGCCTTCAGAGTTGGCCTTAAATACTGGTTAGCGTCTGTCTCAAACCTGCAATCGTACTCTAGGTTAATACTTACAACTCCGTTGATGAACTTGACATCACGAGGGCACTGGGCATCACAGTAGCCAGTTCCGTACTTGGCTCCGGCCTTGTTTCCGGAGTACTTGGCCTTGCCACCATCCTCGTCCATGCTGACGAAGTAGAGGGCACCGTTCAGACCGCAGCCGATACCAGAGACATCGACATCAAAGGTGAACTCGTTGCCCAGAAGCTGGAACATCTGGTAGGTGTTCTCGTTCTCCATGAGGTAGGTTCGGCTGCCGATGTTCTTGCTGTAGGGACCGTTGGTGACGAATCCAAGACTGAGCTGGTTGCCGCTGGAGGTGATTCCGTAGGTACCAGCATAGTCGGCGCCATCAAGACAGCACTTGTCGGCGCAGGTCTTGCCATCGGGGCAGATGGAGGTGTCCCACTTGTTTCCGGTGTAACAGTTGGTAGACCCAGAAGTCTGGTGAGTCCATCGCCAGTTGGCATCAATAACAACGGAGCCCTTGACATCGCTGCAGCCGCTGGATGTACACTTGGACCAGGTCAAGGCAGGCTTGGTCTCGGTGTTCAAAGAGCAGACCTGTTGAGCCCGAGCAGCGGCAATAAGAGCCGAGGCGGTTGCGACGATGCGATACATTGTGAAGTGAAGCTAGACCGTTGGATAGATGAGACTGAGTTGACTGAAGAAGTTGTGATGAGTGATGAGTGGTGAGTTTGATTTGGATTGGGAAACCGAGCTTGTTATATACTCGTCAACAAGAAGATCTGGAACTTAGAAGATCGTCCCCTTCACCCATGTCCAAATTTGAAAGAAAGGAGTGATCAACATCAAGAGAAGCCGCCATACCGATGAGGCTCCATCTTCATAGCCTCAGGAGAGAGTCGGGTCGCGGGCCGCATGCCCTTAGACAGTATGAAGGTAAGAAGAACCTTGCTGAGCCAGTGATGTCTCGCTTGGTGATAACAGGCAAAGCATGGCATGCCTCCAGAGCGGAGACTTGTCGAGTAGAGCCACAACGAGGTACGGTGACTGCAGGGGGCAGTTCCTGAGCCGATCTCCGTGATAGCCTCCGGTGGCGTACGGTAAGTGCCCGATGAATACCTACAATAGCAAAGAGAACGAGTAGGCCGGTCCGCAGTTCCCGAAGGAGAGCAATGTTTGGTCTCCGAAGAGGCTGCACTCACGATCTTCGCTCATTGGAGGAACCTTGTAACTTAGACTAACAAGGCCGTGTAAGAATAAGAGCAAGTTTCCGAATTACTGTTCTCACAGGCCTCTAAAGGATAGGAACATCGTTCGTTTTTCGGGCCGTCGCTTCCATCATCTTTTTGCCGTGGACTAATGAGACCCGTGATATAATCCATAGAATGATCGTGAGGTAGTCTAGTTACCAGTCCCGGAAAGGCAACTATGAGTGAACGGTCACCTTTCAGTCACCCTGCGATCTTAACCATATGGATCTCCGCCCAGGGTTGATTCTACTTAGCCGTACCTCTAGTGAGGAGGCTGACCCCACAACCTGTTGGTTCTCTCAAGGACCCAAAGTTTTGGCCCGTTTGCCACTATTCGAGCATGGCGTTTACCAATTATGCGGTGCCGTCACATCTTCGTCTGGATTCAATATGGAGAAGCCTGTCTTCGAGATCCACAGGTGCCTTGCACCACGGGCACAATGCTCCTCAGTAGATATCGCCTCCATGGGCCGTAGCTCCGGTAAAGATTATATATTCCGTTTGGAGACAATTTATGCATACTGATCTGTTAAGGGAAGTGAAGGGCACCTTTACATCACACTGTCTGTCGAGCATCCGTTTCCAGCTGATCGGTCTTTGGTAGCGCTGATGTTCCTTTTCCCATCTGTAAACCGTAACTCGAAACATTGGCGATGTATATTTGACTTCAAGTTTCAAAGCTCATATGCTCTTGATGGTGGAACAATTACAGCCGTAGAACCTAAGATGAGTTGTCCTGGTAGAGGGGATCTCGCGGTACTTCGGGATTCAATCCGTCCGCTTAAAAGAAGTCTCAAGACGGCAACTGCAGGTATCGTGGAAGAATTTCCGTCAAATTTAGTTTGTTCATGTGTTCGTTGTGTGCCCATGCCCATCACGAAAACAGCTGTTGTTGGTCAGCTGCCGGGCAATGCGGAGGTGGCAGAAGTTAAACCCCTGACATAGCGCATGGAGGTAAGGGTTTGGAGAGCTTTCTCGTCCAAATTCAGCAGTTTCGGATACATCATGACCGAGATAGTGGCTATAACCCCGGCATATTGTTGACTATAGACCAGGATTCTCCTGCCGGTCATGTGTAAAGGCCTTGCCAGGCGAGTAGGCAGGCAACCAGGTCTTGTCTGTGACTGGTAGTCCCATGTGATGGCTGGTGAATGTGCAGCGCACAATCGACACGAATGTTACGGTGATTCAATTGTTCCGCCGGGCCTTGACTGACTGCACTTGGTTTATGAGCACTGTCCAGGAGTGTTATTTGTTTTTCGCCGCCTCAGTTCTGAGAGGTGTTACCTTCTGTTCTTTAATATTCGAAGCACTCGCAACGACAATACAGATTCCTCAGACTGCCGAGGCTCTCGAACGGAATGCCTTTTCCAGACACGGAAGACGGCTAACGAGGGGCATCAAAGTCACCAACCCTGCATGAATCGGCAGCATCTTCTCGGCTCGAACCGCCTTGGGGGCGTCTCCAAGTCGTCCAGTACCCCAGTGGGACGTGATATCCACTGTTTCGGAAGATACAGAATAGCCCATTTCAGAAGTGCGGGGTGTGAGTTAATCGTTCCTTAGGCTGTGATGTGGTGCATTGGAGTGGACGGATTGGATCGTGGAGGAGGTTCTTCCGGATTACCCCAAAGCGTGGTGCGGCTTTGTCTGGGTGGTTCGACAGCCAATGTAATGCTATGCAATAGCAAGGGTCCAGAGGTGACTTGCATATTTGGGTAGTACGCATGATTCTCTGTTGAAGTTATGTATTTTGCCTAACGGGGCCATGTTAAGGATAGAATGAGGTTGTTGTGGTCAGGTTTAGGAAATATGGAGGTCGGGTCAAGCTGGCACACGTGATGACCGCATATCAGCTACAGTGCCTTTCTCTATGAACCATCTACACATGTCTAGACAATGTGAAAATCACATCTTTAGGTAGACCACCTCACACTGCGTTGCTCTTCATACAAACATAATTCTGAGTTAAGCTCAACCCATCTATAATTCAAGATGCTAGAGTGTCAATGGACGCATCACAAACACCCCTTGTAAACCACCGGGCATCAATATAATCTACAAGGATGCGTACTTCGTAATACTGCATCTCATGTCCTTCCCGCAATTACCAACGTTCCAAAGATAGGGGGGAAGTATCATCCACATGAGGAACCCTAAATCCTCCCGAGACGCCGTATAATCATCCCTTCCAATTTCCACCTCCAAAAAGCTTTTGCTCGCAAAAACAAACACCACCATCACCGGCTGTCAGGGTGACGTGTTGCCAGTACTATTCGCCATTCCCCATGAACAAGTGGATGCCGTTCAATTGCCTCGATATTCAGAACTAAAGCATCGAATGACATTTGCCCGGCTCTCCTGCTTTCTTGCGCGGTTTGCAGGAGAAGCCGAGTGCAGCCAGATGTCTTCTCCTTGTCAAAACCGGACTGGTGGGACTTCTATCCACGGATATCTGATATATGGATGTTTTTACTTTGACGGGGCAGTCTCTGGTCACGCTCGTAGAGATAACCACAGTTGGCACATAGAGTCTGAGTAATGTTAGCAATGAAAACGGAGCCGCCAACCCTCGAACTTACTCTTGGACCTGCTGGTCCATCTCTCACAGCCCAGACGCTTGTGCCCCATATCCTGCAGTGCATGCACCTCCATTGATATCTCTCTTGGTCTGTCAAAGCTCCGCCACCTCCGTATCCCCCAACGTCTGGTGTCCCTCGCCCTCCCGGTGTACCACCTCGGCCAAGCGGACTCAGGCTTCGGAAACGCCGCTTCTTTTTGGACCGTTCGCCTCGCCCCATTCTCTCCTCCTCGACTTCCATCGGCGCACCAAAGGGCGTGCCTCCGAGCATTCCTGTGGTAGAGCTGAACCGTGCCGTCTCACGGCGTAATCGACGAACCTCACGTTCTCGGTCGCCTTCTCTCTTCTCAATCTCTTCCTTGCTCAGGAATTCTACCTTCGGCTCCCAGTCATCTCCAAGGTGCTCCGGGTCGTACCTCCAGCCAGCTTCAGAGCCGTGGGCAGCATCGTTTGGTAATTCCTGCTGCATTCCACCCCATCCAGCAACGAGGCCGCCAGCCTCGCAGGCTTCCTTTTTCAGCCGCAGAACCGCTTCGTAGATGGCATGCGTCATTGCCGGTATCCACTCTCCTGTCAGCCCAAGATCTGTACAAGTGACCTTGGCGAACGCTTCAGCGGTTCCGGGCGGATGCAATAGAGACCATTCAAACTTATCAGTGTAGAGCATTGATGCCAGATTAAGGTTCAAGTTGATGATGCATCGATAGGTATCGTCAGGGTTGTAGTCGTCAGACTCAGGAAGAATCGGCGTCGCCTCTGCGGTGACATCGGGAACTTGGGATCGCGAAGGAGTGGCCGCGCCTCCTGTCTGCGCCGGAGTGTCAGGCCGGGAGGCCCCTCGGATGGCGGAGACTGGAGAGTCATCCCGAGACTTCAGCGCGAAGCTTGGCCGCGGTGTCAGTGCAGCAGTCGTGGGCTGTGGAACAGAGAGGGCCTGCGGGTCACTATGAAATAGTGGGTGAAGGGCAACGCCCGAGTATTCTTCAAGTTGCGTCCGGATTTGCTTGCTGATATCAGCAATGACTACCTGCCGGTTTGGCAGATCAAGGTCCTGCACTAGAGTTTGGGCAAACTGATCGGTAGAGATAAGGGTCTCATGCAGATTCCAGCAAAAGATGTCCCGAAGTTTATACGGCACTGTCGCCTCCTGTTGACGATACTGGGGAAGTGAGGTGTCCACTGTACTTGAATTATGCGGCATGGGATATGGAGCTGGTGGGATGAATGCGGGAACATCCACATCGATTCGAATCGGAATCAGGGTGAGAGGCAATGTTGCTTGAACGGCATTCTGCTGGTCGCTCCTCAGCAGCCTGTGTTTGGCGATCCAATCGCGCCAGACGCCCTGCACCTCGACAGGCTCTTTGGTGTCTTTGCCAATCTTGTCGGCGAGGTCTTGTCTGCTGACCGAGTCCTCCTTTCGCAAGCTCCTCAAGCCTGTCGGCCGTCGTCTAGGATCGTCGCTATCATCTTCCAGGTCATCATAACCATCTTCAGCATAATTTATGATCGTCGTCCCTCGCTTTGTGGTTCTCGAAGCCGGTCCGGCGGGCGCGCTGCTTGGTAGAACGGGCGTGAGGAGAGAGTTGTTGTAGGCGCGCAGTCGCGGCGCGTAGCTTGTCAAGAAAGCCTGGGGCTTTGATCGTTCCATTGTGTGTGCTATGAGGTTTCGATGGTCATCTCATGCTGCGGAAAGGGAGCTTCACCAACACGCGAAGAGTCTCTTCTCACTATCGCCGGATGCTGGAACTGATACAAGTGATTCAGATGCCAAAATTTACCCGATGATGATAGCACTATCGATGTGGACTAAAGATGTCGAGATATGTGGAGTTTTCTCTCTGTCGTGATGGCTTCAACGTTCAATGCTTGATGGAGTCGCGCGAACGGGGACCTTTTTCTCAATCGCGTCGCTCGTTGTTCCACCAGGCTGCAGGGCAGAGTGCACGGGCCAATCGACCGACCATGATTATATAAGCCGGTTGCCTACCCTGTAGACATCGTCACATAATTGAAGGACGAGATGGATACCGTGAAGAAAGGTTCTGATTTATCACTACTAGCAAAGCAAACTCTTGATTTCACCGCCTATTTCATGATATAATACCGGATGTTACCGTTCCCTCATCGCATTCTTTGTGATGGCAACCATAAGGGCAGAGGTCACCTCATGCATTCACACTACACAAACCGTCAGTATTTCTTTTTAACTTGATCTCTGAGGATAACATACCAATCTCTGTGGGAAGAGAACATACAAACTGTGTAAAAAACGCAGTGGTTTTCATGATCATATGACTGACCACATCCGACTCGACCTGCCTCAGGACCCATGCATTCACCTCAGCCATTAGGATGTGAATATTTTGACGGAGCGTAGAAATCACTTACGGTAGTTATAGTAGTCCTCTGATACACGGTTGGGCCTGTAATTGGCAGTGAGCCAGAAGTTCGCAGCAGTCTCGAAAGTACGCCTATGTGGTTGACCCGCGCATGTGGCCGAGATCTCTTTGTATACAGCGGTTCTCTCTGGCTTGCCAGGTGCCACGGCGCCACAGCCCAATTGGATGGCATAGTCTTGCGCATTGGAGGCAAGGGCAGGGTCCCAAATCAAAGGACGGTACCCATTTGCATTACGTGCTGAATTGAGCCTGAGTAGGCCATGGACGATGTCTTGCGACTCTATAACCGAATCTCCGGGACGGAAGTCCATGCAACACAACGAGGCACCGAGAGCTGTGAGTCGCATGACAAGAAAACTGAGGACCTATTTTCTAAGTAATGAAAAGACTTAGGTAAGTTTAGTATATCTTAGCAAGCCTTTAGACTAGTGTACTTCAATACCTAGATTTAATGTCAGAAGTTTTCTTTCTCCCTGAGGGGTACCTAATGTACAGCTATGAATCGTACTTGTGAATCTGCTGGTTGATATTCTACTGGGTTAAGCTCTGACTGACCTTTGAGTGGAAGTGCGATGGATGAATTCGGCGTGATATGCTACCAGGGTCGATTGAAGATCCTTTGGGTTGAAGGAAGAATGTTGGCCTAGGTGCTGAGAAGAAGAAGAAAAAAAAGAGAAAAAAAAAGAGGTAACTGGTACTAGCACTGCCTGGTTAAGGCAGAAATTTCGTCATTGAGGTAGATGAACCTTATTAGGTTTTGACTTCTGTGAAAGTCGGCAAGAAGAAGTCTTCACTTCATAGGAGGAAGGGAGGATGGAGATGTGAGGTAGCTACTACCTAAGCTACCTACCTAGGTAGGTACCTTGTGTAAGGTAGGATTTAGTGACGAGGGACTCGCGGTACAATTGCTTAAAGACTGTTATAAGGTAGAGAAGGAGAGTACTTGCTGATCCATCACTCTTCGATACACTCTATATTTATAAAGACATAATCGGAAAGCTGAAAGATAAGTATTATTATTAAGTTCATGCTTAACCTTAGCTTAGAAGATCATCAGCTAATCGTATAAAAGAGATACGTAGCTCTACTTCGCTTCCGGATATCCAAGTCAGGGAAGATAATCAAGGCAAAGACGGCATCTATCTTTCTCCTGTAGCAGTGAAAGATGTGTAAGTGATAGGAACGATATGATTCGCTGACCTTCCACCATCTTTCCTAACATGGGTAGCCCCACAAATGACGTCTCAAGACCAAGATCTTTCTTCTTCTAATGAAAACATCTCCCCGACCTTCACCTTCCAAGTCAATCAAATTTCGCAAAATGGCCTCACGGGCGCCTTCCTTCGCCTCCAAAGTCCTGCGCCAGCTGCCAAAGCAACCGCAGCGCTCCTTGCCGTTCCTGCGCGCTTCTTTTATTCGTCCTGCCACTACAAACCTCCAGTCTTTCCGCGCAGCGCATAACATTCCACGACCACCTACCCAAACATACGCCAAACCGAAATCTGAGCAGGCGCAAACTGGCGAGCCGCCAAAAAGCGAAGGAGAAAGGCCCGAGATCAAGGCGTCACACTACCAGTTATCATTTACGTGCATTCCATGTGGCCATCGCTCTCACCACAATGTCTCTAAGCAGGGCTACCATTATGGCTCTACGCTCATCACATGTCCTGAGTGCAGGAACAGACACGTCATCAGCGACCACTTGAACATCTTTGGCGACAGAAAAGTCACCATCGAAGACCTTATGAGGGAAAAGGGTCGTCTTGTTAAGAGGGGAAGTTTAGGCGAAGACGGCGATATTGAGTTTTGGCCAGAGGAATCTCTTCCAGGAGACATTCAAGCTGGTAATAACGAGAGCTCATGATAGCATGTGACTAGAGGGATGTAACAGTAGAGTGAAAAATGTGAGGTTTGTCAAATGCCTAGGTTGGGCAAAAGCATTGGGTGGCGTTGATGGGATACCCTCCACTGAGGGCCCGGGACTGAAAACATAGACCTGGAATTAAAACAAGCTTATTCTCTTCTATCTTAAGCTTTGCGTATTCTTGAATGATAATATTGTACTCTTATACATCAGGGTTATTCTAAATTTACATATTGTGTTATGTTAAAAAACCACCTTATTTTGTTATCTTGCTTGCTTGCCTTCGGCTTCACCTTATTTGTTGCTAGATTGGCATTTCGATAATGAAATTATAAATCTACACTTAAGTTTGCTTGTAGAGGAGAACTGGACGTCTACCTGCTGGGTCTGGTTGGTCGGAAACACTTCTCTTGCTTAGGCTTTCATCACTATTGCTCGCTGAGCATCATCTTAAATCCCTGGAGGCTGCATGCAGGTCCATGAGCCTATCAATACAAAACAAATCAGTACTACCTTATGATTTACAAACTTCATGTCATGTTCACCATGGTTCAGAGTCCAGTCACACGCCCCAGAGGTGAAGGGAGGTGAAGCCCAAAATGATATTCAGCTATGGCCGTCTTGTGCTGCTTACACATGGACGTTGGATTGGGAATAATAGTGTTTCCGCTTCTCTATGCTCTAGCCTGTTTCAAGTAAAAACAATATGCCTGAAACTTAAACCCAGCGTCGATCTGCCGAAGAATCCGCAGTCGGAATTCCGTACATACATAACTAATGCTCGCTGATCGTGGGGAAGTTGTCCCAGCCCCCGACCCAGAATTCATAAGTCAACCGTTCGGGCAATACGGCGGCCCTTGTCAAACTGCCTCCAGCAGTTTCAGAGGAGTCAATCATGCATATGACAAGTCGCATGAAAGCCTGTGCTCGTTGCAGGCGACAGAAGGTTCAAGACTTCCTTGGGCCCAGGACAACTGAGATCTGCTAATTCATGGCTTGCAGTTGAGGTGCGACTTGTATCAGCACCCCGGACAGCCATGTTCACGTTGCAAACGCATGCACATAGAATGCAACAATATAGTGGAAGCTCCAGAGGCTACTGTGGACGCTTCGCCAGCTCGGTCTGATCGCACGGCTGTAGGAACTTCAAGCAGTGCCTTGATCTATACCGCTGCGGAGCCATCACTTGAAGGAGGTAAACTGCGAATCGTACTTGAAAGAGTCTTCCCTCCTGTTTTGGACAATAATTGCCACAGGCTCCAGGCACTTGGAGCATGCCACGAAGCTGCACCGGATAGCTGTTCAACACATCAGAGGCGGAACATTCCAGCCCCTTTTACACATTACGAACCCTATTACAATTATTAAAATCTCCCTGATTCTGTGTCTCTGGCCTCTACCAGTGGACACAATGTGGAAAGACCCTTCACATGTGTATACAGGCACAGCCCATTCTCTCGCTGTTCAGAATGGGCTTTTCGTCAACGGTCACGAGCAAGACTTTGCAAGGACGCATACTTCTTTGTCCAAAGAGATCAGAGATATTAGGGCTCATCTCTGGCTCAACTGTTGTTTAGTATTTCAAGCCTAAGTTCTCTTGTCTGTAGAATTATGGTACTCGCTCAACGTGAACAGTACTAGCCTGTGCGATGGCCTCCCATATCTTTCCATCTCCGAATCCAAGCCCTACCAGAGGAAAACTAGGCTCGAGGAGATTGTGGACGCCTCATTCCATTGCCGCATCAAGTGCCACGACATCTTAATTGATGCCACTAGAGCATTTGGCGACATCATAGACGAGCAGGGCGAGGGCAGTAAGTCGTTGCTACCACTAATCAGGATCTTCAGTGAACAAGTGGAAATCGTCCCACTTCCTCTCTGTGATGACTTATGTATGTGTGAGCCAACTTTAAGTAAAGTGTCATTGGACTGAATTTAATTGACTTACCAGGCTACCTTACCCGGTGCTGCACCCGTCTCGCAATATCAGCCTACTACTTCTTCCTACAGAGTCATGACTTTAAGAGACCAGGCCTGATTACAACCTTTTCAATAGCCACAGAAGTTCTTGATGCCGTGTCTCGCTTAGATGCCATGCAGGACTTCGCGTTATATGCTTCAAACTACTATACGCGCATGGCCTTGCTAGCGGCGTTTTGCATCCTACGACTAGTCAGGAGCCAGCTGAAAGAGCACATTGACCTACGTGATGCTCAACAGTCGTTATTCAAGGCGATATCATTCGTCAAAAGGCGTTCCATGCAACACGGCGACCTTGATGAGAGGTATGGGACGATCCTCTCGCAGTTGTGGTCAAATAGCGATTCGATGGATACTACTACAGCTAATGGGCTGGATCTGAGGATCCGTAGTCGTTTGGTACGTGCAAGAGAAGATGCCCCCAGGTCTACTCACCTAACTACCATAGTTTATGAGCGTGGCATTTGACTCTCTTTGGTGGTGACGAGTCGAATACAACGGGCAAGGCAGTCCATACGACATGAACAGGACTGCGCCAGAATCTGTCCAGACGGGTGCCACAGATGCCAGCACGTATTGGAACTCGACAGCTGCGCCTGTAGGCGACAGCTTCGGATCATCCAACTTCCCCGAGGTGTACATGGACTGGAACTTCCCTCTGGATCTTGACTATATTGGATAGAGAGAGCATGGATACTTCAAGGAGCTACATACAGCGTCTTCTAAGCAAAACGTTTTGATAGCCAGCCTCGAGCGTAGCATGGCATCCTAGGACGTATCAGTCCACGCCACCTTCAAAGTTGGAAGCTCCAGCCTCCTCATCAATTTTCATCGACTCATCGAGCCCGCATACTCGGAATAGGTCATATTATTGCAGTATTAGATTACTGGATTCTGGGGCGGATATTTGTATCTTCACCTGTGGTGTAAGCTCGGTATCTGCTAAACCTGTTTCCTTCAGCTTTTGCAGACCAGCCTCGATTGCAGTATAAGCCGGAGCCAGCGTGGCCAGCGGCACAATCATCATGCTGAACCCCAAGCCTTTTGCTTCTTTAGCTGAGATTTTCGGCGTGACGCTATTCTCCACCATATTCAGCAACGCTGGCCATGGTGCGAGATCTGCGATCATCCGCCGCGCTTCTTCGACCGATCGAAGACCCTCAGGGAAAGCAGCATCAGCTCCAGCATCGCGTGCAGCACGGAGCCGTGCCAGTGCTTCTTCATATCCATGCTTCTGGATGGAATCTGTTCGTGCAATGATGACTATATCGCTTCCAATCCTTCGGCGTGCTTGCACGGCAGCCCGTATACAGGCCAAATACTCTTTCAAGTCCACCAGGACCTTTCCAGCGAGATGAACGCATCGCTTGGTCTGCACCTGGTCTTCGATATGTAGCGCCCCGACACCTGAGCGCGAATACTGTTCAACCGCACGTGCCACCATGATTGGTCCGCCGTATCTGGTGTCCGCGTCGGCAATGACAGGCGTAAATGGTGACAAACTGGCGATCATTTCTGCGCTCCGCCGCATGTCGTTCAGTGTTGCGATCCCTAGGTCAGCACATCCGTGAACGGATGCCGTGACTCCTGCCACAGTCTATACTCGTCAGTCCAAGTTTTGATAGCAAAGCATAGCAGACTAACCATGTACAGGACATCAAATCCAACCTCGAGCGCAATGCGCGCAGAGAATCCATCGTGTACACCCGGAGCAAGGATGAAACCACCCGCTTCTATCCTTTGGCGTAACAACTTCCCCGCAGTGATAGTTGTACAGACATCCTCTCCTTGTGAGCTCATGATTGAGTTGTATGGTGTAGGGGAATGCTGTTCTGATGAGTTTTGAGCCTTGTCTAGGTAGACCTATGTTGCATTGCGATTTATTTGATTCGGAATCAATCCGTTGTCAAGCCCCTTTTCGTGTATTTGTTCAAGATGGGTTGGAGTGGGACTTGGGAGTTCCTAACTATGACGAGCTTCAGCGATGCTGAACGCTCGGAATTCCGAATGTCTGGTCCAACTCAAGCATGCTGATGAACACAGGTCGTGGTATCAGCACAAGACGTCATTTCGTGTAAAGATTCCATACCACAGTTCCCGGGCGTCGGATGGAGACTGGTGTGCTGATGGCTGGCGCAGAGGCCGATATCCGATTCTTGGATTGGATTGGATTGGAAGCCCCAAGAAAGATACGAGTCCAGCTCATGCAGGACTGGTTTATCAGAATTATATTGTTCCAACTGATAGGTAGCCCTCGCGTGGAGAGATAGTGGAATAAGTTGCAACTGGTAATGGCTGAATTTTCCTTTCGTCTTCTTCTACAAATGACTTTTACTATATGTCCAGATCATGACGCCGAGAAACAATCTACCTAATGACAAGAATCCCTAACGCCAGTTGATGCAACGTCGTTCATCGTCCTCACCACCGCTTGAAAGACTGTCGCATGACCTTCTGCTCCTTTGATCGAGTCTTCTTGCGCTCCTTATTCTTCTCAAACTTCTTTCTCTTATCTCGTCCATACTTCTCCGGTTGTGCCAGTGCCTCAATCTTTCTCTTGCTTGAACGCTGTTCTCTCTTGGCCCTCACCTCCTCTCGAATAGCAAGAAGTTGCTTCGAGTACTCAGCCGTACCAAATTTCTTTTGCAGGGAATCCATGAGGATCTGCGCTCTTGTCTTGAGGGCCTCGTGTTTCGTCTTGAAGAGTTCATCGTTGGAGAAAGGGGGTGCAATGGAGGGGTCAGTAAGATTGTGAAGGGGTACGAGGATAGTCTTGAAAGATGGTCGCAGGCGATCGGCTGAAGATCTCCGGCAAATTGTTTCAAGAAGCTCCATCGCAGCCACCTTTGGTGTGATGGCAACAGCCCTAGGGGGGATCTCTCGTCGAATGATATGAGAGATCTTCCAGAACAGATGTTGAAGATCAGTCTTTCGTTGTGTCCCCTCAGCCTGCTCTTCTTCCTCTTCCTCGTCCTCGTCCTCTTCCTCCTCATTCTGCTGCTCTTGCTCGACATCATCGTCAGACCTCTCCCCTTCAGTTACAGGTCGAAGAGGGAGGCGAGGAGCCAAGAAAGCAAGGACCTGGACAGCTTCCGCTCCGAGCTTCTCGTCAATGTCTCGAGTCGCCAAGACACCCAAACCAAGTCTCACCAGATTTTGGACCTTCGGCAAATCAAGTGTAAGACCATGGCTGCCGACCACTGCTTCGCCAACCGCTACGTCACTGGCTTGCTGAGCAAAATCAGCCAGGTATGAGCTTGTCAGTCCAATAGATGACAATTTGACCGAAGTCGATTGATGTGACAGGCATCTCAAGATGCTGGACCACATCTTCTCGCTGCTGCTTGACAGAATCTTGTCAGGGAACACAGACAACGAGACCCGGATGACTTCAAGTGCCGCGTCTAAGAGTTCTCCATCGGCCTCTCGAATATCCTCCGCCTCAATGACGCTGCTGATCTTTCCTAGAACGAGCTTGAAATCCTTCTTGTTCTTGGATGCATTTTCGTCGGACTCTAGATAGAAGCCGAAAACCTGGAAGGCAAGCTTGAGAACTGCCTCATTTCCGTCTTGATCTAGCCATGTTCGCACAAGTCCGAGGAAAGTTTGAGTCCTCTCTTTGTCAGCCTTGCGGAATATCTCCTTTAGTAGTCCAGCAGCTGCAACTTGACACTTCTCGCTGTCATCATTGGCAAGGACAAAGAATAGCGGAAGGAAACATGTGGAGGAGATCTCTTGCACAAAGTCATCTGATGATTTCATAAGAAGCAGGTGAACAATCTCCATGACAGATAGCCGGCCACCCTCTCGCTCGTATTTGAGATTGGCAACAATGAAGTTCAGTTGTTTAGCCCATCTGGCCTTCTTCTGGGGATATTCACGAATGAATTGGAAAAAGGCACCTCGAGCAAGGTCACGAGTGTCCTTATCATCATTGGTGATCATAACTGTGCCAACATAGTCCAGAGTGTCGTAAACGGCGGCGGTTTCCAGATGTCGGTCCAGAACCGACCGCAGAAAGTTGAATGTGACATGGCGGTAAAGGGGTTCAGTGAGATCGTCCTTCAACTTGGCAAGGAGCATATCAACCGCCGCATCCTTCACGACAACATCACGACGCTCTCGAAGGACAACCGCTAGCATTTTGAGAGCTGCTTGAGATAGGTCGGTTGTGGTAGAGACTGCCATGGAGATGCTCTTGGTTGCTTCCTTCACTGCAACCTTGTACAACTTGGATCCCTCATCGTCAAGGAATGGCACTTTGACAATGACAGCGAGTAGTCGGAACGCTGAGATCTTCACTTCGTCCTCTCCACCAACCATAGCATCGCCAAGAATGGGAATGAATCCGGAAATGTTGGTAGGGGTTCGCAAGCTATCGTGCTTCTTCAGTATTGCTCTCAGAATGTCCACCGCGAAGCGGATTAGCTTGTATGTGTGCTTAGTCGTTTTGCCTCGATCGCCGCTCTTCTTCGCACCCTTTTGGACAAGGTATTTCTTAACTCGAGGGTCCAGCTTCTCTTCAACTTCAGGCTTTTGAGAGTTGTAGACGTCCTGAATGACCTCATAGCAGAAAACAAGGGTATCGCGGCTTTCGGCGGCAGGGTTTTGCAGAAGTCCGGCCGTAATACGCGCCATCAGGGTATCAAGCTTACGAACCATCTTGAGATCAACCTTTTGCATCAGAAGCGCGCGTAGTGGCTTGACCAGTTCGATAAGCCGACTGATCGAAGCGTTCTTGGCTATAAGCTCCATCGAGTCTTGACTCTTGCTGCTCTTGATCTCCTTGGTCTGGGTGGTATAGCCCTCAGCGTCCTTCTCTTGGCCGATGACACCGAAAATATCATCCATGATGACCGTTACGACAAAGGTAAGGCAATAGTCCAAATCACCAGGAGAGCAGATAGGGATGATTGCAACCAGAATGGAGTGCATGGTGTATGAAAGCACATGGAGCTGGTAACCTCTGGTCAGAGCTCCTCGCAACTCCTTCAGGATGAAGCCAAAGTACGAGGAGCCGAGGATAACAGCAATCTTGACTAATGTGTCTCGAGCCATATCACGAGCTTCGACAGACTTGCTGCGAAGAATGTGACTAATATCAGTCAAGACACCAGCCAGTTTCTGGTCCATTTGGTCCGAGGGCAGCAACTTCAGAAGTCTGACAATGATCACGCCAACGGGGACACGGTAGCTGACTTCCGACTCGTCTTTTTCGTGGAGATGCTTGACAAGCGTGGGCAGGAAGGAATTAGTAACCTCGATGCTCAATTTCTCCGCCGTCGGAATAGTGAGGGGGAGTCTGGTGGTGGCTGATGACGATGCATCAACCTCATCAATCTCCATGCGCTCCTGCGGCTCATTTTCAGCTGCGTCGACAAGTGCATCAGCGACCTTGCTTAAAAGTCGAATTGTTAGCTTCTGTTGTTCGGGCTTGGCTTCAACATAGCCGATGTATCTTTGGAGAGTGGTGCGGTAGTGTTTCCAGTGCAGAGAGCTTGCAAGATTACCGATGGTGATAATTGCTTGAGCACCAAGCCCATGGTCATCAACTCCATCAGCGCGACCAAATATGAAGTGCTCAAGGAGTGGGATAAAGAACTGGGCCAGGTTCTGGCTTCCCATCTCCTTCTGCTTGTTGGCTGCTTCTAAAATATGCAGAGCCTCTAACTGTCTTGCGGTTGCAGGACTTAAGATATTAAAGAAGAAGGTTAGTTCAGCGCTGTCCTCGGTCCGATCATTCAACAATGCGCTGAGGTCAGCTACAGGTTCCCATTCGGGCATTGTTGATAGGAGATGACCCATAACTCGAAGATACTCTCGTCGAGCTGTGTCGGATGGCTCCCGGGCTCCGGCGTAAAGAGCAGGCAAGATGACACCTCTCAAATGAATGTCAAATCTCCCCCTCGAAATTTCAGAAGAGCATGTCGCTGCATCCATAATGAACCGCCGAAGTCCATCGGCCGAGTTGGACGAAAGAATACCGAACTCAGCATCGTCTCGAATGTGATAAGTCAAGTTATGAAGCAAAGGTAGCCACTGCTTTGGAGTCAATGGAGTCTCCCGATCGCCCGAGATTGCACTGTAAGCGGCCAGGCGTCTGTCATAATCCGGCTCATCGATTCGTCCCTCTTTGAAAGAATTGAGAGCTGCACAGAGACCAGCAACTTCCTGGAGGCTGTTATCCTTCCCAGCAATAGCCAGCATGGCCCTTGAAAGAGATTGTCTGTTTTCGCGATCTTTGAAGTAACTGAAAAGAGACGATATAGTGTCATAAACATTGTCGAGAAGTGCTTGGTTCTCAAAAGCAGTGGAACGAGTGACATACTGCTCAACGATGAGCAGGATTCTGCCCTTGAGCTTGGGGCTGACTTTCCGTGGAGGTTGGTTCAGAAGGAAGATGGAGATCTCAATCACGGCTTGAATGTCCTCGGTATCCTGAACAATAGGAGCCATAGTCAGGATTGTCTCAACACAGGCCTCCATTAAGTCATTACTAATCCCGGACATATCCAGAACAGTAGAGATCTGTGACAAGATTGTTTTCGAGTTGGTGTCGAGAAGGTCTGCTTTGATAACCTCATTGAACTCGGACTCCTGTGCAGGCGCAGTAGCAAGTTTGATCAAGTTTCGAATTATAGTAAGAACATGAATTTTGACTTCATCCTTACCCTTCTCAATTGAAAGACATTCAATAACTTTGGGAAGAATACCCTCAGGAACCTTGCTATGTGGTGCAAGGAATAGTGCAATTCTGGGGAGAACAGACCAAGTAGCAAAAAGTTGCAGCATGCCGGAAACCCCCTGTGTTGTCTCGCTGGGCAAATTTTCTAACCTTGGGGCCACAACATCCTCAAGAATGATATCCTGGTATGGTGCCCATTGGAAAGATTGAGCGTTTTGGAAAAGAGCGATCAAACATTTTAACCCAGTTGATCGAATGACCCTGAGAAGCGACTGCGTGCTGGCCTTCTCTTCCTCCTCTTCGCTCTCTGGGCCCATACCCTGTGCGCTGAGTTGACGGCAGGCAAAAACAAGACAGTACAAAACCGCATTGAGGAGTGTATCCAAATAGGGCGTGGCGTTGGTGCCAAGCTCTGAGATGACGGAGGAAATCATATTGAGAAAACCAACTTGCTTCCTGATGGGAAGGATAGGCTCCTCGAAGATCGTCTTTGAGGCGCCGACAACCTTGACATCTTTCAGCTTACCCGTGGCAATGTCCAAAAAGCTCCCCATGTCTTCGATGCTGAGGTTCCGAAGGACTGCCAGCCGAGTGGCCTGCAAGCCATGCCTACCGCTTGCTGCACCCTTCTTGGAAATTGTACGACCGTAAAGCAATCTAAGGAGAACAGGCATCAAATCAGCCCTGTGCTCTGGCTTGATTGCGTTCTCATCTTGAAGGAAGACTGTGAGCTCGTTTTTGAAACGAGCTTCATCTAGAAGGAACTCCAGGTTTTCTTGATAGGTCTTGATCGCCTCCTGTTTCCAGGCGAGAATGGCCTTGAGGGTAACCTTCTGGACCTCAACATCACCATTCTCCATCAATTGCATGAGTGCGGTATAAACCTCTTCATGTTGGTACAAGACCCGGGGGTTGATGAACTGTGAAAAGACACTGAGCATAGCCTTGCGATCGGCGAGAGACCAAGTGGCACCCTCGGAAACATCTTGATCGTTTGCTGAATCAGGGGTTCGGTCTTCACTCGCCCAAGCCAAGAAATGCGGCACAAGGAGCCGCGATCTCCTCTCTGCAATTGAGGGAATCGCGTTAAACACTTTCAGCGCACGAGACCTAGAGTTTCCAGCGGCTGTTTCCGCAGTTTGCTGCTTGTCGTCGAAATTCTGCAGCATCAACTCATCAGGGCGATCAATAATATTCTCCACCTCGGCTGCGACTTCTTCAAGTCGACGCACGTTGGTGCATTCAAAGTCGGAAATGAATGCGGGACGCGAGCTTTGGGTTTCAGGTTGTGAGGGACCCCAGCGAGCTGAGGGAATCTTCAGCCAGCGGAAAGCAACCTCGCAGATTGCCTCTTCTCCGGCCTTGGTCTGTGTGATCTGCTTCATAGTCTCCACCGAATCATCCCACACAGGCGACAGCTTGACTGTCAGCATACCAAACAAGAAAGCAGGCACAGCTCGTTGCAGCCAAGAGCCCTCCTCAAACGAAGCGTAATTCTGACCTAGCTTGCGAAGATGCATGGCGATTGTCCTTGTATGCGCAAGACTTAACGGAGTCTCCTCGGTCTCTATCATAGTCTCGACAGCGTTCCAGTTGTCTGGCGTCGGGCTAAGTGCCTTCAGCAAATTCAAGGACGCCAGCCTCAGATCGTGGGATGGAGAACTCAGGTTTTCAATCAATGATGAAGTCACCGGATCCTCCTCACTGGATGAGCTATCGCTACTGGTACTGTCTTGTCTCCGTGCAATCTCCTTACTTTGCAGGATCTCTTCGTACGCGAGATAGGCATGCAGAAAGCTTACTGACTGGGAGAAACGTGGAACTGCAGCTCGGAGCAGGGGGCTCAGGGTAATGTCGACGGAGCCGGCGGCCTTGCTCATACGAAGGTAAGCATGGAATCCTTGACCAACAATGAAATGAACTTCATCGGATGCCAGGGTAGATGAGGGGCGAAGGGCGAGCTTGAGTTTCCGGAGCAGGAGTTCGGCGATACGAGCATTTGTTGATGGGTGAACAGTCGTCAACTCAAGTATCTGAAGAAGAGCCGAGTATTTTGGCAAGCATCTATCCCGCCAAACTTGAGGATCTTTGTTGTAAGGCCCCCTTTCAGGAAATGGCGAGATTTCTAGGCGCTCGAACTTGGAGACAATCTGATCCTGCCAGCCTTGTGGCATTCTGCAACTGTCTTTTTCACCAGCTGGTGGAAAAGCACGGGTTTCAATCATCTTTGGTAACAGAATGCAAATCATGTCCTCATTAGGTTCCTCAGACCAGTGGTTCGCAATAAATCTAACACAGTCAGCAAATATTCAAAAGCCTCTCTCATCTCAAAATGCTCACCTTTGAAAATCGTTACGGAAGAGGCTTCCAAAGCGCTGGGCATCCAGCTCGCAGAAATAAGAGCAAAAGGGGATGAACCACTTCATGAAGGGCTCCCTGCTCAGTGATTGAGTAAGAGGAACGATATGGGGTATCAATGCATCAATAGGTGCATGGTGCCAGACAATGGCAATATTGACGATAACAAATTTCCAAACAGCACTTGCGGCATCATGTGGTACTTCCAGACCAGCTTTAGTAACCTCAGATAACAGTTCGACAAAGTTCTTGATAAGTGGTGCCCAGTCCGTAAGGCGATTTCCTTTCCGAACACCAGCCATGGTGCCGTATATCCGGAAGAGAGGAACTGCTTGCCACTGGCGATCAGCAGGAGACACACGCTCCATGTTGGCTCGAATGGTCTCATGGACTCCGGTAGCGAAATCTCCAAAAGTATCAGCAGTCGCGTGGTGGATAACACTGGTGAGAACGCCACAGACGACATCGGTCCAAGTGGTGTCTTCGGTGAGAGTTCGCTCCTCCTCGGGAATTGCATCAACGAGAGCGGCGAAAACAGCCGGGCCAGTTGAGTGGATGATATTATCAGTACCCTTGATTGCCTCAGCAAACATATTCATCAATCCGTCCTTGTACAAGGTAAACTGGCGGTCATCCTTGATACTCAAAAGATCATCTCGCGCGCGTTCGACCAGGCGCTTCAAAGCTGTCTCGCGGTGTGAGGGGGCTGCTGCTTTCTTGACCAAGAAGCTGAGGGCTTCAGCCGCAAATCGAGCAATATGGGGAGGGTGTCGTGACTTTCCGAGAAGGGGCGCCATGACATTGAAGGTTGGTCGTAAGTCTGGTACAAGAAGCTTTGACAGGTACTTGAACAAAAAGGCGAGGGCGCCAAACGTCCACTCTATAACATCGACATCCTGGGGCTTCGCAGCAATAGCCACAATCAAATCCAAACTCCTGCCATAATGTTTCTCAAATCGAACTCCCAGATCATGCGAGAAGGCGGTGAGAAGGTCCAAAAGGGGCTCCAGAGCTTCCTTATCCTGTCCTGCTATGAAATCGGCCAACAAGTCCATTATCCTCTGTTCGAAATGGAGGAGTTGCGGGAGGCTCTCGCATAGCGGCCAGACCTTGGTCTTGAACGCAGAAAAAGGTTTCGAGACATTGAGTTCTCCCCATTTCTGAAGCCCGGTCTGGAAATAGGACGTTGTGGTGGAAAGGTCTTCGGTATCGAGGTCATGGCGGCGAACCTTTCGCAATGGTTGGAGCGAGTTGAATTTGGATATTTTCGTAGTAAAAGACTCCCATCGGTGGTTCTTTTGATGGGGTGTTGTATTTTTGTTCTTCCGCGCCTTGGTGATGCGCCCTGATGAGTTGGACGGCATCTTGGCGGTATGACTTTGTGGAAGGACAAAATTCTCAGACTTGAAGATCCAGATCTTGGTGCGAAAAAGAGCTTCACATACCGCGAAAATGCGTCCCTCCAAAACTTTTTTGCCGGCTGATAGGCGGTAAAACCGATAAGGCGGCGCTAATGCAGGAAGCCCCACTATGACCAATCATAGGCGCGCCGCATCCTCTTATCTTTCTTAAGCTCAACGCGCTTCTGTATGCACTTTCATCATAGCTTCTTCATCCATTGCTTGAGAGAGAAGTTATCGTGATAACCTCACTATACCACAACCACAACCAAGATGGCTGCACCAAAAATGTAGGTTACGATGCCAACTCACTACTCACTTGTACGGACTGACAATTCTCATGAAGTATTGTCTTGGGCAGCCTCAATGGCCAGCTTGAACCGGCGTTCAAGAAGCTAGCGACATTACACACCAAAAACAGCTTCTCCATGGCCATCCTCACTGGCGATGTCTTCAGCGCAACCCAAGACGATGACTCTGTGAATGCGCTTCTAGATGGGGCCATTGAAGTCCCTCTACCAACCTATTTCACCATTGGAACCCACCCACTCCCACCTCGTATTGCTGCTAAGGTTGAAGCCGAGGAGGAGATCTGCGAGAACCTACATTTCCTAGGCAAGCGCAGCATTACCAAGACATCTGATGGTGTGAGGATTGTCGTCTTGGGTGGCCAATTGGATGCCAACCTTATTGCAGGACTATCTAAGGAACAGCACCTCCCATTCCACACAGCGGATGACGCAAAGAGCCTGCGCGGCGCGAACAACGCTGATATTCTCCTGACGTCAATATGGCCAGCAAGTGTCTGGACTGGCTCTCAGGTTGCGCTCGGTCCCACAAGCCAAGCGTCACTCACCGTTTCGGACAACATTGCAGAACTATGTGCAGCGCTCAAACCGCGCTATCACTTAACAGCTTCACCAGAAGCCTTCTTCTACGAACGAGAGGCTTTCGTTCACCCCACCGAGAAGGAAACGGATGATACCTGCATCACTCGCTTCATTTCAATGGCCCCTTTCGGCAATGACGCCAAAGCAAAGTCTTTGTACGCTTTTAGTCTCAACAAAGGAGATGCTTCAGTACCCCCCGGCGCGACAGCCTCGCCGTTCAACCCTAAGACTAAGAAGCGTGCACCCAAGGATGATTCTTACAGCCGATACGGGGGCGATGATAACAACAGAGGTCATAGAGGCCGACGCCAGAAGCAGCGCCATCGGTCGCCACCTCCGGGTCCTGATCGATGTTACTTCTGTCTCTCCAATCCCAACCTATCGGCCCACATGTGCTGTAGTATCGGCGACGACGCCTACATCTCCACGGCCAAAGGTCCTTTGCCAACCTCGAACACATTTGCAGAGCAAGGCCTTGCCTTTCCAGGCCACTTGATCATCATTCCGCTACCACACAACCCTACAATACCTAGCATCGGTCCTGTCACTGATCCAGCAGGAGAAGCCGCAAAAACCTACAACGAAATGACACGATTCCGAGAAGCTGTTCAGGCTATGATTGCCTCCAAGAGCTCACACAAGCTCGGCGTCGTGACGTGGGAGATCAGCCGAGAGCGCAATGTTCACCTTATCTGGCAACTAATGCCTCTCGCAGCCGATCTCGTTCGCAAAGGCGTTGCGGAAGCCGCTTTCAAGGTCGAGGCGGAGAATCAGTCTCTTCCAGCATTCACCGCTCGGGAGCTCACGCTCGAACAGCAGGCCGAGTCAGGGGGTGACTTCTTCCGCGTATGGCTCTGGGCGGACGATGGCGAGGACCGTGTTAAGGGCAAAGCCCTCGTCATGCCTCTGCCCTCAGACATGCGCTTCGATCTTCAATTCGGACGTCGTGTGTTAGCTAAGCTTCTTGGTCTTGAAAGTCGCCTGGTATGGAAGGATTGTGAACAGACCGTTGAGGAGGAGACGAAAGACGTCGAGGCTTTTCGGGCGGCGTTCAAGGAATGGGATTTCACACTTCAAGAGGGTGAAGAAGCTGCCACTTGAGTTCTTCGGTTTTGTATACTATATCAGATGCATGGGCGGCGTTTAAAAGAAATGGGTTTTGGGTGAAATTTCTTCATTTAAGGGGCCGTTGTTTTTTCCCATCTGGTCTGAGAGGCTCTGAATAGCGATGCGTAATAGATGCCCGTCTTAGACGACTACGCAATACTGTATCGAGAAATTGACTCTTTGATCAAATAATACGGTGTGTCTGACTGACTAGAAGCCCTCGCAGCCATATGAACCAGCATTTGATGTCATGCCCTCTCGCGAAATCGCGACAAAACTCAATCACGTCAAGAAGCAGCACGTTAACTTTTAACTGTTTTGTCCCTCAATTTTCAGGTATCTAGCCAGGGGTACTCCTCAATGTCAAGTGATGCACAACTAGCAAAACCACTTTTCGCCAGCCATGTGCATCTTGCTGCTCCGCCAGCTAGATTTACAGAAAGTATCGCAGTATCAATCTTTCATGATACTGCGACATTGCGGCCTGTGCCTATTACGGACAGAACATAAATACATTCCAGGCCTGAGGGTGATATGTAATTCCCATCTTCCCAACATTTCTCTTGCGGGAAGGGTTTGTTTGAATATGTAGTGAAGAACAAAAAAAAAAGAGGTGAACCATTCCCGTTTTGTAAGGTCAGGGGGTATAGGTGCGACAATATGCGCAGATGGGATGTTATAGGTAGGTATCCATGATTCTAGGATACTGGTATCAAAAAGACTGTCGAATAGGGTACCGAGTGACAGATGCGAGTCAAGCTGTGCCTGGCCACGGTATGGCTTCTGTAAAAAGGGGTATTCTGTGTCCCCTAGGGTGAAGCCACTGAGAGGCCGAGACATCTGGTATCGAAATGTCTATTGCGAACAGCGCCACAGTCGTCGGGGAAAGCTTGTTCCCGAGACATGTTTTAGAAGCCAAAAATGCAAGTCCGGAAATCGCCAAAGCAGATGCAGTTGAGTGAAAAGAAAGGAAAGAATAATGCGCGCCCTAATGCAGAATGGGAGTAAGTTGGCTCCTTGGTGAATGAGGTTCCATCGTTGGACCATGTAAAGCGTGAAAAGTTGAAAACCATGAATGGGTCTGTCTGCTGATGCGTAAAACGTAGAAAAAGGAAAATAAGTCGATGAGTGAGAACTCGTGTCAGTGATCTAAAAGCGAAGAAGTCGTTGCGGTCGTGGTGGTGCTATGAGCATGAGAATGATTAATCGTAGTGAAGATTAGTTGAAAGGACAAGTTGTCGAAGCAGACCAAAGCATGTATTACTGGCTTTTGAAGCGCCGCGGTCGGATTGGCCGTTGGATTCATCAAAGTGGATGGGGTAGAATGAAGGGTCCCCTTGACAACATTGTTGGGAGGAGACGGTAGAGAGGAATGACCATAGACCAGAAGTAGCAGACAAGGTGAAACCAGCACCGATAGAGTCCAACTCTACCACGTGCAAAACAGACCAAGTCGTAAAGATCAAAACGTCTAATAAGAGGCCATACGGCGAGCATGTGATCGGTCGCCAATCATGGGGGAGGCACCAAGGAGGGAGATTGGTGCATGAAGATTTCGTGACTGAGGCCTGCTGGGAGCAGTTGGTGACTCGTCCACACAAGGCTCACGTTGGCCAAAAGCAAAAGTCGCGGCACGGCTGAGACCTTTACGAGATTTTAATCGGCCCATCTCGCGTTCGCAAGTGCGCTGGTGAGCCTCATCGGACATCTCAACGTATTCTTGAGGATAGCAACGGCCCCGGTGTTCAGTGAAGAAGCCCGAATATCCACCGTCTAGAATGTAGACTTCGGGATATGTAAGTTTGGGGTAGAATTCAGCATTCACAGTGCGGTCCTCAGATCGAACATGACGAGCCATCAGGGGGGCACGGTGGGCTGAGTACTCGCAGTGGAAGATGAGAAGCGTCCGTCCATCCATAGGAGTCTGGAAGAGCTGATTTGTGAGCAGGTCCTTATCATTGTAGTTGACAGCACCGTCAATGTGGCCACCCTCATACTCATACTCAAACCGGCAGTCGATCACAATCTTTTGGTCGAAGTGGGAGCTGTACTTGCCATCCAAGACGTCGACGAGTGTCTCTCGAGTGATGCGAGGAATGGTATCGGTGGGGTCTTCCAAGAGGAAATGGGGGAGGACGGGCTCTTGAGCCTCCTCCACATCCATAACCGATTGAAGCGCGGAGGAGGTGGTCTCCTCTCCCTCTGAATTGCTCTTCATTACGTCAGCGGGATGCTCGAACATGCTTAATGACCGACGGAACTGCTTTCGATTTCTGAGAAAGGGATTGGACTGTCGCCGGGAATGTGAGTTCATGGAAGGAGAGCCATTGCTGCGAGAGCATGCATTGAAGTTGAGGAATTGGGGTCTAGTGCGGCCGATAGAAAGACCAGGGCATGGGCTGTTGGCAGATGCGGGTCTGCGCTCCTGAGGTGGTGATGTCGACTCGAAACATTCGCTGAGAGACAGGTTGGAGCTGGTATGGTTCAGGCGAGAGCCAGCACCGAAGCGGAACGGAGGCAGCTCCGTGTCAGCCTGGCGACTCGGTACCGCCGTGGTACTGAAACCCTTCATCCGGGTTAGGGATGGTCTTCGTGGGACAGCTATTCTACGGTTTCTAAAAGACGTCAGTTGGAGTTCCAGGAGGAATGTGGGAATATGAGACTGACTCAGCCATGATGGGCTTGGGAGGTTCCAAGGAAGACTGCCGAGAGATAGGAGCCGGTGAATCAAGAACCATTTCATCGTCAGCGGCTGGTGTAGTCCCCGGAGTTGGAGAAGTTATCTCGAACTGGGTGAAGAAAGGTGTCTTGTGAGGCAGAGGTGATACCTCCATCAACTCCTTGAGCTCGGCCAGTGGGGCGGGCGACGAGGATGGCAATGGGGGAGTCGTGACTGAATCTGTAGGAGCATGCCAATTAGCCACGAGGTTCTGTGTTCTAGACCTTGTTGGTCTTGCTCACCGCGACCTTCCAAGCTGCCCATCATGCCAGCAGTGAAGAGTGCTCTTCTGGGAGTGGGGAACTGAGGACTGGGAGTATGTTAGCCAAGACACTGTAAACCGATTACCAGGCGCAGCAACAAACCTCGAATCGCTGTCAAGTCGGAAGTTCTGGGAAAGATCAGCAGCCAAACTCGCAGCGGGCGAGGAGCCTCGTACGTCCTTGACGTTGAAATAGTCTCCAGAATGCTTGTGCATTTGCTCGCGTAGACTCATGCTTGCAGATGTGACAGATGATGTAGAGTAATGAGGGTGCCCGCGAAAGACATCTCGACTACCCCAACTAGGGAGCATGGACGGGCGGTGTAACGCCGCCAGAGGTGAAGAGGCTTCCATTGTGAATGATGGTAATGAAGCAGCGGGACGATTCGAGGGAACCCGGGTTTAATCGAGTTCTGTCGAAGCACGTCAGCTACTAAGAGCTACTCGATATCGAAGACACGGCGATGGAGGACTGGAGAGGTAGTTCTGCAGTAAGTCAATGCTGCAGTAACACCTCTATAACGGTATCGAACGAGCGTCTGGGCAAATGCCTTGAAGCCAAGGTTTGTACAGATTGAATTGTATTAAAATCGACTCGTGGGCGAACCAAGTATTAGATGAATGATGGGAGATTAGCTCGTGGCGGGGTTTCGACGATAGCGTGTGACGGTCGTTATAATCGTTCGAATGACATTTGAAGGAGGGGCGAACAAGACTCGATAGAGACGTAATCGTGAATGCGTCCGACGACAGGGAGAGTCGTCGCCTTTACGATTATGAGGCGAAGAGTCAAGTTGAGTCGAGAAGACGTCGAGGTCTTGGTCTATCTCGAGAGGGATCGAGATGGTTAAGCTGAGCCAGACCAAGTGCCAAATTGACCAGGGGTGGGCGTTGCTGGGCGGATGGCAGAGGACTAGAGGACCAAATCGCACAGGTCTCAAATACGCACAGTACAGTACAGGCAATGCTAGTACCAAGGAAAAGATAAGGTTACTGAGTACCGTAATGCTAAAACTAGCACACCGAGACAGACAGAAAGCCTTTTTCCAAGAACGAGAATTGTATTTCCCCCGTGTTTCTTGTCTTTCAATGCTTTCCCCTTTTTTTTTTTTCTTTATATCGACCACTGGTGAGAACCTGTTCGATATCCGAGGGTGGGCTTCGAGTTCAAGCTAGTTAGTGCTGCTGTTGGCTGGATCGAAGAAGGACTGATATGGGGTCCAATTGATTGGAAGAACGAGCGGTTGTCTAAGTTGGATATAAAGATGGCTAGCCGTAACCGTATTTGCCTTCTGGAGAGACTGTCGGACGGGATGGGTGGGAAAGGGGAGCAAAGTGAAGATGTGAATGCGGGAGCTGAAGCCTTTTGAATGGATTCAACCAAGCCCAGTCCAGGCAAAGGCTTGTCTGGTTGGAGTTTTTTCCCAGGCGATTCCCACCAAGGTTGTTAGGGGTGATTTGGGAGCGTGCTGGGGCCTTGGGGTCGCTGGGGAGCACCGACTTACAGTGGAGTTTAGTGGACGAAAGCTGCACGCCCAGTGCAGTGAAGGGAGAGGTGTGAGGGTGTGAAAGGGGCGTGTCGAGCCAAGTCCACCAAGATCCCACATTGGATAGATGCCGTGCCTTCGGTGGGCACCTCACTTTCTCACTTGCACCTTCAGGGCCTCAAGGCAAGGCACAAGGTACCGGGCAGCACAACAGAGCTCCCGTAAGTCGTTTTGCGTCCTGCAGCAAAGGCCTGCACTGCTGAAGCAAATCACATCTCTCTCCAGTCCCCTCCCCAGCCGGTCTACTGCCCACTTACCAGGTATCTTTCGATTCTGAATGGACGTCGCCCCGGAGGACAGCGCGCGGTTGCTCAGCGGAGGTGGGGATGTCACCTTGGACCTTTGGGGCCATCCTTGTCCTGGATTCGTCTGGCGCTTAACAGAACAAGACCAGGGCATTATAGGCACTTTACGTAGTATGGTAAGGTCAAGAAGCACCTCAGTTAAGGTACCGTGCGGGAGCTTGTCCTTGGCCAAGGCAGGGCAGGGCAGAGCTATGCTATGCTTGTGAAGCTGTGCCTTGAATTGGATGATATGCAGTTGAATTTGGATGTTTTGCATCAAACTTGGTTCTGTCAGACTTTGCTAGATTGGCAGACGAGATAATCTTGTTTACTTTCCTTGAATAACCTTTGATAGCGTCTTGGGTAAGGTAAGGCATCCTGATTGACATTTGTGTCTTTCGACTCTGTCATGTGCATTCCCGGCTTCTAGAGCTTCCATTTACCATTATGGATCCATTGCACAGACATAAACGTCAGGGCAGTTCCAGTTCGCATAAAGAATACCACCCATAGAGTCATGATAAATTAAACAGTTGCCGATGAATACTCGACAAACTTCCATGACAGCGATAAACGCCATCTACTTGCTGGTATTGTCTCAAACTCATATCGCAAGAGATTCGACTCTTGGCTATTGATAGACTATCTCATCGTCTTTGTTCATCTCGATTTAGCACAGATATATCGACAAACTTGATCCCATTGCGTGAATGATCGACCGTTTATTTTCGACACCCATTCCCCTGGTCAGCCTTGACGCACGCAACACATCCAATCGATGGATATCTTACACAATTGCTCAATGCGTTTCTCTATGCCATCAGCCATGCACCGACCAACCGGGTTACATCATCCCCCTAGGATAAGAAGCGGTGAGGGCATCGACATGTGTAATAAAGTATACTTACACCCATGCGTCCTCCCGACCCGCGACGCTGGATATGTTAATTCAACAGCTGGATCCATGACCATGCGTCGTCCCAGTAACATGAATGAGAAGACAAGACAGGAGATGAGTTATCACGAGAATGGCGACAAGAAAAGGAGAATCAAATATTCCCAAAGCATGGATACCGCTGCCTGCATAAACGTTGAACAAAGAAACTCACCCTGCAGCTGAGACTTTGTTGAAGCCATATTGATGGGCAGTCTCAAAGAGATCAACCTCGAAAACAATCCACAATAAGCCACTACCTAAAAGGGTTCAAAGATAAAGTGGAGGTACATAGTATACTTCTCTGTTTCCGTAACAAAATGCCTGTTGCTCAATTAATCGAACGACGATATACAGTCAAACGCAGTGTTATCTATGGTAGATATCCGTTCTCTGGCTCTGAGCCAAACAGGTCTTTACACCAATCAAGACCCAGAAACACCACTTCTCAATCCGGAGCCTTTCCCAAGCCTCATGATGAAAGACTGAGCACTTAACTGTGATCAATCGAGCCTGTATTGCTGTGGCTTGTTGCAGCTTCTATGTCCTAGTGTCGTGCCAAAAATCACCGTCGCTTCGGGATTGGATAAACAACCTCGAGTTTGGACAACAATAAGTCAAGTCACGTCAGCTCTTTATCAGTTGTCGCTCCGCCAGAAACAGCGGCTCCAGTAGCGTGAGGAGCCTGATATAACTCAGACAAAGGAACCGTGAACGCCTCTTGTCTGAGAATCTCGATGCTCGTTGGCCACCAGGACCTCGGAACTACGACGTGCCTCCGCGACTCGGTTGAGACAGCGACAACGACAGTGACACTGGCGGTAGAGATTTAATATGGATGTGTAAGATGTGTCAGGTCGGAACGTAGAAACGAGTCAGATGAATAGAGTGATTTGTGAGTCGACTGTCCTACGGCTATGGGTACAGCTTCATTCTCACCGTGAGCTATCTCTCCCTGCGTAGGTAAATCTCCCTCCCTTAGGCAAGACCGCTGTCAAGTCCATAATAATTTCCATATTTCGTAACCAAACGTTCAATTCAGCATCTTTGTAATCACACTATCATGTCTGTGTCTCGGATGAAAAAAGTAAAAGGCCCCAACGTCTCCATTCTGTTGCTCCAATTCAAATGTCAAAATGTCGCCTCCCTTTCTTTGGTGCCGGATCTTTATTCTGTGCTAGGAATAGCACACAGCTTTGGCACCTTGGGCAGGCATTTCCCATACCGAAACTCGCACAATTGACAACCGTGCTGCTGGTCTTTATTCCGGGGATCTAGCATTGGAGCTCCAGCCGTACGTGCGTGCCTTGAGTGCCCTGAGGCATGACGTTAACCGCCCACTGGGATCTTGGTCCAAGTTACGTCCAACCGCCAAAACCGGTTCTTGTTGTTTTGAAAAACTGCCTCAACTGTAACAGAGCCGTTCTTCGACCCCTGGTCGACCTCGACTCTGCACTGGACATCTTGATATCCGTCCTTGTCATCTTTACAGCCCTGTCCGCTTGCCTCGTGTGCGCTGTTGTTTCAATACCTGGTCTATGCTTATGCTAAATGGGATGCTATGTTCACTTATGCTCAATGTGTTCATCATCGTGCCCCAGGAACTTAGCAGCCTCGGCGTCTCTCGGTTGCCTGGGCCCCCTGTCGTCAACTGGGGGTTGTTCCCTGTACTGGGTTCCTCAACTCTGAAGCCGCCGGCGCCCGTTGAACGCTCTTGAGAATGGTGCCTCTCGAGGCCTCGACCGTCTTTACTGAAGAGCATGTCCTTGTAGAGAATACTCCGCTAAGACCAGTGGCTACCGCTCAGGTTCAGGGCAAGAGTCAATCAAAGCGGCTCCGTGGACATGGAAAGAGGATGGAGCCATCTGTCTCTGTGAAAATTCAGGGTCCTTTTCTTCCTGTGAGACAGTCACACTTCGACTAGGGCCCTTGTTTAGAAACACAGAGGTTCCACAGCGAGCACGACGAATGACAATGGTGAATTGGCGCTTCAGAAGACTCAAAGCGATTCCCTATTCAGCCTGATTTGTCCTCTATTTGGTGAAAAGGGCAAATTCAAGCCATCGAGGCCCAGTGCAATTATCATGCGGAATCCTCCGAGAGACATATCCACATTCTCAGCATAATATGAATCGCGATGATTGACTCGACTGGACTGGGCTGAGTATTACATGACATGATGGTTCCTGAGTGAATGCAATGCAAGGCATTGTGAGTTGTGCAAGGTTACGATCAATTAACGCAGCGTTGTTGGGTCAGAAGCAAGATCCAACCCTTGTCTAGCCCGATGCTAGTGTCCAGATAGAGAAGTTGGAGACAAGCTACAGAGTGGATGAACAAGCGAGGTGGGGGTGAATAGAGAAGAGCCCAAAAAGGGCAGTTCATGCTTGCAATTGCAACTCAGCCTTCGTGTCGCCAACTTACATACATCCTCCATACATACGACTGACTTGCAGCAGGAATCAGGTACCCGAACTTCTCATCACTGAACAAGTCAGATATCCAATGCCTTGTAGCTTGCGGATAGGATCGGTACTGCATGAGCATTGCTCTGTTGCAAATTATCCAAGATTTAAATGCGGTTCGCAGATCAGTCCAACCCTGTCCTTGATTTTGCTGCAGATGCATACCTACCTATCGGACTTGATACCATCCAAAGATGATCGCAGTGCCTTTTCCGAAATATGCCCAGCTTCTGCAGAATGACAAGGGCTTCCAGACTTTCCATCGCAGGTATTTGACTTTACTCAATGTTGGTCCCCCACGTGTGCATGACAGCGCGAGGAATGCAGACAGTTGGGCGACAGCTATCATGTGAAACCTTCTGAAGACTCGATACTCGTATAGATTTTGAAAGGCTGGCCAAGGGACCGGACCCTTGAATTCCTTCGGGAGGCGTTTCGTTCCCGGGCTCTGAGTGCTGAGTCCAGTTTTGTGTGGACATCGGCTGATGGACAGCATTCTCCGACAATAGTCCCCGAGCAACTTGCATTGCTCTCTTCCAAGATGGGAACCAACACAGCCAGAACAGGTTATTTCGAGGTGGTATATTCAGAGCTATCGATGGCGACAGCACCTTAGCAGGTGTTATTTGCGCGGGGTCTCCGACGCCAAGGTCAGAAATCCTCTTACACCTAAAGTCAGACTGCTCACTACCAACACCAAGTCGTCCAATAGCAAGGCTGGAGCGCCATATGACGAACGAACCTGTTTGCTGATCGTGGCTCCTTCGCTTCACACCCTTGTTCAGTTTACAGCCTTGTGTTTCTGTATGAGTGCTCGTAGTTGGTATCAGGATGCGATCCATCTCTGCGTCTTGTCCTCGGCATTCAAAGGTCCGAAGCCTGTGGCCCCAGCGGGACGATCGCGGATCTTTGTTTCTTCGAGACGCTCGAGTCCATTGAGATGGTTTCTTTCTCTGGTTTCTTTGTAGTCTTTGTTGGTGTGCTAAAACTTTCACCCCACTAAAGATATGTTGATCGTTTAGACAATAAGAATTGACTTTAACCGATACGATTTTCAGCCATGCGCCATGATTGCTCAATTGACTCAAAGAAAAGGCTGAAAATTTTGCTTCTGATCGCTAAAGATGTAGAATACTAATTGCCGGTAGCCGCTGCCCCCTCCTCTCGAAACAAAGCTCTCAGTCAAACCATCACTATTGTCGTTAGCTCACATGGGCGTCACCTTTACTCTCACCAAGCACAGCCTCCGCTGCCAAGCTGATGCTATCGCTGACACTGCAGCAACCCTCCCTGTTCTTCACAAGGTTTACCAGGGTCCTTCCCTGCCGCCATGAAAGAATCATGTGAGGGGAAGCTGGAGTTGATGACATTCGGCGCAGTCTATGAGAAGCGCAACAGCATCAGCTGCGATTCACAGATGCCATTTTTGAAAGCCTTCCGAACAATCATAACAGATGGAGAAGTCTGACCCATAGTCATTGAATATGTATGAATAATCTCATATCTTCCAATGGAAAATTAACATCAACATCTTGAGACCGCGTCTTGACGCGATCAAAGAGAAGAAAAAAAAGCCAATTGTTTACTTCGAACCGCTTTTGGCATCAAGCTGTCTGTGTCCAACCCACACCATCCAGTTCTTCGGTTACATTGCATTGCATTGCATTGTTCGTACCTGGAAGATGTAGCTTTTTGAGTGCGCGGCTCCGACCTTGTGACTGAGGGCAACACGATATCCAGCGGCTCAGCTTTGAGAATTCAGCAATGGCCCTTGTCAATGTTGTATCGACACAACATCATCAGTTGATATCAGAATCAGAAACACAGCTTCAGCCTGGGTTATACACGAATCTTCAAGTTTCATAGTAACAGGCTCGACCCATTGGTCTCTCTGTACATGGCCTATGCTTGCTCGTTTCTTAGCTTCCATATATCAAACCACCTAAGGATGGAGACTCCATTCTTTCAGGTCAGTTCCCACCAGAAGTACAGTAACCGTTACGAATCTCCATCATGTTTGGTGGAGTTATGTCAATCGCTATATTTCTGCCTCTGTTCCCTGAACCTCACCAAGATTCAAAACTCGGCGGTCAATGCAGAATAATTCCCTCTTGCTTGATCGAAGCCTTCCCGACAGCGCGGGCTTGTTGGATCTTGTTCTCCGAGGGTACCACACTTGAAGTTTTTTTTTAGACTGTTACGAAGGTTCAATGGTGTCGCTGTTGAGTCAAAATCAATGGCGTGTTTTTAGTGACATGCGATGACGAGACACTGCCTGGGCTATTCTTCAGCCATCCTCATCAGCCTCGATCTGCCTTAGCGGTACCAAAACAAGCTGTGGCAGGTTTCTTAATCAATTCAAGATCGCCAATCTCGATTTCAGTCCCGACAAGACTGTCTCAATCAAGTCATCGCTCGACTTCATGGGCGGGGGATATTCCTGTTTAGTGGTGTCTAAAAGCCTCTCGAGGGATTATCAATGGCCAAAGCAAACAATAACACAGCTGAAAACCAGGTTTATCCTTTCATGCTATAACGAATTCGAGCAGACCTACATTAACCTCTGTCGCAGTATCGGGTCGACTTTTGACAGATTGACGGGCCGTTTGCACTCAATATGCCAATGCCTGCCAAATCAGTAAGTGCCCAGAGTTCGGATATTCTGGGACCTTGAACTTGGACAACCCGGCCAGGAAGACATGGCCCAAGTGCGCTGTACAATATCTTTATCGTCGATCCACGACCTTAATTCCCGATCCTCCCTCCTGGCACCGTCTCAAGATTCAACGTCATTCTTGGCCGTGACCGTCTTTCTCTTATTAAAACATCGTCATCGCACTGGAGTCGAGTTGGTATACGGATAGTGGTCAGAATAATTAACTGCGCAATCGGGTATTAACCGTCCCTTTAGGCCCAGTTTACGGTACGCACACTGCCGCTTGTCGAAGCCGAGCCTCATCGTAGGCCATTGCGCATGCCCAATGAAGATGGCTATCGAAGAACTTGCATTCCCTTGCATTGCGGCCCGTGGGTAAGCAGACTCGGAAGAGCCAAGAGCAGTGGCTTCGCAAGCTTTGAGTTCTCTCAATAGTCCACCTCTAGCTGCCACTTACCAGCCATCAAAGGCCGAGATGCCACGGCGTAGGCTAGTAGCTATACGGATACCTCACAGTATCATCTCGCCTTAGCTTTTATTGTTTACTTGATTGACATCTCCCCAGAGACGAATGACACTGCAGAAGCCGGGTTCCACGTTGTGGTGAGCTGCAGCCAAAACCCCATAATTTAGCAGAGACGCCCCCAGCGACCCAATCGCTTCGCATCAGTCGGTTAGTCCGCTGCTCGTCAGCTCTCCAGCTCGTCTGAGGATCCATTACCACCTCCTAATGTGGGATGGACTCACGGCTTAGACTCCACCACGTCACCCCTCCTCAAAGCCCTCCCGACGCTACCAGAGGCTCACCATCCCTGAGCCTTACCAGACTTCAACGCGAAAGCGTCTCCTGACCGTCGAATGAGGGGTAATCGCGACGATAAGTTCCCTCACCAATGTGATGGTGTGATGGCGCGTGCAGAATTCTGTTAGAGAATTGACATGGGCACAGAGAGTCGCGAGTGCTCGCTACGGCGCAGTTGCAATTACCATGCTCCCAGTTCCAACGTCGTGGGGTAATAAAGGATGATAATTGGCACCCGCTTTCCAAAGTAAACAAATAGGAAACGTGTCGCGTCTTCTTTTTCTTCTTTTTCTATGGGTCTAACGCGCCGTCACGTGTATTTTTGCTAGCAACTCTACTTCTGGCTTTCTTTCGCTTCATGAACGGACAGATGAGGTGGACATCCGATACTCCCGACCACTTTGTAGATTCCCCCAGATCTTGCTAACAATCTAGACAACCCAACTTACTCCTCAGCTTTGAATCGTTCCTAGCTTCGAAATGGCCTCACCATTGACGGACGCCAAACTTAGCCAATCTCTCCAATCTATTGTTGATAAGGATGAGATTCGTCTGTAATCTACAAATTTGTTCGTGACGCAGATCACAAGATCCGCCATCTGGTCCAATCTGTTTATCACCCAGATGCTATCGGCAATCATGGCTCGTTTAAGGGACCTGCGAAGGACTTCTACGATATAATGACTGCTGCTGATTCGACACGTGCTGTGCATCATCAGATCGGCCAGTCTTTGATCGAACTTGGACCAGATGGCACAACTGCAAGTGCTGAGACATACTGCACCGCCACAACAGTCAACGAGGCCGATGGCCAAGAGACCTCGATTACTTTCTTGGTCCGATACGTAGACCAATTCGAGAAGAGGGACGGATCATGGAAGATCTCGCACCGTTTTGTTGCCTTTGATGCCGTCTCAGACAAGGCTATTATGCAATACTTGCCGAAAGCCAACCTAGGCACTCGAGATGAGGAAGACTATTCTAGGAAGGTATTAAAAGACTGATGTGATCTGAGAGATCAAACTGCAGCTATTGCCATTAAGCCGGTAGACATAGACACCCTTCTTAGGTAGACACATTCATTCATCACAGTCACCATAGTAGTATCGTATTATGTTTCCTTCCTTTTCGTGCTCCTCTCTGCTTTAGTGGACCGACCCACACTCCTAGAATTTTGAAGCGCCAAGAGAGACCCTAGCGCAAACATCAAATCTACGATCCATATCTTAATTTGTTTTATTTTTTCTTTGTCGGCGACGACATGTCACAATAAGAAAAGGTGGCTTACCATATTCTGACGCCTCTTCTCCCTTTGTCACAATTTCTTTCTTTTTTTGGGGCCTCGACTAAGATATTCTGACTTTCTTCGTCTTTCAAGACTCCCTCTCTGGCCTGTCCCAGTCATTTTGTCTTCAAGCTGTCCCCAGCTTTGATCCTTGAATTGTTGCCCAGGCGATCTACGCTTGAGCTACGGTTGCTAGTACGAGCATCGACCAACATTCATTTTGGCACCTTCTAGTCCCTTTCTACGAGTCAACAGACTCATTTCCCGGTCCAGGAAGTTCATCAAGCCGGTTCTTGAAGTGAGGCTGTAGACTAAGACTTCGACTTCGACTTAGACATTGCATTACATTATATGTCTTGCTATGTCAGTGTTCCGCATACCATAGCTTCCAAGTTCCTGGCCCGTTATCCGAGCTTTACACACGTCACTACGTAGCATACAATGACATCTCCGTGTTTGCATTTATATGCTGAATTGGAATCTATAATATTATTAGTTCTGTCGTAAAATGCCGAAAGACCTAGCACCATGTCACTATGCTCAAGAGTGGGAGCCTCGATCTCCTGGTTCATGCCTTTGTCTTCTTCGTCAACGAATCCCAGTCAGACTTATACATGATTATTCATGCTTGGCATAGACAATTTGCACTATCACGGTTGTACACAGTCTTCTTATAAACCCCCTGCGTTAAGTGTCTCCATCTCTAGGTCTAGCTGTGGGTGAACACGTTCGCAGCTTGCCTTCCCAGAAGCACGGACACGACGGAAAGGCGGAAATGAAAAACAAGTCCAAGCTTTCCAACTTGGACTGAGACTGATGAGACTTCACTCCTCAGGATAAGGGAGTATACAGACAAGGTTTTATTTCTGAGGCGTTTACGAAAATTGCCATCTCCGGCCTGCCGCGACTCCTGAGAATTCGGAAGTCATTCTCATCATCCCGACCCATGACAGTGGTGAGTAGTTAGTGGATTAATCCATTTTTCTGCTGAAAAAGATCCAAGCGTTGGCGAAGTCATCTTGAACAAAGTTCCAAATACAGGGTAGCTCAGGGTCAAGATATTCAGGGTCCAGATGTTAGCTTCATCTTGAATAGCCAGAAGCGCAGACAATTTTTTTCATACGATGTGGGCTTAGCAATGTGCCCAATGGGCATGATCTTCAGCTACCCAGCGTAGTTGCCCGTAGCACAGCATGAGATATATCTATAGGCAGTGAGGTGGTCAGTCGTTGTACGAATGCAGACACCACATGGGTCGTTGCCTCATGTTGTTTGAGCACAGGGCAAACCTAACACAACGATATTGAGCTTCATGCTTCCATCCTGCAATGACCACGTGAAATAAGTGCCTCTACGAATCAGAATAAGCATCCACATGTTTCCCTACATTCAAGGGCACATCCTGTCAGCAAACGTTGTCCACTTGGAGTACAACGTGGTGCTCATCGATTTTAGATAATCCAGGCAAGAGGTCGTGGGCAAACAACTTCTAGCTCAGGAACACACGGCCTAGGTAATATCCGCTACTCAATGGATATAGAACAGGCATCTAAAGTTACTGAAGCTTAGTATTGAATTGATAAAAGCACATCTGTGTTAGACAGCATTTGCGAACATGCAAGGGTTGGATACACAACGGATGATATTGGACGAGCTTCGATTGAAGCCTGCATATACGTACTGTAGTCACGACAGTAACTCAGCAACCTATCAGTGAAACGCGACCTTGTTTCCACAACTGCGGCTGGAGCATGGATGCTGACTCTCGATATTTTGCGTCAACTCGGTAACCGTTGCTTTATACCTGGTTCTGCCCCTTCTACCGGGGCTGCGTTTTGACATTTGAAGACGCTCGCTTCTCGGTTGATATACCAGGTTCCATCAAGCTCCACAGCAAATGTCCGAATAGCGGAAATTGTACAGCAGAGCTTTCCAAGAAGCCACAATAGGAGTATACTTTTCCTCATAAAACGTGTATATACTTGAGTCTATCTGAGTATTCCAAGCTCCTATCCACGGATGATATTAGAGTCTTTCCAAACATAACCGCAGTTACGGAACATAAACTGATTATTATCATCCCTCCCAATGAATACATAAGAGATATGTCATTGATTTTCCATATACGTGTACTATAATTGATGAAAACTCACATCATTTTGTTATATCACTTTATTTTGTTATACCACTTACTTGTTCACTCTGATAATGAAATTCTACGAGATCTGTTCCAGCTCACAATTGACCCAAGGACTCTTGCTTCTCCTTTTCTCTATATCAGTTTATTGCACCCTTTATATGTACTATGTCTTCGGTTATGCTGTAGACACAATGTTGCCTCGACGGAACAGCTAGCGGAAAAGTATTGGCGCCCGATACTCAAGTATTTTACCTACGACTTCAAAAACATCTAAAAGAAGAAAAAGAAAAGAAAAAAAAAAAACTTTATAAATTTAGTAGTAAGATAGAAGATTGATAATAAATTTAGTATAATAAGAACAAGGCTGAGGGTAAAGTTTTTATGAAATTTCCTAAGATTATCATAATCTTTATCAAATCTGACACTATCAACGTGGGGTCGCGGGGACTTTTTGGCGGTCGCATCCGGCAGAACTGTCAAGTCCTGTAATTTTTCTTGCCCAGGTATCGCCAACAGGATCGCGATAGGTAAGGAATCTAGCAACAAATCTCCGAATCCCACGCGCGGCAAATCATGGGCAGCAAAAGGAAGCGCGGAGCCAAAGAAGGCACAAATGGCGCACAGAAAGCCCCCAAGCGCACAAAGAGCGACAACGAATCCGTCAGACCAAGCTCGAAGCCGGCATTCGATAAATCACCCTTCGTCGAGGCGCCAATTGGCGACGAGCGGAAACGAGAGGCTGGGCTTTATGATCTACTAGGGAGTGAGGATCCCGACGAGCGAATCGAGGCCGCCGATTGTATCGTTCCCAGCTTGCTTGCAGAGGGCGTTTCCGAGACTGTACTGCAACGGCACCTGGATCGTCGCCTATTCCGTGGACTTGCAAGTGGTCGCAATGCCTCGCGCCTTGGTTTCAGCCTCGTACTCACAGAAGTGCTCGGACAACTCTTCGGAGAGAAAAACCTTGCCGAGTCGAGATATCAGGGACTCACCTTTGAGAAGATCCTGGAAATATTGATTGAGAATACACAAGCCATCGGCAATCTCCCTGGGCAGGAGGAGAGGGACTTCGTTTTCGGGCGGCTTTTCGGAATTTTCGCTTTCGTTAGATCTGGGATCCTGTTCAGCGACATATCCCGATGGAACGCGGTCCTTGATCTCATTCTAGACCTTTCAAGCAGGAAGGTGTGGCTTCGACCACAATGCGGTTGGGTTATCGTCCAGTCCATCGAGCAGCTGAACAAGAAGCAAGCTGAGACTACACTGGAGAAGGTCGCTGAGGCCAATTTGGCCAAGACACCCGAAGGAGTAGCAATCTGGATCGCTGCCCAGACTCGATTCCCTGGTCTCAGGATCAAGCCTTGGCCGGTGCCTCTCCACAAGAACACTTTTGGCGATCTCGCTGCAATTCTGCGAGAAAGTTTCAAGGATTCTTTTGCTGATCAGTCAGAGCCTGGCCAGCAGATTAACTTCCCAGGCTGGTCTCCTCAATTGCACTACGTGTGGAGTATCCTCTTGGAACACTTTCTCGAGAAGGGAGAAGCTGGACTTGAGGATTTTAAGCAGTTCTGGACTCGTGTAGTAGATGGTGAGTTTTATGAAACCCTTGAAATAATCGTCACTGACATTTGCTAGACTCCCTTTTCTCTAAACGTGCCACAGAAGGCCAGAAATTCAGGGGATTTATGGTATTTCGAAAGATGCTCGAGGGCCTGTTTGAACTTCCTGCCCATATCGAGGTTCTCTTCAGCAAGAATCTCACCCTCTGCCTCATGAATCAAGCTTCCAAAGAGGATAGATATCTTCACCGAGCAGCGAACAAGGCCCTCAAAGCAATTGAGGCAACGACCTCGGCGCATCCGGCGACACTTGTTCCCATTCTCAAGGGTCTACTAGGCGAGAACGGAGCTTATAACTTTGACCAAAGAACAAATACCAAAACTGTCGACCAAATCTTGCAGAATATATCAGGAGAGACTGGCGAAGAGATACTGAAGATCATCCGAACCCCCCTCAGCACGATTGCTAAACAAGACACAAAGAAGGCTTCATCAACACTCCGAGTTTACGTGGACTATCTTTCAAAAATTCTCAATGCTTCGGCCTCGCCTACATCGGGAGAGTTCCAACAGACTGTATTCTCAGCTGCCCTACAAGAACTCTCTCAGCTGGCATACTCTCAACCCAAGAACATACCGGTAGATACGCTCACAGAAGGTGTTCGAGAGCTCTGCCGAACTCGTCTTGAGTCGTCATTCGCCAAGGTCAGCCGAAGAACAGAGGATTACGGCTCACTATGTCTTGCTGTGTCATCCATTGATCCCAACTCGGTGGCAATGACCGAAGAGATCAAGACAGCTGTCCAGGAGGCGTTGTCGAGGATGCAAAAGCTACTCAGGCGCAAGGCGGGAGACGACAGCGAGAAAAATCTTTTTCAGAGTATCGCGATGTTGCACGCCGTGTCTATCTTCCGACTCTACAACGAAGACCCAGATGCTATGGAGGTTCTCAACGACCTTGCCCAATGTTCCGACCGCCTTGAAAAGGGCAAGTCCGCAGAGAGCGAGGCCGGCACATCAGAGATTATCCTTGAGATCTTGTTGTCAATGGTTGTACGGCCTTCATCTCTCATGAGACAAGTTACGCAGCAAGTATTTGGTGCCTTCACACCACAGATCTCAGCTGCAGGTTTGGAGCTCTTGACCGGTCCCCTCACATCTGGCGAGAATACCAAAGGCCAGAAGGAATTGTTCAGCACCGGGGAGGATGAGATGGAGGTCGACGAGGATGAGGACGAAGAAGGAACAGATGCTGATGAGGAGGATAACTCGGATATCGAGATTGATTCTGATGTCGAGTTCATTGATATCAAGGAGACGAACGATGAAAGCGGAGAAGACGAAGAAGACGAAGAAGACGAAGAAGACGATGAGGACGAAGATGGAGAAAAAAGCAAAGGCGAATTCGACAGACCTGAGGACTTGGACAATGAACTCGAGAAGATCCTCAACAGCCATCGACTCGACAAGGACGTTAATGCCGAGTCATCAGACTCCGAGGGTGATATGTCTGACTCTGAAATGTTTGCCATCGACGAGCAGCTCGCAGCAGCTATCAAGCCACGCATTCAAGACCGCTCGAACGACTCCAAGAAGCAAAAGAAGGAGGCCAAGCAGTCAGTCCTCAATTTCAAGAACCGGATTCTTGATTTTATCGACATCTACGTTCGCAACGAGTCTCGCAGCCCTCTTTCGTTTACTCTTCTCTTACCCCTACTCGATCTGATGCGCACAACCAGCACAAAACCCCTTGCTGCCCGTGCGAGCAAGATTATTTCTAACTACCAAAAGGGCCTGAAGAAGGCCCGCAGTAACCGCCAAGAGGTCCAGATTCTTGAACCTGATGACATGCTAGACTTATTGCGTGAGATTCATAAGGCTGCCGGTCAGGATGACTCGCATGCATACGCAAAAGCGGCCAGTGCGGCGAGTCTAATCGTTGTGTCGGCCCTCGTCGCTGCGGACAAGAGCAAAATGGAGGATATTCTTGCTGTGTATAGCAAGACACAAGCGAGCTGCTTCTCTGGTGAGGTGAAGTTGCAGTCGTCCTTCATTGGTGACTGGCAAAACTGGTACCGAAATGCAATGCAGCAAGTTCGGAACTGATACCCTAATAGACATAATTCTCCCAGACAGATAGGATGAATCGAAACCAGTCACCCTGGGAGTAATTCGAATGCCTGCAGATGAACCATTAAATTCTAAGAGCTCGTCATCGTGATAGTACAGGTGCCTTGATTTTTCTTGACACAACTCGTCTAGTCCTCCATCTTATCATCCTTTGCACCCTCATCTTCGTCGTCGTCGTCGTCATCATCATCCTCGTCCTCAGCCTTTGCTAATCGCTCAGCCTCTTCCCGTAGCTCCTTTGGCACCTCAACGTGTCGTCCCTTGGTAGGGCCGTCAGGCCCACTGATCCAGGTCATCTCCAGCTCAAAATCCTTATCCTTGTTATCCTTCTGCGCAATGTAGATGATGCGCGCAGCCTGCTTCACAGCTTCCTCCAGAGTAATGTTACCAGCGGGTAGGTCAAGCTTCTCCAACTCAGCCTTGGCAGCCTGTCGACCCTTGCCTGTAGCCGCTCCGTAGTAACCCCAGTACATACCGCTGGGCTCGATCATGTAAAGGAAAGGACCGCCGTGCTTGCCCTCGATCTTGCCACCAGCGCCAACCTTGGGTCCTGAGCCAACCTCTCCATCGACGGGGGTCTCCTCGGGAGTGTCGTAGCCGCCCACGATGGCGGTGATGCCAAATGGTCGAACTGATCCGTACATGGTGTAGGCCTGGAGGTAGCCACCCATGCGGCTGGCAAGATCGGATGTGGGGATGGGGGTCTTGAAGTTCTGTCGCCAGCTCTGGGCCTCGTCGCGAGCGCGATCAACGAAGTGACGTCCATCAGGAACCATACCAGAAGATACCTGGTGAGATTAGTACGAGCTCATGCTAGCCATTGCAGGTAGGTCAACGTACAGCTCCGACATGGCTATCGATAGTTGCAATGCGCTTGTTGGCACCGGGTTTTAGGAGCTTGGATGAAACGACCTTCTCGATAGCTAGGACAACACCATCCTTAGCTCGAATACCGATCGAGGTACCGCCATTCTCTACTGCCTTGACTGCGTATTCGACCTGAAAGTTGCGTCCATCAGGGGAGAAGATGGAGTTGAGCAAATCGTAACCCGTGCCTATCGATGTCTATAGCGTGAAAGACAAGCTAGGTCAGCACTTGAAGCTGTCCCTCGATGACGACAATCAGGGTTGAGCGAGTGTAGAGGTTAGCTTACCATGATGTCTGAATTCTCTGATCAAGTGAAGTAGCGTGATCCGAAAGGCAAGAGAAGATGGGGTGAGAATTGGTGACGTGGAGGGGAACTGTGTTGTCGAGATGTTTGCGACGGCGTTGACTTGGAGCTTCCTTCACCTAGGCAGCCTGGAGCTGCGTGTTGCAGTTGAGGTAGGTAGGTACCTGCAAGGCTAGAGAATTGATGCCTGAGGTGTAAAAGGTATGTGCCACAACTAAGCGCCACGCTTCGCACGCCACATTTCAGCTCAGCCTTGAGAGGAGTGGCACACACGTGGCTGTGAAAGCGGGAGTGGCGGATCCCTCTAGCTCTTCCCGTGTAAATCGATCTCCCCTGCAGGAGGAGACCTTCATGGATTTGGGGTCTAGAACTGCACATCAAACATCCATGGATCGCATGCAGTGGACCAGTGGACTGAATCGACATAACATGATACTTTATTATAGCATGATATTTCTTTCACGAGATTTCTCTAATAGCCAGCCATATACACCACTCGTGGATACTTTTTAATACCTCATATCGTTTCTGTCCCCCGCAACTTTGACGCTTTGAAAGACTAAAGTAAAGTAGAAAGTGAGACCAGGCTAATATCGAGACCCAAGTCAAGCACGCCGTCAAGTTCGCATGTCTCTTGCCAAGGCAGGTAAGAGCTCATAGCGTCAACAGTTGAGGACCACAAAATACCACTATAAAACCTTAGGTACCTAGGCATGACTGTTTTGTTGCTGGCGGTGAGTCTCATGTGTGTTGGAGCCTAAGGGGAGCTGGTTAGGGCAGTGAATGATCCTGAGATTTCCATCTCATACTGCCTGTATTTTGATTCACATAATGACATGCACGGCCCAGAATGATTGAGAACGTGGCGAAACTGAGGAAACCACGTCAAAGGAGATGATTCGGAAACGGAATGCAACAGACGACCATCTCGGCGTTAGGCTAGAGCATAGGACAGCAATTAGTGTGTTATGGTCGCCTTGTGGCACAGGCTTATTGGGTCGCACAAGGTCAATAAGACCAGGGTTTGAAGCTCTTGGAGTTGGAAGAGTGTAAATCCTTCTGTGAAGGCGTGAATGAGGCCAGTGAATGAAGTATCGGTACCTCGACATAGTATAGACATCTGAGAGCAATATTGCCTGGGAGCGAAGATCAATACACAAATAATGCACGAAAAAAAGCGTCAAGTTTAGTGCTGGTGGTGAATGGAAGTGGATGTTGTCATAAAGCCCATCATGTGCCTCTGTTAGTTGTGTCTTTACTGCGTCATGACCTGAGAAGGGTACCCCTCCATGTATTTTTTTTGTATAGAAATATCCCCCGCGCTTCACTCTTGATTCTTCACATTAACAACGCTCGCCTTGATTTCGACCTAAAGAAACATCATAGAGCGCCTCTGCGCTTCCAAAGTCTCATTATCTCACTTGAAAACTGCATAAAGAACCTCCAAAAGATCGTCTCAGGCGTTCTTGTCTCCCCACTCACAACTCACTTCCCTTCCCCGTGCGGTCCCTGCAACTCGACCCAACGGTCCACCGCTCTTAGACAAGCCCCTCAAAGTCAAGGCCTAATCAAGGGCCTTTTGAGCCAAAGAACAAGAGACGAACCTCTCTTTCTTGACTCAACCTTTTGTTATACATATCTCTCTTTCTTTCTTTCTCTATTGACCTTGTCTGCTTTCCTTTGACTACTTGTCAAAAAGCTTAGCTTAGCTTCCAAATATAACAAAGAACAAGGGTATCCTCCTGTTCCTTTCTTCATCTGCATTGCGCATGACCCCGAAACACCTCCGTATATCGCTTCATTTCGAATTCGTTGCTATCTCAACCAGGCTTTCTCAAAAGGCATCGAATTGAAATAGGCAGACGACCCAAAGAGCTACAGTTATCGTCTCTATATTCTGATATCAAACCATAAAGCAACAACTTCTCGTGCTCTTCCTGCTGATACATATAACCGCACCACAGTTGGTACTCAGCAACTACCCTTGAGCTCAATATTATGCATCAACTGCTGACAACTCTCAGAAACAATAGAACCAACCATGTCATTTTCTCCGTCCACCATGCAACAGGATGAGCTTGCTGCTCTCCTGGCCCGTAACCTCAGCTTCAACCCAATTCCCGAGCCTGCCCCTGCACCGCAACAAGAGCCCAAGGCCGATCATGCTGAGCCCATCATCTATACTTCAGTCCACTACACCCACTCTGCACACATAGCTCAAGCAGCTCAACACCAAGACGTCCCTCGTCGTGCTTCAGAGCCACCCCAGACGCAAGGACCCAGTGTTGAAGCTATACTGCAACACCATGGCGTCAATCCAGCTACTCTGACGCCTTCACAACTCCAGCTGTTCAAAGTTGCCGAACCTTCTCAGCAGGAGAGACTTATTGAACTTTGGAACATTTGCCCTCCCGGAAACGGCGGCGATATCCCAGCTCTCGCCTGGAGTAGCACTACTGTGGAACATGAGGAGCAACTTGCCCGCTTGCGTTACGAACGACTGAACCAGCAGCAACAAGTCATGAGTCTGGATGGTACCCAAGTTCAGGCAGTTGATGGCAGGTGGGTTCGCAACTCAGAGCCTGAGGTCGAACCATACATGACTTCTGGCTACGAGGAGCTGATGCGAAGAGAGCGTGAAAGAGAGGCCCGGGACAGCCAGCCCAGGAGCACCTACGGCCTCTACTCACACGCCACAGACCCTGTCTACATGGGTCCGGACTACGCTCGTGAACAGCAGTTGCTGGAGATGGCAACTCAGTACGGTGCTTACCAAGGATTCCGAGCACCGGAGGTGGACACTATGGATGTTATGTAAATAAACATCGTCTGTCCAAACCGAGCAGCAGAATAGTATGACCAGATGTTCGACGGTCAATCTACATAGAAGCTCGGGAGGGAGATAGGATATCATCTAAGGTGGACAAGTTATACGCCAATGTGCGTACAGGAAAGGGATTTGTTGATAGAGCCATGGGCTGTTAGTCATTGTTTGGGTTTTGTTGCTTAGTATGTTTATCAGGTTGCTGGATGAGTTTATCATGAGAAACTGGCTTCCAAAGGGGAGTGGATAGGGTGGCGTTGGTGGAACTTTCATTTTTTGCAAATCATTTTGCTCCCTCTTCCAGTATCGCCCTCGTCAAGTACTTGCAGTGTATGCTAACAATTAGTTTTACCTAGAGAAAGTATGTGCAAGGGCAGCAGTTTTGTTCGCCACAGGTACGTCGTCCCTTTCAACACCTGCCTTTGGGGGCTGCAACTCACTCTATGTGCTCCCGGACTGTGATATTTAATATATGCTTCCTAGCAGTATATCTAAGCCAGGCTCTCACCCACTATGTATCCATCTAGAATCAATAAAAAAGCTTTTTGATAAACACAGCATTTTTCGACTTCCTGAAACTCATGGTTTATGCGTAACAAGTCACGTCCATATCTTTATTGTTGGTTGTCCAAGTCATTGTAAAAGGGGTATCAAATTCCATTCACGCCTTGTGAAGTGAATGGTCATCATCATGCAGTTCATCTATATCTATGTTTAAATTCCAGTCTTCTCGAGCTTCTTTGCCAACTCATCCACCTCCTTGTCCTTGACAGGAATAACAGGTTCCTCTTGAGCCTCCTCGGCCTCCTTGATCAACTTCTCGGCTCGGTCCTCAGGCTCAATCTCCTCTTCCTCCTCTTCCTCTTCCTCCGCGTCACTGTCTGGCTCCTCGAGGTCCTCCAGCTCGTCAACACCCCAATCATCCTCGTTGACGATATCACCACCGAACTTCTCCTTGCGCTTCTCGAGAAGCTCCTGAAGGACGGGAATCGACTCGTCGTCCTCTGTGAGAATGTTGCCGTTGATTTCAATTCGCTTCAAAGCAGGAAGACCATCCTTGGCAGCAGTGGCGAAGGCCTTGATACCCTTGGAGGTGATTTCGTTATATTGCAGGCGCAAGGTCTCGAGTTTAGCATTCTTGCCCTTAGCCAGAGCAGCTGCCACGAGGACACCACCCTTGGCACCAAGCAGGGAGTCACCAACTCCCAACTCCTGGAGTGAGGTCCAGTTGGCAACAACCTTTGACAGAGCTCGGGCCCCAGTGACGGTGAAAGTGTTGTCCTGCAGGTCGAGGACCTCGAGTTTGGAAGCGTGACGGAGACCTTCGGCGAGAAGGTGGGAGATACCTTCTTGTCGAATACCGTTCTGGACCATCTTGATCACTTTGATCTTGTTGTGCAGCTTGTAGGCCTTTGCCCACGCCGTCATACTTCCATTCTCCAATCGGTTTCGGCCGCAAATAACAGTCTCGAGATCGGGAACTTCCTTTCCTTCCTTTCGCGCAGCCTCCTTCTTGGAGTGAAGCTCGGAGAGCGCATCAGCGATGAGGATACCAGCGTGAGGGCCCATGCCGTTGTTGTTCAGGTAAAGGTGCTGCAGTGGCACGTGGGCGGCTAGGAAGGCCACGAGAGGCGCTTGGACATTCAATCCAAAGGCATTGTCGTTCAAGTTGATAGTGTTGAGCTTGGGAAGGTTGAGGACGGAGGTGAGCAGCGAAGATATAGCGTCAGGGATCTCACTCAGGAGTCGGCCGGTGAAGATATCGGCGAAGTTTGCGACCTGGAGAGAAATGTGTTGGCAAGTTATAGCAGCCAGGGAAAGGTGATGTTTGACGTACTCTCAGGTTCTTCTTGGTCGCAAGAACCTCACCAAGAAGCTTACAGGCGCCAACACCCAGAGTGTTACCCAAAATACGAACTTCTTCGACGTCTGCGGATCGAAGAGGGGCAATATGAGGCTCGAGATCCTCAGCAGTGTCGAGCTTGAGGCCCTTTCCCTCGAGGGAAAAGATCTTATCGGAAGAAGCCATTCTATAGTAAATCGAGAAAAGAGGAATTCGCTCAGAATTAAACAGCAAAGATGGTGACGACCAAGTCTAAAAGGAAAAGTCGGTTTAATAAAATCAAAAGAATGTCGCCGCTGTTTGGTGTGAAGATGAATCGAGTCAAGGTGGGGGTGGGGCAGCAGACAGAATTAGGCAGTAGTTAGGCTTCTTGATCAGGCTTAGAGCATTTCCTGACTGTTTTATGTAATTTCCCATTGCCATGGGCAGCAGAGCTGGGTTGCTCGGAGCGGCTCGTCAATGAGCGAGTGTGAGTGACTATGAACAGACAGGAATACATAGGTATCACTCATCTCATTCGACCATTTGAAGATGGCTTGATGAATTGAAACATCATACAAATGGTCATGACTCGCTTCCGTAGGGTCTCGTAGTTACAATAGTCGTACCTGTAAGAACTGCCTTATTACATATGATTGTTTCTACTGTCCTATGCAAATATCTAGTAGGTTGTTAGTATCCATGGACCAAAAAGAACCCGGCTTCAACCCGGAAGTCGGAAAAATTTGGAACACTCACTCATCGGAAGTCACCTGGCCGCTCAGCCGAGCAAGGCGAGAGTGGTCAAACACGTGACATTGATCCGACCCGCATCCAATCAGAGCCGGCTTATTGGAACGCTCGATAGGATTTTGTCTGATGCTGTTAATGATCTCTGCTTGAGCCCTTTTGTCCTCCGACTCCGAGAACGACATCCCCATCTCGCCGTCTCATATTCGATCGCTCCAGCGACGGTATAGCTCGCCCACAATGCTTGCCAGGTCGTGTTTGCGCTCGACGCGCACCTTCAATGGCCTCCGGAACGGCCCTTCTGCTGTCACCAAGGTATGGCACGATCCTACCACCTCTGCCAGGAGCTTCCCGTTTGCCGAGAGATCATAACCACGAACCTCGACACGCCGCAACCACGCCAATCGCAACAGAATGCGCCTCAATTGCATGTACACGATTGCTGACCCCATTTTCTTCCCAGCGTGCCGCTTCCTCGAGCTCCAGCGCCGCCAGCGATGCCTCTGCCACTCGATTGAACCTGGCTGCCGCCGCCTCGACTACCCTCGCCCTCGGCTCCATGGCCTGGTACTATCACCTTTATGGACCTGTCGCCTTTGCTATGACTCCCGCTGAAGAGGGGTACGTGATACTTTCGGTTCTTGATTGTTGTGTTTCTACATCATCTCAGTTTGGGTGATGAGGCATAAATGCTGGCTATCGATGATCCGCACTGTTATTGCATCACCAATTGCTAACAGTGCCCATATAGACTTCACGCTACCAAGTACCCTTGGGTTCACAACAAGTGGTTCAAGACCTTCGACCACCAGGCGTAAGATGCCACCGATCCTGTTGAATACGCCGTGCCGAATTACTGACCCCCTCGTAGTCTCCGCCGTGGTTTCCAGGTTTATCAGGAGGTCTGCCAGTCCTGCCACTCCCTCAGCCGAATCCCCTACCGAACTCTCGTTGGTTCCGTCTTGACCGTTGACGAGGCCAAGGCCCTTGCCGAGGAGAACGAGTACCCCGGTGAGCCCGATGAGCAGGGCGAGATCCAGATGCGCCCCGGAAAGCTGGCCGATTACATGCTTCCTCCTTACAAGAACGAGGAGGCTGCTCGATTTGCCAACAATGGTGCTCTTCCCCCGGATCTGTCTCTTATCATCAAGGCCCGTCACGGTGGCTGTGACTACATCTTCAGCTTGCTCACCGGGTACCCTGAAGAGCCCCCTGCTGGTGTTCAGGTCGCTCCCGGCATGAACTTCAACCCTTACTTCCCCGGTACCGGTATCGCCATGGCTCGTGTCCTTTACGACGGTCTCGTCGAGTACGAGGATGGTACTCCCGCCACCACCTCTCAGATGGCCAAGGATGTTGTCGAGTTCCTCAACTGGGCTGCCGAGCCCGAGATGGACGACCGAAAGCGAATGGGTATGAAGGTCCTTGTCGTCTCTGCCTCTCTGTGGGCCGTCAGTGTCTGGGTGAAGCGATACAAGTGGGCTTGGTTGAAGTCTCGAAAGATCGCCTACGACCCCCCTAAGGAGGTCAAGGTCCGCCGCTGAAGGGGCAACATCTCAAAGTCTCATTTGTATACTAGTCGCCCCTAGAGCAGCTCCTTTGTCGGCGGTGGCGGGTAGAAAAGAAGCTTGGTCGTCGAAGGAAAGGTGGATGTTAGAGTGTAAATCAGATGAATCGTTTTCAATACCTTATTCGACAAACTACACTGGGAAATATGCAGGGGTGATTGGTGGTAAAAATGTGAAAGCTTTCTGTACTCATGGCCGCCACTTTGGCCAACTTTAATGCTTGATATGATTCTCATGTCCTGATCTGAATAACCCGAGTTCATTGGATTATCATCAAAAGCCTTGGTTAAGTTTACTATGTCACCTTTCAACCCCACCCCCAGACCTATATCTCATACTTTTCATGCAGAACGGATTCTATCAAGACAACCGACTAATATATTGTTATCAATACACAACAAATGACGAGTGATATCTGGGAGGTCTTGTCTCGGGCTCATCAGGATACCTTGAAATGCCTCTCAGCGAGGGACTTTAAGTTTGTGTTATTGGCTTGAGATATATAACTATTACATAAGTACCTAGGCTATCCTTGATTGTAGCCTTACTAGATTCTATGCTTGAACTTGGCAAGCATTTATGACAAGTCGTGGAGATGAAAATCCAATATGCTGCCATCCATATCAAACCGTAAAATGCGTGAATGGTTCCAGTGGTTTGTTCACTTAACGTCTGAGGTTGGTGCAGGCCTCCTCCCATGTCATTGGACGATAATCAGCTAGTAACATTCAACCTCCACTCCATTATCCAAACAGGAACCACTTTTCACTAGGTTACAGCAGGTGCCTTCTTTAGGTACCTTAGTTGACCAGTCACTGTTACTCCTCTTAACCACTCCCCTTCAATCCTATTTGGTTCTCAATCTCCTCCTCTCACCTCCACGCCCTCATACTCGATTGCTGTCTTATTCGCCTTCCTTCTAGCGCCGCTGGGATACTTCAATAGCGTTTTGTTCCGTGTCGAATCTTGACTACACTAGTTTCGCTGCCATACTCAATTTTGCCTCGCCGTGCGTGCCTCACAAGTACTGGCAAGGACCACGCCACAATGCCCTTCGTTGGAGAAGACGCCCACGCAGGACGTAAGCGACGATGGAGCGATGACAATGAGCAGCCCAGATTGTCTCTATACCCTTCAGAGGAAGCCAAGGACTATTACATCCTTGACCAACGGCCGGAGTTAGCCTTACGAAAGGTCCTTCCAGTTTCGAAGCGAACCCGTATTACCGGCGACGATATTCACGTTACAGACGGTCTCAACGCTTCCAGTTTCTCTTTCAATACGCCCCACCGCCGACGGCGCTCATCGCAACTTAAGATGCTGCCGGTGCAGCCCGCCTTTGCCAAATCTCGAGTGACAGGCGCTCTGCTTGTTCCCTGTAACATCTGCCACCGCAAACCAACCAAGAAATCTGATCTCGACTCCTTTGCAGATTGTCAGGGATGTGGCGAGCGCACTTGCTTCATTTGTATTAGAGAATGCCATGGTTGGAACCTGGACGGTGGCTCTGGTGTCTCGGAGCAAGAAGTACTTTCAAGGTCGTTCCATATGGATGATGTTGATGACAGACAGCAACAAGAACAGAACGATACGAAGAACGGAACACGGCAAGCGGACAAGGGATGGAACGCTGTTGGACACCGGGCTGTTGTGTGCAGTCTGTGCAGTATTGAGCGTGGAGCAGAAGGAGACGTCGCATGCTTGGGTTGCTTCTCCCGGATGGAAGGCTCATGAGTCGGAACATGCATGGCATTATAGGAATTTGTGGACGAATAATGATGGTTTTCTCGGGCTTAAGCTGGGCGCACACATCTGCCTTAGGTAAGGTAGTTCTGCAGGGTATTTTGAGCGATGGATCTGCTCTTTTGGATGGTACGGAAATGGACTCATATTGCACGTTAGCGTTTATGGGCATATCACGGGAACGGTGTTTCGGGTTTTTAGGACCTTGATGGTCTTGTTTAGTGGCATTCGGATTGCAAATGAACCACGGGAGTAATTTCACAGTAGATAGATTCTGCAGATATCAATATGGCATCGGGAGCATCACAAACTAAGTCATTAATGTAATTCACTATTGGGCATGTTCATAGAAGCAATTTTTTCATTGTGACGTCTATATTCCCGCCATCCAATTGCCCTGTATTCATACACCGCATTAAAATACACCTTGCCTTATGGTGAGTATGTCTAGTTGTACTGCATATACGTCGCCGTCGAGTTGAACTTAAGGTTACCCTTGATGACTTTGTCAACTGCACTGAGGAAGTCCTTCTCGGATGCAACCTTTCTCCTTGCGCGAATGGCATACATGCCGGCCTCAGTGCAAACACTACGCAGCTCAGCACCCGTTGCGTTGGGGCAGAGACGAGAGATGAGCTCCCACCGGATGTCCCGCTCAACCGACATGGATTTAGCGTGGATGCGCAAAATGTTAGCACGGCCCTCAAGATCGGGCAGTGAGAACTCGATCTTTCGATCGATACGACCGGGTCGCATGAGGGCAGGATCCAATGTAGAGGGCCTGTTGGTGGCGAACATGACCTTGATGTTTCCACGAGCATCGAAACCGTCAAGCTGCGTAATAAGCTCCAGCATAGTTCGCTGAACCTCGTTGTCTCCACCAGCACCATCGTCAAATCGAGCACCACCGATGGCGTCGATCTCGTCGAAGAAAATGATGCATGCCTTCTTTGTACGGGCCATCTCGAACAGCTCTCGAACCATCCTTGCGCCCTCGCCGACATATTTCTGAACCAGCTCACTACCAATAACTCGGATAAAGGTGGCGTCTGTTCGGTTGGCAACAGCTCGGGCACAGAGGGTCTTTCCGGTACCAGGAGGACCGTAGAGCAGGGCCCCCTTGGGAGGATCAATACCGAGGTTGACGAAGCGCTCAGGAGACAGTAGAGGCATTTCGACAACTTCCCGTAGCTTCTCAACCTGCTCCTTACAACCACCAACATCGCCGTAGGTGACATCGGGCTTCTCCTCCACCGTCATCATCGTAACGCTCGCATCGATTTTGGGCGGTAGGGGAAGCATAATTTGGTACTTGTTCCTGTCGACACCCACGCGCATACCTTCTTCGATGTCGGTAGGACTGACGCGCTCTCCAAGCTGGACAACGAATTTTGCGATTTGCTTGACGTTGATCACATATTTGCTCTTGGCCTCGTCACCCTTCTCGTCAGCTATGATTTTCGTGCAACGTGCCACCTGGAAAGGTTGCTCTTCAGACATTCGCTGACGGTCGGCGGCGACATCCCATAGATGGGGGGGCGCGAGTCCTGTGTCGGATTCCTATTGATGTTAGAAGTCTGTCATACATCCGCAGGATTCCCGCCCAACCTTGACGCCGATCTTCTCATCGACACTCTGTTGCTTCTCCTTGATCTGCTTCTCGAGCTTCTTGATAGATGTACCATAAGGCGCGGCACCGTACGTCTTGAGAACCTGAATATCCCTGGCGCTGGTGTTAGCGGACTAATCGCACTCTCATTTCCAGAAGGACATTCGCACTCGTCTGTTAGAGGTGTAATCTTCTTCTCCTCTATCTCATCGTCGGCAAAGTTCTTCTGGTACTTTTCCCAGTTGGAGCCGGTTGCGGAAGGCTGTTGCTGGCTGTCAGTATGGGATAGGACACAACTAAGCTTGTATGCCTGCAATGAGACTGACCATGATGAGGACCGCAGCTCTCCAATCGTATAATAGTGTTGCGGGGATTTGATATGAGAGTTCTGTAATTACGAAGGTACTGGTGGATAATCTATGATCAAAGAGAGTGGAATCGTTGCTGCTGTGGTCGTGATTGTTTGGGGTTGGAGGTGTCACCGAATGCCTTCCGTAATCTGTGAGTTGCCTTGAGCGAGCTTGGAGCACGGACCTATGTAATAGTGCCGCTGGAGCCAAAAGCACGCTAGGACGTTCAGAGTTAGCTCAAGGAACCTCTCGGAGCTGGATGATCTCTACCCCCGATCCAAAATTTCTAGGTTGGCAATTCCATGGCGGAGTAGGGCAGCCTAGGGGGGTGGGACATCTCCAAGAAGTCCAGTCGTATTCCTACAAAGCCCCGCCATCAACATCACTTCTTTACTTTGAGGATCTAGGGACCGCCAAATTATTATCAAAATATGTCTGCCCCGGTCGCAGCTCCAGCCCCTGCAGCGGGAGGCTCTAGCAATGCTACTTTCCGAGTATGAAGAGCTCCAGACAGGCTTTTGAGCTTCACCCCGCTGACTTTGGACAGGATAAGGAGAAGCCTATGGCGGTGCGCTCCTCGAACATTGTCGCCGCTAGAGGTAAGGCGCCTTTGGTGCAGCAACAAGCTTCTCAAATATTAACGGTTGAACAGCTGTCGCGGACGCTATCCGAACCTCTCTCGGTCCCCGAGGAATGGACAAGATGATTCGAGGTGGAAAGGGCGAGACCATTATCACAAACGATGGAAATACTATGCTCAAGAGCATGTCTGTCATGCATCCCACAGCAAAGATGCTTGTCAACCTTTCTGGTGCCCAGGATGTTGAAGCTGGTGATGGTACAACATCTGTTGTCGTCATCTGCGGAAGTCTTCTCGGTGCTGCCGACCGACTTCTCTCCAAGGGCATCCACCCTTCCGTCATCTCCGAGTCCTTCCAACGAGCTGCCGCTGCTGCCGTCGAGGTCCTACACGATATGTCCCTCCCAATCACTCTGAGCGATACTTCCTCGTTACTGCAAGCTGCCAACACCTCTCTGTCGTCCAAGATTGTCTCCCAATATTCGAATTTGCTTGGACCCATGGCGGTGAACTCAGTGACTAAGACCATCGACCTAAAGACCGCCGATAACGTCGATCTTAAGAACATTCGAATTGTCAAGCGAGTTGGTGGAACGATTGAAGATAGTGAACTCGTTGATGGTCTCGTCCTTACCCAGCCTGTGCTCAAGAACGCAGGTGGTCCGGCCCGTATGGAGAAGGCTCGAATTGGTCTCATCCAATTCCAGCTGAGCCCCCCCAAGCCTGATGTATGTCCATTTCTGTCGTATGAGGAATATTTCTTACTTACAATCTATAGATGGAGAATACTATCCAGGTCAACGACTACCGACAAATGGACAAGATCGTTAAGGAGGAGCGATTATACCTCCTGAACATGGCCAAGAAGATTAAGAAGGCGAAATGCAACGTTCTGTTCATTCAGAAATCCATCTTGCGAGATGCTGTCAACGATCTATCGCTACACTTCCTGGCTAAGCTTGGTATCCTTGCTGTTAAGGACATCGAGCGCGATGAGGTCGAATTCATCTGCAAGTCAACTGGCTGTAAACCCATCGCTGATATTGATTCTTTCACCGAGGATAAGCTGGGCTATGCGGACCTGGTTGAGGAAGTTCAGTCTTCTGGATCGCGCATGGTCAAGGTTACCGGCACCAAGTCTGTCGGCAAGACCGTTTCCGTGGTTGTACGAGGCGCCAACTCTCTGATCCTTGAGGAGGCCGAGCGAAGTCTGCACGATGCTCTTTGTGTGGTACGATGCTTGGTCAAGAAGAAGGCTCTCATCGCCGGTGGTGGTGCCCCTGAGATTGAAATTGCTGCACAGCTGTCCAAGCAAGCGCGCAGCTTGACAGGCACCGAGGCCATCTGCTGGAAGGCCTTTGCGGATGCTCTTGAGGTGATTCCCACCACACTGGCCGAGAACGCCGGTCTCAACAGTATCAAGGTGGTGACGGAGCTACGACACCGACACGAGATGGGCGAGAAGAATGCAGGAGTCAGTATCAAGTCCGGAGGAGTCAACACCAACATTTCCAAGGAGAATGTGTTGCAGCCTCTTCTTGTTAGCACAAGCGCGATCGAGCTGGCGGCTGAGACAGTCAAGATGATTCTGAGGATAGACGACATTGCTTTGACCCGATAGAGTGAGATATCCCCCAGCAGCATCTGCCTTGGGTTGTATGAAAATACCAAAATGGGTTCTGGATCTGCCAAAAGCATTGCATTTTATAGAGTATGGTGAAACCCATAATTTATGCGTGGTGATTAATTGAGTTCTTCCATTGTCATTCATTGTGTTGTATGTGTAAGGTACTCACCAGTGCTTAATGTTGGAGAATTGGTGGTGGAAGGCAAGTTCGCTCCTTCCATCTGCTACCTTGCGATACAAGTTGACTCGAGGTACCTGAGGTACCAAGAAAGGTCTGTTCGTACAAAATTCCAGCAACTCCTTTGGTCCAACCGAAGAATTTCAGCTTTACGAGATTGATTCGTGCATTTACTTAGCTGCGATTTATCTCAGCCATGGCTTCAAGCAACAAATCCGATTATTCAAGCAATGAGGACGACAATCCCGATTTTGCTGCAAAAGCCCAGGGGCGCCTTTTACAGGTAAGATTCACAACGTTCTAACCTATAATCGGATTTTCTCTGACCCTTTCGATGGCAGTTGAAGAAGGGGCGAGATGAGCGTATGAATGCTATTGTTCAAGAGTCAGCTACAGGGATGGACAAGCTACGCACCAGCATCGCCAGGTTCCAACAAGATCGACGAACAAAAGAGTATGCATTTTAGCAGAGCCTTGAATGATTTCAAGGATTCAACTGACGATTGGTAGAGTCCGCGCCGTTGCCATTTCTGTGAGCAGGATTATTGAAGCAGTAGAGCGCAGGAAAGGCATTGAGCAGCAGATGGAAACACTCGTTTCTCGGCTAATCAACAAGACCCAGGAGGTTGAGAGCATGATGAAAACAGGCCTTCGAGGCAGGGAAGACGATGTGAAGAAGACTAAATGACTGGAACTCACGGCCATGTTTTCTTGTTGGGACATTTCATTCTTGGGGGTTTGAGGCAGGCCAGTGGAAACGAACCTGCGCATGAGCCTATGACGGACACTCACAATCAACGAACTCTCAAGCCTTTATGAGTTCTTCTCGCTACTCACATTGACCCGGCGGCCATCAAGGACAAGTCTTCAGGAATGCGCATCACTTACAAATTAAGAGGACATATCACGCCACTGCTGACCATCAATGTTTACGATATTCTCTGGAGGGGAACATGCATGGATTGCCCTTTATTCTACATTTATCGTATCTGTTATACATGGTCATATTCTATGGCCGAAGTCATTCCATCGTGTGAAGTTATGAATCTTTTACACCTGGTATCCAAATCCCGACATGCATGATCGGTACTGGTCGATTAGGGATTTGCAGTCGGCGGCAGGATCTTTTGCGTTAGAGAAGAGCATACACTCATCACGCTTGGCCTTCTCGTCCTTGCACACACAGCAGGGCTTGAAGGGGTGTTAGAATAGTAATTGAGAGCCGTTTTGATCAAGGAGAAGCTCACCTTGGGCTTGCTAGCAGCTGTGGTGGAAGGGGACGCAACATTTGCGGCGGCGCCCACGGGCGAAGCTATAGAGCCAGGTTAGTGTGAATTTAAGAGCAATTGAGTGTTTGGGAGACTATAACATACAGATTGTTGTTTGAGCTGCGTCCATCGTGTCTAATTGTAATTCGTGGTTGTGAATTAACAAAGTCAAGAAAATAGATCGTCGGCTAAGTTGACCTGAATTCGGCCATTCGTTTCCAATGGCGAAATGCGCCAGGGAGTCAGATTTCTAAGCTCTGCCTAGGCCGCTGACCAATCATTGCTTATGGCTCACGTGGAGTCGCGAGGACTTCGCGCTTCTCTTCTGACGTCATTTCTTTCCAGTCACGCAAATAATGCAGTGAGGTAGAGAGATCCATTGCGATGAGTGTTCCGATTTGGACTTGGATACAAACATATCCAGCTCGATATCGCGGTTCTAACACATCGGTCTTGACGTTTACGAAATTACCAATCTGGGGAATAGGTCCCTGTAATTTGGAGCCGGTGTCTTCCGGGGACTGGCATCGCGGGTCCACCCGCTCTCCGGGCCTCACGGGTTTACGCCGGCGACAAGGGCATATTCTCACTCGCCTAGTGAGATATCCTGCAACTTGAAGGCTGAAGGTGCAGCCGTATCCAATCATTTTACTGACCCTTTCCTCTGTTGGCTTACCACGGGCTAGTGAATCCATCCTGTGCTTTGCTCCAGCCCCCAATTACGTGGGTCAGCCGCAAGTCCCAGTGAATCTGAACTGTAAATCGCTTTGTCTTAATGTGAATCTTGAGAAATACCGAGCCTTCCTCTCAACAGATCATCAGCTGCAGTTCTAGCTATAAAGCCAAAGGCTTCCGGACCCAGAGCAAACTCGCCAGGCATAAAAATACGGTCTTCATTCTATGTATTCAGCAACCTAACCATGCTTAACATTGAGGAAATTCGTGCCCTCGGAAATGTCCATCCAGAATTTGAGCCTGTAAGTTGTCCAATACTCTTAGACATCACAAGTTATTCACAAACTTCAGATCATCAGAGCTCATAACCCAATGCTTAGCGGATGGGATATGAACACTGACCTGGAATCTTTTCGCGAAATGATGGCTCAGGTGAAACAGTATCGACCTAAACCTGACGCGGCCACACTTTCATATCAGACTAAAGACTTCAAGATTCCTCTGAGAGATGGCTTTGAAGTTGACGCCAGATCATACATGCCCGATGGTAATGTGCCGACTGACGGACTTCCTGGGCTTGTTGTCTTTCACGGTGGTGGCTTCATCACAGGTGATCTTGACACTGAAGCAGGACTATGTGCCGAGTTCACAAAGCTTGGAGGCATTGCTGTGAATATTGATTACCGCCATGCTCCCGAACATGTGTTCCCCCAAGCTATCAACGATGCCTTTGATGCTACTATTTGGGTGAGTGACCCTTCATTCAAGAGACGAATGTGGCAATGCTGAAACCAGACAGGTATCTCAAAATGTGGACAAGCTTGGAATCAAACCGTCCAAAGGCTTCATCATTGGTGGTACCAGCTCAGGCGCCGACATCTCTCTGACTATCTCCCATCTGTATAGAGAAGCCGAGACCTTGCACCCTCTAACGGGTGTTTATGCTCCAATCACTTCTGGCGTGAATGATCAGACGGTCCCTGAAAAGTACAAGGAGTACTTCATCAGCTACGAGCAAAATGCCAAGGTCCCCGTGTTTAACGCAGAGTCGATGAAATTCGTTCACTGTATGCCTGCAATTCTCCCACGCCTAGGCTGTACTGACAAGTTTCACAGCGAAATATAGACCTGACCCAAAGAGCCCTCTCGCATTTCCGGTTGCATTCCCCAGTCATGCAAACCTTCCCAAGACTTACTTCCAGGCCTGTGGAATGGACCCTGTCAGAGACTGCAGCATTGTGCTTGAGCAAGTCTACAAGGACGAGGGAGTACCTACAAAGATTGACATCTACCCGGGTCTGCCTCATGCGTTTTGGGCCATCTTTCCAGAACTTGAGATATCGCAGAAGCGTGAGCGAGATGCTGTTGAGGGTCTAAAGTGGTTGCTGGCTGGTTAAAGGCCCCCGACGATGTCTATGCCATAGACAGATTGTTATTGCTCAGTTTCAATGAGTCAGACAAGCATGTTAAAATGTCGAGTCAGCACTGGTAGTCGTGTGTTTCCACGCGTGCGAAATGGTTGACGGCACAGGTGACGTAAACCAGCCGTGTAAGTGGGCAAACTCAAGCAGCTGTGGCCCAAAGTGCGAATCTTTGGAGATCTTGGAAATAAAGCAGAATAAAAGAACGAGAGCATTTAGAAACCGTCTACTACTTTGAATATTTGCTAAATCAAAAAAATCTAAGTTTCCGGAGAACACCTCTCTGAGATGAGCGTGTTGAGACTGAATCTCAGGTTCAACTGTCTTTTAAAGGAAAACCATCTCTCACACAGCGCGCTTGACAAAGTGCTCAAGCAAATCTTGTTATTAATGTCAAGCTTAATCTCAGAGCCCAGTAGACAATCAATTAGAGGCCACGCGGCTGCTGGCAGACTGATTGATCTAATCTGATGTGGCGATGATGTGTACTATTGCTGAATGACTCAGCAGTCGGCTGAAATTAGGTAGCGCGTATTTTCTTCCCAACGAATCGTCGCTAATTAATTCTTTGAGTTGCTTTTGCCTTCGAATAAGCTCGGATAGCATTGTCTGCGAAAAGTCGCCATTCGCACATTACGATAGTGCGAAAACACAAACCGGCGCCGAGTTCACGGACTCGGAGTGTGGCCCAATTTATTCGCCCCCAGTGTTTTATTGGTCTCGGGACCGATCATGCTCCCTCATGCAACCCCAGACCTTATTCTCTGAAGGCGATTTCAAGGAGATGTGAGTGTGCGAGTGGCCGCGCGGCAACAAGAATGTCCCGAATCAGACGCATTTGCCTTCTCTGCTGATCCGAATGGTTCGACCAATTCATGTAAGTCTGGTACGTGTGTGTATTGTGCCTAGTCAAGGTTACGATGCGGGTTACGCATGTGTCTAGATCTCGCCTCCTAGCGGATGAGATGCCCCATCTGGCAGCCCGTCTCAATAGAGAATTTTTTTATATAAATCGCATGCTATGTCGACATGGTACGATATTTACCACCAGCTTCCTCTACATCACCTACTTTTATAAACACTCTTGACCTCTCCTCACTATCATCATTACTATAAACCTTACTTGATAAGTATACATTACACAAAATGAGTCGACAGCCACACCCATTCAACAATGCAAACTTCTGGGACTTTGTTCAGCACTTTGATCCCAATCAAGCAACTGGCCGGGGAGTAGATCACCAGACTGAGACTCCATTTCCCTCTTTCATGGCGGGTTTCCCCTTTGGTTCGCCAGCTGGCCCTCACCCTCCTCACCCTCCTCATCCCCATGGGCATGGACATGGTCCACGAGGACCTCCTCCACCCCCCGAGGCTGACGGCTTCGTCTGGGGTCCTTGGTTCTCTGGCGAAGGTGCTCCCGACAGTCGAACCCGCAATGAGCAACGCCAGCAGGCAAACGAGACTCAGCAAGCTACCAGCAGTGAAAGTCACGAGTCTGACGAGACCATGAATGTCCCTGACCCCGAAGAAGTTGCTCCTGAAGAGAATCAGTGCGGAGCTTGGCCTGAATGGGCTGGGCGAGGCCGTGGCCGTGGCCGTGGAGGCCCTCGATGCGGTCGAGGTCGAGGCCGCGGTGGCTTCCCCCACGGTCCTCACCATGGTTCTCATCACGGCCCTCATCCTCCCCCTCCCCCCTACGGTGGCCCCTTTGACCTTTCTGGTCTCTTCCGCGGATGGGGCAATCATCCTTTCTTTCGCAACATGCGCGAGCAGTTCCAAGAGAACCAGAACCAGGAGCAAAACACCAATGACTTATCCGACTCCTCCTTTAACCCACCTATCGACATCTTCAACACCGAGAAGTCATATGTCATTCACGTCGCCCTCCCCGGCGCAAAGAAGGAGGATATTGGTGTGAACTGGGATGCCGACCGCAACCTTCTTAAGATCGCAGGCGTCGTCCACCGCCCTGGCGATGAAGCCTTCCTCAGCACTCTCAGCTCTGGCGAGCGCAAGGTCGGCATGTTTGAACGCAACGTAGCTCTGCCGCCCACGGGAGCAGATGAGCGCGACGAGGTTGACGGTCTGGGTATCACCGCCAAGATGGAGGACGGTGTCTTGGCTATTACTGTGCCCAAGGCTGAGAAAGAGTGGACTGAGATCCACAAGATCGATATTGAGTAAGGATTGGAAAGGCTGAAAATGATATGTTATGATATCCACACTTGTAATGGAGTTTGGTAGCTGCTATGGCTTTTGGTCAGTTTCACGATAAGGTCGTTTTAGCTTCTGGTTTGAATTTGGGCTCTGTTGGAGCGAATACCTAAAGTAGGTACGATATATATATATTTATTCAGAGGCGGAAAAAGAAAAGAAAAATAAATGCATACATACATACATATATTAATTTATCAAAATCTTCATTTGTGGACGTGACCTTTCTGATCCAAGTTCATATGTCAGAGTAGAGAATCAAGGTGATAAGTATAGTGTATTTACGTTATTTATTCAGTCTAACAGCTTAAAGCTGAACATGTCTTCATCCGCGTTAAGCCTATGCAATGGGTATATGCTAGAATGTAGTGGGAGTTCTGTCTAAGAAGAAAAGGGCGTTGCCGGGCTCTCCAAGCCGGTGGTGTTTAAGAAGGTGAATATAAAATAACGTGCTTCAAAGTGCTTTCGTCATGCCGGCGGAACAAAAGAGGTCGGTATGCTCTTTGCGCAATATGCAATTTCCGATGATCTTTCCAGGGTAAAAAAGTGAAGGAATAACAAAGAAAATAAAAGTGAAAACCAGCAAAGTGAACTCCTGTGTAGTCCTCAACGTCCAATCATTAGGGTATTAGTGAATCGAGCTGGGCATGTCCCTCGTCACTTCAGAAACAAAAAAGAGTGTGTAAGATTCGCTTGCTATAACTCAAGCTCGCGAGTGATCTCCTCGCGCACATGGCGAGACCACTTGAGAATGGCGGTCTCAAAATCAACCCAGACCTGTGGAGATGTGTTGTACTGGACTCCGAGCACATCGACTTTCAACATGACCTCGAAGCGCAGTTCGGCAGCTTTGACCCAGTATCGTAAGTTATCAGCGCAACGATAGGGCTTCTGGGTATCGGTATGAAAGCTTCCAATGGCACCAAATCGTCTTCGTGATTTGTGCACAACGGCATTGTGAAGCTTAACCAGTCGCACACCATTCTGCATGGCTTCGAGGAAAGGGGTAGGCTTCGCATCTGCAGGCGACATTGACTTCCATTCTGGTAAAGGTTCAGAAGCCGTGTCCATGGACATGAGAAACGATCGTTCCCGCTCCAATTCGCGACCAGACCAGTCGCCCTTGAGCCATGTCCAGCCGACCCGTTCAGCCCTCTCCGCATCTTCGATCTCCTGTTCCTTTTTCAAGATGTCGAAGACACTCTCGACCCAGTCATTCATCGTTTTGATCTCCTCTTGCCTCATGCCTTCTTTGAAATTTCGGGTGGCCATCTGCCTTAATGTTTCCATGACAGCTAGCAGGTCTGCCCTGACTTGCTTCTCGGGTTTAATAGAGTCAAGACGGTCAGGCAGTTCGTGTGCTGTGTAGTAGATTTTTGCCGCGCGGATTGCCAGCGTAACAACATCGAGAATATGCATTCCTTGCAGCTCAAACCATCCTTGTGTGTTTTCTGCTGGCATGTTGGGGTAATCGGGGACAATGGCCGGTGCCTCGTAAGTACCGGTTCTTCGCGCCTCAACTTCATTCAGTGCCTTCTTGGCGTCGCCAAGCGTTTGCTCGAGTTCTGACTTGAGCTCCAGAATGGTAGGTGGCTTAGGGACCACCTTTTCACGGTGGTGATACGTACTCACAGTCGGTGGGAGCATATCACCACCAAGATCACTGAAGTTGTCCTCATAGTAATCATCCAGCTCCTCGATAGGAGACTCAACAAGGTCGGTGCCGAAGCCCTGGGAGCTGAAATCTGGGCTGCTGTCGGTAGAGGCGTATGACGAGTCAAAATCCGAGCCAACGATCTTGGGCAAAGCTTCGGCATTCGTGTCCAAGGAAGAGAGATCCAGGGTGGCGCGCTGCTGCTTCTTCCTGGCCAGTTGGCCACCCTTGCCGTCAAGTAGGCCTGTTCGAGCAAAATAGTACTGCAGATGCGCGATGCTGCCCAGGCTCATCACACTCTCGCGGGATCGGGCGCTGGCGGCAAAATCAGTTCCTTGCGGCCGCATATATCCCCGTCGGCGACTCCTGCCGTCAAAGTTATAACTGGAGTGACGAGAAATGGCCGAAATATCTGAATGGCGATTCTTCAGCGCGCTAGTGTCGAGGCTTCCGGTGGAATGACGGTTGAATTTCTCAATGCCCAGAGCATCCCGAGGATTGGCATCGTTACTGCCATGCGACCAAGAGGATGTCGTCGACAAGCAGCGAGAGAGCTCTGGGCATGCACCGATAGCTGGTGTTGGAAGAGCGTCTGGAGGCGGGGAGTCGCAGCGAAATGACGGTGTCTGATCGTTGGTGGCAGCCATCATGCTATGGATGCTATGCTGGTACCGTGCTAAACAAAAGAGCGTGCAGAGTGTGATAGAGCTTGAACTTGATTTATCGATGCGTAGCAGTACAGTAGTCGACCGACCCTCGCGAGATCAACCTTGTGACTTTTGACAGTGACGTTGTGTCTGTGAACAATGATCTGCACTTACACAGATTCACAAACACGAGAAATGAGGTCCCACACGATATCTCGGGGATAGCTTGGCCTGGAAATTGGGGCTTGATAATGGATCAGCCCGGGAACTGCGACTGGGTTGCGCTGCGGCTGAGGGACAATGATTGAGAGAGCGAATAACAGAAAAGGCGAGGTTCGAATATAAACAGTAATCGAGGGGCAGCAAAGACAGAAGACAGGACAGCAAGACAAGATGAGACCAGGTAAGGAGGGGGAGGAATTAGATTAATTAAAAAGTTGACGGCGACAAGACGGGAAGGGGAAATTCAATGGATGAATGATTTCCAGGGGGTTTCCAACGGCGATGGGGCGACCTGATGCCTGGATTCAGTCAGTGGTTGGCGGGACAGGCACGGGCAAAGCCAGGGTAAGATTACACATCCAGTTCTCCAATTCTCATGGATACCGACTGGACAGCGAAGGGCCAACGCGTGACAGGGATGATTAAACGACGATGGAGAAGCTAAGCTGCTGGTCGTAAACAGAGCAAGGATTGAAGAAAGATTTCGTGTTTTCCAGAAGCCGCGTGTCGTCAGGGTTTATCGGTAGAGCAGGAGCAGGAGCAGGAGCAGGAGCAGGAGGGAGGTAGAGGGAGAGTCGATACGTTTTCTAGGTATTCGTTTATCGTGATGGCGGTTTGAGATGTACCTAGAGTCGACAGAGAGCTACCAGATATTTATTATGGCTTGGGACAGAAGAGGATTAAGATCGGCATCACAGACGCCAAAGACAGGGAAAGAAGCTGCAATACACAGGTACAAATTGCAAGACCATCCAGTAAGCCCTACAAGTAATAAAGCTCGAATAAGAGGCCGTTGACTGGACACATCTGACCGCCCGTTCCTTGAGCTTGGAACAATTGGTATAGTAGGCGTGTATCAACACGACAAATTGCACGGTCAGATGTCAGGGATGAAGAAATAGATGGGGTTAAGGGAGGATCGAATATGGAGCAATAGCATCGGCATCATTAGCACAGCAGCGAAGCTCTTTTAATATCACAATTGTCGATAACCGACAGCACGCCAGTATCATATCCCCGGGCAACATGCAATTGTACAAGAACGGATCGTGGGTTTGCAGATTCAGAGGGCTAGACCTCTAGCACAGGCTTTATCGGACATACTAATCTCCTCCAGGTTGATTGGAATTCTTGCTTGCCTGCACTGGGCCCGTTGCTATGGGCATCAACAGTTACGAGTTTCAGACTTTCATTGGAACTCCATCCCGATGACGACAAGGAGCCGTTTACAAGAAAGCTCCGCGCTCAACAAAGGCCATTGGAACCCCGTGAAAGTCGAACCTGGGGCTCGGGACGGGCCCGATGGTTAATTCTTCCGTTATTGGGTTTATGCACTTGAAATGCAGACTTCCACTATCAGCCAGTTGTTACAGCTCAAGCTTTCTGAAATCTAACCGTAATTGGTGAATGAATACCTAGATTGATGTTGATACCTCTGTGCATATGCTATTGCATCTACCGTATTGCCACTGTTTATTTTCTTTTTCCTCTCCAAGGTTCATCAATAAATGATTCTGGTGAGACTGTAGCTTTCTGACGACTGCTGCCAATTGTGATCTAACAAATGGCATATTCTGCACATGCTCTATTGCAACGCATCTTCTCCAGAATGACTTCTCTTCGTGGCTCCGTACAGTTCAATGTCTGTTGATTCGAGACTGAATACATATGATATTCTGTTCCCAACCAACTAATTGTCCACTTTACAAGCTTCCTCACTTTAAGCAACCTCTGGATCGACAGCAGCCTATCCATGAACCGGTCGATATACGCTAATTCCGACCGGCTGCTGCTAGGCGAGATCATTGACCAGGGATGTACCTCTTCACACAATTCGCAAGCAAATCAGAGGCAACCTATGATCCAATCCCGGCAGTTATCCCAGGTCAGCGTGCATCAATCTAGCATACTACGTAGCATGTAATATTAACATCGTCCTTTCCTGCGTCCAAGTATTGTACAAAGAGACGAGACTACGAATAGGTGGGTATGGAATTCAAAATCCTCAACTGTACTCCTCCCTGCGGGCTTCTTGTCTCTTTGCAGAGTGCTGAGAGAAATGACTCCGTGTTCATCTGAGCTTGTACCCGTTGCTTTAACGACACCTCATAAACCTTCTTTATGCTGAGGTCTTTGACTTTTAGTGGCTTCCATCTTACCTCGTTTGGCCTTTCTCTTTGACTATCGTTCTGATTGCCGGATTGAGATTAACTTTTATTGTTCACTTTATTCTTTTCCCCACGGTTTTTTATACAAACAGAACTCCCATGTTATTTTCGCCGGCCTTGGCTACCAACCTTGTACCTGCCGAAACCTAGCCTATTCCATGCCTCTGGCCCTTCCATTTAGGTATCCTCATCTAATAAGTCACCAATCTTCAAGACCTTAAGTTGCCAGCAAGATTTTCTTTAACCTTTGACTACAAGCGTTTGACTACAAACTCATCTTTGTTGGTTTCTCTCTCCTGCCAACTACAACTCTACCTTTCTCCACTTACGACAGTCATTTCATCTTGGACACATCTTATTATTCTCTTTTCAAATACTCTGTCCGAAACTTTGGCCCCCTTTTGTCCCCGCCTGACACTCTCTGTCTCTATGTCCCCATCGGACGATAACCGTGTTGCTCTCGTTTAATGAGAGTTCAAATACTTCGGTCCCATCTGAACTTTCCTCCGCGACAACATTTGATCCGACTGTTCTTGTTGTACCCTTCACCAACGCACCTGTCCTGCCGATGTGCTTATCATTTGTCTACCTGTTTGAGCTAGGCGAGGTTATAGCTTGAGGCCGAGACGAAAGCTCCTAATCGACTCAAACGGCAGTGTATGAACGTTTGACTGTTCATTGCTGATCCACCAGGGAATTGGGCCTGCTTCTATTGTTGCAGTTACTTCTACACTCCTGCAGCAGTCTCTTGCGCTTCTTGTGCGCTGCCTTACCTCCAATCAGTGGCTGGCAGTCTGGTAATCTGTGCTACAGAGGACCCTCAAAACTTGGCCGCTAGCTCCACCTAAGCTATTCATTGACAGCAACCCTCAGCCCATCCATCACATCCTAGATGTGCATGTGCATGTGAGAGCGTTGTAATTCATTCGACCACTCTCCCTCCAACTTTCTGCCCCGACACTGTCATTGGGGTTCGTATTGGCCTCAGCGATCACGGCTACGCAATACCATGACAGCTGATAGCGCACGGTTGGGCCAGAGTGATTAGTGGCACTGAAAGGCAAGATATTTGTCTCAGAGAGATAGAGGGAGAGGCTCCGAGTGCATAAGGACACTCTGTGACAGTTACGCAGAAAAAGTTGGAGATTTCACGCCTCACCAACAATCATCCAATCTGTCCTGTCTTATTTTTTTTCCATCTGCGCATTGACGGGTTACAAAGAACATTTCGCTTCTGGATCTCGAGTGCCCAAACCCATCCAACAAATCCTGGCTTCTGGGACCTGGATCTGCACTTCATAACTTGGACTGGTACGGCCAATTTCTTACCAGGTTTCCAGCTGTCCCTCGCTTTTCGAGGGGCCAACTCCAACGATTAGATGAACACCGGCGATTTGAACGCGACGACCTCTGCCGTCAAAGATAACAACGACAGCGACTGGATGTCAAAGGCTGATCCCTTTTTATCAACGCCTGCTGCAAGCCCTGAAACTAACCGACCTACCGACGTGGGCGAGCTTACCAGCGGCAACTGCTACAGTGACCAGGACCATGATGTGCCCACGGACAGCCTGCTGAATTTCGCTGATGTCCCTGGTCAACTATCTCACCTGCCATTCAACCCTGGTTCAGCCAATCCCTCCTCCACCTACACCCCAGATCCTAATTCCAGCTTGCTCACTTTCTCATCTTCCATTATTGACACGACTCCGACTTCTTCTGCCTCGTCTGTCACCGATACGCCCACGACTAGCACGACTGTCGGTGCCTCAGCCGCGACAACCCCTGCCACGATAACAAAAATAACGTCAACGTCAACAAACGCTCTTCTCCCGTTTCCTACTCCAACGTCGCCCCTACCATCATCTGCTCTTCGCAAGACCTCACCAGGATTAGCTGCCCGACTAAAAGCTTTGGGATTTGGCGCCCAAAAATTCTCTACGCCCCCGATAACGCCTCAAAACGATCGCATCGGCCGTCTGAACGAGGATCAGCTTCGACAGCTCGACGAGAAGCACCAAGCGGGTTCGGTCAAATCGGTCATCGCCCGGCGCGGTCGCCCGTGGAAGGGCGCCGGCGCTTCTTCCTCACCAAAGCCCGTCGCCCACGACCCCAATCTTGAGCTACCGCCGTTCAAGATCGAGATTCCCGAGTCTACCGTGGCCTTGTTGCCCGAGATTCAGACCCCCGAACCCCTGGACATGGACACTCAAAAGTATCGTCTCCCTGACCACACCAACGGCAATGGGACAAAGGTCACCCTGGACACTCGTCGCGAACACATCGAGCGCACCACACGCCCTCCATCTCCTGATAGTGCAGGCCTACCTCCTCCTCCTCCACCCCCGAAGGATACACCACCGATCGCAACTTCTACGCCGGCTACGCCCCCAACCGATTACGTTCCTAGCCTCAACTCATATTTCACACCTGGCCATAACCGCCCCGGTTCTATATACACACTATCGCGCGCTTCTTTTGCCTCTCAGCTTGCTCAATTAACGTCACTGCAACTCCCAGATGCTGAATCGCTAGCGAGCCAGGTTACTGCTATTCCAACGGCTCAGGTGGCTGCCAAAGCCCTGATCAATGCTGCCGAGCAAATCAGGAGTTGGATATCCAAGGCATCGGAGGTTGTGGAAGGCCTGGATAGCGAAGATGATGTCGAGTGGGCTGCAGCTGGTGGTCGCGAGGGCCTGGCTGAAGTAGAAATGGCTATTACTCGCTTTGAGGAGCTTGTCAAAGCCTATGTTGGAGCTATCGAGCAGTTGCAAAACAGGAAAGATGTTGCCAATGTATCTGTGCAAGACCTGACCCAAGCTGTTTCGCAAATGGAGTCAGTCATTCATGAGTGGGAGAAAATCCGCAGGACGCTACATGTGGTAAGAGCTCAGGTGGAAATAGCTATGGAGTGGGAGGAACTTTGGAACAACGTTCTCGGAGATGTACAAGGGGAAATGGACGAACTCAGCAGATTGGTATTTGAGATGGAAGAACGACGCCACAAGAGCTTGATGGCTGCCAACGCTGACAGTGTTGACATTGGGGACCTTGAGACAATTGTGGAAGAGAACCCTATTCAGGCAGCTCGATTGCAGGCACCAAGTCGTTATAGCCTTCCGACCTTCCCAGTAACACCTAACTCACCAGGCACTCCCACCTTGTCGCAGGACGACTCGAGTTTACTGGCTCTGTTTGCTCGAATGCAGCC